GGCAGCATTTGAAACCACAGCCAGTGGCAACATTTAATAGCTGATAGTTGTTACAAATTCATTCCATTGTGTATTAATGTGAATAATTCATCCATGGACATCATTTGTTTTCATGCTCTGGAGCTCTAATGAGAGTGAAAACCTAAAGCCAAGAAGTCTTTAGCTCCTTCTTTTCATAATTTCAACATAAATAACCAAGGGCGACACATGACACAATCAGTAACAACCAAACTCAGAAATTACAAATTAAAATGATGAACCCCATATGAAAATAAACAAATTCATGAGTCCAAGTCAAACAGTAAGGATCCTGAAAGCGAACAAACTTTGAAAACAATCCCAATTCTATTAAGGATGATAAACTCACCTAAATCCCAAACTTGAAACTTTATGTTGTTATATTGCACTGTTTCCACATTGAACCCAATAGCTGTAAAATGAAAAAGACATCTACTCATTAATCAAGTAAAGCAAAGTTTCCCTAATCCTATTTTCAGACTACACATTTCGCATATCACCATTTGTCATATTAAATTATGCCTATGAAATAGATGCAGCAAATTAATGAACTCAAGGAAGCAACCAAAGCAAGCTCAAGAGAAGAGAATAACATAAAACAATTAGAAACAACGAAAATATCCAAAAATTAGCGCGTTAAATGTCAGTCAACCCACGTTCATAGAATAACAGTATCGAATTGCTTAAAGTAAGGATAACAAGGTAAGTACTTGGAATAGTAGACACTACTTCGCCCATCTGAAGTCGATCTGCGAAAACCAATAGCTAAAGAGAATTAATTAAAAGTCATCACCAAGGCAAGTAGGCAACCACAACAACCTGAATCGTATGAAGCGAAAAATGAGGCATACAAAGAATCGTGGTCTTTCCGGCATTGTCGAGGCCCAATACAAGAATCCGACCTTCCTTGTTCCCGAAGAGTGAAGAAAACAGCCTCGCGAAAATAATTCCCATCTCACCCTCAATCAATTTGAGAGTGAATACGATGAATTGAATCTAACTATGTTATAATATATAAAATAAACAAATAAAGGATCTGATCTGAGGCAAAGTATCAGCACCTCTTACCCTCCATTTCCTGCACAAATTTGAAATAAAAGACGACGACTCACTGTAACTGGAACAATGAGTATAATTGTAATGCAAAAATGAAGCCGATTGGCATTGTGACGAAATACCTGCAGACGGCAGCGAGCCAGGCTGGGTGCATCTCAGCTGTCAGCCCCGCGGCTGTGCGCGTTGTTATCTTTCCCTACTCATACCAGAGTTTCTTCGTCAGTCACGAAACAATATACTCTCATCACCCATCTTAAACAACAAGACAGAAACACAAACACTCATCACCCATCTTAAACAACAAGACAGAAACACAAACACAACCTATACTGATCCTAGGGTAGTGTCGAACAGGTGCAGGTTGAGATTCTTCCCTTTCAAACCAGCAGACCAAAAACCAAAATTCCAGAACCAAAATAATTATGTGATAAAATTACACCATTAATAAATCAAACTTCACAGGGCACTTAAACAATCTGCCTACTAATTCTCTAACACAAGAATACGTTATCCTACCAACTAATCAAGTTCTGTTTATCACACACAAGCCATAAAATTCCCAATACCACCTGAGAAAGAAGAAGAATATTACGACGCCCTATATCGATTTCTCCTCACAGAGGACGCGACGAAGATCCGTGGATCGATCCTCATACTACTCGAGATAACTTAAAAACATTACCTGGACGCCGGTGCTGATTAACCTCCTCGATCCCACCTTCGCCCAGTACGTCGCGTCTTCTGATTGAGAAATTGCGTCGAAGAATGAGTTGTGCCCTAACTTTCTGAAATTCGCTAAGTGTGAAATCTATTCGGCACCGAGGAGGGGAAGAAGAAAGCCTGCGCGTGTGGGTATGAAATCGTTCTTAGTTTTCCAAAAGCGCTATAGCGGTTTTACCTTTTTTTAAATCCAAAATATCTTTTAAATATAAAAAATAAATGTAAACACCATTTGTTACGAAGCACAATCGTAACTAATGTTATTTTGAACAAAGTCTACCAACTCCGTTTTTGTTACGGATTATTTTGCGTAATTAAAGAACCTGAAACGTTGACCAAGAAAATATATATTTGGTCACGGAAATTGTCGTAACAAAAACCATTATTTGTTACGATGTTATTATAACGAACCGTCGAGCCGTGGTGAAAGACCCTTTTTTTGGTAGTGAACATTACCAAAATATAAAATAATTAATTATACTTAATTTTTATCACATATTTTATCCCCTCACATCATCCAAATAAGAAAATAATATATATTTCTCTTTTATCCCATTGTCTAATTTCTAAATTATCTTACTTAATACTACCCACCTAAAAATATGTGTCAAAAGCAAATGTTGCACCTTGTTTGGGACGGAGGTAGTATTTACTAAAGTCTATAGAAAAAAGAATAAAATAAATCTTTAGAGTGGACGGAAAAAGTATTTGAAAAAAAAAGAATATATAGTGTGACTAATGTGTTGTAAAAAAACATACAAGCATATTTTATTATTAATTCATAGTAAAAAAAAAAAAAAAAAAAAGAAAAAAAAAAAAAAGGGGGGGGGGAAATTGGCGGCACAAACAAACACACGACCCTTTGCTTAAGGGAACAAAACATTTATATCTCATTAGCGACATTATTGAGTTGCCTAACCTACTTTGACTATGTGCTTCACCATGAGTTGTTTTTTACAAATTAAAAAAAATAAATATATTTCAAATAGAAATATATAATAGATATAATATTTTTAATAAAAGTTTATTATTCCATGTTACGTCAAAGAATACACCTATATATGATACAGACAAATATCAAAGTCGATGAGTTGCAATCAGTACTCAAGGGATTTACGCAGCAGCAGAAGTAATAAGAGTTTGTTAGGTCTTTTTTTTTTTTTTTTCTTTTTTTTATTATTATTCAAATATTTTTTATTTTCCAATTAATACTTATTTTAATGGAAAAAATATTAAACCTAAAATATTTTCATTTTAAAACTAAAATCAAGGAAACAAACCCCATGACAATTGCGTCGAAATCATTGACACTTTATTTAGTAAAATTAATTAATTAATTTTAAGGGATGCTGAAAATTAGGTTTGGGAATTTCCTTTTAATAAAATATATAAAAATTAATAAAAATATTTTCAATTAAAGTATTTTAAAATATTTTTATAATTTTCAATCAGAATCCAAAAAAAAATACTCCATTCGTCGTTCAAATCTATTCTCACTTTCCTGTTTTGGTTGTCATCAAATTTATTCCCGTTTTTTTTTTTATTAAAAAAATACTCACTCCGTCCCAAACACCGTGCAATATTTGTGTTTGACACGAAAATTTAGGTGGGAAGTATTAAGTATGATAATTTGAGATAATTTGTATATTAAGTGATATGATTGGAGAGAAAAATGATTATTTTTTTTTTTTTATTTGAGTGATGTGATGGGACAAAGTGAAGTGTATATTAATATATGTATATAAATATTATTAATTATTTCTAAATTTGGAAATATTGCAGTGAGTTTGGGACAAATAAAAAAGAAAATGTTGCATGGTGTTTGGGACGGAGGGAGTACTATTTTTCTTTACCAAAAAAATAAAAATTTATATTTTTATATATTTTTCTTAAAACCCGTGCTCGGTCAAATGAACACATAATTGAATGACACATGGAGTATAAAAGAACACAATCTAATTACTAGAAACCAAGGGGCTTTGGGCTTTTTAGCCACCATTCTTGCTTATCCTAAGGTGTTACAACAAATAAGGAAATAAAATAGTACTCCCTCCGTCCCCATGTAATATGATTGTATTACTGTAGACACGAGAATTTAGGTAAAATATAATTAGTAAGTAATTAAAAAGTGTATTAGTAAAAATAATTATTATTTAGTAAAAATAATTATAGATTAAGATTAACATAAGTAAATAGTTTAATTAAAATTAAGAAAATTATAAAATTTAAAATTTAAAATGCGATTAGAATGCATAATTATATTTTCAAAAATATAAATGACAAGTTATGTGAGACGGACGAAAATAGAAAATAGGGACAAATGATGTGAGACTTGAGAGAGTAATTAAAATCAAAACACTAATCTATTGAAATTGATTTAAGTTTTTGTTTGAGTAATATTTTAGATATAATATTTTGTAAATGTAAATAATGTATTTTGATACAAAATAAGTAACATTTTCAATTTGAAATCACAAAAGAATAAATTTATTATTTTCCTAACATCCCTTAAAATTTGAAATGAATATTGTATTTCTAAAATTTTCTAAAACTCTAAAACAAATGATCTAATGCAATAATGGAACAATGTATGTATCTATCATTTGCACACGCACATATCAAATTATGGCATAGATCCCTATATAACAACCAAACTACAAACTACAAACTACTAATGTAATAGATATAAAGGTGAGACTCAAGAGCATACTAAAAAAACTAGCAAGCCATGCCAAGGCAACCTTAGGGGTTTTGAAACATTACCCGAGTACCGTCGCCAAAGCCCTCGCTCAGCCGGCAAGATCTGTAGCCCGAAAACTGCATCGAAACAAGAACAAGAGAGCTACACAACCTCAAAACCAAAGTGATCATACAAAACTTCAAGATCAGAATACAAACAGCCATCAAATGCCAAAAATTCACAGATATGCATAATTCAACTCCAGAAATTAATGCCAAGGCTTACTTAGGACCCTTTTTTAAGCCCAATCTAATGGCCCAGAAAGTTAATCCACATTTGATCAATCCACAGCAAAAGAAATGACCAAAAAAAAGAACCATTTACCTTTCTGGAGTAATGAAACTTTTTTAACCTGTTAAAAAAGTGGTAACTTTCTCTCTCTAGGATCTATATATACGCTTCATCATGATAATGATCGACTAGCTATCAAATAAGAATGGAATTGTGCATCTAAATAATTATAATGTTAGCTCTCACTAAAATCATCAATATCCACTTTTTCCATGGATGCTTTTCTACTGCTTGACCTAAAAAACCCATAAAGATTCTTGATTTCCCTTATGGGGTGTATACCAATACCGCCGCATTGACCTTCTCTGCTAAACAATGGCGTCGGGTCGGACTCGACCCGACCCGATGTAGGCCGGTTCGGTATCCGCCCGACCCGGCTACTCAGGTCGGTCTGCAGGGCGGTAATGACGGTTTTAAGCGCCCTGGTGGGGGAGCTCCGATTGGATATCAAAATCTCGCAGATCTCGGCTTGGCTCAAGGTTGCTCCAGTTTGGAAAATCTCCTGCACCTGTGGGAAGAGCTTGTGGCCTTTCAACCCTAAATGGCTGCCGGCTAGGGTTTTGAAGGCGGTGAAATCGCAGAGGGGGAAATTGATGTGGACGTCGACGCGCCCGGGGCGGAGGATGGTCGGATCGATGTTTTCCTTGGCGGTCATGGTGAAGACCGTCACGCGTTCCTCGCCGCAGCAGGAGGAGATTCCGTCCATGAAGTTGAGGATGCCGGAGAGGCTGACGGCGGCGGCGGTGGTGGTTTGGAGGTAGAGGTCGAGATCCTCGACTACGAGTAAGGATTTGGCGGTGGTTTGGAGGAGGAGGTGCTTGAGATCCGAATCGTTACCGATTTTGTGGAGATTGATTTCGTAGATGTCGTAGTTGAGGAATTTGGCCATGGCAGCTATGAAGGTCGACTTTCCGGTACCGGTAGGGCCGTAGAGTAAGTAGCTCCGCTTCCAGACGCGGCCTAATCGGTGGTAATACTGTCTGGACTTGAGGAAATTCTCCAAATCGCTTTTGATTCTCGCTTTCAGATCCGAATCCATGGCGATTGTCTCCATGGTGGTTGGGTGCGTGAACGGAGCCAATCTCCAGCACCGTCTGTTCCTCTGCGATTCCGATTCGACCTCTCCGTTGACGAACAGCCTCACCTCCTTCCTCTTCTGCTCGATTTCATCGAACACTTGATGAATGTGCTGCAGATAAGGAACCAGAATCCGTCGCTTGTCGCTCTTTCTGATCTCCAGAACGAGGTATTTCGCTTCCGAATTTTCGAACCTCCATAGAACCCTAGCGCCGAGGAATTTGTCGACGACGGTCTGATTCTCGTCGAAAATGAGGCTAATCTCTGCGGATTTGGAGCTGGAAAACAGGTTTACGAAATCGGAATCTTCGACGCAGGGGAGCGAATTCAGGTACGCATGAACCTTCCTGTAGAGTAAATTTTCCTGCATGTTTTCGTTGAATTTGGGGATTTTATAAAACTGGTAGACGTAGAACTTGTCCGCCATGAACAGCCATGCTTTCTTCAGGGAATAGATTAAGCCTGTTCTATACAAGAATCTGCTAATCAACCATACCAAAATGATTGCAAAAACCAGTAGAATCAGATTCAGCAGAAACATGATGATGATGATTACACAGCTAAATTCAAAGATGAAAACTAATTATGAATAAAAGCTTTTGGGAACATGATGGATTTTTGGATTGAACAAAGTACACACAGAGACTCCATTATAGGGTTTTTGAGGATGATGGTGGTGGTGGTGAGGGAATATCTTAATACACTTTAGATACAATTTTTTGTGCTTTGGTATTTCTTGTGGGGATGAATAATGCAAACAAACCAATCAAGTTTGAACCATTTATATTGTAAATGGTGTTTGATGAATTCTTGGTTTGAATTTATGGAAAATAATAATAATAATAATAATAATAATAATAATAATAATAAATAAATAAATAAATAAATAAAAATAAGCCGGCTGGAAAGGCCAATTGCTGTGATATCGGCTAACGAGTCAAAATATTTTGGGTGGGTAGGTGAAAGGGATGTGTGTAGTTTCTGCAAATATTCATATCTGTGTATCTAATTAATACTGCTGTGTGAGAGAGAATGAATGAATTTTTGTTTAGTTTGGTTTTTATTTTATTTTATTTTATTTATTTATTTATTTTAGTTTTGATTTAAATAGTTACTTTTTTGGTACCATTGTAATTGATAATATTTTTTATTTTAAATAAAATTTATTAAATCAAAATATGGTTATAGATAAACTTAATAAACATCATGCATCATATAACTAATTCAACTTTTTTTTTTTTTTTTTTGTATCTCTTCTAAAAAAAAATTAAATATTTTTATCTATATTTAAATTTTATATTTTTGATAAAAATTAGTTTGTTAATTATAAATAAATAAATTTATTTTTTTATTTGTATTGTAGGAATTTTATTTTCTATATTCATATATTTTTCTTATTGTGCTATATTTGGTAAAATATTTAAATATATTTTTTATTTTTTTAAAAAAATTATATATATTAAATTTATTTAAATACTATTAGTATTATTAATTATATACGAATAGTAAAATAATATCATAATTCACTATTATTAACTAATTAAATATTATTAATGAAATAGTAACGGAAAGAGTATATTTATGTTTCTCAGGAAAAAATGATATTTTTATTAAAAAATATATTTGATGGACATAAATAATGCCAAAAATTTGAAAACTGCTCTAGCCACTATATTTCTTGGAATTATCAGTGATCAATGTAATGGATTTAGGGTTTTCAGTTTACATGATATTTTTTTATAATGAGAATCACATTGTCATGATGGTAAAATTAAGATAAAGATTTGTGGATATAAGCAAATTAATTTACAACTGATTAACGATATTCACTGCACCGCCTTATCTTATGATCTTCTAAATGAGTATGAAGTTTACAATCTTGGATAAATATTAATCTACTTTCTTTTCTTGATTCATTTTCATAACTAATAACAGTAGGTGCTGCTAATCCATTCCATTCCATTCCAAATTATAGAATTGAAATAGTAATTCTGGTGATGACTTTTGACTGTGATTAAAAAATCCCTTCTATTAATTGAATTGACTGGGTTGGGTTATTTTTCATTCAAAAGCCAAACATGTATGTAATACTATTATTGTTTATTAGACTAGACTGAGTTCACCCCTAATATTGTTTGACAATAGATTACGGACAACCCCAAGAGGCAATATAATGGTTATATTGGACCAACTTTTGGGATTTAACCCCAAATCTTGCAATGGAAAAAAGTCAATGGTGCGACTTGAGTTGAGGAAAGCACAAAAAGTCAGAGAAATAGTGCCCCCAATTCCAAATTGATCTATAATTGGGTGCAATTCAATATATATTATAGTGATGGCTATTGATGGGATCTCTGAAAGAATATTTATAAGGGAAAAGAGTGGGCAAATGATATGATACCTCATTGTAAAGATTATTATTGTATGATCATGGACATGGTTGGCTGGCTGTCAGAAAAACCATAAAGACAGACCAATTGCATATCTATATGATAATATAATAAAATATGTGCATATAGTCTATGGAGATAGTGTGGAACTCCAAGAAATCTTTATCATGTAATAATTCCAAAGGCTGTTCTTGAGCTGTATCATGACTATTGAAAATCTCCTAAACATTAATTGTACGGCGTACACGTCTAATTTATACACATACATAAGAGAAGCCGTAGCCGGTTGAAACCCCTTCGCTCGGCTCCATGTCCAATGCAGTTCTAGAATTTCAAGATTCGGGGCAAATCTTCAAGAACAAAAACCTCCTCTCCCTCCTCAAGAATGTATCAACAGGCATTTCCAAATATATTACTCAAAAGAACCGACACGTATAAATAAGTTGGGGAACTTCACATCTCTTATTAGCCCTTGTGTTAAACTCACGAGTAATTTGTTTCAAACTTTTTCCGCGATAATTAAGGTTTGTAGATTGTCAAAAGGCCGTTGATAACCAAAAATTGACACATCGGATTCTAGGTATCTCAAGTGTACGAGTTTCTTGGCTTCTTTGGATGGCCACATTGTTTCGAGGCTCATAACTCTTAACTGTTTTCAACTTAGAAAAATTCTAAGGAGATTCGGACATACTCCCATCTACAAAAACCATAACACCAAATGATTAAGCTTGTTAAAGTCTGTTGGATCGAAAAGGAACTTCTCTTCCCAAGCTTTTCTAATGCACAAGTCCCTTAGTATATCGTACACCATATAGTTTTTCACCCGCCCTTTAAACTCTTCTCTACGAACTAACAAAAAATTTCTGTCGACAAGTTCCTTTAAGTAAACTCCTGCTGCCTTAATACGTCCGAAGTTGGACCGGTGCTAGGCCAACTCCCGTGGATGAGCCAGTGCCAAGCCATTCAAGAGTAATTAGAGATTAAATGAATTGAATATACTACTAATGTGTACATTCTTTTTGAAAAAGTTTATTGAAAGAACTTTATTGTTAGCATGTTTGCTATTAAATAATAAATTTTTTTAATTCAAATAATTATATAATATTACATAAATAGATATTATAAAATTAACTTTTAGTTTATTATATAAAAAAATAAAAATAAATAAATGTGTGCTCGATTATAGGATTTTTCTAAAAATATATCATCTATACATATAAAAAAAAATATAAATTAAATACTTATTTCCAATTCTTAGTTATCTCTTCGAATTTATGTATTTATTTATTTATTTTCTCTCTTCTTCTTTTTTTTTCTTTTGTTAAAAAGGTACATTTGGACGTTAATTTTCATTTATTTTTATTTAGGAAAAAAAAAAACTGTATATTCTTTTATGTTTATTGGGCCTCAGCACTTTTTTTGTAGATTAGCTTAGATTTTTGTAGATTACTTATTTCTACTAGTAAGGCCCAATATGAATGTTAGTTGCATTAGCTTATTTTTTAGATTACTTTATTTTTATTAGCTTATTTCTACTATATTTAGTCTATTTGGTCGACACTAGAATTCATTTTTTTTTTTTTTAAAAAATATATCTTATTTAATTCAATCAGAAGTTTACTTGGGAGTGAACTTTATCGCGAAGTCACGAGTTCAAACCCCAACACCTTCAGGTCCACCTGCCACACATGATTTCCTTAGTGTGATTTGCCTTGATCGGATAAATTTATCTCATTACACTATATATATATATATATATATATGCATCTATATATACATACTCGAAACCAACCACGACATTCATGTAGTATGTACATATGTATACACACACATGTGGCCTTCTAGTTCTACGTAAAGACATAGATATAAGGCCACCTCACCAGCAACAAAGTACATATCTTTTATCTATGGCCCAATATATAAGCTAGTGTATGAAGGAGGAATCGAGTTCTTTAAGGAAAGTGTATCCTTACCTTCCATCCCCAAATATAATGCGGGGAGGCTCTTCACCGTTCATCAGAAATTAATTCAAACATGTATATCAACAAAGCATGCATTTCTAGTCATTTCTCACTCTAAAATGTCATAAACATCAGTCAAATTCAAAGGCAACATAACATATGGGAGGTTTTGGTTCATAGTCCCCATCCAACATATATTGTTTCTTGATAGAAAGTCTCCGGCTTAAAATGATTAGGGATATATAGTCTAGATTACGTTCGATCAAGCTCAGTAGGTGATGAACATCTATCTCAACAAAGCATGCAATTTATAGTCATGTCTCAACCCAAAAAAATCATAAATTCATCGGCATTCAAATAGACAGAATTCATTTCATAGTCCCCACCCAACATGTATTGTTTCTTGATGAGTTCCAGATAAAGTGTGTATCTAAAATGATTAGGAATTGATTATAGTCTAGATGATGTTTGATCAAGCTCTATAGGGGATCGAATTTAGATCAATACCCGACAAACATACATCTCAACAAAGCATGGATTTCCAATCATTTCTCGATCCCAAAATGTCATAAATTCAGTCAAGATCAAAGGCGAAAGAACAGAAAGGAAGTTTTGATTTCATACCCAATGTATAGTTTCTTGAAGCATTCTGGAGAGAGGTATCGACCTAAGACAACCTTTGATCAAGCTTCATTGGAGATCAAATTTCGATTAATTCATGACAGATTCTTACCTCAATCGTGTCGAGCTAGCTTCATCTGATCTGATCCATCATCATACCTGTTAGAACTCAAGCTGTGTACAAAAATGTCAGCAGATCCTTTTCTAGGAATTCAATATACTGTTCACTCTCATAGTTCAAAGCAAAATTAGAACAAGGAACAAAGTTTGAGATCACAATCCATTAGCTCTGCCTCAGCAATTCTGGAATTCTTCCCAAAAAACATACATATATATATATGCATACAAAGTTTTATTCAAACATGTATATATGTGTAGAAGAGGAAAAACAAAATGGTAATGGATTCAAAATTACAGGAGATGGAGATTTCATGTTCGGCTCAAAATTGACGTCGCAAAATTAATTTTGATGAAGAGATTGATTGATTGATTGATCGGCGAATTTTGGAAGCTAATCGATGAAACCTGTTTGCTGGAAGACGGCGTTGCGCACACGGCGGAGATCTCGCCCTTTCAGCGTCCTCCCCCGACCTTCGAACACCGAGAACGTCACGTGCGACCTCGCCACCATCACGTGAGGCGGAACCATTTCCTCCTCCGTCGTCCGGCGAGCGCCGTCGTCGTTGTCGGTCGCCAGATCGCCGTTCACGCGGAGCTCCTTCGTCCAGAGAGGAATGTTCACCGGAGCAGAACCGAGATGGTGCTTCTCCTCCTCCCGCCTCGCTGCCTGAGAGATATCCTTAGGGTTGACGGAGGAATTGCGGTGTACGGTGCCGTCGCCATCGTTAAATATCGCGGCGGAGAGGTCAGATTCGGATCGATTGAAAGGATTCCGCTGGCGATTGAACGAAGGCGGCGGCGAGCCGGCGGAGGAGGAGGATGAAGAAAGGGGAAAGGACCATAGGAAATCGTCCTCGTGGAGCTCGGGCTGGTCGGAATTCCGCGGCGCGCCGGCCTCGGAGGGGTGGAGGAGACGGAGGAAGCGGTGGTTGCCCATGGCAAGCCGGCGTCGTCTTCCACACTCTCCCAAACGCTCTCTTCCGATCAACAATTTTACACACTATATTAAAAAAAAATTATAACTCCTCTTTTTTTAGTAAGTAAATTTAATATATTTAATATAATATATATATATATAAATTTTAATATCATAATAATAAGGTATTGTATTCAATTATTTTAAATATAATAAATATACTTCATTAAGACATAAATTTGTAAAGATTTAGAAAGTAATATTTAATTATTATTTTTTTCATTCTTTGAAAATAGGCACGTTTTATCATCTGTCTTGAAATAATACTTTTATTATTATAAAATTATTTTATTTTTTATTAATATTACATAAATTTTATATAATTTTATACTTAAATTAAAAATTTTAAAAGAATAAAATATTTTTTCATCTATTACGTTGTATTTCCTATTAATATAATACAAGTATTTTTAAAGTTGATGTCTAAAGAAAATAAGTCCCTTCTTCTAAACTAAAATTTAGTATAAGATTTTTTGAGATAAAAAATATAAATTTTGTGATACTTTTTAAAAATAATAATAAATATTAGTAGTATTTACATAGAACCTAAATATCAATTATTATTTGTGAGTGAATATCAGCACCACTAGTAATTCTTTTTATTTATTTTCATTTATATATCACCATTCATTTGTTTTCGTTCAAGACACGTTATACGAAAATTGTTATTACGACAAATATATAGACGCATGGCTTTTAAAATTATTGATAAAGACACTGGACTCCTTACCATTATACCTTATCCGTCTGTTGTAATGTATTTTTTCTTATTTATTTTATAATAGATTAAAAAAGAATGTAGTATTTTATTAGTATAGTGTATAAGATATTTTTATTTTTTATTTTATATAAATTAATTAAAAATCAATTTATTTTAATATTAATTTATAATTATATTTTTAAAAATATTTTTGAACGAATAAACGGAAATAATAAAAAAAAATAGAGTTTAGAGTTTAAGATTATTTATCAAATTATAGTAAGTATTGCAAATATAAAATTTAGTACAAATATAATCAATAAATAATTAAAATAAAAATAATTATTTAATCTAATTAAAATAAAAAATATTATATCAAATGTCGTTTGCTAGGCCCAAACCCAAAATCTTTAGGCAAAGGATTTGCATTATTTGTATTTGTTATTTTATCGTTTCAGCTTCTTGTCCTTTGGAGAATAGGTTTCCTTTGTGGAGATTCGATAGGAAATCCACCCAAATTTGTGTTTTAGCATATTTATTATATCCCTCCCAATTTACTTGGGTTTGGAATGGGAATGGGAATGGGAATCCAAGAATGAGAAAGTTTGGACAAAGTCATGAATAACTACAAAAGCTGTTTGGTGTCGGCGTTGGTGTATAATACCCACCAACTTTTCAAGGCGAGTTTATAACATACCTCTCTCGACTTCTCCAGACACAGGCCACAGCCGTCGAAATGGACAAAAATACTGCATACAGTCTGTCGGGATTTTACAGTTCCTCGTACCTCTCACAACATTCGCCACTACACCAACAAGACAAGACATGATCGTATCTAATTAATCCTTCATTCTGCAAGTTCATTTTCTGAAGAATAATCCGCCTAACAGTCGGGACCATATGCAAATGCACAGAAACTCATAGAGAAGCCACACTGTTTATTACCCAATATAGGAAGGATACCATCAACCGAATATAGTCATCTTTTTTCAAATCCGGACGGGATATAAAGCTATAACAGCAATCCAAAAGAATAAATTAGCTGAGCACAACGCTTTTACCACTGGCCGGGCCGGGCCGGGCGGCATCATCTTCATCACAAAGGCGTCTCGATTTTGTCGTGGAGTGTCACGACCAAGCCATGGGCGTCGTCGAGGAGCTTCCACACATCAAGATGTCCGGCCATGGCGTGGCACTCCGTCAAGATCTCATCCATACTGCCGTCCTTCTCGATGATTTGCTTCTTCCTTTGCAGGATGGACGCCGCAATAGCATAGAGTAACAGATCGTCGGTCGGAGGCGCGCGCTGCCTTATCCTACTCCAAGCCGACTTCCCAATCCCGGCCCTGATCGCAGCCTGGTCGGCCCACATGACTTCCCAGAGGCACAGAGTCTGCTCGAACGACAATTCCCTTCGGAAAAGCACAACCACCATTCTGTACACGAAGAAGCAGTCCTCGGCCTGGAGTTTCTCCAGGTGCCTGTAGAGATGCGAGTCCTTGTACTTGATGATTTTGGAGATGATGTTCAGCTGCCGTCTGATGCCGACTTCGTCGAGCCTGAAGTTGTGGCGAGCCTTCTTCATGAATCCGACAAAACACCAGAAAGCCTCATGGTCCTCCGTCATCACGGAAATTATGGGGGAGAGCAGATCGCTCATTCCCTGGCAATACCCGATTTCCGGGTCGTACAGTGCATAAGCTTCGAGAATAGCGACTAATCGGGCGGCATGGAAGATCCTGCTAGAATCGAGATGATCGTAATCCTTCAATCCAACAATCTCAGCCGCACGATGCGCTTTGGCATCTGATACTGCGGGTTGATTCGTTGTCCATTCTCCGTTTGCTCGGATAGCGTCTAAGCGGATGATTCGTTGCCAGGTGACGAAATCTTCCCCGCTACAAGACTCCGGCGGGACTTCCTCCGCTTTGGATGAAGACATATCCTCCTCGTTATCTCTGTCCTCTGTGCTTTCAGTGTAGTTGAAAGTTTGACTGACTTCTGGCTCGTCCGAGGATTCGGAGTCCGAGGAATCTGAGTCTGAAGCAATATTTAAATCCGTAATTCGCTTAGACCCGGCGTACCCATCCTGTGAATCTTCGATATAATGGAACCCTTCATTACTGGAAAGGGATTCTCTGGCACTCACAACATCTTCAGAGTCGGGAGAGTCGATGCCTACTGTTAGACTTTCTCCACCACAAGCACTGCTCGTTTCACCACTTTCGTTTGTCTTATAAAGTTTGCTGTTATGTTTAAATAGTCTCCAGCATTGTCGTCGTAGTTTCTCATACTCCTTCCTGCAAGCATAGGAGAAATGCAAAATGGATAGTCAAAACCAGGTCGGAGAAGAGTAAAGACAAAAACAGACACAATCCCTTTTTTCGAAGACGAGGTGGTTTTGGTGGGCGCACCTTTTTTGAGAAATGATAATGTCTCTTTCGTCTTTGGAACTTGCTAGGTCATAGCTGCAAAAGAAGAAAGATTCGGGATTATTACTGAATGAACTTGAAATGTTGATCCTCTTCAAGTACAAATATACCGATTCGTACACAGCAATGAGCGATTGACAGCTTACTTAGAAGTACCGTGAACACATAGTTACACTGGAAAAACATTTGATTAAAAATCAAGACATTATAACATATCAATTCAAGAAATGTGCTCATTCAAAGTTCAAGCAGTATTTGGTTGCTACTAAGAACTCACAGCATTACAGCCAAGAAATTAGTGCATACATAAACCATAGCAATTATAAAATATCGAATGGCGTTCTTTATATTGAGGCATCAACTGTTAATATATAATTCCAAAGATTAACTATTGTAAGGCACATAAAAGGTACTTCAAAAGAAGAAACAACTTACACTCCAAGAAGGAATGGCCAGACCTCTGCCCTAATGCTTGGATCGACACCCTATAAAAAACAAGGTACAAAGTGAAATCCATTAGTTTCCACGCATAATTGTACGGAAAATTGGTAGAAAGGATAGCTATACTCCACTAAAGCGAGAAGAATATTGAAATTTGTAACTATGCGCGACTCACTCCACTGCGGACTTTCTTCAGGAATTTTGCTCCATTGTCCCGAAGTTTTCCATCGGTGGCAAACAAACTCCTCCACTGCCTAGCTGAGAGTATGTGTTTTCTTTTTCTTCGAGACCATGGAGATTTGAGTCGACCTCTGAAAATGCACAGCATAACAAATAGTCACTTCATTGTGAAACAAATAGCAGCATAAGTTGGACTCTTAAACATGAGCATAAGATATATCATGTGAAATAACACTTGACAGCATAAAGTACACAGATCTCCTAGAATGTAATTGACAAAATTGGAGATGATGGAATTAAATCCAGTACCAGAAAATGGGAAAATGGTGTGATCTATATAGTCTATGTATTTCCCCAATCTTTTAAAGGTGTACATGGATCATGTGATGTAAGGAAAGACCGTAGAAATCTCACAACACTCCACCTTCTTTGTGAAACATTATGAACCACAAGGTCAACCCATTCACTTTGGAAATAATTTCTTATTGTTTATGAATTTAACTGAAATATGCAAATAGTAAGAGATTAAACAAGATAATAAAATATCCAATCGATTCGTTCAACATCTTGACAGCCCAAGTCACGACTTTGATTTCCCAAAAACCAAATGTGAGACCAAAACAAATGGCTTCGAAATTTATCAAATACCGAATAGGGAATAGGATGTAAGAATCATTCAAAGTCTTTCTCCCATCTTTGACTATAAAAAATTAATTGATATTATCAAATGTGTTGTCAAATCAACATACTCATCCAATCTCGATATGATAATAGAAGAAGAAAAAAAACGAGGATTGATGTCAATGATCAACTATAAAAGAAAATGCAGAGACACAAAATGGACTGAGATGCAATGAAATCAAAGTTTGAGCTGAATAAACTCATAAGACAATAGATTCAAGTGAACAAAACATTTATTTAAGGTTCCAGATCAAGATCTGAACGTCAAGCAACAAACTACACCAGATAATGTTTACAACAATCATGAGACGGGAGAAACTTCACAGAGGAATTTAAAAAGAGGAAAAAAGAGAGAAACTCACCGATCAGAAGAAGTAGAAGAAGCTGGCGATGTGTTGGATGAAGTAACTATGAATAATACCGATCTCAAATGAATCCACGAAGACGATGGTGAAGACGACGATGAATTTGAGGATGACGATGCAGGCGAAGATTTTGACGATGCCGAAGTCTGACTTCGTATTAGCGCTTTCATCTATGTATAAACAATTTTTGCTAGTATTTCTTAATCTAGGGTTACAGAATCTAAATTCCAAAAAAGCATCTACAACTAATTCAACTTTTTTTCCTTTCCGTTTTCTACCTAATGGTGTAAAACACAGCGGAGGCTAAATCGAGGGCGACAAACGCCGCGAAGGCGAGAGTTCCGGCGTCATTCTCCTCCCCCTCCGTCCCGAATCCTTCGCCGCCACTTACGATTACCACCGCTCCACTTTTTCCAATCGATGACTTTAAACGCCGCGCCGCCGCCGCCGCCGCCGGCGGTAACAATATAGATGTTGTAATTGACTAATTTGCCCCTGGAACGCGCAACACGCGCAGAGACTTTCCACCGATAAGAAATTGAAAACACCAACTACTTGCTTCAATATTCTCTCTGCTCTTTTGCTTCCAATTTCAGGTGGTGAGATAGATTTAGCATAGCTTCCTTCCAGCACTTCTCCAATGGCCCATCTACCGATTTCCTCTCTCTAGATTCTAGAGCGAGATCGAGGAGTAAACCGAATGAAGACCAAAACTACCGTCCACCACTATTTATACTGTGCAATTTTCCGCACTCCATCGCTAACTGTTTGGGATATAAGTAAGATCTGCTCATACGACGTCGTCTAATGCGTAGTGCTTTTAGTTGTATCATTATTTATTTATTTTTATTTTTTTTTGGTGGGTTTGTTTGGGTGTTTGGATTTTTATTTGAAATTTGGATATTGAAAGTTTTGAATTTGAATAGTATTATGACGACATATAAATAAGTGTTATTGTAATATTTTGAATGTAAAATTGATTTTAGTATAATATATAAAAAAAAAAATAGATAATTAATTTGATGTTTTTGAAGAAATATTTTTAATAAATAATAAATTTTTGAAAAAATCCTCTTAACAAACGCACCCTAAATTTATTTTTGCTTTTTTTTCTAAGTATAAAATACTATTTTTTTTCTTAGTTTTCTTTATTTTAAAAAATAAAAATTTATAATTTTTATTTTAGTTCGTCTCTAAATGTCACATTATATTTTGTGTCGTTATACTTAGCATTAAAAATATTTTTATATTTGTATAATTTTTTTTACAAATGTCTAGTACTACAAAACACTAAAATAAAATATTTTTGCAATTTTTATTATAGTATTTTTAAAAAAAAATTATGTCCTGTCAATTGTATTAACTAAATATTAAATTTATATTCAAATCATTTATTAAAATGTATTTATATCCTAAAAGAAATTATTCAAATTTAAAATTTTATGGATAAAAAATTCAAACCTAAAATATAAAGATCTGAGAGAACACACCTTTCATTTTCCATTATTATATTATTAGTCTAAAATTAACTATGACAAATTGCAATTACTTTTTTGTAACAAAATTAATTAAACTAAACCTGCTGCTGTGGTCCACATGCTATATGTATATTAATTATTACACGATTCCAAATCCATATCACAAGTTTGGAATTACTCTCAAATTCACATTTCAGATAATAACAAAATATATGTTTTATTTTATTTTGTAAAATTAGTACTACATTACATTAAACTCAACAAAATATTGCTTACTTTTAAATATTGTACCGTACTATGTGTATAATTTAGACAGTTTTTTTGTAGTGTTACTTTATATTGAATTGCTGTATAAATAAAATAAAATACAATATATATATATATATTGCATGTGGAATTTAAACTTAGTCAAATTATGTTCAATAATAATATATATATATATATATATACAGAGTTTTAATAACCACTTAAATAAATAAACCTGTAAATGTAGTCTACCATTTTCTATATGTATGTGTATATATTATTATATTATATTGGTGGTATTTGATTAATGTTACGTTATGATTAAATATATGGTTGTAATTTATGGGACAAAATGATTTCAAATATTTAGGAGTGATTGAATTTCCACACTTGAAATTTAAGCAAGTGATATTGGTCATTATAACTGATTTTAATGAATTGGTCATTTCATGTTGATGTTTTATGAGCTAATTCAGGCTTGGAGTATTATTATACATAATATGTTACTTTAGTCAATTTTCTCTAAATTTTACTATTTGGACTCTGCATTTCCCGAAAAAAAAAAAAAAACATTTTTTCCTCTCACAAAATATTTCATCAAACGTTATTTTTCATCCCATAAACCTCTCATTATTATTCTTGTAGGTATTAAAACTTCTTTATTTGTGGAATGTAAGGAATGATTCAAAACCATAAATTTATAGGTGAATAGTACATTCCGGTCTTAGTCCACGTAAAATAGTGAATAGCATATATGGATTCTTAATACATTATTTTTCTTTAAAAAATTATTACACCAATGTACTATTTAAATAAAAATTCTTTCAATATAATTTCAAACCACAACTAAATAAACACATTATTTTATAAAACTAATTTATACTACCTATATATATTTGTATTATATGCAATTTTATGTTCTATAAAATAATTTATATATTTAATATATTTATTGATGTATGATACTTAAAATTTATATAGATCCATAATCCAACAAATCAAATCAAATCACTATCAATATATATTATAGCATAGATATTTCAAATTCATGCAATTTCACATTTTTGGGAACCCTATCGTGTTTAGCTTACGCTGATGTTGCTAATTATTGTAACACGACCATGGTGTATTGTACACAGTTGTGTTTAACTCATATTATCGGCCACATCAGCTCCGTTACATACATGTCAACCACTTTCGTTAGATTGATAACGATGGAACTAAAATTGATTATATTAAGGTCAAAATTAATGAATTTTTATATTACGTACTAAAATTGATTAAATTTGATAATATTGAATTTTTCCCCTAAACGTTATTATCGATAAATATTGAATAGTGTAAAAAAATTGAAACTTATACGCAAACATATCATAAATAACACACTACAATATCACAAGTATTTTGTTAATATACCTTCTTTACTTTTTACTTTAGTGAATGGTCCATTTGTAGTCTCTTTTTCAGTGTAGGCGTTTTCCTTTCCTTTCGTTTCTTGGAGTGGGCCAAATGTAGTGCGCTCGTTTTTGTTGACTTTGACCGTTAATTGTTTATTACAGCTGATGAAATGAAACAATAATACTAACAATAGTATGAAACAAATAATATATGGAAACAAACACAAATAATGATATTTCATCATCTTAGACACTTGTGATCAAAAGAAAGGCGTAGCAAATATGCTTCTAATAAAATCAGCTTACAACCACCACTTATTGAAAAAGGATAGGTTAAACAAACAGGCAATAGTCTATAAAATCATGCTAATTGAAAAAGACATCGTAAGTCTGACCGAGGCGAACCATGTGTAGCAGATAAAATCTGAAAACATGAAATTTGAACCCATAATTTCATAGTCACCGGTCTATCTCCACACGACCTGGTCATCTCTTACGGGGAGTCTATTGTGGATTTGAATATCATTCAGATGACTGAATATAAAAAATATTTTATACAAAAAACTTTTCATTTAAAGAAAATAAAAAATAGAGACAAATTATGTGGGACGAAAGGAGTAGTATTTTTTTTCACAAAATACTCCCACCGTCCATATACAAAATAAATATTTACTTTTGACACGGTGAATAAAAAATAATACTAGTATTTTAATTATAGTGGATACTTAAAAGTAGTAATAATAAAAGGTAAAATAAAAGTATTTGTAAAAAAAAGTGAAGAATTTGTTTACTTTATAATGAGACGTTTCAAAATAGAAATATGTATAATTTCTCGATGGAGAAGTATCCCATTAGAATATTAAAAAAACAAAGCCAAACAAACCCTAAATTCTTCAAGAAATAAAGAATTCACCAAAATGGAGGGGAATGAGTAGTATTTGACTGCTGCATCCTAGAAAATGAAAAGAAATGGTGATGTTTGGAAACCATTAACATATTTAATAATCACCTTAAGAATAAAATAAAATCTGCAATTAATGAGGGGAGCAGCAGAATGGGGCACATGGTGATACTGGCAAACACAATCATTGTAAGTAGTGGACACACTGATTCATCAACAAAGCAAAGCATCCATAAAATAAATATTCCAACTTCCAAGCATCTTCATACTATTATATATCACACCGTATAGATATAGATAATAGATGGCTATGGCTCCTACAATTATCAAACAAACAAACAAACAAACAAAATAATCGAATCCCACATTGTGTTTTTCTGTCTCAATGTAAACAACACTGTGCATAAATAAAATCTGCCATGTTTGTGTCACACTTCTTTCTAGAAAGACAAATAAACCAATAAAAGGAAAAGCTGTGCAAAGAGATAAAGAAAAAAGCAAGAATGGAGGAAACTTATTTATTTATGCATTTATTTTTATGGTATTTAGGTAAGAGCATCATCAGCATCATGATGAAGAACATACAAATGTACAATGAAGATTGAGATCAAAATCTACAGCACTCATCATCACAAGCAAGACTTTGTGAACACATTTTGTGTTCAAGAAAGTCAAGAATGATCGAGTATAGCTTATCAGTGAAGATAAGAACTCTTCATGTATCAGAATTTATGAAAAGGCTGGAAAAGAAATGAACAGTGTGCTTATGTTCTCGAATCTGCTTTTTGTATTTTCATACTAAGATCCTATTATTTTATTTAACCTAATAACGTGTTTATTTCAACTAATTAAAACCCGGGATTGATTAAAATCAATCAAGAATAACTAATTCTACCTACATGAGTGTGATTAATTAGTCATAAGTAATATTTGTACTCAAAGTCTATGTTAGCCTTTAATTAATCAAACATAGTAAACATTATTGTAAGGATTATAATCTCATCCTATAGAGTAAACACATCCTAAGTTTACTCCCCTAAAGAACATCACATCATATCTTTCATTTAAAATATTACATCTGAAACCTAACATTAATTTTTAATTCTAAATTTTACTATTCCTAATGTCACATTGAAACACCGCCAATACCCAAATCGAAAACATTTGCATGAATTTTTTTTTATCATAATCAGAGGAAAATCTCCCATGATTTGCCATAATGACTGCTAGGCATTTAGAGGGAAGTGTTACATAAAAGTCTTTAGCTAATCACCACATAAATAATAGAGTAAAGTAAGTGTGTAAAAGCCATATTGCTTACAGTTTTGAAGCAGCCTCGTTGTCTAGAAACCATACCAATTCGCCTTGTGGAGCCACTAGTTGCACTGGCAGTGCATTGGGATCGGAAGAGCTGCTTAGTGCTGTGTGCACGGCTGCGGATTTACTAGCACCTGCAACGATGAGTGCAACAGCCGCAGAGGAATTGATGACCGGGAGAGTGAAGGAAATTCTTTCCGGAGGAGGCTTAGGTGAATCCTTGATAGACGTAACCAATTTCTTGTTTTCTTGGAGAAGTGGATGTCCGGGGAATAGAGAAGCAATGTGGCCATCAGGGCCCATGCCCAATAGCATAAGATCAAATTTGGGGAATCCATTGGCTGCCGTTTGATCTATTACTTTATGCTCAATCAACCGCTTGAGGCAAGCCTCGTAGTCATCTGCTGCACCCTCTGCTGACACTGCATCATTTATTGAATGGATATTACCAGCAGGAATAGGAACCTGCAACGACAGATGGAGAGGAAATTTCACTCAGTTTGTTTGGATTGTAGCTAAAAGATTATGGACACGGGGATATTTACTTAGGCAATGAAATATGTAAGTTTTATCCAGATGCAATGAGCTAATAGAGACACTCCTTTTGATAATCATATCAGATACTTTTCTCATCGGGAAGTTCTCAGGCCATTCAGAGAAACCAGAAATTCTTGAATCTTCCAATTGACAACTAACAAGTATAAGAACTGAACATCTAGATGTATAAATAAAAGTATATACAATGGCAAACTTAAAATGTGTTGCTCTTATTTTCGGTTCATATTCACCTTAGCAAACTTAACAACTAACAATTATAAGAATTGAACATCTAGAAGAATAGATACGAGCATATACAATGGCAGACATAAAATGTGTTGCTCTTATAGGAAAACATTTTTCATTTCCTATTCACCTTGGCAAACTTAACAACTAACAATTATAAGAACTGAACATCTAGATGAATAGATGCTAGCATATACAATGGAAAACTTAAAATGTGTTGCTCTTATAGGAAGACATTTTTCGGTTCGTATTCACCTTGGCTTAGGCTGTTAGGCATAGTCATTTGCAGTAGTGTACCCACATAACTCAAACAACTCTAGTTCAATTCATACAAATATTACCAAATTGGCAAGCTTTCAATATATAAGCAAAATACATGATCTCATTGTCTTCTGCAAGTCAATGATTCCCAGTGACATGAAATAATTACATACACAAAACTTAATCTCACGCTTCGAATTATGGCAGAATTTAGGCTATTATCCTGGCTTCAAAGAAACTCTATTTGATTGTTCCATAGGATGACATGTTATCAGGATGAGCTCCTATTAGAAAAGAAAAAGCAATACCTTGGATAAAAATTCATTGGAAGCTAGAAGATAATTGCTGTCAGGATGATCCTTAGGCACCACTCTTTCATCCACCCAAAACACATGCCACTTCGACCAATCTACCGATTCAATATATGGCGGTTCAATTAATTTCCTTCAATTACACAGCAAAGTGTCAAAGAAGTATTAAATTGCAAAAGAAACGTAAAGTGCATCTTCACCCGAACCACATGCCAATGTTCATGTAATTCCTCATCAACTTCAGCATCTCCGCTAGCGAAATGGTTAAGAATCCAGTTTAAATACGCAAAAATGAATCCATCACAATTAAACACGGAAAAAAAAAAAAAAATGCAGTAATGATGAGGTTACTCGGTCTGAGTATCGTAACGAAGCCATTCTTAGTAGATCATACAAGCTGAAAGGGCGACAGAAGAATCGAGAATATCAACCTGAGAGACTTCACAAGAGAACCGCCGGATATAACAACCGTGAACGAGTTCCTGCCCGCACAAACTTTAGCAGACAAATCAGCAGTGTATTTCGCAAGCGACACCGCCAGTTCTTCCTCCGACTTGAACACATTAACCTTTCCTCTACCCCTCGGAGCGGTCACAGTCTCAGCCATAGACGAAACTGCTCTTCCACGCCCTAATTTCTCGGAATTCGACTTCAACCTCACTGAGCTAAAATGGTACTCGACGGCAAGAAATTTCGAGTTCGAGGTAATGCGAGGCAGCAGTCGGCGAACAGAGACACTGGATCCGTAGCACTGTTGAGCTGCGAGCGCGTGGCAGGAAGCCATGGAAGTGAGTACTGGAGAACAGTTTGATACAACGGCGTTTAAACGGGACGGCGACGGAATTGAACGGCGTCTTAAAATGAAAGAAGGCCTTGTTTGTATTAATAATAAAATTGACAGTAGTTGGGCTAAATTACAGTTAAAAGAGCTGGGCCTTAGCTAACAAGGCCCAAAGGGTAATATAGTAATTTCACAACGTCGCGAAATCTCAAAACCCTAGAGAGACCATATATAAAAGCCGCTCGGCAATTCTGGGCAGGGGTTACAGACTTACAGAAGGCTAGGCTGCGTTAATCCCTGCTAGGAAGAGAAGGATGCAGATCTTCGTCAAAACCCTAACCGGGAAAACGATAACGCTCGAGGTCGAATCGAGCGACACTATCGACAATGTCAAGGCCAAGATTCAGGATAAGGAAGGTGAGTATTTGGAATTCAATTAAGTTTTATTTGGATAAATACTTAATGGAAAAGAATTACTCACCATAGAATCTGTTTTGTAAATTTGATAATACTCTTTTTGTTGTAGGTATTCCGCCGGATCAGCAGCGTTTGATTTTCGCCGGGAAACAGCTTGAAGATGGGCGAACTCTCGCTGATTATAACATTCAAAAAGGTTTGTTTATTTGCTTTATATCGACAAGGAGTCTTTTTGTCGTTTCGAGATTTGTTTATCTCGCTTATGCTCGATGATTTTGCAGAGTCGACTCTTCACTTGGTTCTGAGGCTTCGTGGTGGAATCATCGAGCCTTCGCTTATGGCATTGGCCAGGAAATACAATCAGGACAAGATGATCTGCCGCAAGTAATTTCTATGACTCATTATAATTAATCGATTTAGTTGATTCCCCTCTTTATTTTGACCCTTTGAATTGATGCGTTCTATAACTATTCAATGTTCTTATAAATATTTCTCGTTATATTATTATATACTCTTAAATTCTAGTTATCCTGAAGATGATTGAGTACTAACTGAATAGTTTAATGTTCTTGTAATTTTGTGGAACACATAAATAGCCATAGAAAATAAATGAGAGTGCTGTGATATTTTCTTAATCCAAAGCTGGTTTAGGTGTGATTCATGATTGATTTTCTGAAGAATTGCAATGTCTTTCATGCAAATTGTTATGTAGGTGCTATGCTCGTCTCCATCCCCGGGCTGTCAACTGCAGGAAAAAGAAGTGTGGACACAGCAACCAGGTTTGTATCTGTGATGTTAGCTACAAATAAGTGAATATAAAAATTTGCATATAGATATTCTAAATAATATTTATTTTGTACTTGTGGTTTGTAGTTGAGGCCAAAGAAGAAGATCAAGTAGACTGCTGGCTGGTTCGAATGCATTCGCCGTTTCTTTCCTATTTCTAGTTTATGCTTGTGGTACAATTGAGTTTTTCCATCACAGAAATTGGACCTATCCCTATTTGGAATGAGTTTTTCATGTAGCTTATAATTGGTGAACACGATCTATTTGGGCTATAGTTATTGTGCTATTTTTGAATATTTCCTTTGATTTCTCAAGTGGAAAATGTGATCTTTGCTTCTTATAATGCCTAAAGTTTTTTCTTGACAAAAAACACCTGGAATGAGGCCATCTACCTTTCTAAAATCATTGTGGGTACATAAGCCTCCGACGGGACATTTTAGTGTAGAAATTATGCGAAGTTTGATTTAAATGCTATGTAAGTAGGACATTTAATTTACCTTGTCTGGAATATGTTTTGAATCATCCTTCGGGATGAGCCGAGAGCTGCAGTTTCTAACTCTGTCACCTCATCTAAACTGAGTTGCCATCCTAGTGCCCCCAAGTTTTCCTCTATTTGTTCGACTGACTTGACTCCCGGAATTGGTATGGTGCCTTTACAGATGCACCAGTTTATGGCGACCTACATGGAGACAATATGTTAACAGGTATTATTGAACCTCATTGTTGTTTTGGTAGAAGAGGGTGATGTTAAATACCTGAGACATTGTTTTTTGCCTTTTTGCTGCAATCTCTTCAAGGGAATTCAGCAGAGGCTTCAGCCCTGGTATAATTTGTCGAAACAGAATCCCCCTACAAAATTATAGTAACATTATCTAGATGTGTCGAACTTTCTGAGTGCATTCAGTAGGTTAGGGTGATGCAACATACCGAGGCCCGGTTGGAAGGTTTGAGGGCGAATATTTTCCGGTAAGCATACCTAGTCCTAGTGGACTATAAGCGATGACTCGAATACCCAACGAGTTGCCTATATTCTTGATCTCCATCTGATCCTTTCCCATGCTTAGCAGTGAAAATTGCACCTATAAGCATCACTTATTATAAGAACACATTGAAGCTATTTCATCCAAATAATTGTTATGTTATTGTTTCAATTTCTCTAACCTGAGCAGAGCACAGGGGCACTCCTCTGGCCTTGAGGTAGTCATGTATTTTTAGTAGCTGCTTTGGTCCATAATTGCTCACTCCAACAGCGCGCACGAGCCCCTGCGTTGGATTGACATTTTCTCCCTGTTAGGTTTGAAAATTTCTACGACTCTGCGACAAGACTAAAAATAGGCAGTGTTGATAACCTTGTCGTACATTGCGACTAAACCATCCCAAAGTGCTCGCTCTTGCAGCGGCGCATAATTTGCTGTCGACCAGTGCAGCTGTCCTATTCCGATCTGGTCGAGTTGAAGCCTATCCAATGAAGCCCTGAAAGATAGAAGACATTAATCAATATAACAAATGTATGAATATAAATTTTGTGAATAGAGTACTATTGATAGAACAAGCTAGCAGATGTTGAGTTAAGAAGGAGCGTACTGGCAAGCATCGACAAACTGAGTAGGCGTCAACCGCCATGGATATGCAGCAAGCTTTGTTGCAATGACGACGTCCTCCCTCAGCTCTTTATTTCCTTGCCATTTACATCAAATAAGTTTTACCGAATCAGCGATTACATCAACAATTTATTTCGATTCTAAGATCGATTCATCTATCTGAAGATACACACGCAGAATCAACTTAAGCCGAATCCTTTCAGCTAATCGGAATTACGAAGAACATCATGTGTTTCTGCTATGCAGTTTAGGTATTGCAAGGCTTTTGTTCATCCAGTGTACATATGCATTTAATCAATTTTATTATTTCCTTGCCAAAATTGCTGTTCATTTTTGGTAAATTCAATGGGAACAAATGGGAGGAGGAGAGCAATCAACCTGGAAATTCACGGATGAACTTGCCGAGAAGCTTCTCGCTCTGTCCGTTCAGCCTTCCAGTGCCATAAGAATCGGCTGTATCGAATAGGTTTATTCCATTCTCGACGGCGATATTGAAGGTCTGCTGAAGCTCGGCGTCCATGGCTTCCTTATATCCCCATAGCAGCTGATTTCCCCACGACCATGTCCCAAACCCCATTGGCGATACACTCAACGGTCCGATCTTAACCTGCGAACTCCATTGGAGTCGAGATTGTTAGTTTTCAACTTCCAGAGATTCAACATCGAACGTGCTCTATAAAGTTAATTCACGCTCATTCATAGGAAATTCTAATGAAAATTTCCAACAGCGAGATCAATTGGAGTCGAGATTATTAGTGTTCAACTGCCAGAGGTTCATCATCGAAGCTTCAATCGAACACAGTTCATAAAAGGTAATTCAAACTCAACCATAGGAAATTAAATTCGAATAAAAATTTCGAACAGCGGACTGTTAAATTGAACTCGATTTATGAAGCTCTAGCAGGAGATCGATTACCTTTTGCCATGGCCAGAAGCGAGGGAATTTGAGACTTCGCAGAAGGGAAGGAGATGAAATCGTGGAGCAGCTAACGTGCGCCGTGGGGACAGCAGAAGACATTAACAGAGCCATTAGTGCTGAAGCAGAGAAAGAGAAAAAAGCCTCTGTGGGTTTTGTAAAATGGATAAGAGCTGAAATTAATCCAACGGTCAGGAACAAAACAGATCAATCTACTGCAACATTCAGGTACAAAATCACTTCCCAAAGTCCATAACATTCTCTTTTTATTGATTTAGAAGATCTGGAAATTGAAGAACTGAAGTATGCATACATAGATACATGAACTGTTAAACATTACAACTGCAGGCTATGAACACCTCTATAAAACATTACATGAAATCTTGATGCTTAGTGGCTATGAACACCTCTATAAAACATGACATGAAATCTTGATCAGTTTAGGTCTAGTTTGTCTAGTTTGATCAGTTTTGAGAATGCAGAGGTGTTGGTTGATTGTATTCTTGATGCTTAGTGGTGATTCAACTCTCCCAGGCATTCGAATTCGAAATGCCAGAAGGGGAATTAGGGAATAGGCTGTAGGAAGAAAGATTACACCATGTTTCTGGTGATCCCAAGTTTGTGATCTCTTCTTCCTCACCCCATCTAAGAAACTCTTCATCTACCTCTACATCTTCGTCTTCTCCATCTATTTTCTTGGTAGGATTGAAATCATTGTAGCTGCATTTGTAATCCATTTCTTCATTTGATCTTGTGTTAAGCTCACCATTTCCTTCACTGAGGTCACTTTTGTCAAGGTTCTTGATGAGCCCACTAAGCTCCTCTAGCTGTAGAACCATATCATCGAAAACATTCAATCCAATCCTATCCAATTTGATTCGATAGAAGAAGACTAATATATACCTGAATCTGGAGGGACTGTTTTTCCTTCTTGAGTTGATCAAATTGGATGTGCAGAGTGTGGTAGTTTTCTCTAAGTATTTGGTATTCTTGCTCGATCTGCCTCGACTTCCATCGGGCCCTTTTGTTCTGAAACCAAATGGCGACTTGCCTCGGCTGGAGGTGGAGGTCTTTGGCTATCTGAAGCTTCTTCCTCGGGTCGAGCTTCGTGTCGAGTTTGAATATGGATTCTAATGATTTTATCTGCTCATCACTGAACCTCCTAGGATTCTTGATTTTCTTCTTCATCTTTGAAGCTCTCTCTTCATACTTCACTACAGGCTTATAATTCTCTTGTGATTCCTCCATGACTGTGACTATGAGGGAAGGAAGATCATCAGGGGGAGGAAGGGGAAGAAGATGCTAGTAGACTTAGATAAATAAATAAAATAAGAAGTGTGTTTTTTGTGTTTTGGAGTATTCTGCTATTTCTCTATGTTTTATAGTCGAGCCCTTTATTATTTTTATTGGAAATAGTATGAGATAATAATAATTTTTTTTTGTTTGAAATAAAAACCAAAAACAAACCCAGGTATGTGCAACAAATGAATTTCCAAATAGAAACAAGTACATTAGGTCTTATTATCAAGAGTTTTTTTTTTGGAATTCACAAGTATTTGTAAATGATATAACAATATAATTTAGTTGTATAATCAAAATAACAAAATACCCACATATATAAGTAAAATTATGGTTGCAGAGTCTATTTGATCGGGTCATGAGTAACCGGTATATGTTTATACATGTCTTAGTATATGTTGTATTATAAGATAACATATAATGAGTTATAATATAATATATGTTGTATTATAAATATATTCAAATATATATATAAATATATGTTGGTCGCCCCTAAAATTATATATATTGTGATGGTCGAGTTGATGCAAGATTGAACTTGTGATCATTAGATCAAAACCTCTTAGCCTTTCTTATCACACAAATTCAGTCTAATGTGATTTGCTAGCAGCCGTGAATTCTCGTATTATTAAATATATAAGATATTCTATAAAAAATATTAAAATTATTATAGTAATTAAAAGGAGGTGGGGTGGGGTGGTGTTAAAGTGTGTGGGGCTCTTGATAGATGGAGGCTCCTTTGGATGCTCTCCATGTGTTTGCTTTCCTATCTTTTAATGCCTTTTTTTAAGTCTTCTCTTCTTCCCTATAGTGTAGTATAGTATAGTAGTATAATATACCTCATTATTGTCCATTTCTGTATCGTCATATTGTCTGCTGCTTCCACGTGTATATTCCAAATATTAGATGAGTAGTATATTCAACTTGAATCTCTCATTTTCAAATTTACCTTCAACTTCTATTAAATAGAGCTTAAGTGCATCTCAATTTCTACATCGATATTTTCTGAAAATTTTATACTATTAATAATAGTAATTTTTATTCAGAAAAAAAATCACATTAAATATTTATTTATTTTTTTAATTATTATTTTTAAAACTTCTAAAACTTTTATTCAGACGAGCCTTACTAAGCAGGATTGAACTCATTTTGTTGTGATTTTGTTTAAATATAGATTTTGATTTAAATAGTAGTTTGTATATGATTATATATATATATATCTGATTTGAAGTTGTAATAATTATCATGCAACAAAGAAGAAGCTAAACTCTAACTACATATGTCACAGGTGTGTTTGGTTAATTTTGATTTGAATTTGAAAGTTGATTTAAATAATATTTTATAAAAGAAAATAGTAATATATTTTGATTGAAAATTGTAAAGAATTAATAGTGTAAAAATCCAATGTAATATAAAACAATAAAAATAAAAATCTGATGTAATATGCAATACTTGGGTCCCATTGTAAGAGACGTTTCGACAATGTAGACGTGGCCTATATTCATAAGTACTTTTCTTGAGAAACTTCTGGCGCACCTCAATTTTTTTTATTTTTATTTTTTAAAAAAATTAGTTATATTCAAAATTAAATTAAAACATTTTTATTTAATTTGATGAGCCAAGAATAAGACTCTGTATATTCTTGCTTTTTGTCAAAAGAGTTGCTACGTTTTTATCAGTAATTTATTGTCATCACTAACTAATACACCGAATAATTGGTTACTAAGAATAATTAATTATTTTTTCATATTAAACACACGTAGAAAATAATGAGTTTGTACATTTTTTAGATTAAATATTATTTAAAATATTACTTTACCATTACATAACTTGCTCAGATAATTTTAATTTATGACCAGCTCAGTTATCTTTTATTTATTTATTTATTTTCTAAATATGTGATTCATACAATTCTTTATGATTTTTTTTTTTTTTTTCATTTCACATATTGCACTAAGATAGTGTTTCTTTTAATGAGATTTGAAATTGTTTTGTTTAAATTTAATATTAAAATAATATATGATAAAATATTTCGACAACAAAAAATATATTGTTTTTACAAAACACAAACTCCAAGTTATAGGAATTTGGGATTTAAAATGTATAAAAACACACTTTAACTTTTCAATTAAAGTGTATACCGTTCCCGCCCCATAATAAATTTATTTTTATTTTTACTATTCTTTACCAAAATATCTTTAACATTATACATACTTTAAGGTGTGTTTGTTTGAGGGATTGAATTTTAAATTTACTGTTGATCTCTTTTTTTTTTCTTCAAAAATATCAAATTAAACATTTATTTTTTATTTTTTATATTATACTGAAAATCAATTTTACATTCAAAACACCACGTCAACATCTATTTATATCACATTATGCAACTATTCAAATTCAAAATTTTTATTATTCAAATCTCAACTCAAAATTCAAACCTCGAACAAACACATTAAGGCCATCTCAAACCCATCAACTCTATTTATTCAGTTTTAACTCTAAATATATAGTTGCTACAGTAATTTTACTCCAATCATAACTCCATTTTTCCCTATTATTCTTCAAATATTCAATTTTTTTATTATTTTAAACAAACTTTTTATTTTTATAATTTAAAATAAACTTTAAAAAATAACAATTAAATTTAAAAATCAAATTTATAATTTTAAAAATTAAAAAAATTAAAAAAATAAATAAATAACACAACGCCAAAAATTGGCGTTTCTCCAGTGCAACACCAAAATTGGCGTTGTACTGTAGCAACGCTATTTTTTGGCGTTGGACAACCCACGCCAAATATGCCAATCCGGCGCCATTAATGACGCTGGGTTGGAGATAGGCATCTCCAACCGACGCCAAATCATGCACAAAAAATTGACGTTGCTACAGAGCAATGCCAATTTGGCGTTGCTCCTATTTATTTATTTTTTTTTATTTTAATTTTTTTTTATTTTAACGTTTAAATTTATTTTTTATTTTTAAGATTTTAAAAAAATATATTTTAAATTATAAAAATAAAAAATTGTTTAAAATAATATGAAAAATTGAATATTTGAATAATAATAGTAAAAAATGGAGTTATGGTTAGAGTAAAATTACTGTTGCAACTGTATATTTAGAGTTAAAATTGGATAAATAAAATTAATGGGTTGGAGATGGCATAAGAATATTTTTGTTTAGTCAGATATTTGTTAAGCATTGGAGTTTTAAAAAATTTAAAATATTAAAAAGTTATATTTGATTTGATATTTTGTAAAAGAAAAAAAATATATATATATTTTTTACCAACTGAAAGTATTTTTTTATTTTTATTTTTGTCTGTTATATTCATATGTATTCATTTTTTATTATAGTAAAAAATAATTGCACATAAATATCAAAATATTATTTAATTATGCATAAATTACAAATATATTATTACGTATACAATTAATTAAAGTATAAATGGACTAAAATATTAAAATTATTTTACATACTTATATTTATTAATATAATATTATTATTTTTTAATTTCTACAAAACTCCAAATAGTCCTTTTGGGTCGAGACGAAAATAATATTTGATATTTTACGTTTGAAAAAATTGATGAATAATATCAAAAGTTTCAAAAACACTTGTATGAATATTATTATATTTATCATAAAACATCACATTAAACTTTTAATTATTTTAAAAAAATTCAAATTTCCAAAGTGTATGTCTAAACTTAGCCTAGGTATTTGATACTTTGATTAGATTTTAAAAAACAATGAAATAGTAAAAGTCTGATATTTTTATTATTATTTTTTTTTTTCATTTTACATAAACTCACTCACTTGTGTTCGTTTGATGGAATTGGATAAAATTCTACTATTGATCCAAAATTTTTCCCCCAAAAACATCATATCAAACACCTATTTTTTATTTTTTATATTATACTAAAAATCAATTTTACATTCAAAATATCACATCATCACCTATTTATATCACATCATACAACTATTCAAATTCAAAATTTTTACTATTCAAATCCCAATTCAAAATCCAAACCCCCAAACAAACACAATTTTTAGTCTACTACAAAATTTCCTTATAATTATACAAATGAGATAAAAATATATATATGTCTATTTATAAAATATTATATTAAATAATTATTTTTTAAACATAGGTGTGTTTGTTTGGGGGATTGAATTTTAAGTTATGATTTGAATAGTAAAAATTTTGAATTTGAATAGTTGTACGATGTGATATAAATAGGTGTTGATGTGATATTTTGAATGTAAAATTGATTTTTAGTATAATATAAAAAATAAAAAATAGGTGTTTGATTTAATATTTTTAGGGAAAAAAATGAGATTAACAGTGAAAATCTAATCCAATCCTCCGAAAAAACACACTTAGTATATCAAGTAATTATTAATTACAATGATAATATTTAATATTTATATATATTTATATTATGACGATGATGATGGTTGAGACAAGAGGGAGGGATGTAGGAAGACGCAAGAAATATTAAAGAAGGTTTGGTGCCTAATAACGACAACGGAGAAAAATGACGTGTTTTTACATTAAAATTAATTCATATAATATATATATATATATATATATATTAGTATATCTATTGGTGTCTCTTTCAGCAATGCTTCTCATTAACTGCACGCAACAACCACCTGTTTTATAAAAGTAATACTACTAACAAAGACCAATATAATATGCCATTCTCAATACATTTTTATTTTTATTTTATTTTATTTTTAAAAAATTGTAATAAGATAATATGGCTTAACCTTCTTCTTTTAACGTTACTATTCAATTCTCATATATATATATATATATATATATTTTACAAAACATTGTGATGAGATAGCATGATGATTGGGAGAAAATAAACCTTAAATTGCATGTAATAAAATACAATAGTCTCATTTTCATAAATACTCGTATAACCATAAAATTATTTTTATTTTTTTATTATTATTATACAAACACCTTTTTTACACAGTAATATACTCACAACGGTAAAAACGCTTTTACTTATATTTTTTATTAACTATAAATATAATATTAATATTTCTTAAATGTCGTGGCCAAATCAAATAAGACTATAGTTTTTCAATAAAGGGAGTATAAATTATAAGGTATTTTGTAAAAATATTCATCGAACTAATAGCAGCACACACAGGCTTCAATTTGAACATAGTTCTTGGGCCTATTTCCAATAATGGGGCTGAGTAAAAGCCCAAATTCATTTGTCAATTACTCCCTGTATGAATAAAATTATACTATTAGAATTGAAAAAAATACAAATATTAGCCAACTTGTCAGGCCCGAGCCCAAAATTTCATTCCAATAGCCCGGCCCATAGTCTCAATCGAATCCACAGAGCGAGGCTCAGTTCTATGTCAATCTCAGCTCAATTCTATGTCGGGTCAGGCGTACACTCCCACCCAACGTACATGGATCTACAAACGCAGATCGGTCCGATCAATGCCAGAGCTTCCGGAGGTGCAGGCGGCGCGCAGGGCGGTGGAAGAACACTGTGTGGGGAAGAAGATCAATAAATGCACTGTAGCTGATGATTCGAAGGTAATCGACGGCGTCTTCCCGAAGGACTTCGAATCAGCGCTCGCCGGGAAAACTATAGTCGCCGCGCATCGGAAGGGGAAGAATATGGGGCTCGAGCTCGATTCACCTCCTTTTCCCACGTTTCAATTCGGTACTTTCCTTAAACCCTAAATTCCTTCCGGTACTGTTTTCTTCATCATCGATTAGTCTTTAATGTTATTGCCACTTTCGTTTTCCAAATGTTGATTGTTATGGTGGCGCCTGGAATTATTCGATAAATTTAAAGCTATCAGTACCAGAGTTTCAGATTTACTCCTTACAGAACTATAGAAGCTGATTATATGCTGCAAAAATAATAGAGTAAAAAACTTGATTGGATTGGAAGCATGCTTTCTGAACTGGTGGTTTGAAACTGAGATATGCTTCTTGTTTGCTTAATTTCTATGTTTTGATGATTCAAAGTGGGGGATGAACATTGGGGCTTTTCTTAGAATTGATCGTTATTTATTTTATGAAGGAATGGCTGGAGCTGTATATACCAAGGGAGTTGTAGTCACTAAATTTTATTTCATTTATATTCGATCTCAAATGATTATTTATCTAACATATTGCAGGTGCTTCCCTCGGAATAGAACCTGATTTCGGATATAATCTTTTTGTGTTGACATGTGGAGATTTAATTTTTGGATTTTCAGAAGTTTTGGGAATTCTTATTCTCTTTCTTATTGTTTGTTTCTATTTCCTATAGTGCTAGTGGGCTGCCTGGTGTTTTAGGAATTCGAACATTTCTCTTGTTGTCGAGTTCAAACGATTTGTTCGGTGTTTCAAGAATTTTTACACTTTTCTTGGCGTCGAGTGGAATTGCCGGTGGTTCCTGTGGGTTTGGTCCTGTAGGAATTTTCCTCTTGATATTGTTGAATGGTATTGCTGGTGGTTCTTGTGGGTTCGGTCCCGTTGGAATTCTTCTTTTGATATTGTCAAATTGTATTGCATGTGGTGATTTCGGTGGTTTCTCTGGATTCGGACCAGTTGGAACTTTTCTTTTGATATTGCCAAGTGATATAGTGTGCGGCGATTCTGGTGGTTTCTCCGGATTTGGACCAGTAGGAACTTTTCTTTTGATATTGTCAAATGATATTGCCTGCGGTGATTCGGGTGGTTTCTCCGGATTTGGACCAGTAGGAACTTTTCTTTTGATATTGTCAAATGATATTGTGTGTGGCGATTCCGGTGGTTTCTCTGGATTTGGACCAGTAGAAACTCGTCTTATAATATTGTCAAATTTATCGAATATATTTTTTTGAAAAATTTTGTCTAAAATTCTACTATTTACCAGAAAAAAATCTCTTAAAAATATTCAATTACACAACTATTTTTTATTTTTCTATATTATAGTATTAAAAATTAATTTTATATTTCAATACAATTATATATGTCTATGTTATAATTGTTTGAAATTGTATTAAAATGTAAAATAATTTTTTAATATAATATAATAAAATATAAACTAGTTATGTAATTGGATGTTTGTAAGAGAAAAAAAAATTGATTAATAATAGAATTTTAGGCAAAATTTTTCCCTTTATAATATTAAAGGAAATAGTGTTTAATTTTTTGGTGAAAACCATATTTATAATTTCATATTATAAAAATACTCGTATTATATTACACATGTATTTTATATATTACTATTTTAATTTTCATTATTTAATAGTAATAATACTATTGCAATAATAAATTAACATAATCTTCACTCAAAATTATGCAAAATAATTCTATAAAAGGATCTTCAATTTCCAATCAAATACAACTTCAATAAGTGATTTCAATTTCTAATATGGCATTCCAATCTTATGCATACATTTTTGTAGTCCTTTATCTTCTATTTGGTCGTATAAATGGTTCTTCTTATGCTTCATCTTCTTTAACTGACGATATTAAAAAGAAAAGAATTTTGGAATCTTCATTTTCTTCGGAATCTTCAAAATTTGAAGTAAATATCAAAAAGAAGAGAATTCCCGAAACTCCGAAATTTGACAACATGGAGAAGCACAATGTTCCTCATGGTCCGAATTCAGTGCAACCGCCGGCAATCGAAACAGGACAAGAGAAACGTATGATGAATTTATGAAAGTCCAGACCAAAAGTTTAAAAACTTATTTGATGAACTTAAGTTTAATATAAAATAAATAAATTTCTACGTTTTATTTGATGTAATAACTATTTCATATGTTTGACATAAATTAAATCATTATTGTGTTTTCTTGTGAATTTTTTAAGAATTTTCATTGTTCATTTAATTTTTTTTCTAAAAATATTAAATCAAATATTAATATTTTTATATTATATTAAAAATTAATTTTATATTTAAAATATTAAATTGATATATATTTATATCATATCAAACAATTCTTTAAAATCAAAATTTTACTATTAAAAAAAACAACATTCAAGATTCAAACCCTTAAACAAACACACATGGGTTTATTTGCATTGAGATATTGTTTTCGCAATAGTCGATTTATGATAATTTTGTGAAATTACGGTGAATTTTGTCCAATTTTGCCTAAAATGTATAGAGAGAGAGCCTATCAAAATTCAAAAGGCAGGTGTTTTGTTCGCATATTATATTTTGAAATTTTGATATTATAAATTTTTTTTTAAATATCACATTAAATATATATATATTTAGAAAATATTATATTAAATACTTTATTCCTCTCGTACGTTCTACTAACACTAAAAATATCCTTACAACTTACAATATATTACACAAATATCATTAGTTTTATATCATACAATACTCTCTTATCAAAACGGATAAATAGATAAAGAAGGTAGGGAGCATATTTTTTTTAGCATTCTCAAAATTACTCTCTTATCAAAACGGAGCTTGTCGGAAAACTAAGGGATTATTTAACTAAGGGATCCACTAAAGATTTAGTGTACAAGTTGTCAATCGGGATGTGATTAATGTACACCTAAATCCACTTCAATGCGTAAAACTTAAGTATAATAAATTAGAATGTATACATTGACATTCCAAAGTACACATTTAGACTTGCAACAAAATTAGATTGAGATTTCGTATCCTAATAAGTCTTTTAAAAAATCGTAGTATGACGCGAAACTAAAGGAATTATATATACGAACATAAAGTTTTGTCACTTTAACAAAAAGCTTTGGACTTGACTTTCAATACATTCACGAATGGATTGAGATACATTTTTGTAAAATATAAGTATAAACGGTTGAGAAACGAAGCTTTTCTGTACATTATATATTCATCTATTTGGTATAAATTGATAAGTTCAATCATAGGAACACTTAAATTTTAACATATTTGGAATTTGTAATGTACCTAGTGAAAATTCAATCGTCCACATATTTTTATTTATGCATTAAGTTGTTACTTCTATTGGAAAGTTTGAGAATGAATAATGAAAGACATCAAAATTGGCTATATAATAAGAGTTTGTTCACTTATTGTTTTTTTTAGTGATATGAGTTTTTATAAATATTATTATAAAAAAAATATATAATCTACACATATATTAAAATAATATATAATGTGTTAATTTACAAGTCTTTTATAAATTTTTATTATTCATTAAATTTTTTATTTTAAAAATATAAACATCTATATTTCACTTTTTATATTATGTTGTATTAAAAATTAATTTTAGATTCAAAATATAATATCAATACTCATTTATATCACATTATATAATTATTCAAATATAAATTTTTTACTATTCAAATCTCGTACCAAAATTCAAACTTCCAAACAAACACACTTATTATTTATTATTCGTTCACAAAATAATTCAATATAAAATATTCTTTTTTTATATTAACAATATAATTTTCTATATTTTAAAAAAAATAATAATAATAAATAGTGACAAATAAGTGAAAAAATGTTGGGTAAAATCAGTCGAAATATCTTCACATCTAAAATGAATTTTTTTATAATTAAAAACAATATTATACTTGATTGAATAAATTATATAATATAATACTGTTAATGCTGCGTGTAACTGTAGACGAGGAGATGATCTAATTGTGGAGAAGCAATTATTGTGGTGCGCATCAATCTATCTATCTGCAGCAAGAGAAAAATCTTGAATTCGATTCGATTCAATTCAATGCCCAATGCATTTCAATGCAATTGCAGCAACGCAAAATGCAATCCACACTCACTCAGAGAAGATCGAACCTGGAATTTTCTGCGTGCGCCATTCACCACATCCATAGATTCGCACAACATCCGGAATTCATGGAGACGATCATCAAATCATCATGATTTGAAACCTCCTCCAAATTCCTCTCCGCAGGGATTCCATTACCTATCTCGCCGTCGGTTGGTTGGGCGAAAGGGGAGGGAGGTAGCTCGCTCGATCATTGAACATTCATTTCCTCCTCTCCTCTCCGATCCCCAACCCTAATTATGCCATTTTCTGCCCTAAATCGAAATTCCGATCCAGACCTCTCCATTTTGGATACCTACAGTGAAAGCGCCTGCGCTAATAGCGGAATCGCCGCCGGAATCGGACAATCCTCGTCTATGAGAAGCCTCCTACAGAGCTCCGCGCATCCAGATCGTTCGGCGTTGCAGCCTCAGCCGCCGGCGTTCGCGCCGGAGTCTTCGATTGATGCGGTGTTAGGTCTCGAGAATTATGTCTCCGGTGAGAGCTTTATCTCGCATTCGATCTCTGTGAGCGAAACGATTTTTGATTTAGTGGTGCTTTTGTTCGTCGCCGGTCTCCTCCTCCTCTCCTGCCTCGCCTTCGCCTTCATCTTCCATTTGCAATTCAGATCGAGAAAGTCGCGTCATCTCCAGAATTTTAATTCTCTCTGGACTGTCAGGTCGCTCCTCGTGGTTTTGGTTGCGCTTTGGGCGGTTAACGAGCTGTTACGGCTGCCATTGGTACGGATCAACCATTTCTACCCGTTTTTGCCGTCGTTAACCGTCGAGCAGCAAGCGAGCGTCTGCAATCTCCATATCGTTCTGTCGCTTGGATTTCTGGAACCGAGTTTCTTCATCATCCTCTTCTTCCTGCTCAATGTCTCGATCATGGAGACCAATCCACGGCGGCGATGGTCGTTGGTATCTTTGTTGATTTTCGGTTCTCCGATAATCGTTCTACAGGTTGTGTTTGTCTATTTTTCTCCATGGGAGACGAAGCTTCCAGAATTTATGCACCGGAGCTTCGTTATCGCCACCGATAATTTCGGCAACGAGACGGTGCTCTGCACCTATCCGTTCTTCAGTTGGGTGATTTTCGCCGCTTTCGCGGTGGTTTACTCGCTCGGTTTTCTGGTGTCGTGTTGGCGAGTGATGGCGTTTGTGATCAACAAGGGGATCGGCCACCGCGTCTACTTGCTGGCGGCGACGGTGATGGTGGCGCTGCCGGTGCAGGTTCTCTGCCTCTGTTCGTCGGAGATGTGGACGCCGGAGGACTTGCAGTTTGGCTGCGTGGTTCTGGTGATGTTTGTCTGTGTGGCGTTGTGTATGGCGGTGGCGGAGGTTTTATTGGTGCTGAAGCCAATCAGAGATGCGCTGGACGCCGGCGACGACTCCGGCGGCGGCGGCTGCGGCGATATGGCGGAGGACGTCAGACCACTTACACTTACTGGGTCGTGACTCACTTTTTACAGCTATATATATATGTATATTAATAAAAAAAACAAAAATTATATTGCAGCAAGCAATTTTGGCTATGGAATTTTCAATTATTTATTTAAATACATCATTTTCGTAGATTTCGTGTGTGTTTATTTGGTCAAGTTTTATTCCTAAAATTTCTTGCTAATGATGACGGCATGGATGGCGTATCTCTCATCCAAATTTATACTACTATTTTTTTAATTATCATTAAATAAAAAAAAATTAATAAAAAATATACTTATTTTAATTTTTTTTAACTATATATATATTTTTTATATAAAACTCATTCTAAGTCAAAAATTTATACGATTTTTTTATCGTCATTAAAAAAAATAAAAATTGTTTTCTTCTTTAATAAAAGATATTTTTTTTACTGTGATTTTTTTTTCTATTTTTATTTTAATTTCTTTATAAAACTCATACAAAGTCAAATGAGATAATTAATTGACACTTAGAATGTTGAATCAACACAACACATAAATATAATAGATACGTAATATATACAAATTGGACAAACAACGCGTATTAACATATGCACATGTGGTATGCGAACACTATGTATTATATATTTTGTTAAAACTCTGCAAATTAAATTATAAGTAATCAGCACAGACAAGAACAGTATTACTTACACAATTTAGATATGCTTCCCTAATCTTCTTTATATATATAATTACTATTTATTAATATATATTTAATATCATATATATAGTTTGAAAAATTTTTTGTTTGAATTTGGTATTAAAATAATATATGATGAGATGTTTTGTAATAGAAAAAAAATAAATTTTTTTTTTAATAAAAAGAACCTAAATAATAAAAACTTGGTGTTTGGAGTTAAAGAAACAAACTCTATTTTTTTTTAATATATATATATATATATCTTCTCAAATTTAAACTTATAAATATTTAGCATATTTAAATAAAGTAAATTAAATCAACTTGACAACCCTCCTCAACCTATTTCAATATTGATGTACTTACGTGTGTATAAATTTATCCTAGTGTTTTTTTTTTTTTTTTTAATATACATGTAACAATCATATATACAAAATTACATAAATTTATATGTCATCCATGATTCGCTTAGTATTTGATTCGGCCATGATTTATTTATCAGTACACACTTTCGATAGCAGTTGTGAATTCTCATATTATCGAAAAAAAATTACATGTCATACGCAATGCATTTTTATAAAATATGTACCTACAAAATTACTTATTAATAAAAATACTAGCAATATATGTATTGCAAATTTCTCGTTTATGCAACATTTCATTCTACGATAATAATGATAAATTAAATCCAAATAAAGTGGGCAAACAACAATACTTCACTTTATTGAGTAATATAATTTAATAAATTTCTTATTCAATTAATTTTCTTTTAATTTTCCAATAAAATACTTAGGGTGTTGTCTCTTATGAAATTGCAAAATAATAATAATAATAATAATAATAATAATAATAATGAAGTTGGGAATAAATTAAATTAGCCTAAAAAAAAGTATTAATTATTCAGGTTGGTAAAATAAAGAATTCAACTTGAAAAAATGCAATATAAAAAAAAAATGCAACATAAAATCAATTATGATTTATCTATGCATAAATAAATATATATACAAAAAATATATAAATTAATAATTTTTAAATATACTAATCAATAAGTATCATAAAACCACACAATCTATATGTTGAACCATGTAATCACAGCTGATGGTGTGATGACAAAGAAGAAAACAAAGACAAATGAAAAGATTAGAAGAAAAAATATAAATATATATATATATATATTTTACTTAATGAATAAAATTTGAAATAGATTTTAATTTATTCGTTCACAAATTCAATTTTTTATATTTGTCTCTCTATAGAAAGAATTGAAAGTAGATAATAAAAATAAATTACTATTTTAATTTTTAAGTAACATAAATCAATTTGAATTTACAAGGAGAGGTTGAAAATAACTGCAGTACAATCGTCCACGCCAGAATCAGAAGCAGTATCCTCAACTAAAATAGAGTTGAAAACGGATTCTCAACAAAGTAAATAACGGAAAATAAAATTTTTACTGGAGTCGAAAATGACAGAAATATTCTCCACAAAATCGGAAATACGGAACTCACCAATGCCGGAAAACACAAAATTTTCACCTGAGGCGGAGGCGAAACAAAAACAATTGGACTCTTTTAGCTTTTCCCTTAATGCAAGATGATATTCTAGTTGCTCGTGAGTAGGCTGCTCAGGTTTTTCATATCCATCATCGCCACCTTCTCCTCAAATTTTCATCAAATTCTATGTTGCTCTTCACAAGTGCGCACTAAAGATTTTTTTCTTCCCAAATTTCGCGTCCGATTTCCTTTATTTTGAGGTTTGTGGACTTGGATTATTTTCAACCACTGCCCATATTTCCCGCACTTGTCGACGGATTATGACTGCAATGCGGGGATATGCAAGAGATGAGTATGAAGAAGAAGAATGTGGTGATGATGGATATGAAGAACCTGAGCAGCCTACTCAAGAGCAACTAGAATATCTAGCAGTAAGGCGTGGAAGCAGATGAAGAAGGAAGTGAGGGTTGTTAAAGAAGAAATCCGAACTTCCAATTTAAAATCAATTTGTGATAGGTGGAGTGATTCTTCACCCTTATAAGCTTAGGGGGATTCCACATATTTTCAATGTGGGGTATATTCAACACCCCTATCAAGATGATAATCTCGAAAATCCATACAGGATCCAAACTCAATACAGATATCAGGACTCTGATATCATACTATGTAAAGTGGAGGCAGATGAAGAAGGAAGTGAGGGTTGTTAAAGAAGGAATTCGGACTTCCAACCTAAAACCAATTGATGATAAGTGGAGTGGTTCTTCGTACGGGGAGATTCTACATATTTTCAATGTGATATATATTCAAAACAAGTACATTGCGCAGAGACAACTATGGTCCATTCTTTGGTCCTTCAAACCCAGTTATTGCTCAGAGAGTGATTCAAGAAAGCAGACTCTTGTTGGAGAATCCTGATTTTTGGCAGTAAGAATCACTAGGGTGTGTTTGTTTGGGGGTTTGGATTTTGAGTTGAGATTTGAATAGTAAAAATTTTGAATTTGAATAGTTATATGATGTGATATAAATAGGTGATGATGTGATGTTTTGAATGTAAAATTGATTTCTATTATAATATAAAAAATGAAAAATGAGTGTTTGATTTGATGTTTTTGGGGGGAAAATTTTGGATGAATAGTAAGATTTTGTTAAAAACCTACAAACGAACACACCCTTGTTTGGGGAGTTTGGATTTTGAGTTGGAATTTGAATAGTAAAAATTTTGAATTTGAATAGTTGTATGATGTGATATAAATAGGTGATGATGTGATGTTTTGAATGTAAAATTGATTTTTAGTATAATATAAAAAATAAAAAATAAGTGTTTGATTTGATGTTTTGGGGGGAAAAAAATTGGACGAACACACCCTAAATCTCATACTACTGATAAGAAGAGCTCTGGGTCAGTTGCCCATGCCCCATCTAAACCTCAATCGAACCCTTGGCCAACAGTTAAGGTTGGGGTGAAGAAGAAAGTCCAAATGCTAAAAGATACAAGGGACTATTTGTTTCTATTTTCAGAGGATGGAGGTTGGCTTGATACCATATGAAAAATATTTACGGAAATTTAACAATTGTATTGTATTGATCATCAAAATAAAGGACGCAACGTAAAACTGAATATAAATCTAAATCTAAAACTGAATATTTTGTTCCTTAATAATCTATTTTTTTTTTTTTTTTATTTTGGTCTGTCCTTTCGGTAACTGTACTATCTATCAAATAGCCTTCTAATTTGTATCATACAATATTAATAAGAATATTTTAGATTTTTTACCTTTATTTTTATTATAAATAGATATATAGATATGGAACAGAGGAATTAATTTATTTACATCTAAAATTTTTTATTTTTTATAAAATTAATTTATATTAATAACAACCAAATAATCTTTTAATTGTATTATACAAAATTATATTTTATACGAAATAATATTCATATAGTATATATTTTATTAAGATAATAATATCGAAAATATTTAAATAAAAATTTTAAAAAAATTTATTATATATATTAATTTTATTTTAAAATATCAAACTATCATTCATATAAAATAATACTCCAATAATATAATATTATAACATATTATTATCAATTTATTACTGTCACTAATCAAAAAATAATATAATTTTATGATTTATGAAATTAGTATTATATAAATATTTCAAATTCAAAATTTTAATAATTAAAAAAAAAAAAAAAATTCAAACAACCAAACAACCCAATACATTCATTTGTTAAAAAAGTATATAGAATGCAATCAATGCATACCATTTCTTTTACTCATTAAATACCAACCATATATAGTGACAACTTTTATGGTATGTTATTTTCAAAAAAGCAAGAAAATTGCTTTATTTACGTAATAAACTTTTATTTATTTGATATTATTTATTTTTTAAAAAAATATAAAATTAAATAAATTTTTTATCTCACAAAATATTAAATTAAAAATACTTATTTTTTTAATTTTTTTTAATTTTTCAAAATTTCAAAAATCTCTCTAAACTCTTTCTAAACCGAGCCAAAAATGGAACACACAAAAATAAAACACGAAATCCCCAAATTACCCTTGGCGGTTTCTTCTATTCTTTCTATTGCTTCCAGAGAATGTCACTTCGCGTCTTCAACGGCCAAATGAATCCACACCGTTGATGATAAAGTCATCAACGGCTCAGATCTATCCGGTAAGAAAGTCCCAGGAGCTTCCAAGAATACTTCTTGTAAAATCTATCCATAAAACAGAAAGAAGATATAAAGGAAAGCTTAGCGTATAAATTAATGGATCCTTACCAAACGGCAGAAACTGAAAACGAGATTTCATTCCTCCTTGCGGTTTCGTTGCAACCAAATTTCTCGAATTTGCTGTATATAAGCGTGGATTGATCGGCGGTTTGGATCTCCCTCTTTCGAATTTGTTGCTGAATCGCAAAGGTTTTTCATATGCGTTGCGATTTTGTTGTAATCTTGTATCATGAGCAATATCCCTAGATCTCTGACGGATTCGGCGTTAACGCTCTTCAAACTCGCCATTTCGGCATCAGATCCTTGGCCGTTCTCCCTCATCCTGTTCTAGCATCGATCGAGTATCTGATTTCTATTTTTTTTTTTCCTTTGATTTTGGCGTGGATTTTGTGAATTGAGGCGGTTACGTCGGGAGATTGGAGCGGTTACGCGAATTTGGTTGTGTTGCCAGTGAGAGATGCCGCACATTCATTTCGCGCCTCACTTCCACCACCACAACCACGGCGGCTGCAGCGGCGAGAGGCGCGAGGCCAGGGGAATACCGAAAGGATGCCTGGCGATAACGGTGGGGCAGGGGTTGGAGCGGCGGCGGTTTGTGATTCCGGTGAGTTATTTGAACCATCCGCTGTTCACGCAGCTGTTGAAGGAGGCGGAGGAGGAGTACGGATTCGATCAGAAAGGTGCGATCAACATTCCTTGCCATTTGGAGGATTTCATCCATGTCAGAGGCTTGATCGACAAGGAAGCGCCGCCGCATCACCACCAGCTCCCCTGCTTCAAGGCTTGATTTCTTTCACCTTTCCTCTGATGAGTTTCTTTTAGTGATTTGAGTTTGATTCTATCAGAAACTGAAAAATTTTCACTCTCCTGCTTGTTCCTTTGGATTTGGCACTTAAACATTGAATAATCATGATTTTTGTGCTATGATTTCATCGACATCTAATGCATAATGTGCTTAATTCCTGTTCTTAGACTTTCGTTTTTCTTTCTCTATCTTTTTCTTGGTGATTTCATTGATTCTATTCTAATTGGTGGAGCTTGGTGTAGTGCTAATGACATAACAACACATTATCACAAAAAATATAGGTAAAATTACTTGTAACTCTAACGTGGTTTCAAAATTCAGCTTAAAATCTGGTACCCATATATTTTAAAAATTGTATGGTACCCTTTATACTTTAACCCTTATACTTTAAAAAACGTTCATGAAACTCCACTCCCTTCTTCGTGTGATAAGAAGATGATTTTATAAAAGTATAAGTGAGAGTTATGCAACAATAAAATGGGGATTTAAAGTATAAGGGAATATAATACAATAGCTATAAATAACACATAATTTATTTTTATTTAGTTTTTAGTTATACTCGGACTAAAATTATATATTTTTTTTTTTCAATATCATGACAACGCATTGTATATAAATTGACCTGCACATATACAGAATATTAATTTGGCCATATTGGGTTGTAAACCAACTCCACCAACTCCATTTTAATCTAACCTAACGATATTTTTCCATACCATACAAGAATCAATTATGGCCTTTTGTTTTTATACCATAATTATTGTCAGACTTAAGTGAGCAAATAAGGGGCACTTATTGCCTTAAAATAAATAACCAAATTAATTATACTTGACATTTTAAAATTCCCAACATGCTCATGTCTTTAATCATTGGTAAAATAAGAATAAGTGAACAAAGTAGGTCCATTGACTTAGCCAATGGGATTTAAAATATGTTCCGTATTCAGATGTATTCAACTTGTGTTCTTCACGGAACAGTACGGTTGTGTTCTAATCTGATTTTTATCACATATTTTTATTTTTTTTAAAAAAAAAATATTAAATTAAATAAATTTTTTTTAATATTATATTGTAAATTTATTTCACATTTAAAATATATATCAATTTCTATTTATATAAAATCAAATAATTATTGAAATTTAATTTTTTACTGTTAAAAAATTCAAATCCACGAATAAACACATCCTATATTTTTATTTATTTATTTTGACATTCAGGTGAGAATTGTGTAGTGTAGATCTATGCGGGTGGTTCCCCACTTAGATTTTTATTCAATGTATCGACCACTACACACAAACACACATATATTACTATTATTTGGGGCTACTCTTGAGTTGTTCTTATATATATATTTGTCTTTATTTGAAAAGGCAAAAGAAAAAAAACATACCCAAAGTTTCAAGAAAAATATTTTGATAACGCACCTGGATCCAGATTTTACAGAATTTGGGATATTCTATCCTGTTATGGGTTCTTGAAGATAATTTGGAATTTTGGAGACCAAATAGGAGAAGTTCTATTCGATCATTGATTCGGCCCTATTTATATAATAATTTTGTATATTTTGATACTTCCTTCCTCCGAAGAAGTTAATTTTTTAATATTAATTATTATATCAATAAAAATATATAAATACAAATGATATTTATAAAATAAATTATTGAAATATAAACATATTTTTAATATCAAAATACAATGACAAAAAAAATAAAAAAAAACTCGATCAGTGTGAAAAAATTTTAATGTTAACTAAATACTGAGATTCATAGATAGTTATATTTTCTTTCAACTCAACTTATATCTTAAGATCACAAGTTATCGGGACTTAATTTTTATGTTTTAGATCAAATATCTCATCCATTACATTATAGCCCTAGATTTTCCCCTTCATATCATCATTACCCTTTGATTTCCATTAATTAATAATCATTCTCCTTGGCCACGCCAAAGCCTTTGAAGTAGGACTTTTATTGCTCTTTGGATGAGAGGATTTTGATGGGCTTAAAATAAATGGAAGAATATCTTAAAAACATATTCAAAGAAATCACCAAGAAAAGAAAGAAAGTAGCTTAAAACAGAACCAAATAAACCACAAAAAAAAAAAAAAAAAAAAAAAAATCAAGAACAAGAATTAATCACATTATACGTACAAAATTCACGAAGATTGGATCTTGAAGTGCCAAATCCAATGGAACAAACAAAGAAGAGTGAAGAATTTTAAGTTTCTGATCGTATCAAATCAAATTGCCAAAAGAAATTCGTCAGAGTAAAGGTGACAGAAATCAAACCTTCAAGAAGGGGATGTTTCACTATTTTTCTACTAAAGTTTGACGTTGTTCAATTCAAAATCTTTTAAAATTTGAAGATATTCAATCCAAATTTTTAAAAGTCATTTAAAATCTGGTTGTATTCAATAATTCATACTTTGACAATAAAATATTCATATTCATTTTATTACATTGTCATTTCACATTAAATTTAAATTTATTAAAGTAATACTTTCTTCCGTCTAAAATAATAGAGACATTTTGGATGGGCACGAGAATGGAAGAATAATAAAAAATAAATTTATGTGAAAAATATAAAAATAATTTATGTAGCGTATTAATTCTTTTAAAAAATCGTTTGAAAAAAAATAATAGGAAGAACAAACTTGTATCTCTTCTTAAGCAAAGAACAAATATAAAAAATAAACACAAACCAACAAACATATATTTTCACAATTTCTACTCAACTATCACTTTATATTAGTTTATTTATTTTCACAGCTAAATGAGTTTGGTCCAAATATCACTCCAAACATACAGCTCGCAGTTCTGTTTAAAAAGCAGATTGGGCCAAAGATAGCCCAAATAATTCTAATAAAATATACTTTGAGCCCAACAAACTTTCTTATTTAAGCCCAATCCACATTTACTTTAGGCCCAAAAAACATCCATATTTAAGCCCAATCCACAATTACTTTAATAATAATAATAATAATAATATAGTTCAAATCGGATATCATTCGCTGACCTCTTTCTTCCATTTCGCTCCGATGCCATTGCCAGTTGAAGCTCACCATTTCCACATGCAAATAGTGCCTTCACTCTCAGCTCTCTACAGATTTTCTCCTCTTCCTCTTCCCACCGGAGCTCTCCGATTCTCGTTCAACAGTCAGTTTGTTAGCGCCATTCGAAATTTCTCTCCCAACCGTCTTGCAGCAGCAGCAGCTGGTTTTTCTGGAAATCGGAGCTCGATTGGTGACCTTCCTCCTGTGGTGCTAGACAGTCTCAGAGTATTGCAATGGGACCAGCTCTGTGATAGCGTCGCTTCCTTCGCTGGGACTTCCCTCGGCAAACAAGCTACAAAGGTTTCTGCCGATAACCGCCGTTGTTGTTATTTTGAATAAAATTGCATGTGTTTTTGATTGAACAAATACCTTACTGTTCATGTTTGTTTGAATGTATCAAGACTAATGTTTTTTTATTATGCTGTATATACGCTCCAAGAATTTTAGTTATGTGAGCATTACTGAAGAGTTAAAAACGTGGGATTTTTCAAGCTTTCATTTCTCTGCAGTGTTCCATAAGGTCATTATTGAGTTTCCGGTTGGTGTGTGTGTGTCGTGATTATGTTAAATGTACTGTTCTCTAATTTTAGTAATTTTATTTATGCTGGAGTGAGAAATGTACTTAGCAGAAAACAAATAAATATATTGCACGATCCAATTGTTTTACCATCAAAGTCAAGTCTTGATAAGCCTACAATATGTAGATATTCGATTGTTCACACAGGCGTTCAATGACATATCTTATACAGTTCATTGAATTATATGAGTTTTATTTCACAGGATGAACTCTGGAATTTGGATAAGACATATGAAGATAGTGTAAGGCTGCTGCAGGAGACAAATGCAGCTGTGGAGATGAACAACTATGGTGCCATGATGGATTTCACTGGCATGGACGTTGCTTTGGTACGGTGAACATTTTACTTCTGTGGGGTGTGGGCTGGTGGCGCTATTTCATTGCCCTTGATAATGAGAATTTGTATTAAATAACAGTTGTATGCAAATGTGTAGAGATTCCATGTCTGGGTTCTGCAGAGTTATAACTATTATATGTTTTTTATTGATAATCAAACCCATCTGTTTGTTCACGATTCTCAACTACTAGAAAACAATTTGTAAATTAGATGCTTGCTTTGTTTAGATGGAAAATGCAAAAAAAAAAAGGTTTCTTTTTTACTATGCTCCAGTGCAAATAATAGATCCATATGCATGGTAAATAAAAGTGATCTTGGTACATGCCTTTTGTTGAAGGTGGAATCTGGCATAAGATGTGCCCGTAGGGGTTTTCCTGTCAGTGGAAATGAAGCAACAGCACTTCTTTCTCTGCTAAAATATTCAGAAGCCTTGCAATTAAATGTCAAATCTGCAATTAAGGAAGATTCCTATTGGTTTAAAAGGTTTATGCCTCTATCCGAAATGGTATGTACTTATTTAGATCACTCTAGTAGCATTTTCTGTTTCATTCATTAGTTTCGTGTGAATGTTCTTAACTTCTTATTAATAAATACTTTACTGCAGGTTATTGAGTTAGTTATAAATCAGCGTCTGGTTAAGCTTATAGAACAACTTGTTGACGAAGATGGTTCTGTAAAAGATTCTGCGGTTGATTCTTAAATCCATGATGCATTTGTGTATTAACTTTTGGTTTTAGTCTGCTTTCATTTTAATTCATATATATATATATATATATATATTTCCTGTTCAGAGTTCGGACTTGAGAAGGGCACGTGATCAAGTGCGATCTACTGAAAGAAAGGTTACATAATGTATATTTATGATAAATATTGTGACCTTTGATTTGATGAAAACGAAATCGGAAGTTGAGTTGGGATGCATGAAACTATCAGTTTGATTGGCACTATAGATTTACATTTGGAAGTTGGAGTTTCTCTTTAAGCATGCCTGATTGCTACCTAATTAAATTTTGATCATTATTCAGTTATACCAGTTGTTGGAAAGCATTAGAAATGAAACAAAAGAAGCACCCTCTCTGGTGAGCTTCAGCTTTCCTTGAATATCTTCCTATGTGTACCTCTTGTGTTATTCAGCTCTAAGTTGTTTTAATATATATTAAGAAGAATGAAGTAAATTCTCAAAATTCTCTTTACAGTTGTTTTATGTTGCTCTCCCTCTCTCCAGGAAATATGTGATATTGATGGCAGATGGTGCCTAAAGACAGTGACTGCTACATACCCAAGTTTTGAGGGACTATTGCTTTCAAGGTGCATCAAGTTCTTTTGAGTATTTTAATCCCTTGTGCGTAAGATGAGAGTGTGGGTACCTATCTTGTCAGTATTCTAGCCATGCATTCCTTTTTCTTTTTGTCGATTATCTCTGTGGTTTTGATGATATCCTCATCCAAATTTCATAGCGTAAGTACAGAATCAAAATAAAAATTTGATGCTTTGAATGTTACACTTTATGAGGTTGGCATTTTACTTCAAATTGCATTATCATTAATGTAATGATATCATGTTGTGATTTATTGTGAATTTGTGAGTGGTCTCAAGGCGTATGCTTACAATTCTTAGGCAATTGTACCTATTGAAATGTAATATAATTATGACTTTAAGTGTTGTATCCCTAAGAGATTACAAAGTAAATTATCTTTCCAGTAATAGTTGGGACTTAGAAATCCTAATTTTTGTTTAAAAGGTGCTGCCATTGTGCCATTTTCTTATGAGAAATCTACAACCAAAATTTAGCAAGAATAGTTCAAATCAATAGGCAGTGTGAATCAATTTCTATGCTGTAACTCTGTAGAAAATAAAACATCAATGTAGTTTGCATGACCTTTAAATTGCTTATGGTCCTGCTCCACAATAATCATGTGGAAGCACATTTTAAGAACCTTTAACCTGTTGACGCTTCCAGTGTTTTTCATCATAATATTCTATAAAACACTTGTTTCAGTTTTGTATAGATTTTAAGTAAGGACTTCACGCACTATCCTATAATTTCAATTGTCTATGTATTTCTCTGTTATTCTGATGCGTAATATTTAGCCTTAGGTGAGCTTTTGGAACTCAAATCCCTCTAGCCTGTTTCATTCCTTCTATAATACTTCTTGTCCTGAGGAAAACAATTCAAATTGATGTAGTGGTTCTGGAATGGGAAACCTTGTAGAACCACTCTCTGCTGTGTCCCTTAATGATGAGCTGCAACAAGCAAGGGCCTCAGTGGCAAAGGCTGAGACCGAGGTGCTCTTAAGGATAACGAAGAAGGTTTTGTTGAGCTATTGCACTTTTTCTGGTAATAAAATATAACAGAAACAGTTTAGATTTTCATTTTTTATGTTCTATTTTTTGTACAGATGCAAGAGGATCTTGGTGATATTGAAGATTTATTTAACATAATGATTCGAATTGACATGGTAACAGATCAAGGGCCATATCTGAGTTCTAAGCTACAACTTTTAATACACTAACCTGTTTACTGTATCTTCTGTGTGGAGATTAGATTTGTTATCACCAGCCTTAATGAAATGATGTATTTTAGCAGGGACAGTAGTGTGCATAAATAATTTCTCTCTATAAATTGACAATACTTGCAACATTATATTCACATTCGGCTTGTGATATGAAGTTATGTATGTATGATAGTTCTGTGGCTGGTTGGCTGGTTGGCTGGATATCCTTTTTATTGCTATCCTTTTCAATATAATGTTACAGTTGTATCCTTTAAGGTTAATTTCACATGTCACATGAATCATTCTCCTTGATGATTGGAAATACTGGATTTGACTATGAAGTTCTCTATTTACACATGCATGATCATTAAGTTTACCTAACATGTTTGCCTTCATTTTTATTTTTATTTTTTGCCACTGTGTTACAGATTAACGCCAGAGCAAAATATAGTCTTTCATTTGGGGGTGCCTATCCTGATTTGTATTTACTTGAAGACAAAAATAGCAATGTTAGCCATCAATCAGCAGAAGAAGACAAAAACCCATTAGGTTCACAATCATCTCAGAAGAAGTGGAGTTTGTATTTGCCTAGGGCTTATCATCCGTTATTGCTTCAACAGCATCGTTACAATGTAAAAATGACCATGAAGGATCTCAGTAATGCAAATGCTGTAAGTCCTTTATTTGTCTTAACAATTTTCAATATCACTATTCGAAAAACCTTCTCAACTGATTATGTTTACATGCTACATGGATCTTGTGCATGGTTCTTTCCTCAACAAGGAGAATTACATTAGGAAACCTACAAATTTTAGCTACATGGTACATTGCTACACATCATGCCATTCAGCTCTTTGCCCTTACGGCTTTGTTAATAATTTAGCTCTTCCAGATTTTTGCTCGGAGTGGAGTTTAGCACTTCCATTATGATGGTTTTTTAGTGGAAACTTTCATGTTCCATGTTCACTTTTGCAATGTTAAGTTTTTCTAAATATATTCTATTTATCCAGGAACTCAGGAGGAAAAAACAGCAAGGTAAATATGCAAAATGGGCAGAACAGATAGATTCAAACATATCATCTTTGCAAATGCAGGTAAAAACATTCAAATTCTGATGTATCATGGTTTTATGAGCTTCCGAGTGCATAAAGGCTAATCATGCCATTATTTCAGGTTGACGTGTTGAAACAAACCCCTCCTGTTCCCTTTGATATATTTATAGCTATGGATACAAGAGTTGTTGTTATAACTGGACCAAATACTGGAGGCAAAACAATTTGCCTGAAGACGGTGGGGTTGGCTGCTATGATGGCGAAATCAGGTTACTCCTTTTAGTTTCCATCTGTGGCTTCTCGAAATATTCGATATTTTAATTAGCTTTACACCATTAGAAAACGCCGTTTTCTCATTACTTATCCATGTTCTCCAATTTTTTTTCTTGGAATGCTTTCTAGAGTGTAAAGACATGAGAAAAGTTTCTTTGATGATATTTTTTTATTATACAATAGTGTAATATATGCTTAAACATGCTTTATTTGTGGGCACTAACATCCTTTTTTAGAACATTTGATTATACGGTCTTTGTTATCTACAAGGGTTACCTTTAAACTTTTTTATTGTTAAGTGTGTAATCTGTCCACAATTTTTGTTGAACACATGTCAGGTCTCTATATATTGGCATCAGAACCAGCAAGGATTCCCTGGTTTGATTTTGTACTTGCCGATATTGGTGATGAACAGTCACTTTCTCAATCTTTATCTACCTTTTCAGGCCATCTGAAACAAATCAGTGTAAGTTGATAACATACTCTTTTTCTTCTTCTTATTTTTTTTTTTTTTAATAACAGAATTCACACTGGAATATTTATCTTCAGTTATAAATAATATGCAAGTGATAAGATGGACTTTGTTACTCATAATCTAATTTGATTAAAACTGGAACAGAACAGTAATTTAGTTTTGTTGTTAGCATTTACAGGGTCTTAATGCAGTTTGAAAATATTCTTGATACTGATGAAACCCTTGTCTTTAAAGACACCCACATGTACATAAATCATACTATTCCTATCCCATGCAGGAGATTAAGAGCCTTTCAACAAAACTCTCTTTGGTGCTTCTGGATGAGGTATGGATTTAGTTATACTCTGTAGTTTAGAAATGTTTTATCAAATCTTTCGAATACATTTTTTTAGGTTACAGTCTACAAAATAATGCACAGATCTACAAGTTTCCAATGGACAGGGAAATTGAATAACAGCATCTAATCAGTAACCATAATCATAAGTTTTAGGTAGGTGCAGGGACGAATCCTCTAGAAGGAGCTGCTCTGGGGATGTCATTGCTGGAATCTTTTGCTGAGTCTGGTTCCTTGTTGACAATAGCTACTACACATCATGGAGAACTCAAATCTCTTAAATATAGGTAGCTTATACAAATAAGATAGTTTAATCATGCATTAGATTTAGACTGACATAAATATTGACTATGACAGCAACTCTACCTTTGAAAATGCTTGCATGGAGTTTGATGAAGTGAACTTAAAGCCCACCTACAAGATCCTTTGGGGAGTCCCAGGTTTGAGTGTTCCATTTTTGTCTTAATTGACTGGTGCGCTGGTCAGGTGTTCTGGCTGAATTTTATATATTGAACCCACTCAATTATTAAATGTTTTTTGTGCTGTGGTAATTCCTTTGTCATCTCACTGTAATATTGTAGTTTCAACCCAGTTTAGCCTGTAAAAGTATCCGTCTTGCAATTACTAATTTCTCTACTATTTCATCATGTTTGGTTGAATCACTGGGATCAGATATGCACCTTCTGTTAAATCCATGAACCGGTATCTTTTCTTCAACATTTTAGGGCGCTCAAATGCAATCAATATTGCTGAGAGACTTGGTCTGCCTGTCGAAATATTGGATGGTGCACGTGAACTATATGGGGCAGCTAGTGCAGAAATCAATGAGGTAACTTCATTTCATCATCTGAATTTGTTAAGATTGGTTGTCCATTGATGAAATTGCATCTGTGAGCATATTTAAGTTCCTTTCCAATGGAGGGTTACTGTATACATTATTTGCCTTGTTTGAAGGAACCAAAGGACCCTTGAAGAACCTGTTTTATTTCCCTTTTTGTATGTATTCTTTTTACAGCTATGCAAGTAGATTGCCCTTTTCCCTGAATTTCCCCTTAAATCTATGAAACTCTAGTTCTTATAATAATTCTATTTACATTTTCTTAAATGAAGAATTCAAAATATTGTAGAACAGACTTTTTATTATACATAATGCCAAGGAATTCTTGAATTTAATATCTCAGTTACATGGATATCCATAATTGTTATTCATATTCTTCAGCATACAATAGATTTTCTCCGATGATGCCAGCTCTCTAGTTTGCCAAGCTCATCCAACTGGTCTGAAAAGTTCCCAATGTTTTGTAGATTATAGTTGATATGGAGAGGTTCAAACAGGATTGCCATAAAAATGTTCATGAAGCCGAGCACTACCTGAGGTAAGAATCTTTATACTTTGACAAATATACTCAAGGTTTGGGTTTGTGGAATTTGGTTAAAAAAACATATTTGGAACTATGGGTTACTATGATCGATCTGTATGATAAACTGCGCTTCCTTGGTGTAGGAGGAAATATTAGTTTATGCATCATTACCCTTTAATAGGTGTACATCTCTTTATCTGATTCACTGAATGTAAGTATAATAATATTTATTGGGTTCAGGCTCTCAAAGGAACTTCATCAAAGTTTGCTTTTAAGGCGAAAGAGGGTCATGGAACAGAGCAGCAAGAAAAGATACAGGATGATTCAAGAAATATCCAATGCAGCAGCTTCAGCACGTTCCATCATTCATAAGAAAGTGCGGGAAGCTCGATTGCTTCCTACTCAACCATCCAATCAAATAAAATCAGATTTGGAGGAGCGTACTTCAGTACACATTCATCATGCCAAGGCTGAAGAACATGAAACCTCAGCAGTTACTGAGGCCACACTTCCCTTGGATCATACAAAGCAATCAAAGCCAGGTAATTGACTTAAAAAATTGCGCATGAAAGTATTCATGAAACCACTACTTTTTCTTCTCTTTCGTATTTATTTTTTCTTATTTTCATGGAGTTATGATTAGATTAAGGTTGTCAACATATGCCCAAACTGCACACATGCTGTTATCAAACAATAATACCTCATAATTGTTTTTGCATTTATTTCATTGTATTTATTCATTTTCTTCTTTGTTTTCACATTCTAGAAAAGAAAACAAAACTTCCAAAGGTCGGTGACATGGTGAATGTTCCTTCACTCCATAAGAGAGCAACAGTTTTGAAATTGGATCTATCCAAAGATGAAATAGTAGTCCAAGCTGGTAACTTGAAGTTGAAGTTGAAATTGGCTGATGTTGCAGCCTGATGGGATAAGAGTTTCCGCCTGCTCAGATGCAAAACAGACTATTATCTCAATGAATTGCAGCTAATATTTCTTTTTCCATTCTGTTCTTGATAATCTATTAACATGTGTTCCATTCCCTCTACTTCGTACTTAATTTATTTAGACCTTGTTTCTGGGCTATTTGCAATAAAAAAAACCTGTTCGATCTCTACATACTATGATACAGAAGATACTCAAGTTCGTTTTCTTGCATTTTTTTCTTCTGCAGATCTTCAAATTGGACATTTGTACAGGAATTGGCTCAATCTCAATCAAAGGGAAACGGTACAACTATGTTGTTTTGAAGTAGCATTTAGTCGGTCATTATTTCTATTGTGTTACCATCACAAAGCCTGTTTCCCTGAAAAGGTACACATCATCAGACAATATGAAATAGCAGGTGATGTATTTGCCATTTCTCATGAAATTTATATATGAATGGATAAGTAGCTTTAGTCTTAGTTATCGATGGGCTCTGATTGAGGGCCTGTTGTGTGGAACCATGTCAGCGCATCTTAAGGTAATATCCGTCGTCTCTAGTGATTTTTATAAGTCCTCTCTGTTCCAGTGCTTGGTTTCTTCATCCAAGCAATAGTAGCAATCTTGTAAGTCTGTTTACTTCTCCTTGCCCATTGATACAATATCTACCCCTTCATGAAAGCTAGGATCACTGGTAATTTTCTGCATAGAAGCTCAAATAAATCAACCCCATAGCTGTACACATCATCATATGTATACATTCTCTGAAATAGGCAACTGTATATGTGGTTTACCCGGTGCTATGTATCATTAAAATCCAATTTTGCTGCTCCAAAGTCTCCTATATTGGGTTCCATTTTGTTGCCTAACAATATGTTTAGCTATAAATAATATGCCTGAAATCTTGTTTCTTAGAAGATCAATCACTTATGGTTTTCTCCAGAGACAGAACATGGCAGGAGCTTTTTCTTAGCTTTAACTAAACCAGGAGTGATGTTCTTTCTTCCCCAGCCCTGATGGAACCTCCTAAGACAGAATTTACGACAGGTTTGTTATGTTACTAATAATCCCTCATGGTATTTTATGAATATATATATATATCTATATATTCATAAACTGGCAGCTCCTCAAGAGAGGTCGATCTTCCTATGCAGTGAGTTAGTTGATGAATATATTAAGTAATTTTAGGGTGTTTTCATTTTTAGTCTGGGTTATATTTTTGTATGTAAATAATGTTTTATGTGATATCTTACTCGAAAATATATATATATATTTTTATGTTATTTTAGAATGTTAAGTTCACATATTTAAAAAACAAGTTGCATGATGATCCATGTGGTGATTCATGCCCTAAAAAATTGGATTGGATCGGATTGTAGGACGCTCCTGTGACAGTGCCCAACGCACATAATAAAGCAACTGGATTTTGATTTTTCCGGCGGTAGTATTAGATGATTAAATATGTAAATAAAAGCCTGTAATAATACAAGTTGAGTTGGCCGAGTTGGTCTAAGGCGCCAGATTAAGGTTCTGGTCCGAAAGGGCGTGGGTTCGAATCCCACACTCAACAATAATTTGTATTTTTTAACCATTTTTTTAAGCCCCTTTCCGTTTCATTTATGCCCATCACCCCCTCCTTTGTTTGTATACATCCACGTATCGGAAACAGATTCTTGAATTGGATGTTATTTCTCTCACAAGATAAAAACATATATATATATATATTACGAGCATTAGAAGTACATCAGATAATCATGGCCACACCAAACCCTACAAAACTTAAACTCAAAGACAGGCACCGGATAACATAAACAGAAGATAACATTGGTCCTGCTAAAGAAAAACAAGTAGAGGCCGAGAAAACATAGAGCATGTACTTTTCAAAGCATCAGCTGTTGTTAAGTATGTATGTGTATATATATATATATATATATAGATTCATAGATATGTGTTCATTTGAGCATCAGTTGCAGAGAAGAAGCTCAGCTCATCCAACAATGTTTCAATGCATTGATGGGCGAGGTCCCCGGGGTCGGACAGGAGTCTTAGATGGGCTAACCCTGAAAGAAAGAACATTTCGAATATTAGCAATGGTAAGAGAGTTGCAGAAGACACTGAATTCAGCGGCAAGAATTGGTATTTAACCACCTTATGGGTAACGAGCCCAACACTATGCCGCTGCAGTTTAGAGCAGCTATTGCACTCTCAGCCTGCACCCGAAGGGGTTGTAAGATTTTAAACCAGGTCGAAAAAAGATTAGCAGAGACCGAATTACAGGATTCGGATAAGGAGAAGTGTAGATAATGTACAAAGGTGAAAATGAAGCAATTGGAAGAGTTTGTGTAGAGTGAGAAGAAATTCATGATGATGGAGATTCTCATGTCATTGATCAGAAATATAAGTGAGAAGATATTTGCCAAAACATGAATATCGAAATAGTAATAAACAGGTGATCCAGATAATTGATTATAAAGTGGCTTATCCAAAATGTAGGGTTCAATTTAATCTCGGATTCCAAATTAATTCGAATTTCAAGCGAAAGATCACACTAGATGCAAGATTATCAAAGCAATTATGAGCTCAAAATCAATAGATGCTGCTCAAGGCCAAGCAAAGCTAAATGGAGTGAGGTTGGAGAATAGTGTTAGCACAAATTTTTGTTGCATAATCTTTTTCTTTCATTGAAACGACTAGGTGTTCGTTCCTATGACATGTTCATACACAAAGGACACTAAGTAAAATTGTTATAACTTTAGATAGCATCAGCAGCAGCATCGAAGATCGGTAAGCCTGTTTTAACCCATAAGAAACCTAGTTCGAGAGGTCACATAAATATGGAACTATATACCACATGTACTAAATGACTTAAAGAAGTTTATATGAGCTTAAAAGGTTTGCAAAACATTAACCAGAAAGCAAGCTGATTCTCGATTTTTTTCCCCTTTTGGGTCCCTCAAAAGGCTTTAAGACAAGAAAGCCTTAAAATGATTATGCATTCAAAGCAAAACAAAAGGCACAACTGCAGATCGGATAAATCTTACCATAACAAATTCCACAAAAGCTATACGAGTTGAATGCTGATAATCGCCAAGCAACCTCAAGCGATGAACCTAATCAACAAAAGCATTTAAAAACATGGTCGAACTTTAACAGATTCAATTATTTGGAGTTATCATATGAGAAGGTATAAACCTCTCCACAGAGAGTCTCGAAGAAGACTTTGACGTCTGCTTGAGTGACCTGCTTCGACAAACATACAAATCATGAGTGCAACAAATCAGCAGAGCATTGTAATGCGTCTAAGATTTACCAGTGTCGATGCTACCTTTTTGTCAATATTTGTACAATAAATAGTTCTTGCACACATCTCCCTTTCATCTTCAGACTAGAGGCACAGAACGATTAGTCGTTCATTCTTGAAACAAGTTGTGTTTTAAAAGAGTTTGAAAATATAGAAACAGCATGTATCAAATTCCTCACCCTTGGCAAGAATGTTGGATTGACAGGGGCAATTGCAGTTTTGGATGGAAGCACCCTAACGGGATAGTACCCGAGCATAGTTCCTGCCAAACTCAAAGCATTCCTTGCCCCTTCTGCATGTCAAGCAAGAAAACACGATGAAAAAAAATGACCCACACAATTTATTCACTAACACATCCAAATTAAATCAATCTGACGCACCCTCATCCGTAAATTCAATGAAGGCGAAACGAAGCACAGAATTGGGGTCACCACAAACACGGCAATCCACAACCTTCATCACAAACAGCATTCAAAAGATTCTTGTTAGTGGTAAATCCTTGCTAATCTAACCCTTCTCATCGAACATTATCACATATTTACCTGCCCACAACCAATGAAAAGTGCTGCAAGTTGCTCCTCAGTAACCTATGTGCCAAGATGCATAATCAAAGCTATGCAAATTTTCGAAAAGAATCAAAGTTAACAATCCTTAAAAAACCTTTATTAGTCTCTCTATACCTGGTGATCGATATCAGAAACATATACTGTTCTCCTTATCACATCTTCCCTTTGTGCCATGCTAGTTCGGCTATTCATCCGCCGGTTTCCATTAGAGTATCCATTTTTCTTCTGCACAACACAAAGCAATAACCATAACTAATGCCTCCCAAAACCTTCTTATTAAACCTAACAATCTTAACAACCATCACATTCAAATTGAACCAAATCATATAAAATAAAATCACATGAAATTCCTATCCTCTGTAATCATATATTTCTCACCAATGGAAACACAAACAATTCCGTCCAGAAATGTGTCACCAAGAAATACAAACCTTTCTGAAAGAGCCCCTATTAGGAAGCCCCCCTGAGTTAGCCTGCTGCTGCATTACAAAACCATTAAGATTATACCCAAAAAGGCCCGCCGCCGCTGCCGCCACGGCAGCGGCAGAGACCTGCGGCGGCGACACCAACAACCTCTGCATTCCAACGGCACCCATAGAAGGAGGAACAAATTCTGCCGCCATTGGATTCAACTTAGAGAGCATTTCCTGCAAATCTCTCATCTCCCTCTTGAAACCCTCCCCTCCACGAACATCCCCATCCTCGTCGGTTTCCGGCGGGATTCCATCTCCGTCAACGGCCTGCTGCTGCTGCTCCAGCTGATGACGCCCGTTCAACAATTTCTGCTGTCCAAGATGGAAATTCTGGTCCGCCGGCTTAGTTGACTTTTGGTCGTTTCCGGCGGCTTTGGCCGAGTGGTGGTGATGGTAATCCGTCGCGACGTCGTTCTGTTGGACATCTCGATTCGATGATGCTGTCGCTGTCGCTCTAACACCGGCATTTTCCACCACCGCCATGATCAGAAACCCTCGCGTGACTCACGTTTTCTCACTCCTTTTTTTTTTGTCTCTCTCTCTTCTACAAAAAAAAAAAAAAAAAAGAAAACACAGAATATGATTCTTCCGTCCGCCAGATCACAGCTCGGAGCTTCCATTCACCGAACTCGCAAAAATCCGAAACAATTATTTCAACAAAAATTAAAAAAAAAAAAAAAAAAACAGAATCAAAAGCTTTTTTACCTGAGTCCTAAATGGCGCCCATTGAGCAAATTCACTGCAAGATCATAACCAAATCCGTCAATAGAGAAATGATCCACAAAGTAAAATCCAAGCAAAAACAGAGCGCAACTTTTTTCTCTTTTGGCGTATTTTATACTCTCAATCGAAACAATCTTTTACCGAGTCTGCAATTAGACAATACATCAACAAAGAAACAGTGACTATACGTATACATACATATATATATATTTACACAAAGCGCATGGGTACTGTAGAGAGAGAGATTTCTAGAGTCAGTCTAGAGAGAGAATAGGGAAAGAGAAATAAATGACCTTCTCTCTCTCCTTTCCCTTCATTGCTCGTGTCATTTTTCAATTTGATTTCCAAGACCAAGGCGATGTAACTCCAGGAAGTCCCAGGACCTGAGCACCAAATAGATCTGAAGCCACACGTACTGTAAAGGGCCCCCCAAGAATGGACGGTGTAGATGGAAAGAATCTTTGGAGTTAACATAAAAATTGATTGATGTGTTTGTTAGGGTCTGCCACACAAAAAATTATGATGGGAGAATCGTTGTGGTTGTGGAACCAGAGAGGGCCCCACCTCTATGCATAATGTTTTTACATCGGAATTTAGAGAAGACAAAACAATTTTTTTAAATACAAACAAACAAAATTGTCCTACTTACTACAAATTCATCCACCTATTTTACATTATGCACTATAATTAAAAAAATAATAGTATTATATTGATAATAGATATAAAAGTATTTTTAAATATTAAGGGACTGTTTGGTTCATGAATATTTTTTTGAGATTGGAATTTCACAATAGGATTTATATGTGATGGGATTTATTATATTTAGGATTTGGAATCCCATATTGATAAAATGTGGTGGGATTTGTATTTCTCACATCTTGTTTGTTTTTCGTATGAGTCGAAGGATTTGAATTTTTTATATTCTAAATGACATAATTGTCCTCCTATGAATTTTATTTATTTTGATAAATTAAACCTCTAATTTATTATTAATATAAATTGAAAAGATATCAATAATTTTATATGAGGACAATATATTCGCGTAAATACCCGACCTATTTATTTGAGTATTAGGCGTGGATCCGAGTCATGTTCGGGGTAATATAATAATAATATATCAACTATACATATGAAAAAATAATTTCGAATAATATAATTATATTAAAAATATTTGTTGAGTTTAACGTATTCATTATTTTATTATTATATTTTTCTAATAAAATATACAAGTTTTAATATACATCAAATCCAGTACATATGTAATTTTAAATTAAAATTTAAGAATTGTAAAAAAAAAAATCGGATCCATCAAGTCTTTCTGGATATAGTCTCGGTCGGATCTAGTATAATCGGATCCAATTTAAGTCTCGGATTTAACTATATATATTTGGGATGAATATCAGTTCCGATTAAACCCGACTCATTGTGGTCCATATAATTTTATAATTCAAATAAAATTTATAATAAATAATAATTTTAAACAATGAATTTATTAATTTATTTTTTAAAAAAAATTGTACCATAAAAAATAATATAAATTTAATTAAATATATAATTCAAATAATAATTAATTTTAAAATTATTTAATTTTTTATATAAATATAATACTATTATTTCTTTTATAAGAGGATATAAATGTAAAAATAAAAATTTCAAAAATAAGATTTAAAAGTAACAGGGTACCAGTTACAAAAAAAAAAAAAAAAAAATCTCTTTATTTGTAGAATTTTGAACTCTTTTTTCAAATTCCATCACTTTAAATTCCACCATTTTTTTAACCAAATATGAATTTCATAGGATCTTAAAATCCAAATCGCATGGAATCCCATTAAATCCTTGAACCAAACAGCTCCTAATAATATTTCAAATTTATATAATTATTGTAAAAAAATAGAGATAATTTTGTAAAAAAAAGTTGAGAATTATTTAAAAAATAAAAATGAAATTATTGTTAATAATAAAATAAGACTGTTATTTTTAAGGGGAGGAAGTATATCATATACTTTAATAATATATTATATAATTGCAAGTTGAACAATATTTTATTTTTTTTGAGCTATGGAGATACCACGTTCCAATTAACTATTCTTTATCAACTCTGTAATGAAATTTTATAATCCACTATTATACTTATATAAATTTTATATTGAAATATTATTTATTTTAAAAAAATTTGTGGCAAATGGCAATCCAATAATTCATATTTTCACGGATTAAGAGAATATTATTAAAAACACCCTAACCCTAACCCTAACCCTAACCGCAGCCCACTGCTCTCTAAACTAAATTAACACTGAAAGTGGGGAACTATTAATGTTTGCTTGGTTAGTACTAAAGGGGCTCGAGTTACATTAATATATACACATATAAATATAATATAATGGTGAGCATCGGTAATCTACATTCATACATAATTTATTTAATTTCATTTAGTCTCTCCATTTAATTTTTGTGATGTAAGAATTCACAATCCTTCAATAAACCTCAAGTTGAAGAAATAAAATTTTGAGTTTATAATACTCACTTCATTTTAATTTAAAGTATTTATTTTTACATTTCGTCTATTATACTTTAAAATATTTGTTTATATCTAAAAAAAATAATAATTATACACGAATATCAAAATACTTTTAATTTTTATTTATATTATAAATATATCATTACACATACAATTATTTTATGCATAAATCAAATAAAAAAAATAAAAAACTCTTGCACATGTTTTACTAACTAATAAAATATTATTATTTTTTAATCTATTATAAACTTCAAAAGACCTATTTGATTTGAGATAGAAGAAATACAATAAATTAAATAGAGGAAGTGTTATAATGTTAATCAGAACAAATTAATATAGTGTTAATTTAACTTAATCAATATATTATATATAAAATAAATAATATTTCTTTCGTCTCACTTATTATGTCCATATTTCTATTTATGTATATCCTACTTATTTTGTCATTTTTTTAAAAAGAAATTATATGCTTTAATCCAATTTTAAATTTATAATTATTTTCAACTAATACATTTTTAATTATTTACATTAATTATACATCTTCTAAATTCATATGTTTACAGTAAAATAGTCACCATACATGTGAGTTTGAAACAAATAGAATATATTTTTTATACAAACGATTATGAGTTCACCTTCACACTACTAGTACCAATTAATTACTCAATTCATTTCACCTAATTTATCTATTCTTTTTACTTTTGTATGTTCTACATAATTTATTATTTTATTTTTTGAAAATATAATTATATATTTTAATTATATTTTTAAATTTGTAATTTATAATTATTTTATTTAATCAAACTAATTAGTTATTTTAATCATAATTAATTATTTTTCATTAAATCATAATTATATTTTTACTAATACATCTAGGGTGTGTTTGTTTGGAAGTTTGAATTTTGAATTAGAATTTGAATAGTAAAAAATTTGATTTTGCTTAATTATATGTTGCGATATAAATAAGTGTTATATAATATTTTAAATATAAAATTAATTTTTAGTATAATATAAAAAATATAAAATTAAAATTCAATTTGATGTTTTTTTTAAAAAAAAAAATTAAATAAATAATAAAAATCTTATAAAATCCTCCGAAAAAACACACCATTATTAATTACTTCATCCGTCCCAAACACTCTGCAATATTTTGTTTTTTATTTATTTCAAACTCAATGCAACATTTTCAAATTTATAAATAATTAAAATATTTATATACATTTATTAATATACATTTTATTTTATTATATCGTATTATTCAAATAAAAAAATAAATAATAATTTCTCTCTCAAATTATATTATTTAATATTCAAATTATTTTAAATTATCGTATTTAATATTTTTTATCTAAATTTTTGTGTCAAACACAAATATTGCAATATATTTGGGATTTGTTTGCAAGATATTTGGGGGAGGGAGTTCTTAATAAGTCATTTATAAGAGTAGTGGTTGTGATTTGAGAACGCTAGGCATAAAGGAAGGAGTGAAGTGGTAGATGCGATGATGCATGTATGCAGCGATGTAGGGGGTAGGGGTAGGGGTAGTAGGTTAGGTGTGTGAATTCGGTGGTACTATTTTCCGCATGGTGGCAGAACCCAGAGACTGCCACGTGTCGGTGGCCAGTACGTGTACCGAATGGACATACAGACCACCCCACCTCTCTGTCTTTATCCACTGCCAATCATACATATACTAGTATTTCCCCTATATATTTTTTTTGTATTTTTTTGGCACATAATTTCAAAAAAATTAACATTAAAATATTTATTTTAATTTTATTAAATTAGTAAATGTACGTAATAATTTAAGAATAAAAAATTATGAATTCACATATTATTATGTTCAAATCAATTTTTATCTAAAAAAAAAATAAAATACACAAACAAATATTCACTGGATAAACTCAAATAAATTAGCAGGTGCGCATTTAACACGTCATTTTAATTAATTGGTATACAATAATAGGAAAAAATTCATTAAAATTTCCAGCTACCTTCAACTGCATATTAGGAAAAAGACAAAGAACATGCTTATATGTATTTTCAACACGATTACATCGTATCATTTTATAACATGGAGCAATATTTTAATAAAAAACAAAATTTGTTTGAACTTTTTTATTAAAGTACAAACGACACATTATACTCTAATTTATATAGGTAGAAAAAAAAATTAAAAAAATCAAATTATTTAAAAAACACACCTATGGCTAGGTATTATTAAAATCAAGAAGCAGCCTCGTGATTGTCAGGTTATTTAACTTATGGTCAATAAAGGAAGTGGTTACCTGTGGAATAAACAAAAGTTTAGGGTGTGTTTTGAAGATTTTTTTGTTTAAGTAATATTTTATAAATGTTTTATTATATTAAAAATTATATATATATTTTGGAATTTGAAGTTCAAACAGTACAAATTTAAAAATAAATCATAAAGGAATAAAACTAACAAAATATCCACTAGTTTATACATTAGGGGCGAATATCACAATATCTTATTTATTTATTATTATTATTATTTTATAATATTGGAACATGCATATGTTATTCTTTTAGTTTATTTTAGATAAATTTTGGATCGAATTTAATATTTTGCAAATTAGATTTGACAAGACAAGTTACATTAGACGAACCATATTTCTAAGTGTGAACCTCAAATTTAGTGTCACCACCCTTAAAGAATATTTGCACTATATTATAAGGAATATTTGCACTATATTAACATAAATCCTGTCATAATATAAATTACATTTATTGTTTTCATTCTACTTTGAAATTTTTTATTTTTTATTATAGTAAAAATAATTATATATTAATATTAAAATATTTTTAAATTTTTACATAAATTATAAATATATTATTATAAATGCAATTAATTTTATGAGATAGTATATAACTTTTTATTATTATTTTTTTGAATTTGAATATATGAATTTTTTATTTAAATGTCGATTCATTGAAATATCTTGTAAAAGAAAATACAATGTATAAATAATGAGAAATACACCTACATTATAATTGATAATTCAATTCAATTTTTAATTGCCTTGCCATTCCATTAGCTACATTGATTAATTGTTGGAGTTAGCGGGACCACGAGTCCTTCATGTAGCCTAATAAGCTATATATACATATTGTGTATATATTTATATATTCATTCCGTCTACAAACTAACGTTCTACTTTTCTATTTGGAATGTCCAACAATTATTGTCGTCTTTCGATTTTTATACACAAAATTTACTCTTTTACTCTTATTTTTTTTACTCTTTCATTTCCTATACTGAAAATTAAAGGTAAATTTGTCATTTTATAACAAAAATCCTAATTACCTAAAAATACGTGTAAATATCAAATAGGACATTAAAAAATAGACGGAGAGAGTATCATTTTGATTTTTTTTTTATCATTTTTTTAAATAGTCAAAATTGTATATTAACTTAATATTCTATATAAAAAAAAATTATATGTATATATATTCTAAGACACTATGCAGCATATAATGAATTAGAGACTTGTAACCTACTATTTTCCCACACTTTTTTGATTTGTTTATTTTGTGAGATTTGTTAGAAATGATTATTCTAAGGGTGTGTTTGTTTGAAGGATTTTGGTGGATTTCCACTATTCATCCAATTTTTTTCCCCCAAAAACATCAAATCAAACACCTATTTTTCATTTTTTATATTATACTAAAAATCAATTTTACATTCAAAACATCACATCAAACCCTATTTAAATCACATCATACAACTATTCAAATTCAAAATTTTTACTATTCAAATCCCAACTCAAAATCCAAACCCCCAAACAAACACACCCTTAAGGTATTTTTCATCATATAATACTCTTGTTTATAATTTTTGTCCGTCTTAAAACAATAGTCTTATTTCCATAATAATCACATCACCGTAAAATTACTTTTATTTTTTTATTATTATTACACAATTGTCATTACTTTTTACACTAATATAGTCACAATGACAACAAAAAAAAAATAAAAATTATTCATACATTTTATCAATTATCAATATAATATCAATATTTCTTAAATTTCGTACCTAACACGACTAAGACTATAGTTCTTGGACGAAGAGAATATAAGAAATTGTGTATCGTAATATAAAAATAATGTGTATGTAATATATTAATTTTTTTTTTACAAAGTAAACAAACCCCTTTGATTAATTTTTTTTATTAAATATTTTTATTTAGTAACAAAATCATATTATTTATTTATTTTATTATAAAAAATAAAAAAAAAGTAACAAAAGACATTCATATTGAAAACCATAATTTATTATAGTATTAAGTTGGAAGGAGTATTAAAGATGTGTGGCAGCATCTAATCTGGGCCGTTGATACGGACCATCCACCGAAGTTTTAATGGTGGCAGGCAGTCTGAAATTTATTGCAACAACGTACCGTACATGCCAAATTGTAAATTACTACTAAAAATTTAATTTGTTACATAACGTTTAAATTAAAATAACAGTATTTATTTTGTATAATTTTAATAACAATATATTATTATTTTTTATAAAATATTATATTGAAATATTGTTCGTATAAAAATATAATTTAATATATCATTTCAAGTTCATTTTAAACCGCAACTAAATAAACTATATTTTATCCTTTTGCCTTTGATCGCAAGGCAAGCCATAGGAATGAAAAGTAGCCACTCATGATTCCTGAAAGGGACTACACCAACAAAAATATTACTACAAAATAAAGCAAAGCATCAAGGACAAGGCGTTTATGAATTATGTATATAAATATATATTGAAGAATATATTATTATTATTGAGTATTCCATCAATTAAATTTGTGTGTAGTTTCAAACACCAGCAAAAAAATTAATGGGCAATGACTTAAAAAAAATAGAATCTTGGGCTTTATTTATATATTATTATTATTATTATTATTTATTATTATTTTTTTAAGTTGAGAAAAAAACCCTCAAATAAATAGATGGACATCTATAAATTTCTCACTCTGTATGCTTTTATATATACTGTTGGGCTTAGCAAAAAATAAGTTTGTAAAGAGTGCTCATTTTGAACAAATAATGTTGGATTTAGGTTAAGAACATAAGTATATATAGGCATTGTCGAAACCAAAAGATCATAAATTCAAACTTTCGATTTTTTTAGGTTTCACCTGTTATACATAGTTCGTCTAAGGTGACTTATTTTGCTGAATTACTTTACAAACTAATAGGTTCTTTCGAAAATTCATTTAAACTAATTACGGTATAATACAAATAATTAGATAATTTTATTAAATTAAAAATATTATTATGAAATTTAAAATGTGACTAATATTTATAATTCACTTTTTTTTTAAGAAAAAAAATATTATGTAGAAGTCGTGGAGGATTAGATCCAGTAACTGGGGGTTTATGGTTGACAGATATTGCACACCATCATTTAGCTATTGCAATTCTGTTCCTGATAGCGGGTCACATGTATAGGACCAACTGGGGCATTGGTCATGGCCTAAAAGACATTTTAGAAGCCCATAAAGGTCCATTTACAGGCCAAGGCCATAAAGGCATTATTCCCAAACTCACCTCCACATTGTGCCGTGAATCGGCTTATATGCTCTATGGTAGAACGAGAATGAATCGAAAAGAAAATATTGAACAATTTATGCAAACAAAGATAGAAATATTTTATATTTAATAAATAAAATTAATATAAATGAATAAAAATTAAAATATCATTAGTAAAAATGATATAAAATATTATTTAAATAAAAAAATTACATCCGCCTACACTGTCACAAAAGACTTTTTGTTTATATAGAGATTTTTTGAAAATTTTGGAATTTTAAAAATTTGAAAAAAAAATAAAATTAGTATTTTATTTGATATTTTATGAAAAAAAATATATTCGATATAATATTTTTTGAAAAATAAATAACGCTAAATAAGTGAAAAGTATGTTGGGTAAAGTATCTTTATAATATAAGAGTTTGGGTCAAATTAATAATTATTGAAAAATATAAAGAGTGTATTTGATTATCTTAAAAGTTGTAGGGCAAAATGAAATTTCAAGCTGTCGTAATTCTTATAAATACCTCCCAAAACCCTACTTAAAAACCCTACCACTATTTAACTCGCTGTTGAACACCATCCGCAGCAGCAAGCGGCAGGAACCCTAGATTTTGATTATTTCCGTGGAAAAGTGAAAATGTCGTCTGGAGAGATCGCTTGCACCTATGCTGCTTTGGTTCTTCATGACGATGGCATCGCAGTCACGGTAATGCATTTTTCATTTCTTGTTCTTGTCAAAACGCACGCACAAATCATAAATGTTTATGCATTTGTAGGGATTTAGATTTGATGTTATAATGCAAGGTGTTCTTAATTCTTCTTATATGTTTAGGCGGAAAAAATAGATACGCTTGTGAAAGCAGCGGGTTTGAATGTTGAATCATACTGGCCGTCTCTCTTTGCCAAGCTATGCGAGAAGAGGAACATCGATGACCTCATAGTGAACGTCGGATCTGGCGGTGGTGCAGCGATTGCGGTATCTGCCACTTCAGGAGGAGATTCTGGTGGTGCCGCCGCCGCTGCCCCCGCCGCCGAGGAGAAGAAGGTATGCAATATTTGTTGTTCGCTTATGTAACGCATTTTCATTACATAGTTTCCCTGACGTTGATACGTAATGAAATCACACTTTATCCTCGATTTTGCTCAACTGTAAAAGCCCTATTAAGCCATTCTTCATTTTACCCAAGAGACGAATTTCGCATCAACCGTTGTGGAACTAAGCAATTTAAAACCAGAAGGCATTTTGCATTATATTTTCAAAATAATCCTTCCATCCATTTTGATAGAATTTTTGGAAACTTTAGATGATAGTAAAAAGTTACTTTCTGTGATGTTCAAAAGAAAGCCTCTGTATAAACAGAGCCATAGTATTTGCACAAGAAAACATGGTGTCAAGTGGAATGCACATTATTAGTTGCCTACTTACAAATTTGCTTTTTAAGTTCATTTTTCCTGTAAAATCTAATCAAACCAATCTCCCTTTATTACTAACTATATGTTGGAAGCAATCAAACATGACTGAAGTTACCACGCGTGTTTTGCTTCTTGTACGTTTACAGGAGGAGCCCAAGGAAGAGAGTGACGACGATATGGGCTTCAGTTTATTTGACTAGTGAGCTACAAATTAGGGATGCCATTTTGAGGTGCAATCGCTTTACCAATGAAGTTTTGTTTCAGTTTCATTGATTGCATTTACAGCAGCAGTAGTTTTCAGTATTTAAAGTAGATGATGATGACATTTTGTTGCAAGTGTCAAGTTTTTTTCTGGTGGTAAATCTTCTGAGTCTTGCAGTAAATTCTATTCATTTGCTGGTGCATATCATGGATAATTAAGTAATAGGCTGAAACTTTCCATTGAATAGTTATAGTGGTGGGATCTGAATTAGCCTTTAGTACATCAGCCGCCATTATTTCTATCCATTTACTCTCTAATCGAGCTAGCTAGCATTTCATAACACCTATGACTTGGTGAATTTTTTGTAATGTTTGGGGAATTATAAAATGAATACTAGGGAGAGGTCATGGTCAATATATGTAAAACAAGCGGATAGTTTCAATTGAAACTATGGATTAAAATCTTATATTTTTGAGTTGTATTGTATGATATGGTAGTATATGGTGTGCAGATAATTGTATGAATATAAATCACTGTGTTATTTGCTATTTGTCATTCATTGCTCGGTCACCGTAGAGGAAGTATTGAAGACCATATCTTTATTACTCTTTAATGGCTTCAATCTTTTTATCTTGAATGAAATTGCAGCTCTTATTGAGATTGCCCGTTTTATACCCATGCCATGAATAAGGGTTAACCATTCCTAAGAAACGTGGTATTTGTTTGACTATTGTTAAAAATTCAAAGTCAAAGTAAGATCCAAATGTATTCTGACCCAAAGAATGACAGAAGAAGAATAAGTCCAATCCTAACCCACCTTCTTTCCGCGTCTATCCATAAGCTAGCTAGCTAGCTAGAAGGTTCTATGAAATGCCTTTTTGTTTTGACATTAGTTGGCTTGTGTTCAATGAATCGGGTATAAACTTGAATTTTAATTCAAGCTAAAATACCATTACTAACAAGTTTAAGTGAAGTGTCTAATTGGTTTGTTTATAGACATACTAATAAATTTTGATTTCAACTTCATTTCTTCATACAAGTTTGAGGGAATCCGAATCCGAATCCTTAGTTTACTGTTGGGATAAGTTAGCGTCTGCAACAACACATACTTATTATCATACTATTTTATTTTTAATTATTATTTTTTTCCTTTTATAAAAAATAATAATATTTCCTATCTGTTCATTCATTTTTTACTAATTAAATAAAAATTTGAAAGCGGTTCCAGTCTTATTGCCGCTGACAGTATTGGAGAAACGTGGAGGAAAACACAACCGAGTTTGCGACCACGCAAGGAAACTTGACCAACCAAACATCCCCCGATAAATTAAAAATAAAAATAAAAATAAGAATTTATCGGCCGCGTAGACGAGGAAATCAGGAAACTTCCCGAATTCAATCACCCCCAGCTTCTCCCCACTATAAATACTCTTTCTCTCCTCCTTCGAACCAATTCAATTCAAATCAAATCAATTCCACCGAAAGAGAAAGAGAAAGAAGAAATTATCCATGTCGACATCGCTTTTCAGTTCATTCGACGCTCTATGCGCAGAGTTTTTGGGGCAGAAGCTCTCTCGCTCTAATTTGAGTCATAAAAGTAACGATGATGGCTGCATCAGCCGTGGCGAGGAAGCTAAGGAGAAGACGTCGACCGATGGTCGGCGCAGGACGAGACCGGTGAGGTTCGCGCCGGAGTTTGATGGAGTTCACTGCTTCGAGACTTTTGTTTCCTATTGATCCATCCGTCTAGGGTTTCTAATTTTTTTCACTCACCAAGAGATAATCTTCATGATGTATTATAATTGATGTATTCTTTTCTCGAGTAATCAAATTCTTTCGCCGATGTTTCTGTTTCAGTATTGTTTCCAATTTAATTTATCCAGCGCAGATAAACATCAATTTTAGGTTTGTATGGATTTCCTATTTATTAAAAAATGGAAAAAAATAAAAATAATAAAATATATGGATGACGGTTGCTTCTCCTAAAATTTGTTTGTTTTAAATTAGAAATTAGATTGAAAATAATTTATTTAATTAATGTGTAATATATATAATTAAAAAATTTTAAAATTTTATATTTTAGTAAACTATAAGGTCTATTATATCAAGTTAATTTTTTTTTTATTTTTATTTTTTGCAATAAGTATTTGATTTGTTTGTTTTTTTTTAAATTTTGATTTTTATAAAAAATATTTTATATTGTTTATTATTATTTTTAAAAATTACAATTTAAAAGTAAGTATTAAAAAAATAGAGCCTTATGTAATAATATAAACATATAAATTTTTATTTATAATTATTATAAATTAATTTTATAAAAAATATATATATTTTAAAATATATTGGAAAAAATATAAAACATGATTAACAATTATTGGAATGCACACATGCTCATCTCATGGTCTGTTTTCCTCTCTTGGAATTTTTTGGTCGATAATTAGTGGGGTTTGACTTGCTGCAGAAGATGCCAAGACTATTGATGATATGAATGATCCTTTTCATGGAGAAACCAATCTCCTCAATGCTACAAACATTACATTTTACACACAACAAGTTTCTCCATATTTTGCAACAATCATATACAAACGATCATGGCCGGTTATACTTTAACAAATCGAGAATAAATTCAAAAAGCAATCTAAAATTTGAAGGCATCAATTTTAGGTGATGGTAGAAGAAAATGCATTTTCTTTTATAACGAATAACTATTTTTTGAGTACACTTTCGATCAAACTTAATAGCTCTTGTTTCTCCATATTCTTCTACAATGTATATTTTTGCTTAACACTAAGATCAAGAAAGAGAAGTTTATTCATAAAGCCACCACATTTTGAGACCCTGATCAACCTGATCCTGTTAAGCGAGACTACCCAAAGTTTACAGTAACTGATCATCACCAACAGTCGACAGCGACATACTGCAATAAAGCATGTACAATTTACCTGCATTAGCATCCAATGTTATAAGTTTTATACATGAATATTGTTTAGCAGAAGCAATGAAACATGGATGTGTAGTAGTCATATACAGATTTCTATGCACCTTTATGCCTGTTCGTGCAGTTAATTTGATGGTTCGAATCAATTTTCATTTCTTAAATGCGGAAACTCCATGCTTTCTAACAAAAAATCCTCTTCAAGGCATATTTCGATACACATGAAGGTCAACAAGAAAATTAAGGTTCGTGCAGTATAAAAAAACACGGGGTTTAGAATTATTACACATCGTTTTCATTCTATATCGGGCACAAATGAAGAGCTTGCGTTCCTACCACAATTTCTAATAATGTTGGTCATTACTAGAAAATAAGAGCTCTCAAGCAAAAGTAGGATAAATTCAATAAATTTGTAAGAAGACTACAAAAGTAGTTCCATTTTGTTTTGGAACTATTGCATAAAATAGCATCACAGTACTACAATAATGCCCGAAAAGAGAAGTGCATCAAAGGGTATCCACACACAAAAAGCATATTGCTTATCGACAGGGATATCGGGCCCTATACTTCCACTACATAGTATTATGACAGGATATTTATATTACTCGATCATTATGGAGACAAGAACTTTTTTACACCATTTAGCAATGTTCTAGGATTCCACTTTGCACCTATTTATGTTGTCTATCCTTATCATTTCCTACTTCTTTTTCCGTATATCTGACTGGTCCTAAGGTTACTCTCTGACTATAATCGTCGGAACTAACCAATAGTAGACAAGAAGGTAATGGTGTGAATGTGCAGCCATTTGAGAATTATTAGTAGAGGTTTTTTAGAAGAAACAGGAGTCCGTATGATTGATCATCTTGTCGCCCACTTTTTCATAATAATAGTCAAAGCACAGTCAGTGATGCAAGATTTACGTATACAATGATGACGAAAAATGTATAAATTATTTCGTCTCATAAAAAATGATCTCTATATAAACGAGTGGTGCTTGAAGAGTGAGATGACAACAAAAGAAAAATGAGGGCAGTTTCACTTCTACCTAACATTAATTTTCTCTCGTTTCTTGCACTTGTTTCTCTATTACTTAGTACACTACTCCTAAACAATGCTGCAAATAGTGTTGTAGCTGCTCAAGATATTGGGACCAAAGTGAGTAGAAATTAGTCTATAATATGATCGACATGCTTCTTTTTTCTATTCCTGAGATTTTCACAAACGATAAACAGAAACAGGTTTATATTGTGTATATGGGAGAAAGGAAGCACAGAGACGTGGAGCTAATTACGGATTCCCATCATGAAATGTTGGCATCAGTTCTTGGAAGGTATTGTGAACATAGATAGACTAGGTTAAAGAAAATAGTTTTTTCATCACGGCATAATGAACTGTCCCTAATTCATGCAGCAAAGAAGCTGCGATCGACTCGATGATATACAGTTACAAACATGGATTTTCTGGTTTTGCTGCCAAGATGACAAAAACTCAAGCTCAAGCTTTTTCTGGTTTTAGATTCATCACTTTTTCTTTTTAATGAATCATGCTGTCTGATATAGTTTCTTCAAACATTATTAAATCCCGGGGTATTATTTAAGGCAAGAAAGTTAATAACTAGAAAGTATGTATTTCTGCAGAGTTACCTGGTGTAGTTGAGGTTATCCCGAATCAATTTTACAAGGTGAGGACTACGAGGAGCTGGGATTTTCTTGGCCTGTCGCCTACATCGTCAGCGCCAAATCTTTTGCACGATGCCGATCAAGGAGAAGGTGCTATAATTGGTGTAATCGACGGTGGTAATTCTCCTCCTCTGTTTCTGTACTTTATGATCAGCTTCTGACCCCATTGATGAATGAAAGCTCTTCGTCTCCAATGAAAACAGGAGTGTGGCCGGAGTCTGAATCTTTCAGCGACAAAGGCATTGGCAAAATCCCGGCTAAATGGAAGGGCCACTGTGAAGCAGGAGCTGCTTTCGATCCTGCCAAACATTGCAACAATAAAATCATCGGGGCTCGTTACTTCATCAAAGGTTTCCTTGCAGCTCTTGACGAACCATTCAATGCTACAGAGAGCGGCGACATCCTCTCGCCTAGGGACTCACAAGGACACGGCTCGCACTGTGCCAGCATTGCGGCTGGATCTTTTGTGAGCAACGTGAGCCTCAATGGCCTGGCTCATGGCACTCTCCATGGGGGCGCCCCCCGAGCCAGGCTAGCCATCTATAAAGCAACTTGGCTTGGTGGTGGTGTTTCTGCAGACATTCTTAAAGCTTTTGATGAGGCCATTCATGATGGAGTCGACGTACTTTCAGTATCCTTGGGATTTGATTATCCACTTTATCCAGAAACCGAAAGGCGTGATCTTATCTACTATGGAGCATTCCATGCTGTATCCAATGGGATCACAGTCGTTTGTTCAGGAGGGAATGAAGGGCCTTCGCGACAAACAGTCGAAGATGTAGCACCGTGGGTAATAACTGTAGCGGCAAGTACCATAGATAGATCATTTCCGACACCTATCACCCTGGGGAACAAAAAGAAATTTGTTGTGAGTACTGTTGGGATTTCAAATTTTCAACCATCGTAAAAACATTGCAGAAAGAATCAGCTTACAGCCGTTGTTCTTTCTGCAGGGACAGTCAATGTACTACGGAAAAGATACAAGCTTTCTTGAACTGGTTCACAAAAAGGGAACTGATGTCTTACCTCAATCGTAAGAGCAGTACATATCATCGAGCTATTAAGGATTTATTCTTTTGTCTTTTCCTTTACTAAGTCACAAAGATATCTCGAATTTGTAGACTTTGTGAAGATTTAACAGAAAACGATACCTGGGTAGCAGGAAAAGTGGTACTTTGCTTCAACAAAGGCGATGAAGTCAATGCAATCCAAGCAGCAAATGTAGTTAACGGAGCTGGTGGCTTGGGGTTCATAGCTGCTATAGACAATGTTGATTTCTATTCAACATACTACACCGATTTTCCTTGCATTTTAGTTAGTTTCGATGTTGGAACTCAAATACTTAATTACATTCGTTCGACAAGGTAACTGGATTACGCTGCTGCTTCTCTTCTTGATCTGACCAAATGATTTAGAATTAGATCATGAAATATTTCGATTTCTTGACTGATGTAAATAAGGGATCCGAAGGTAAAGATAATGTCTACAAAGACTTACACCGGCGACCAAGTTTCCACCTATATTGCATCCTTCTCGTCGCGTGGGCCTAACTCTCTTTCCCCATCAGTTCTGAAGGTATGCACACACCAATTCTGTTATTTAGATACTAAATATTTGAGTGTATGTTTTACTTACAAGTGTCTGTCGATGCAGCCGGATATAGCAGCGCCAGGGGTCGATATATTAGCAGCGTACGTTCCCTCAGAAACAAACAAAAGGGGATACAGATTTGATTCAGGAACATCCATGGCCGCCCCTCACATTGCCGGAATAGTGACTCTGCTCAAATCATTGCATCCACACTGGTCTCCAGCTGCCGTTAGGTCTGCACTCGTCACAACAGGTAAGCATATATGCAACAGTTAATTCATTAGTTGAAATCATCCTTCTCGTGTATATATATATAATTCAAGTCGATGATCATAAAAAATGTGCAGCATGGACACATGACCCTCATACAGGAGAGCCAATTTACGCGAAGGCAGGAATATACAAAATGGCTGATCCATTTGATTATGGCGGGGGGATTGTTAATCCTAGCGCAGCGAGCCATCCAGGCCTGGTGTACGACATGGGAAAACAAGATTATGTCGACTACTTATGTGCAATGGGGTACAATGAAACAGCCATTGATCAACTTACAGGGAAGGGAAAGTCTTGCCGTGGTTCGAATAAGTCTGTCCTGGATCTGAACCTTCCTTCCATTACAGTTCCAAACCTCAGAAACTCAGTTACAGTAACAAGAACAGTCACAAATGTTGGAGATCCCAACTCTATGTATTCGGCTGTCGTCTCTCCTCCTGCAGGTACTTCTGTAAAAGTTAATCCTAGCCATCTGCATTTTAGTTCTAAGGTCAGGGAGATGAGCTTCACTGTCACTATAACTACTTTCCATAAGGTCACTACAGAATACTATTTCGGAAGCCTTACTTGGACTGATAACATTCATACCGTTAAGATCCCTATATCCGTTAAAACTGTGTTCCCACAAGTGTACAACAGATGATACAGAACAGTAGAAAAGCATAATAAGATCTGAATAAGGATATCATTGTTGCCTTGTTTTTCATTCGAATGTTTTCTTGTACTTCAAATTGACGTTTATGATAAGAACATACTAAGTCCTTAACTAGCTCGATCGTTGACAAAATATGTAAACTATTACGCAATGTAAACAAAGAACAAGAATCATAAAAGAGCTAATATGTTATCAAGAACTACATAAAAAGTGTATGTTGAAGAAACAGAGCTTTCTTTCATAATGCCACCACATTTTGAAAGCCTGATCAATATCGATCCATAAATTCCTGTTAGGATGAAACCATCCACAAGTTTACAGTAACTAATCATCACCAACAGTCGACATACTGCAATAAGGGTTACGACTACCGCATTAGTATCTAACGTTGTCAATTTTGTATATGGATGTTTAGCAGAAACAGTGAAATGCCATCAGTTATAACTCTGATCAATATATAAACATCCCTATAGTTGTGAAAATTGTGTTCCCAAAAGTCTATGGTAATTGATATAGTACTGAAGAAAAGCAGAAAAAAATATGAATAAAGATCAAACAGTTGATGCATACCGTTGCTGGCTTGTATTTCCATTTGCACGTCTTCCTGTACACTTGTTCTTCGGATTGACGACTATGAGAAGTACCTACTGTGTTGTTAACAAGCTCAATCCTTGACATGATTAGTAAACTATTACGTAATTTAAACAGAAAACAAGATCCGTAAAACAGCGACGAATGTAGAACGCAGCGCAGAAAGCCATCTGTGTATTTGGGAAATTTCAACTTCCATAGTTACATCATTTGATACAAAATTTGACATAGCTTCAGGCACTCATTGTTAATTCATAGCTGATCTAACTGCATCGGGTTCCAGTTCCTCCATTTTCCCGTCTTCTTTGGGAATAATGAGCCCATAGCCTCCTGCCTTTCTTTTGTACACAATGTTAACATCACCTGCAACATTTCATTACATCAACAGCGCTGTTCAAAGGACAGACATACATTGTAAGAACAACATTCGAATGCCCTACCTGTTTCCTCATTCCGGAAGCCAAAGAAGTCATGGTCCAGATTTTCCAGCTGTTCGATCGCCTCTTTAACAGTCAACGGTGGCATATCAAAGTACTTTGTGCGAACAATCTACACAGAAAATGCAGATTTGGATTTAAACGCCTCATGTATGTAAGAGTTTGCAAAAACAACAATAAGAGAGAACCTCATCAATCACAGTATCTTCCTGCTCATCTCCTTCACTAGGGACCGTCTCTATATCCTTCAAATTTGCAAGTGCATCAGGATCTCTAACTTTGAGCCGGTCGAAACCTTTCATGTGGCGGCCATGGTCCGATTCCTTCTCCTTTATCTTTCTCAGTTTTCTCTGAATGATTGATGAAACCAGGTCTATGCTAGCATAGAGTGACTCTGCATCCTCTTCTGCTCGAACCACTCCATGCCTCTTCGTAAACAACGTCGCCTGTAATTTATGTAGCAACCATTTTAAGATAACAAGTAATCATGTGATGTTCGGATAGTAAGACATCCATCCATCACACCTCACATCTTCGCGATTTTGGACCTCTCCCGAACTCCCCGCCCCGGGCAGACAACCTAACGTCTACTTCCCTCACTAAATGACTATGCTTTGAAACTGCATTGCCCACCTTCTCTTCCACATAGCTCTTCACTGCAGGAGTTAACTGTAGGTTCAAAAAAGCCTCTGAATTTTATCAGTCGTATTTAACATAAATAAGTCGAAGAATCCTACACATTTGTTAAGTAAGTCAAATGCCATAAATATAATACTCAATATAGGATCGAATCAACTTGAGTTTGCCAAAAGTAATTGAAATTGATGTAGTCAGCAGGATCATCCAGTTTTTAGAGTGGCCAAAAGTGATGTAGCCAGGATAATTTACCGAAAGTGATGTAGCCGTGAATTCAACTTGGAAGCAGAGCTCTCAATGCTGTTAGAATCGGAAATAGGGCTCTCAATGTTGTTATAATCGAAAACAGGGCTCTCGACGTCGTTAGAGTTTGAAGTGAACTCTCAGCCGAGTTAGGGTCGGAAGAAGGGCTTGCTCATAACGAAATTAGAATTGAAAATATGACTCACTCACACCAAAATTAAAATCAGAAACAAGACTCGCTCGGAACAAAGTTAGAGTCGAAAACACGACTAGCCCGCAACGAAATTAGAATCGAAAGTAGGAGTTGGAAGGAGCAATGATGACATGGAGGTAGCAGCAGGATCATTGATAGAAGCATCTAAATCAACATGTAACAGGCTTTGTATATTCCCGAAGAAAATTTTGGTATGATACCGTATCATATTCTAAATATGAAACTGAAATTCCTGTTACATTGGCAAAAGAAAAAATGAACAAGTTTTAGATGAATACAAGAATGAAACTAATTGTTTTAGTTAGATAGAATTGTGTCAACGCGAACCCTAGCAGCATTGTGCTCACAAAATTTGAAGACATATTTAGAACTTTCTCAATTGCCAACAACTAATCATAGTGCTTAAAACTCCAATTTGTTAATTGTTTACAGATTCAAGTCCAGCTGATGAACAGCAAGCAAAATCAAGAAATCGAATGGCCTACATACTCTTCATATTCGAAAATTTAAAGGGGAAGAGAAGGGTACCTCCAAATTCCTGCTTTGAATGATCAATTTCACAGAAGAAAGAGGGCCATCCCATGACATTTTCACCCCAGAAGACTTAACAATGCCATTTCTGACAACCACCATTTGATGGGCAGTGAAGAAACTCGAGCCGAGAAAAATTGAGCTGTGCGAAGAGATTGAAACGGGATGAGAAGCATCTGAAAAAGTGAATTTAGGCAATGAAGCAAGCTGTAAAGAAGAGCAATAAGCATGGCGATGGTGATTGAAACTCTTCTGTAGAGCAGGAGCAGCAAATAGAGTAGCCATTTCTTGATCAGCAGCGATGTGTATTCATGAAAATGGCACTGTGGCTATGGTGGAGAGATTTTGATTGAATTCTATCCAGACTCTTCCTCCACGTCAACTGTTTTTCCTTTTTTTTTTTCATTATTTTTCGGGGCCCGTGTTGTGAAGTGGGCCAAGAGACAGCAGCCCAGGCAGAGCTATTGTTCAAGAAAAGGATAAGAACAATGGGAGAAAGACACGATTTTTATTTGCACTACAACTAAAGGAAAAAGTTTTAGGATTTTGGGCAACAATGGCGATGAGGAAATTGTACTAATGAATGAAAGAATGATGGGATAAGGGTGATAGGGATGATTCAGGCAGGACATGGCGACTGGTTGGACTTTGCCCAGACAAAAACAATAAATATCCAAATATCCCATCCTTTCTTTTCCAAGTATACGAGAAGACACCATTGAATTTGAAATACAGTAAAAGATATTTTGTGCAGAGAGAGAAACCAACACAGCACAAATCTGTGGCTCACAAAACATCTTTCCAGTCCTCCACTCTCAGCCACACGATCAAAATAAAATGAATTGAATTGAATTGAATCGATCCTCACATGATTGATCTTGAAAAGCAAGTTTGAATTATAATATACGTATAGGAGAGCATCAAGTCTGTGGGGCTCTTCCATTTCTTTGATCCCACCATTGATTAAACATATTTATGTATGTATATGTGTGTAATGAAGAAGACAGGCATTTGGTATGGACAGCTCAAAATCCACAAACAAAAAGATCTTTCAACTGCTATACACAGCCACGTGTCAAAGGCTTATCCTTGAGCCCCAGAAAATATCTATCTCTGTAGGGCCAATAAATATCTTCCTTACAGTATTTTTTATTCGAACTGGATTGGTGCTCAATATTGTCCACTCGTTTCAAGTCTATGTCAATTGATATAATCAAACAAATAAATCTGCACCACCAAATGCAGCAACGACAACACGATGTTCAGAGGAATAAAAAAAACACCATCTTTTTTATGACTTTTATTTAAAAATATGAACAAGGTATAGCCAAATTTGGACCATTCATGGGACTCTACAAGATATTTTGTCTCAACCCCTACTCAAAATAGTTTGGTCTATTAGCAATTCACACCCCAAAGTAGTTACATTACCAAAGATTTCCACTTTTCTTGTAGCTAAAAATCTCATCTTGGAAACTGACTTTGCTCATAGGAGTCAAGTTTCGGGTGTGGAAGTAAAATTTTGGATTTTTTAGGGGGTGGACTGCAAATATATATCCGCGGAATATTTCAACGATACTACAAAGAGCGGCCATGCATGATTTGTGCAGAAGGAATTTTTGAGCCATCAGATGGGTGAAGGTTGAAGTCAGAAGAGCTCAGGATCGAGACAGAATTCGAACTCGAGAAATGTGGTGGTTGCTATTTGCAGATATTTCTGTTAGGATGGGTTGAAAAGTGTGTTCCAAAAATCATTTCGTATTTTGCAAATTTTGCATCCTCTGTGGAATACAGTACTGCGCTGAAATCTAGCTGTTTTGGTATCGAGAAAAATGGGGGAACTCGTGGTTAACAGTGAAGTGGAAATGGAATTACAAGTAGAAGATAAGAAAAACACGGCAGGAGGCGGCGGAAGCGGAGCTGTGGCGGCGGCCGGCGACTCTTCTGTTGTGAATTGGGAAAGGTTTCTTCCGAAAATGGTGAGAGTGATGCTCGTGGAAGCTGATGATTCTACGAGGCAGATCATTGCTGCCTTGCTCAGAAAATGTAGTTACAGAGGTTAGCTTTTTCATCGGTTCAAGTTGTTCTAGGGATTTGGAATTTTGAGAATTTCATCTCTTGGATCTGTGAGTTCGTGAAAGTTCATGCTGGTACTTGTTGATCAGCTGATCTCCTTAATTATGTTTCGCTGCATCTTCCATGATTAAACTTTTTCAGTGAAATAATTTGTTTTTTATTGCGATGCATAAAAATTCTGAAGAAATGGTCTTAGTCACTGCAATTTCAACTTTTACCTGATTGAACTGCAGTGAATTTCTTATTACATATGTTCTATCTCACGATCTTGTTCCACTTTAACCATTGAAGTTGTATTGTGTGATATTCTGGTTGACATAATTCATAGATTTACAGCATAACAGGCAAAAATAGGATCAGAAGTTTGAGTTTCGCCGGCCATGTTTTAGATGAAATCGACTCATTTTGGTCATTTGTCATACAGTACAAAATGTAAGATGTCAAAATTGTCTAAGAATGTTTTCATATCGTCAAGCCAAAGCAGATTTTGTTTTGGACAAGAAAACATGTGTCCTGTCCTGCTTGAATGATTGACAGCAAATGTTTGTCCTGATTTAGTTTTCTTGTATGCATAGCTATAGATGTTTGAATTCTAACTTTCTTCTTGAGCAGTTGCAGCAGTTCCGGATGGCTTGAAAGCTTGGGAGCTACTGAAAGGAAGGCCTCAAAGCATCGACCTCATTTTGACGGAAGTCGAATTGCCATCAATTTCTGGATATGCACTTCTCACTTTGATCATGGAGCATGAATCCTGCAAAAATATTCCAGTAATAAGTATGTGTTCAATTCTTCCCATATTTATGAACTATTTATTCTGTTGTACTATATATCCAAGACGCCGATTGTTTTAACCACTGTGTAATGGTGTAATGCAGTGATGTCCTCGCACGACTCAGTGAGCACAGTTTACAACTGCATGTTGAGAGGTGCAGCTGACTTTCTTGTGAAGCCTGTCAGGAAAAATGAACTAAGGAATCTGTGGCAGCATGTCTGGAGGAAACAAGCTGTAATTACATTTATCCTTTTCTGCAAACGTAAATACGATGTTTTTGCTTCTTTCCTTTGACAATCTTGGACTTTTTTTGTATTCCTTGATGCAGTCGAGCACCGGGGTTGGCCTGGGGCCTCCAGATGAGAGTGTAGCTCAAGGGAAGGATGAAATGCCAGCTGTTAGTAATCATTCAAGTGGTCGTATGTCATCTGTTGGGAGAAATAACCACTGTCTTGAGAAAGGAAGTGATGCTCAGGTATTCTTCTTAACATTGTTCTTTTTTCTTTTTCTGTGTACGAAATCTGTCGGGATTCAAAATTGATGTAAAATCTGTCCATTTGAACTGCAGAGCTCAAGCACAAGACCAGCTGTGGAGGCAGAAGGAGAAGTCGAATGCGATCAATATATTTCACTGCTCAAAACAGGCAAATGTTTGTTAGAAGGAAACATTAATACTTTTACAAGAGAAGAATGCCGGAAAGAGAGTAGAAAGAGAAGGCACGACGATGAAAATGGAGGTAATGTTCTCACTGGTGTTCTGTGTTTTCCATCTGCACTTTTGCCTCCATGGATTGTAGAATACTTACAATTCTGCCTCTTTGTTATATTTTTTTTAAAAACAGAATCACTGGAAGCTGATCGAACCACAATACAACCAACAAAAACTCCTCGTCATGGTTGGGAATCGGGTGACAGCATTGCTAAATATAATGATGTCCTTGAGAAGTCTTCTACAGTGGCTATTGACTTAATTGGCACTTTCGACAATAACCTCAAAGAAACTGTCGGAAATTCTGCCTTGAATGGGGTTATCAACAAATTTAATGCACTGCCCCCGTTGGATCTGTCGCTGCGACCTCAGTTGAATCACTCTGATGCTTCACCCTTCTCAAGGTGACTTAATCTGCATCATCTTCTTTACTTCGTTTCTTTTGCTGTTGCTATCTCTTCTGGCTCCTGATTTGTTGCATCTAATTATTTCACTAAACTAACTGTTACTCAGGTATGTAAACAAGTCATTGCAGCTCCACAACTCTATGTTGCCTAGCTCGTGTGATGAACATACAACCCACAAAACCAATCCGGAGAAACGATCATCCAGGCACATCCTTGAATTGAATTCTCAGATATGTTGTCCACCGTCAAGCTCTCCAAAACAGATTTCTGTAGCTACAGTCCAGACCCAGCAACAGCACGAGACTTTCCCATACTCCCACTGTCGAGAAGTATCTCACCCGATTCCATTTAGGGGTGTAAGGTTTGATCATATGACCAGTGCCTATGATTCTGTGATGCCTTCCATCTATTCTGTTAAATCAGGCTCTCAAGGTGCATCACACTGCTCAGGACCTCTCTCTCAGCTGAATACATTCCATCCAGCAAACTCTCGGCCCTCAACTTCTCAGCAGTTTCTTAGTCTTGTGGATCTAAAACTCAGTAAATCCATTGATCAGACAGAGGCCAAGCTTGGCGAAAAGTTGGAGGACCAGAGGCATATTCCACCTGAAAATGATCAGAGTGCTAGTAGCAGCTACTGTAACGGTAATATGAGCCATAATCAGAGTACAGGTTCCGGAAGCCATGGAAAACTCGATGCAGTTTCAATTTTCAAGACCGCACCATCGGAATGTGGTAATGAAGAGAGGTTACCTGTTCTCGAAGGATCCTCCCACCGATCCATCCAAAGAGAAGCAGCTCTTACAAAATTCCGCCAGAAGAGGAAAGACAGATGCTTTGAAAAGAAGGTATAATCATGTTCCATTTAAGAAATAATCTGTAAATTTTAGCTTTTGCATGTCATTTGAGCAACAAATTTTGCTCCTGAGGTAGAAATCATATCATCCATAGATTAAAAAATGGCACTATAATTTCAGAAAATATGATCTCCAATACAAAATGTGGTGACCTGTTCCATTTTTCTTCTGACAGGTCAGATATGAAAGCAGAAAAAAGCTAGCCGAGCAGCGTCCACGTGTAAAGGGACAGTTTGTTCGTCAAGTGCTTCCCCATCCACAACCTGCAGGGAACACATCAACAGGTTAGCTACTCCAAATGCATCTAACACGAAATGTTTTTGGCAGAAGTAGACTGAACTGATAGCTTTTGGCTTGCCTGTATGATTTAGTTTTACATCTCTGTTAGAGATCAAAGTTAGTCTTGTCTAGGGGTTTCCTGCGCGCTTGAATTATCTCGACATTGTAGCTGTTATATGTTGGTTTTTTATTAGGCGTTGCATACAGTTAGGAGCTGTTTCTTACCACCAATATATGTTTATGTAGTTTGTAACTCACATCCATAGGTTTATGTAAATCAAATAAATATATTTTCATTTCATTTCATTTGTAGAGCTTCTTAACCTTAGTTCCCACAAATACTTTTGCTTTTCATTCTTGATGGAACACTGTAAAAGAGAACATAGTAACTAACCTAGCTGCATAGAGATCCACAAGATTTGAGTAATTGGAACAGTTAAAATTCCAGAAAAGTGATCATAATGGTAAATTTTAAGCTTCCAATTCAATCAATGGAAGCCACTAAACAGTGGAATTACCACAACCCCACTAATTCATTTGTATTTATATTACATTCATTTATGGAAGAAAAAGATACGACCAAAAGAAATCTCATAAATCATGGTAAAAAGATGTTTGTACAATAAAGAAAGGCAAAGATCTTTTACTCATGCAAGTAATGTAAAGAAGGGACCCTTGGGATGGGTCCAGAACCAAAAGTGTGAATGGCCAAAAATTCCAAAAAGGTTTAGTGGGCTAGACTAATTTTAACATGATTGAAGAAGCAAAAGCAAAGGGTCGATATGTAAAAGAAATATGAGTATGCACGCAAAGTTTTCTTCAACAAGACACTCTACACAATGGCCCCTTGCCACTCTCAATCAAACCTTGCCTTTCCTAAGGCCAAAAATGTATGATGAAAATTGTTCTGAACTTTTGAATTTCTTTCATCCTCCTTTTTTAGGAGCAAATAATGAAGCAAGAGTAGGACCAACACAAGGACAGAGTCAATAATATGGTTATACAATATGTACATACACAAACTCCCAAATGAAAGAAATTAAAAAAACCACCTTCTGCTACATGAGACCACAGCTAATCTTTACCTTAACTCAAAAGAAAACGGTTTGTTGAATATGGGACATATATGAACCTCAGTTTTAGGGGCTATGAAAAAGTCTACTTCCAAGATTCTCCATTTCTCTCACTTCCTTCTCACAGCTCTGATTGTTTTAGCACTACCATACTTTTGTCATTTTCTAAATAATCATTTCACTTAATGAAAGCAAGAAGATTTGTTAGAGAAACCCTCCTTTTACAGTTGCATACTTTCTCACTTAACTATATAATATTTTCAAAGGAAAAAGCTATGGCTTGGCTGGCTGGCTGTTCCTCTCTTAGAAAAAGTATTAATTGACTTTCTATGCCCCAATAATTCGAAACGTAATCGATCCCATTTGAATCTTGCAGAAGAATACCTATCATTGTCAACAGAAAATTTGAAGTATATGCATGAATGATCCTTAATTCAAGAGATTTATTGGTATTGGTATTATTAATGACCCTCAAGACAGAGTATGTCCCACTAAGTGCTGCAGGTAATATTTAAAAGTGCTTGCTTTAATCTCTCAAAATAATAAAAGAAGTTTTCACTTATTGCAAACAAAATAACACTTGTAAACTAATGGAGAACACTCACAAGTACAAAGTTTGTCCACACCTGTGTCTTAAATGTGAAAGTGGTAATTTATCAGTGTAGGATATACTTGTGGTGAATCCATAAGTTAGTGGATTAAACAAATTTTATAGCTACATCAAAATAATTTGAACTTCCAACCAAAATCAGCTATAAAAACCCATCATCTCTGCTTCTTTCTCCATTTCCTTGCTGTGGAAAACTTCTTCCTCACTCTCTCTCTACCTATCTCTCTCTACAAATGTCTCCCATAAATGAAAATTCTCCCAAGCACTGTGCCAGCAGGGAAGAATTCAACTTCCCCAAGTTCAACAAGAAGCTCCTATGTTCTTTATCCACAGTTTTCCTCTCACTACTATCTTTCATATTTCTTGTTTGGCTCATCCTTCATCCTACAAAGCCTGAGTTTTCCCTTAAAGAAGCTGACATTAATCAGCTAAACCTCTTGGGTCCATCGATGCTGAATTCCTCCATTCAGCTGACTCTCCTATCCACTAATCCAAACAGAAGAGTTGGAATATACTATGATGAGTTCTTACTATATGCATCTTACAAAGGCCAAACCATAACTCCTGAAACATCCATCTCTCCATTCTATCAAGAGCACGAAGAAACAAACCTGCTTAGTGCATCATTGGTTGGAGATCAGCAGCCTGTGCCACCATCTTTTGCTTACGATGTTCGGCTAGATCAGGGCACGGGTACATTGGCCATAAGTTTTAAGGTGATGGGAAGGCTCAGGTGGAAAGTGGGAACTTGGGTTTCAGGGAAGTATAGGTTCACTGTAAATTGTATAGCTATTATGCCATTTGGAACTATACCTGCTCCTCCCTTAAGTTCCAACCAAGGGTCACAGTGTTCCACCACAATTTGAAGCTAATTTAGAATATATATATATATATATATATATACATCTTGAAGGTGATAGTACATATAGATAAGAAACTTCTCCACATCTTACATCAAGACTTGGTTTTTTCTGTTATGGAGTGATGCCTATTACAGTATTTTTTTATTTTTTTTCTAGCATTGGGGTGTGGATGACATACAAAACATTTTGGAGGATGGATATACACAGGTGAAAAAGGAATAGATAAAAGGAAGGAAATGTATCTACTGATATCAAATGGTTCTTGACTGAGAAGATTAATATAATTTCTTTAATACCCTTCCATGTATTATTATTTACTCATGTGCAAAAGATTTATATGTATTAAACCAAAAAAATATCTATTTCGGGTGTGTTTGTTGGAAGGTTTAGATTTTGAGTTGGAATTTGACCAGTGTATGATGTGATATAAATAGATGTCGAAATAATATTTTGAATATAAAATTATTTTTTTAATATAATATAAAAAAAAATAGGTGTTTTGATTTAATATTAACTCAAAAAAATAAAAAAAATTGGGAGAAAATCCTCGGAAGAAACACACCCTTCGTGTAAAAAGCACATTGGGGTCCTTCTCGTTCATTTTCACGCATAAGCAATAATATAAGAAATAAAATGGGCCCACGGAAGAGATAGCTACTCCTTGGCACTAATTTGAAGATAAAGATGGGGAAAAAGCTAATTAACTTTTTAGAGTGTAATAAAGATCCAAATACATTCTACCTAAATTTCCCTCCCAAACTAGATACAATATGTCGCCCGTATATGCCAATTGCTCCATAATTGCATTCCACCTATAACGGGATCTTGTCACAAAACGAGGGTCTAAGTAAATACCAAATGGGCCAATAAGCCCAATAATTTTATAAAGCGATGCATGCAAGCCACAAGGCCCAAACAGATTATCCAAAAAGGACATCAGTAGGCCCAAGTTTGTAAAAATGGGCTGTCCAAAAATAAAGCTGGCCCACAATTTGATACCTAAATGGGCCTATGTTACTGGACCCGAATTAAGAATAATACCAGGCCGTCATTGTCAGCAAAATGGCCCGAAGCACACAATAATAAATCCAAACAATTGGCTAAAACCGTGGAGCTAATAGAGCACTTAAATTAGAAAATCAATCTAGAAAAAATTACATAGTCCAATAAAGTAATTGAGAGTACAAATATTGAAGACGATCAAGCTCTGTAACACATCTTTTCTGTTCTTTCCTTATTTTCTGACGTTTCATCATCTATACAATTATCGTATTGTCAGATCTGATGATGAATAAGAACATACTAAATCAAGATTCAGGCAACAAATCATTACAATGAGTGAAAATCATGAACAAATGAGACAACCAGGCAAACTAACCTATAAAAAACCCTTTAACATTAGCAATTCATTTATATACAGAGATGATCACCCACTCAAAACAAGTTGAGCATCCATTTTTCAGAAATGAAGCCTTGTAATCATGCAGCAGATTCTACATTATATCGTAAATTTTAAGGAAATCACTTATGACTCAACATACATTACCAAACCACAAAGGTATAAAGGTATCGAGGATTTTGAGAGAACGAAGGAAACACAAATAAGCCATCAAAAAGAACAGAGAAAATATTAAATAACCAAGGCCAACATGGTATATGTTGATAAGACAACCGCTTAGCAGCAGGTTCGTAAGAATCCATCATCTAAACATAGCTCATGTATTCATTAACCAAATAGGAAATAACTAAATGCAAGTTCAAAACTTTAAAACATCACATGAAGTCTTTTTAAAAAAGTAAAACCACTCTAATCAAACAAGCTGAAGCCCATGTCGTCGTCACTCTCCTCCTTCTCCTCCTGCAAATAAGTAGCACATTGTTAACAAATGCAAACCAGGCATTCAAACCAATGAACTGCAACATCTTACAAGGACTCATCCTTAAACACAAATACACTGATGGATGATAATTAAGATACAGGGCTCTGAAGTTATAAACTCCATACTCAACTTCATTGTGTTGTTGGAATCATTTTATTTAAAAAGTCATAGTAGAAAACAGCAACTTAGCTATTTTTGCACAGATCAGCAAATTGCTTAGACTAAAAAGAGTTTTAACGTTTAGAAACAATTTATCATCATTTCTTTTAATCATTCATCTGTGTTCAAGCTCCTCGATCCAAATAAAGGGTACACGCGTAGATACACTGATGTACATAAACTGGAATTAACAGCTCAAAAACGAAAGGGAGTAATTTAACAATTAAAAACTACTTTGGATCCGAGTAGGAATTAGAACAATGGTTGTATCAGAGCATATTCTGGATTATTTAACCATTAATCATTTCCTTTTGAGAAACCTAAGTCAAATTAAAAATAATAAATTTATTCGTGGAAAGGAAAAATAAATGTTTATACCTTTTTCTCCTCGGCAGCAGGGGCAGCCGCAGCGGCTGCACCACCAGCATCGCCTCCGGAAGGTGCTGCAACCGCGACTGCGGCACCACCACCACCACCAGACCCGACGTTCGTGATAAGATCCTCAATGTTCCGCTTCTCACAAAGCTTAGCAAAGAGACCCGGCCAGTAAGATTCCACGGTCACGTTAGCGGCATCCACCAGTTTCGCGATTTTCTCCGCCTAAGCAAAAATAAGAATATCAATTAACCGAAAGAAATTCCAATCAATATGCGTTGAATCTATACACATATATATACGAGCAGAAAAGAATTATCACCGTGACAGGGATGCCATCGTCGTGAAGAATCAAAGCAGCATAGGAGCAAGCGATTTCGCTGATCGACATTTTGCTATCTTGAAGATTTGCAAATGTGAACTTCTGCTGCCGCGGCGACGAATCTGATGAGGGCTAGGGTTTTGGCCTCCTTTTATACAAGGTTGGATGCGTTAATTGCCAACTTACCCTGGACTTTGTGGTTATTTAAGAAAGGTCCACAATCTTTAAAATATATCAAAATAATCCCAATATTTTGGAAAATAGCATACGTTATATTTTGTTTGTTTTTTTAACATAGACTTGTATGCTTAGCAAGCCTGTTGGACTATTAACGTTAGAGTTGGTTTTAGTGGGCCGATATTGTGAGTAATCAAATCAAAGAAGTAAGGAATTCTTATATAGTTTTATTTTGAATTTATTTCACTTTGTTATATATTTTTAAATAAGTAGTTATTGAATGTAATACATAGAATGGAAAGTTAAGATAATGAGTTCTTTTTTAAAAAAAAATGTAAAAATAAATATCAAAAACAAAAAATGCTTATCCAAAATTTTCTCTTTTCAACAAGCCATTTAAATATTTTATCAAATGCAATGCAACTGCAATAGGTCTCCGACATGACAAGTCACACTAGAAACATACAATGTGTGGTAGATAAGATCCGAAGGTCATCCGTCCACGGGATTGATGTAATTATACTATTTTATTAATACAATATATTTCATCCGTCCATTTTTATTTCTTTTATCAATTTAGTCCTTCATTTCATTGTATTTATAATTTAAATAAAATATTATATCATACTAAAACACAATGTTATAAAAAATAATATTGATTAAAAAAAGAGACAAATGAGTTTTAAGAATAATTCTTTTATATTTCTATTGTACTGTTGTTAGCAAAATGTAAATATAATTCTTTATATAAAATTAAAAATATATATAAATGTAGCCTATACTTGATAACATATTCAAGTCAAGTTCAAATAACGAATAGTCGAGAGTCGGCTTGTCCAGCAAATAACAGCTCTGGGCTAGGGTAATGGTAATGGGGCTGAGGATTTGGTCTCCACTTCATTTCATATTCATGTTCATGGTATAACATTCAAGCATTCTATGCCAATATTATTTAAAATCGAATGGGCTGAGTCTGAAAAGCAAAGCTACACTGTTTCTTCTATCTCATCACAACCATTTTCACTGGTTCAATCACATTTTAAAAAATAGAAAAAGAAATCCATCTAAAACCCTTTTAAGTAAGCTTTATACATTTCAATAATGTGAATGATTTTGGCTTTATAAACCTACACATTGTGAATCAATCTGCAATGAGGTTCTGTTCTGTCAGCAATTCATGGTAGCTTCTAGGCTCCAACAACAACAACAATTTCTACCACAAAACTCAAAAACCAATCTTTTTCATCTACTGATCTAATCACCAGACAACACACAACATTACATTTACATCAACACCAATCAATCAAGAATGTAAAAACCAGCTGTATGTATGTATGTTGTATGTATATCAATGTTACTGTAAGCTAGGGCAAGCAGAAGCCAAGAAAACCTCATAAATCTTGGGACACAAATCAATGTCGAGCATTCATTGCTGCATAAACAACCACATGTTTGATAGTGGAAACGAATCAAATGATGCCCAAGATCACAACAACATAAGTAAAGCACAATAAATATAACCCTTTGTCCAAACAGCCATTATCAAACAGATAGATAGCACAATCCAAATGGAAAGTATATACATATACATATACTCACCCCTATGTCATAATCTTCATCCCTTTGCTTCTACACTCTGAGCATTTGCATCTTGTTACCAAATGCAATGGCGATCCAATCCGGATGGCCGGCGGACCACTGCAGCTGATTGATCTCAGCCCCAGCAGCGTACATCAATATCGGATCGATCCCGTTGGGGCCAGCGACGGTGGGTAGCTCCCATAGCAAGGCCTGAGCATCATCTCCGGCAGAGCATATGTGCCGGTAGCTATGGGGTGCCCACGCAATCGAATTAACACTGCCATTGTGCCTCTCCAATTCAGCCACCGGCATTGTTGGAGATCGGATGTCTAATATCACAATTTTGTTGCTGTCCATTAAAGTTGTGGCCATGTACCTCAAATCCTTCTTGTTCCAAGCTAATCTTAATAGAGGTGTATCAGGCGTAGGGCTTTCGTAGATAATGGTGGAATGCTCCTTATCCCTCAAATCGAAGATTCTCACGGAACCGTCGGCGGAAACTGAAGCGAAAACCCCAGCCTCGCCCCAGGCGATGTCGTAAACCTCCTTGTCGTGAGCAATTAACTGCGTTTCAACGACGGATTTCTCGATGTCCCAAATCGTGCACGTCGTGTCGATACCTGAAGTACCGATTCTCCGCGGCTCGAACTCGTTCCAATCGAATGAAGTTAGGGGAGCGGAATACTCGCTCGATTTGCTGTTGTTGAGCGTCGAGACATGGTCGATTGAAGCGTCCTTGACTTCCCAGAGGCGGAGGAAGTCGCCGGAGGAGGCGAGGAGGTTGGGCGAGGAGGAAGGGGAGGGATGGAAGAGTAACTTCGTAGGGGGGTAGGGGTGCTGGAAGGTGAGGGAGGGGAGGAGATTGATCGACGACGACTCGTCGGAGAAGGAGAGGATATCGACGCGGTTGTTCAGTTCCTCGATGAAGCTGCCGACGGCGATGTGGCCGCGGTTGGCGGCGGAAATCGCCATGGCGTAGATGGGGTAAGAGCAGTCGAACGAAACCACATTCTCCGGTCGGGATTGGGAATCCGGCGCCGGCGGATCCATGGAATTTGGGGGGAATCGGGAATCGGGAGGGGAGTGGGGAGCTTTCGGGGATGGAATTTCATGGCCGCAGCACTGAATCTGTTCAACGCACAGCGGCTTGACCGGCGGCTGGAGATGGGCCACGTGGCCCCACTTTGAATAGATCCAAGCCCATCGCGTAAGCCCGTTAAGGCCCAATTAATAAGACGACTGAGATTAAATTAAATAGTAATAAATTAATATTAATGACGTCAGAATTTGAAAGTTAATCAAGGTTAGTGAGTAAGACCGCATTTGCATTTCAACTCGATCTTTTTTTAATTTTTTAAAATTTTTATTTAAATTATTTTGAGAGGGTTCTGTGGAATGTTGATCGGAAATGCATTTCCTTTATAAATTGTTTATTTTTTTTATTTATCTCATGTGACTATTTCGCTAGACATTTTAGGTAAACGAAACGGGCATCTTTGTCAAAATTGAATTCGGTAATGCTGTCTTAGGGATGCTAATGGGTCCGCGGATTTCATTATTTGGGTCGGACCAGATTCATAGTTTAATGCTGGATCTAATTCTAATTCAAATACGGATATATAAAAATCATTCCGTGGTTCAGGGCGGTCCTAACTCCTAGGGTGGATTGCAGCCCCTATGACGTCCGAAGTCGCAATCCGAAAATGCATACTAGGTCCTGACCTGAGACGTCGGGGTTTAAATTTATGTCTTCACGGTCACAAGTCCAACTTCATAATACTCAGTAACCCTCACCCCTTCTTTTGAACAACAAGAGTGTTTTTTTTTTTTTTTTTTTGCGATTTAGTATAGTAATACTCAGTAAATCTCTCTTTGTTGGATTTTATTGACTTATAAAATCTCACAAATAATTATTTTAAGAGAGAAAAATGACGTAGCCTAGTGGAAAAACAGTCATATAAGGTTTCAGTAAAGTAAATGATGGATCAATCTAAGTAAGAATGACAACGAGTCCGGTTAAGAATAAATTTTGTAGGCCCTAGAATCTGTCCTGCCAACTAACTTTAAGGCCTATAATAATATATTTTCAACATGATAAAAATTAATGAAAACAAGAAAGATATTAAATTAATATGAATATATATAATACTATTAATTTTAAAATTATTTATTTAACCAAATTCAAAATGAATTTGTAAACAAAGTCCCGATTCTGGCTGGATTTAAATTCTTAATCTATTCCAAGCATTACATAATATATTTATACTATTTATTTTTCAAAAATATCACATCAAATATACTTTTTCTTTCACAAAATATCAAATCAAATACTAATTTTTAAATATATATATTTTTTTCAAATTTTTAAAAATTAAACCTCCAAAAATTCCTATCTAATCAAACCCTAAATTTCAAACCCAAAGCCAGAGTCTTAGCAGCGTAGTGCTATCCATAAGTCTAGGCAAACAACACTTGATGTGATTGAAATATACATATATATAATCATAAATCATGACTGAGACTTTTCAAGAATGTAATGACGAATCAAATTATAGTATTATTTAAAAATGGAATTGTGAATTTCTGTGTGGAAGGCACGAAGAAGAAGAAGAATTGCGTTATGATGACATTAAGATTATGTGAGATAAGCATACGTCCGTCCATTAATTAATCAATGAAATCACCTTCCATTAGTATATAGTTAGGATGGTGTTGTGTGATTGTGCTAAACATTAATTATGCCATTTGCTACACATTATGTCAACATATAATGTTTGGAATAGATTATGACAAAATAATTATAGAGTAAATTAGGCTATAGTCATTCAACTTAGATCCAAACTATCATCATCAAAATCAAGAGATGATGTGTTAAACTTAATCCTATGCTAAGAATCAAAATTTAAATATATCCAACAAAACTAAGGGTTTTGTGTTTTAATATTTTTTATATAAGCTATAGAGAATTGTGTATATAATATATTAATTTTTTGAGAAAAATATTTTCAAAAATTTTGTTAAAAAAATATAGCCTAAGGTTTCTCCTCTGTGGTCAATCAAACTAAAAATGCTCACATAAAATTGTTCCTTGTGAGCCAATATTTGGACAAATAAAGAGAGAAGAATATGTAAAGATATGCTTGAAGAGAAATAATTAATTGATATTGAATTTAAAATGAAATCTACATATCAATGTAAAATAATTGGATCGATTTGAAGTAGAAATATGAATCCAAGAGCTCAATAATTCTGCACATGTGACAAATAAATATTGTATTTTTTTTTTTTTTTGTAAAATGATTCAGTCTTATTGAAAAATAATATCGTAAATAAAATAAATTAATATATTAATTTTAAACAGAAAACCACGAAATATTTATTATAATTATTTTGCAGGAAACATAATTAAAATAGTCCATAGGATGATATCACAATTATTAAATGCCGAAAAGACCAACCCCTCAAGCACGTTTTTATTTCTCTGCATTATTCTACGGGGCAAATTAAGAGTTTTTAAAAAAGTTGACACCACCAAGTCTATAAATAATTGAAGTATTTTGTATATTTACATATATATATATATATATATATATGATTGTATTCTCGTACAAATTGATAAATTGTAAAAATTAATATAATATATTCCACTAATTAATTTATTGAAATTTGTGAATTTTTATTAAAATTGAATAAATGACAACAAAGCAAGAAAATTTTCGACGGAGTTATTTCTCATTAAAAATTTGCAAAACTTAAATCTTTTATATATATATATATATATATATTTTTTTTTAATGACGTGATAACCTACAACCGTCATTATTTTTCGAATGCGTTTTGAGTAAATTCCTGATGGAAGTTAATACCTTACAAACTAGATTTACCTGAACAAATCATACTAGACGAACCATATGTAGTAGGTAAAACTTAATATATTCTTTATATTATTGTCAGTACCTAAAATAAGTTATATTATTGATTTTATTTATTTATGTGAGGCATCTGAATAGTTTTTATTCTTTTTATAGATACCTCGTTCATTGAGAATGTAAAGCTAAATTTTTATCATTCAATTTATACAATTTTTAATAAAATTACAATAGTGTTGTTAACAAGATATTATATTAAAATAATATCTAAACCTAACACATTAAAAAAAATAATAATAATAAATCAAACCACATAAGCCCAATGAATGACTAACTCATACCTCAAACTCCATTATTGAAATTCACTCACATCAAAATCTCGTTTAAATTCTCTATCATAGCAACTACTCGCATCAAATTTTATTTTAATTCAGTTCTTTATTATTTTCAAAATTCAAAATCAAATCCAAAATTTCAAGAATAATAATGATTTTATTATTTTTTAGTCATTAAATTTCAAATTTTTTACTATTTGAATTATGTAATTTCAAAAAAAATATTCTCACAAAATATTTTATTATATATTATTTTAATACTAAATCCAAACCAAAAATTCTCAAATCAAATTAAAAAAAAAAAAGAAAACACAAGTTTTCAATCATCGATGGATCTATGTAAATTTTGTTTTCTTGTTGGCAAGTCTTTTCCCAACTACGCTTCTAGGTTGTAATTTTCAGTTGACCTATGAATTATAATATACAGAATATTTAGTTTGATTTGGGACATTTTTAAATATGACGTCAGAATTATGATGTGGTGTTGTGACGTCACCCGTTAGCAGGCAAGTCTTTTCCCAACTTCAAATTCAAATTAACGTTGTTATGTTATGTGGCCGGAAATTGAGCCTAAATTAATTCTAATATTAAAGACTAATAAAAAAATAATAATAAAGAAAAATTGAAGCTCCGGACACACTGCTGTCTAAGGCTGATGTCGATCCAATATGTTGTCAAAATTTGTTAAGTTGGTTGTTGTCAGATTGATTAATTTGTTTATTCGTACCAACAAAGAAAATTTACATCTGTCCAAATTTGTTTGGTTGATTGTTGATGTACAATTATATTCCAATTAAATGGATAAGTATTGCTTTAGTATAGCAATTGTGAATACCTTTTTTTTATTTTTGGCAATGGACAAAATTGCTTTCTATTTTCCTTTTTTTTTTTTTTTTAAGTAAGTTTTCGTAGGTTGCAGGAAGATTGTCACAGCAATCGTGCTGCAGGCTGAAATTGTGGGCTTGATTTTATTTTTTTGTCCAATCCATTAAATACCCACAGGAGACAAACTTGATATTTGGAGGATTGTCAAACTTGTGCAAAAATATTGAAGAACACTCGTTCTTACCGAGAAAGCATTGCATATAAAATCAAAGAAGACAAACTTTGTGGTATGTGAGTTGGTGTGCAAATTTTAGAGAAAAGATTATTGAGACAAGCTCTCACCACTCATCCAGTTCAACTCTTCAATATTTTGAATGCGTAATCTACACTGATATCAACTGGAGAGGTCGAAGGTATTCGGAATTAATGGAGTTCCAACCGGAGGGAATGATCAAGCTCTGGATTTCTTTGTTGTGTGATCGTTGTTAGTACGAGGTTGTAGCAGCGAGAACCTTAGGAGATATTTTCTTGGGTTAGCCATGGTTAGCCATTACACAGATATTTTCTTTGGAATTCTTCCAGAATTGGTATCCCCGGATGTAGATTTGTTGATAATTGAACCGGGTCAACAAACACCTTGTTTCATTGTTGTTTTATGTTCTGCATTGTTTTTCGTTGTTATAACTGTGAATCGTCAACGCTTCGGGAGTTGGCCAAGTGTTCGAATGTGCTTTGTTCGATAAATCACTTCCCCAACAACAATATCTAACAATTGAGATAATTTGTTTGGCCAATTGAAAGTTTGGAGTATTTGAAATCTTTATTTTATTTATAGTTAACTTTTATGCTAATTTTCTTATATATTCATAGTTTATAAACAGTGTTTCAACCAGCATGATTTGTGCAATTTTGTTACAAGACTTTAAATGTAAATGTAAATGCAAATGCAAATTCAAATTAAATGCAACTAACAGTTGAATAATGGAGGCTAACTTGTGTATTAGTGTAGTGTGTTTACCCATTTGTTATGTTTGCCACATCATATTTACACCGTTTTTTATGACTCTATACTACTTTTTTTTATTTAATGTTTTCATATTTACAACTTGGATCATATGTAATCTTATATATATTTAATTATTTTAATTATATTGTTTAATATTGTAAATTAAGAATAATCAATTTTTAAGCATTCAGCAAAACATCATTGATAAACACACACATTCAATCAAATTTGACCTCTGTATATTCCCACTGTAAGCAAATAAATCGATAATAATCTGGAAATGCAAATAAAACGATGTCGACAATAGTAGATTCATTCCCAATCAAACTTTCATTTTTTTTAGTAGTGTCTAAGTCATATATATTATAAGTCACTTTTGTCCTTGTCATTTCCTAATCATATGTGCATAGGATGTTTGTAAGAAGTGACTTAAGTATTAACAAAACATTACTTGAAAGACCATAAAAGTGCACATTTAAAATCCCAAGTTACATAAATATATTTATACAGTGGCGGTTAAAAGATGATTACATATAATATTTCATGAGAAAATGTACATATTTTTAATGAAATGGTAGAAATTATATAGCAAAAAGTTTTTTTATATATATATTTATTTAACAAATTAAAACAATAATATTAAACGACTTGGATTCAATTCATTAGGGTCAACTATAGTAAGGTCTTCTTGAATTAATATTGTCACACTCCAACACCCAAACAAATCCTCACCGTCGATTGCCATATATTAACGGCGTGGATGATCTGATCATATCCTCCGAAATGGATGCTACTACATTTTTCCATGATGCACCCCTCTCCGTACTCTATATATATATATACATACACACACATATTATATATATCCATCATCTCCGCAAGATCAAAATCTGACCGTCCAATCCATCCATGGAAGCTCGGCTAGTCTCTGTTGGCCCACGGTGCTCGACCATTCCCCCGAGCTACGTCCGGCCGGAGCCCCAAAGGCCGAAGCTTTCCCAAATTCCCGACTACCTTGACCCCCCCTTCGTCGACTTGTCGTGCCCCGACAAAAACTCGATTGTCCGACAAGTAGCCGATGCTTGTCGAGAATTCGGGTTTTTCCAAGTGAGTATTACTATATGTAAAAATGGAATATTTTTTCCGTAATAAGTTTTAAGGCTATGTTTGCATAGATATTTTTATGATGTTACTTTTGTTATTATATTAATCGTAAATTTATCTTTTAATACCAAATCTAATATTTATTTACATTATATTAAATACTTTAATTTTTTTTTTCTTTTACTAATTTTGTAACGGTCTAAAACTTTGATTATATGTGTGTTTGTTTGTGAGTTTGGACTTTTGGGTTTAGATTTTTTAATAGTAAAAATTTGAATTTGAATAATTGTTTGATGTGATATAAATAAATGATGTTTTGAATATAAAATAGATTTGTGATATAATATAAAAAATTAATTGTTTGATTTGATATTTTAAAAAAATAAAATTCTATAATAAAACTCACAGAAAAGCACAGGAAATACTTTCAAAATATAGTTAAACATTCATTAATTATGTAAATATTTATTTTTTTGAAATTTGAATATTTTTTGACGTATAATTTGTGACACGGGAAGGTGATTAACCACGGGGTGAGGACAGAAGTAATGGAGAAGATGGTGGGAGTGGCGAAGGAATTCTTTGACCTGCCGGAGGATGAGAAGATGAAACTATACTCGAATGATCCGGCGAAGGCGACGAGGTTGAGCACGAGCTCGAATCTGGCGAAGGAGGAAATTCACAATTGGAGGGATTACTTGAGGCTGCATTGCTACCCTTTGGAAGACTATGTTCATCAATGGCCTCTTAATCCTCCATCTTTCAAGTAAGAATATATATATATCTACACACACACAAAATCCAATCTTTATTATTCTTTAATTTAATTAAAGTTTGATTGTAGATGTACGATAGATGATAGTATGGCATAAAATATTTGAAATTAGACATGAGCGCCTAAGACGAATTGGTTTGATATATATGCGCCTAAGGAATATACTCAATTGGAATATTTATATATATATATATAAATGGACATGAAGCTATCTTTGGAGGTTGGCCCTGAATAGTATGCAGTTGGAATATTATTATTTTTGAACGTTGAATTGCACACTGTGGACGCAACTTTGGAATATTTTTTATGGTGACAGAAATTTGAATTTGCTAAATAAATAAATAACCAACGTGTGTGTGCCGTGTTAAAATTGATAATGGTTTCATTTTTATTAGGCTGACTCTACAGCCATGTTTGTATAATTGATATATATATACATTGTTCTTAATAACATTTTATTATATATAAGTTATACTTATCATATTAATGAAATTGGTTCATTAGCAAAATGTATTGCATTACCATAATGGAGTTTCAAAATAAATAAAAAGCTTAAGTGTAATTATGCTTAGTTAGAAATTTATTTGAGAATTATGGAAGGAGACCATTGACAATACATATAAATATCTAAATTACATAAAATTGTTAAAATAATACAAGCACACTATCTAAATTAAATAAAAAATTAATGTATCAAAAGTTTGAACATAAAACCGAATTCGCCGTAAAGTCTTCCTTACAGAAGAATTTAAATTTGTTTTATATGAGATGTGTTTAATATTTAATTATTTATGGAACATCATTTTATATATAGCAAATATTACATAAAATTTAGAAAAATAAAAAATTGTAAAAACACCCATACATATACAAAAAACAATACTACTTACTTTTTTATTTGTCTGTATCACATCTTATTTAGATATGCATTAATTATAGTAATGAGTTTATCTTAATTGTAATATATAACTATTGCATTATATTATTATAATTAATTTTACTAATCCTAATACATTTTATAGTATTACAACTTTTTACAAAATAATTTAAGATACATGCCGCCATAATGTAATGTCAAGCATTGCGGAATATTCTCTTTCACGTGACGTAAATGTTGATGTGCGTCGGTGAGTCCAACATATATAAAAAGAGACGCGACCATGTTTTGTGCAATTCCTTTAACCCTTTTTATAATTATTCATGTGTATTATTTTAGTATATTGGACATTTTAATTTAATATTTTATATCAAAACAACAAAATTATATAGTAAAGAAACATTTTGCTAGCGATTCAGATCATTAATTTAATTTTCTAAGTTACAAACCAAAAATGCTGACCTAATTTTTTTTAAAAAAATAAAACATGGTGACCTAATTAAATCACCAACAAACAAAAGATTCTTGGTTATATTGATGAACGCATAACCATCTTATTTAATTAATTGAAAAAATGTTGCCTGTCTTTAATTACAAGTGTTTTAAAATACTAGAAATTTAAATTATAAATAAACATTATATATATATATATATCATATTATTTTATTAAAAAAAGTATAATGAATAGTGTGAAAATAAATTATGGATGATATATGCTCCATTTAAACATAATTTTTGAAAGTTTGGAAAATTTTGAGAATGGTATAAAAATGATTATTTATTACAGTATAATATTTTAGGAAATAAGAAAAATATTTGATTTAATATATTTAATAATGAATTACTATCAATGAGCAGCTGTGGGAATTTTTTTAAATGTCGATATAAACAAAGTCTAATGGATGTGTTTATTTTATATTTTGAGCTTTGATGTAGTTTTTATATTAAATATAAATATATCGCTAATATAAAAAAATAATATTTTATTTTGTATTGATTTGTTATATTATATATATATATATATTTTATAATATTAATTAGAAGGATGTTGAAAATTTTTAGTTTGGTGAACAGATAAAATATTTAAATTTTGATTCGAATTCGTATGATTATTTAAATTTTCATATGATAGTATTTTTTAAAAAAATAATAGTAGTATATTTTTATTATAAACAGTGTGTAATAATGGTGAATTTTTTATATTAAAAAGAAAAAACGCATCCTTATTATTATTATTATTATTTTTATGTAATTCAATCAGGGACGTTGCTAGCATTTATTGTACTGAAGTCCGGGATCTCGGGACGAGGTTGCAAGAAGTGATATCCGAGAGTTTGGGTCTGGATAAAGAGCAGATAAATAGGAGCCTGGGCGAGCAGGGGCAGCACATGGCCATCAACTACTACCCGCCCTGCCCCGAGCCCGAGCTCACATTCGGGCTCCCGGCCCATACCGACCCCAACACATTTACTATCCTTCTCCAGGACTCGCAAGTCCCGGGACTTCAGCTCCTCAAGGACGGGCAGTGGCTCTCCTTAAAGCCCATCCCCAATGCACTCGTCATCAACATCGGCGACCAACTCCAGGTCCGTTATTATTCGATTACTTAACTCCAACTTTTATAGAATTAAATTAAATTGAGCTTAAACTTAATTATATAAATTAAAAAAATGCTACAATTTTATCAAAAAAAGGTACGTCCTCCTCCGTCATTCAATTGTATTTTTATTTGACAAGTTTTTAAAAAAATAAATAAAAATAAAAAAAATTACTAATTTTTAAGGTAAAGAAAAAATTGTACTCCAATTTTTTATTTTTTTTTGTTTTTATTGTCATCTAAATGTATTATTATTTTCCTTTTCAGTAAAAAAAAAAAAATATTTTGTCTATTTTTTTCTTTTTTCTAAAAGGAAAATTTTCTAATTATATATATATATATATATTTTAAAACTCATGCCCGTTAAATAGACATAATTTTGCATGACGAATGGAGTATTTTTTTTACTAAAGGAAATATGAATAAATTTATATAATAACAAAATAATAAAAGTAAAAAGAAATTTGAATAACAAAAGAAATAGTAATTAAATTTATTGTGCAAGTTAGGCATTGAGCAACTCGGAGTACAAGAGCAGCTGGCATCGGGCGGTGGTGAACGGGCAGCGAGCGAGAGTTTCGATAGCAACGTTCATGTGTCCATCCAACACAGCCGTGATCAAAGCTCCTAAAGAACTTGTTGAAAAACATCGGTGTGCAGTTTACCGGGACTACACGTATGCCGAGTATTACGACAAGTTCTGGAGCAGGAACCTGGACCAGGGGCACTGCTTGGAACTGTTCAAGGCTGCAAATTGACCAAAATTTAAAAAAAAAACTACCTTTTCCACTACATACATTCTTCAATATTCTCTTGAATAAATGTGTATGTATGTGCAAGTACAACCCAAATGTGGACTAGTTGTTATTTTCCAGAAAACTTTAATTTTCGATATGGGGCTTTGCTTGGGTGGTGTCCAACTGTGACGTCTATGTCAATACATACATAAATAATTGTAGTTGCTTTAACTTGTGTGGTGGTAGTGGGGTGGTTGTGTAATGACTTTATATATTTTGGGACCCTATCTCTATATATGGTTGGACCCATAGATGTCATCATTTGATTGGAGGGCTAGAAAAGATAAATTAAAAAAATTGTAATTGTTATTAGGATTAATGATCGACTCATAAACATATACGTAAAAAACATAGAGATCTACATAGTTCATCAACAATGGTTTGCCTATGTTTACGGATAAAAACGAAAAATATATTTTTTTAGAACGGCTATGTTACATATTACTCAATTTCTGATAATCTCTAAATCTATTCAAATAAAAAAAAAAAAAATACATAAGATGACTCAACCAATACGAATTCAAAAGCTAAATGTTGCATACGGTCGGGCCAGGAGCCACTCCACGTCCCCGGACTCCGGACAAATAGACTTCGTCTCCGTAAAAACTCAGTGAAATAACAAACTAAATTCAAGACATATCAACATATAATTGTATTTTTTTTATTTTTCCTTTGTAATCCATAATTTAAAATCAATTGGTGCTCAAGAATTCCCTTGCAGTTATGTATTTGGGACAACATTAAGGGTGATTCTAAAAGATGTCCAAAAATCAAAAGAGAAATTTATAATGGAACCATCGAATCAGAAGCATGAACAAGAAATGAAAATTGTGTGGAGTGGATTGGATTGGATTGGAGGGTTTTTCTTTTCTTTTTTTTTTTTTTTTTATGTATATGTTTTTGTGCATGTATGATTGATGAATATATATAGATATATTTATTTGTACAATTCGATGATCCAAGAATTGTAAGCCTCGCACACTTTGTAGAATTGGTTGAAGCCAGCGGCCTTGGCGAGTGCCTGAAACTCCATTTCTGTCCGCTCCTTACCGCCGGGGTTGTGGGCGAGCATGACTACGTCCACGTGGATGGTGTTCTTTGTGGACATTCCGGTGTCGGGAGCCTCCGGCAGAATGCACTCCGCCAGTATCACTTTTCCGTTCTCCGGCAGCGCCGAGTAGCAGTTCTTCAGGATTTTCTCGCAGTGCTCGTCGCTCCAGTCATGGCATATCCACTGCCCAACAACAACGAGCTCCGTTTAGATAGAAAATTTTAAAATTTTGAAGAAAAAATAAAAAATTATAAAAAAATATTTATATTTGATATGGTATTTTTTCCAAAAATAAATAGAATGAAAATTGATTATGTAAAGGGAGCGTAATCATCTGCCCTCCCATATCCATCCTTATGTTGCACCATATTAGTTTATCTATCAAATATGCTTATTCGATTAAAAATATAATAATAAAAATACAATCGATTATTTAAATTTATACTTACTATTTTTTTCTCATTTATTTACATAAATAAAATTGATAAATTTCATATATATATTATATTTGCACACATCTATTTTAATTCAAAATTTACATTATAAATTCTAATTACACTTTTATAAAAATCACAAATAATTATTAAAACATTCAATTATATAGTACTATTTTACCATTTTAATTTGCCTAATAAAACTATATTCATATCATACTCTTGAAGCCTTTATCCATTACTTTTCTCATTTGTTTACATCATTGACAGTGATGATCCTAGATATTTATAACACACATTCTATTCAATTTAATTCAAAACTATATCTAATCCTGTCCTGTCAAATTTTAATTTTGCTATTGTAAAACTAATAATTAATCAGAGAGGCAGACAGACCGACCTTCATGAAAATGGCGTCTCCTCCTTGTGGCACACTGACGAACATGTCTCCACCGACATGCTCCACTCCTAATAATCCATCGAATTTGGATGGATCAGTGAATCTACAAATCCATTAATTAATTTTATGTGTATTATCGAAATTGAATTCGAACCTGGATAAGATGGGGCGTCCTGGACCACGTGGGGCAAGTCGAAGTTGATGCCTTTAATGGAGGGGTGCTTGGCGACGATCATGTTGAGAGTAGCGCCCGTCCCACCGCCGACATCGACGATCGTACGGAGGCCGTCGAATCCGGAGTAGGACTCCAGGATCTTCTTCATCAGAATGGTGGAGTGGTTCGACATCCCCTCGTTGAACACCTTGTTGAATCTCGGGTCCGTTCCGTGGTACTCGAACGCCGTCATTCCGTACGCCTTGTTGAACGGTATTCCCCCCTCCAGCACCGCATCCTTCAGATGATACCTATACATATATACATTCTTTTCACTCAAATTTTTTTTAACGATATAATTCTAATAAATATTATTAAAAAAAATTAATTATTCAAAAAAAAAATATTTTTTATAATAATAATATAATTTTTTTTATACTACACAAAAAAAAAAAAAAATCAAAATCAATTTATCGATGAAGAAACTGATGGTCACAAGCTGTCCACGTCTCTAAATAATTAATTAAATTCATTATTTTAATTTAAAAAAAATTACAAACCAGCTTTCCATGAGGACTTTATCCTGATTCATGAGGACAAGGGGGGCTATAGAAACTCCGTCTTCATTCTTGGTCAGGAACTTGCAGACCGGCGCCAAGCCGTAGAGCCGCTCGGCGCCGCCGTCGGGGAGGCGCTTCAGGCTGCACTCGAGAATAGAGTAGCTAGCGAGGAGGCGGAGGATCCTATCCAGCATGACAGGCGCCGCCGAGTTGGTGGTCGGGAGCTGAGCCGCCAGCTCGGCCGGGGACACGAAGGCCCCTGCACCCGGACCTCCTGATTTCTTGATGAGCTCCAGCAGGTCCAGCTCGATCGCTGTCTTCAGGACCATCGGCAGAACAGAGGCGCTGGCCAGCTGCATCGCGAACAGACACGCCTCCGCCTCCTCGGCGGCGGCGGCGCTGTCGGAACTTGTTACCACGTTCGAGCCCATGGTCGATGAATTGGTGAGCAGGGATTGGAGAGTGGAGTGGAGTGGAGTGGAGGTCTGAATGTAATAATGTATATATATAGGAGTATTATATTAGTAGTATTTGGGAATTGGGATTTGGTTCACCAACCCTGTCTCTGTCAATTGTATTTGAACATTTGTAATTGTGGTTGTGGCGTAAAAATGCGAATATTTGTGACGACCCCACAACACAACCAGAACCAACAATGGCGATTCCTTTCGCTGATTTGATTTGGCGATTGCTTCTGCTGCTGGCAAACTGCTTCTTATTACTGTTCATTTTTATTTATTCTTTTATTTTTGGCAACTACCTGGCTTTAATCACTAATTTAGGGTGTGTTTGTTTTGACTGCTTCAATTTTGGGTTGAAATTTTGAATACTAAAAATTTTTAATTTGAATAATTTTATGACGTGATGTTTTGAATATCAAAATTATTTTTAATATAATATAAAAAATAAATATTTGATTTGATATTTTTAGGAAAAAAAATTTTGTGAGAATAGTGAAAATCCCACAAAATTCCTCAAACAAGATTTTATTATTTTATATCATTTTTAATAAAAAATATGTTATTTTTTTTTATCAAAATATTAAATTTAAAATATTATTTAGATAAAAAATCAAATTAATTTCAAATTATAATTAAATAAACTCATAGCTATATGCTAATTAGGTTTAATACAGTACCAATCCGTGCGATTGTGCTTCCATAAACGCTATTATGATTTGTTTGTTTGTTTTTTTTTTTTGGCAAGATTTAATTGACGCTTGGACTTAAAGTTGGTATGAATTGATCATACAACAATGCAAAATTAAATAATTGTTTTTGAATCAAAATTTTCGATATATTTATATATACGCATACAAATTCAACACGATAATAAACTATTAGGTTAGAATTGAAATTTTCAATTCGAATTCAACACGATAATTCAATTACTAAAATATATTAATTAATATATTTATTATATATATAAAATAATTTAACTTCAATATCTTTTTAAAAATATTAATTTAACTTGAACCTAATCCAAATGTAATATTTTTAATAGTATTTATAGTGTATGTTTGTACAATCATTTTTTTATTGACTAAATTTTAATTTTCTTTTATATTGATTATTTGATTATTATTTAATTTAAAGAATCTTATTTTAGAAAAAAATTTAACGGGTAAGTGACTCGATTTCGTGTTAGTTGAATCCAATTTGAGCATATGAGTTCATGTTGGGTTATGTAATCTATTTTAAAAATTATTATACGAATTAACAAGTTATTTTTAAATTGGTCGGATTTGAATTGTGTCGGGCCTTCTGACTATTTAAATAAACGAATTAATTTTAGATTGAATAATTTAACTCGGTTAAAAACTTAAGTGACACGGCCATTGCTAGCTCTAATTGGATGTCAGGTTTCATTTATTATTATTATTATTTCTTAAAGGTAACTCAATATTTTATGTACCTTACATTATTATTATTATTATTATTATTATTGCTATGTATCCATGGAAGTCTTATACTTATGTACACATGCAAATTTTGAACTATATAAATTTAAATTGATTTATTTTTTCTTTTTGCATTTACAAGATCAAGTATGATTCTCATGGATGATAAGAAAAATATTGAAACGTATGAATGCGTTATTGAAGTTTATATTGTGATCCTTAAGATCCTTTTTTTTTTTTTTTTTTTTTTTAAGTATGGACTCGAATTATTTATAATATTTTTTTTAAAAAAATGATTAAATTAAATATATTTTTTTATTTAAATATCATATCAAATATTCACATTTAAATTTTTTTTTATTATTTTCAAATCTAAACCTTAAAATATCATCATAAAATAATAAATATAAAATTGGTGTTGTTATTTGGAATACCGGAATTCCTTAAGAAAGTAGCAAACTTAGCACCTAATCCTACAGGTTATCATGAGTCTGTTTCTTTTGGAATTTTATCATATTTTATTATTTTTAGGTATTCAATTCTCATATTTGTTAATAAAACATTTTGTTAAATTAGTATTAACATTAAAAATAAAGTCAAAATCCCAAAAAGAGCCACCTTTTTTAACTATTAGGGCATATCCGAACGCAAGCTAAAAAAATGAGGTTGCAGCTCCAAATATAGAAATTTACCTCTCCAACTCAATTTTATATCTAACACCATTTTTGGTGTTTGTTACAGTGCAACACCATTTTTAGTGTTGTATTGTAGCAACGCCAAATTTAAAGTTTTTTACTTTATTTTTTATTTTTTATTTTTTTATTTTTGCGAATTATAAATTGGTCTCTATAAGAATTAGTCTGTAATTTTTTATATTTTAATTGTATATATTTATATTTTTTAATATAAAAAATTATTTAAAATAATACATAAAATAGAATATTTAAATAATATTCTTTTTGGAGTTGAAATAGAAGTTACTGTAGCAACTGCATATTTAAAATTAAAATTAGATAAATAGAGTTGATGGGTTGAAGATGACCTTAATGTTATTACTAACTTCAATTGTTTTATTTTATTTTTTGTCTTTTTGCTATACTTATTTTTGTTGTTATCTTGGTTGTAAAGTGAGGATATACTCATTTACACTTTTTTGCTTATAATTCCGTCAGCATGACGTCAGAAAATATCGGAAAACTACAATTATTTTCAAAGTGAATTTCGCAGTGAATTAGTTGAACCACTCACATATTAGCTTCTATTTTTACATTTATATATATGGTAAAATTGAACTCACATGTGAATTCGAAATTCAGTGTAAAATCTTCTCGTACTTTAAAAATTGCATGGTACCCTCTATACTTTAAAAAACATTGCATAAAACCCCACCACCATGAAACTTTCCTCGTGTGATAAGAAGATGATTTTCTATTTATATGTTTTGCATGGCAGAAGGTTTTATGCAATATTTTTGAAAGTATAAGTGAACGTCATGCAATTTTTTAAAATAAAATGGATATTTATGCTGAGTTTCGAAACCACAAAGTGGTTTCATGCAACATTTTTTAAAGTATAAGGAGACGTCATGCAATTTTTAAAGTAGAAGCGAAATTTACGCTGAGTTTCGAAATCACATGGGAGTTAAAAGGACAATTTTACCTTTATATATATTTATTTATTTATTTTGGAATATCTCGAGTAATTTTGTTCCAACATGATTGGATAGGATTGGATGTCAAATTTAGGTGGGTGTGCCTTGTCTGGAATCTTGATTGTGACGTATACCAAACTCAACTTAAATTAATTAAATTATTTTTTCTAAAAATAATTATTTTACTTTTGAAAAAAAAAAAAAAAAAGATATAAGTGTTAGTATTGGGGCAGCCCACGTGGATAAATATTGTTACTTTAGATCTAGAGTCCAATTGGATTTATACGGCCCGATCCGGTCTACAATAGCCTAGCCCGTGTAGTCCGGCCCATTTGCTAACGTTCCTTTTTCTTCTTCGCCGTTTCCCTCAAAAATCCCAATTTGAAATTCCGAAGCCGACAGGAATTCGAGTCTCCTCGTGTTCTTCTCTGCAATTTTCAATAAATTCTTTGATCAATAGAACTGTAATTAACTAATTACCCCCGATGGTTAAACAGCGAGTTCGGAGGCGTTCTGCAATGGCGGCGCCGGAAGACGAAGTGGTTAAGATCGTGGATTCATCCAATGAGAAGGGCACTCCTTTGAGGCCAATTTTTTGTCTGAAGAACAGGGATGATATCAAGAAGTTTGATGAGCGAGAAGATTGTTTCATTCTTGAATTTGATCCCTACGATGATCTTGGAATCAAGAAGATTTCTTTTGGCAAGGATTTCGATGACGCTGATGGTGATTTGCGCGTGGTTTCTGAAAAAGGGGAGGTGATATCTCTCTATTCAATCATTTATTTAATCATTTATTTTTATGGCTCAGTGTTTTCCAGTTTGTGTATTTGAAATTGCTGTTCATAGGCTAGGGTTTTGAATTTTTGTTTCAAGTCATTATTGTGCTTCTTGTTGGAAAATTGTAGTAGGGATCGGGAGCGCTCAGATGTGTTGAAATGTTGATGATTTGGTACTTGGAAAAATTTTCATCTGCACTTACCATGGAATTTCTTTGCTGTTTTTTTTCTAATTCATATATATATTTTCATCTAATTTATTTAAGAGTTCAAATTTAATAGGACACTGATATACCCTTTGAAGCCTGATCCAATTCAGTTCCAGAATGATCATCTGTCAAGAACTGATTCCAACAATTTGTTTGTTTGTTTGTTTGTTTCTAACATAATGGGGCGCACCCTTTGAAGCCCGATCGAATCGAGCTGCAAAATGATCCATCTATGGGAAAATTAATGATTCTGACATTTTGTTTCTTTGTTTGTTTTTCATCTTAAAATGGCTTTGAACAGGTTGCCTGCAGGGATTTCCCCCATCCTCGATACACTTGTGCCAATTTTCCATTTCACAAGACATCTCACGAAGATTGCTGTGATCTGGTAACTTATTTGTTTGATCTTAAACAGGTTGTTAGCAAAGTTCAGGTTCTTGGTTTTGATCACAAATTTGAATGCTTCATTTGTACATATGCAGTGCTACTGTTATGTTTGCGATTCAGCTGCTCCTTGCAAAAAGTGGGTCGGATCCGGTGGCCATTGTCATGCATTTAACAACGAAGCTTGGAAGAAAGCAAAAATGGAAACAATTGGAGGGACTAAGAATATGTGAAGATGAGAAATGTGCTTCAAGAATTGGCATTGAGATCGACAAGAGTGAGCTTCACATCCTTCCATCGATCTTTTTGGCTGTGCCGTAGATAGGCTATATTTATATATAAAGACTTTTTAATGTGATGCTGCCGTAAAAACTCCATGGCATTCGGTAATGTGTTAAAGGCTCGTGCTTCTTGGAACTCGACTCGATTTTGTGTAGTTGAATGTTGGATTTGTCGAGAGAGATTAAATGAAATTGAAAATGATACTGTTTTTTTAGAGCATAATGTAAAAAGATGCATACTTTTGATGGCTTATCTTAGTTTAGAACTTTAAAAGTAAGCTTTGTTTTCACTTCTAAATTTTTGAAAATTTGGCACTATGGCATCAATTATGTACTTTTTTGTCCTAAAACATCATATATTATCTTTTATTATTCAAACAAAAAAATAAATAAAATTGATGGAATAATAAGAATTAATAAAGGATTTGTGAGCTTTGTTTATGTTAAATGTTTTTAAAATTTTAGCACTATTAAATGTTTTCAAAAATATTACATCAATTATATATTTTTCTAACAAAACATTACTATTATTTTTTATTATTCACGTGGCATTTTGAAAATAATATGCTAAGTTTGGTTATGCAGTACTCTCTTAAATTTGTCTACTTTTAATTTTTTACTAGACAAAAAATAAAAATAAAAGTGTGATGGAGTAATAAAAATATCAAGAAATTGAATTGGGCCGAAATGAACATAATAAAGCCCAATCTTTTGGACTACAGCCCAATAAGAACCCTAAGGATAAAACCCTCCTTCCTCTGTCATCTACTCCACGTCTCGTATTCACTCTATCCTCGCCACACTCCGAGCGCTTTCACACTCTCGACGCCATGCCAGGTCCTGTTGTTGAAGAAATTGAGGTTGAGAAGGCGCTTAAGGTTCTATTTTGAACGATACTTTTGCTTATGCAATTCTAATATGTATGTGTATGTTATTGTGGTTGGTTTGATACGGCTTCTTTTTCTCTTCCTTGCTCGGATCTTATTTCCGTAAGGATGAGCCAGTGGTGGAGGACGTGAAGGAGGATGAGGAGCATGATGATGATGCTGAAATATCTGACGATGAAGACGAGGATAAGGATGATGGTAGCCCAGGTCTATTTTTGAATCTCTCTTCGCTGCATTTTCCATTTTTATATTTGTTATTATATTGTCAATCTGGCTATATTCCGTAATCTGAATCTTCGATTGATGTGTTGAGTCCGCGCTGCTTCTTATGTATTCTTTGTATGAAAAAATGTTGATGTTAACGGTGTAATGGGAATGAGGAAAGTGTTTTGTTTGGATGGATGGATGAAGTTTATCTTCCAATTTAGATTTATTTGTGACATTAAAATTTCAGCTGTGTTAAATGCCAGAACCTTTTTGTCACCGTAAATGACATAGAAGCTACCTGATTTTGGATAGGATTGGATTGAGTTTATATTTCTTACATATGATTTGGTAACATTGATGCAACATTTCCATGCAATTTCAAAGTTTCTCAACCAATATAAGATGGCTTCGCGTAATGCCCTTAAAAAACTTTATTTCCTGTGTGTTCTATCTATCCTTCCTATGTAGCTCTGAATATTATTATGTGGTATGGTGGAAGTAATGTGCCTTTGTGTGGATTGACTCTTGTGCTATAATGAGTAGTATTTACCAATACAGTAGCTCTGAATGTTACTATGTGATATGGTGGAAATGATATGCCTTTTTCGGGATTTGAACGGATTCGAAGGAGTTGTATTGTGTGGATTGACTCTCGTGCTATAATGGATAGTCTTTAGCGATTCGGTAGCTCTGAATATTACTATGTGATATGGTAGAAATGATATGCCTTTGTGGGGATTTGAACGGATTTGAATGAGTTGTATTGTGTGGATTGACTCTTGTTATAATGAATAGTCTTTAGCAATACAGTAAGCAAAGAAGATTACTATGTTGTGATAATGGTGGAAATGATGTGCCTTTGTGGGGATTTCAACAGGTTCGAATGAAGGTTCTAAGCAAAGCAGAAGTGAGAAGAAGAGCCGTAAGGCGATGCTGAAACTTGGGATGAAACCTGTTACAGGTGTTAGCCGGGTCACAATCAAGCGAACCAAAAATGTATAGTATAACCCTATCTCTGTTTCTCGTTTGCTTCGACCCCTTCTATTTTTGGTAGTTAGTTTTTTATGGATCCACATTCTTTGCAGATCTTGTTTTTCATCTCGAAACCAGATGTCTTCAAGAGCCCTAATTCCGAGACCTACGTCATCTTTGGAGAGGCAAAGATCGAAGACTTGAGCTCTCAGCTGCAGACTCAGGCTGCTCAACAATTCAAGATGCCCGACATGTCCTCCATGATCTCTAAGTCGGATATTGCTTCTGGAACCACATGTCCAACGATCGAAGAGGAAGAAGAAGAGGTTGATGAGACTGGTGTTGAGCCCCGCGACATTGAGTTAGTGATGACCCAAGCAGGCGTTTCCAGGCCCAAGGCTGTCAAGGCTCTCAAGACTCACAACGGTGACATTGTCAGCGCCATCATGGAGCTGACAACCTGAGCGGATTTCTCGTCTCCCGCCAACTATAAATCGTTTGAAGCATTTTTGTAAGGTTTCGTTTTATTTTCTTCGATTAGACATCATCGGGCAATGAAACCGAGCTTTATGTTCTAGAAAATCATGGTTTTTTTTTTTTTTTTATTTTTTATTTTTTATTTCGACAAGATGACAGACTGTTTTTCATTGCATAATGAAAGCACGGTGAATCTATTTAACGACTTCTGCTTCTTCAGCTGTTGATAACTCTACAGTCTCCCCGAATCTCCCCTGCAGTACCAGTTAACACGCCGATTGTTCCCATTTTCACCATTGCATCAGCGAATTTGCGACCCCAGATGAACGGGTTCTGTGCGTTCTGCACGACCTGAGACAGCGTTTGTCCATTTGTCAGCAGCGTTTGGTCCGAGGTGAACAGGGCCCTATTCGCCAGGACATCCCTGTAATATCCGACATCGGTGACAGCCGGGCTGAATGGATCCATGGGCACGACAAGATTCGGATTCCCTCCCTGCGGGCATTGCTGCTTCAAGACGGCGACGTACGAGGGATCCAAAGTCGGGTCGGGCAGGTTGCTCCCGCTGAAGTTATACAGCCTGTTGCTGAATGAAGTACAGTGAGACCTCCCCAGGGTGTGTGCTCCTGCAAGTAGAAGTAAAACATTCCGCGGCATACATACATACATACATACGTTAAAAATGCATCGATCGATTACGCCCGTCTTGTCGGGGATGGCTTACCCGACAGGGTGACCATTTCTTCTTGACTCAAGCCCTTGTTCAAAAATGCCCGCGTGAGTTGATCCACGTTGAAGAAAGGGGGCGGGAGGTTCGACGATGCCTCGGATGCTATCGATATTCTTCCGTCCCTCCTTCCAGCAGGGACGTCGTAGCCAAATCCTCCCGTCTACGCGATAAAAAGAAGCATTCGATCGATCAAAACAGAACAATATTCACAAATGAATGAGGTATATAGACATCGAAACTCCGTACAATCTCGACGCTATCTCTAGCAGCAAAGGCGAGTATGTCAGCGCAAGAGACTACGCCTTTACAGATCGTTTCGAGGCTGGCTTTGGCATTGTCGATGACTTCAAAGCCTCGGAGGCTGGGGTTGTTTGCCGGCGCGTCCTTCTCTGCTTGGTTCGTCGGGGTGGAGTCTATCAGAACCGACCCATCACAGCCCTGCACGAAGAAATGAAATCCATGCACACGACGAATTAATTTTTCGACACAAACCATTATACTTAAAGCAGAGTTATTACTGCATTCGTAATACAAACACACCCTAACGAAGCAGTCGTGGAAATGCATTCGGACGAGCCCAGCAGCCACACCGCGGTCTCTGAAGAAGGCGTTTTGAACTTGTTGCTTCACGACGAACTCGGCAATGCTGCACGAGGATTGGTAGAAACCCACCTGAAGCTGAGCATCGGACATGGCAATGTAAAGACATGACAGCTGCAGCAATGTGATTAATGCTTTAATTAGACTAGTCATTTTGGTGTTTGTTGTCGATTGATTGATGAGTCTTGTAATTGCAAGAGGTTCTTTATAGGCAAGAAGAATGCGAGCGACCTCATAACTCATGTCTTTAAAGAATAAGAAAGAAGAAAGACAAGTCCAGTGGGAAATGACTAGGCATTATGCTGTAATTTGTAAACGTCGTTTTAACTTACAGTTCGAGTAGAAGAAATAGTTTATTTATGCTGAGCAAGAAAGGACAACTGGATTATGTTCGAACATGGGGTACTATTATCGATTTATAATAATCAGTGTATTATCGATTAATGTCGGCTCAATCAAATAAAGTGCATGCAAGAAAAGAAGTGATCAATGAAGGATCCGATCCTTCTTCTTCTTCTTCTTCATGTTGTTGTTCTTCTTCTTCTTCTTCCATTTGTTGACTTAGACAAGAAAATACAAAATTAGTGGGTAGATTAGATTATGTCATGATTGGATTTTGTGATTAGTTTTGAGGAAGCAAGTGGGACTCAATCCTTGTAGTTTACTTTTATGATTATGGTGCGATTATAGCATTATATTATCATATTATATAATGCCCACCGATTTAAATGACACCAAAGTCAAGAGTGATTCCAGCGGAAAATCTATTATATTGTCGCTGCTGTTGTTGTTGTTTCTTCCTCATTTCAATCGCTATATTACTACTTGTAATGTAATATTTAATAATCATAATCATAGTAATACTAATGTGGTTTTGTAAATATATGGAGCGTATTCGCTTATCATTTTTTTTATGCTTTTCAACTTATTTTTACAAAAATGGGAAAATCATTTACCAATAGGCCGGCCAATAGTGGGGTTTTGTTCAATTTCTTATGGGTCCAAGTAGAGCTGGCGACGACTGATAATTGGCTTATGAATTCGACATGAAATAGTTGAATTTCGATTATATATACAAGTTCCAACGCATTAATAAACAGACTCGTTACGGTTGAGACCCTCGACTCGATACAACAATCTCAAACTCGATACAAAACAATATGACTATAATATACTTATATTGATCAATATATTTTAAAAATATAAAACACAATGCACATTGCATAGAAAATATGTTCATGTGATAGAAGCAAAAACGCATACCAATATTCAAGAAACACACCAAAAACATAATAAGATCCGAAAGTTACAAAGTCAAATGGATTCAGGAAAAGAAATCCTAAGTTACTACTCAGATGAACAAATTGCTCCAGGAGATGACGATGACGACAATTCTTGAAATGCTTGAAAGAGTTGACAAAATCTTCGCCAATACTTCCATCAAGGACTGTCTTTCAGAACATTTTCCCAATCCGAATTGATCGAGGGATCATCCGAGCCACACAGACAATATTCATCAGTAGACTCGTACCCAATGCCATCAGCGTAGTTGTCCGCATGAACGAACTCATTTTCCTCATCCCCTTTGTCATTAATTGGTTCTGTATCATCCTCTTCAGAATTCAAAATTCTCAATCTCACAATGATATCATCAGAACTAGACATACCCATGAGAGAGGGTTCAGGCATTGTACCGTTATCAGCTCCGGGGGCTGCCTTCAAAGTTGTTAATTTATCGCTTGATTCGCATAACTTGGATGTCACTTCCGAAAGATCCTCATTTCCTAAGAAAATTTTAGATATTGGTTTTAAAGAGAATATAGAAATTCAATCTATAGCAATGAAAAATCTAACCTTGCTCCTCGTATTTAAATTTAATTGTTTCCTCTTGAGTCTTTGATTTGTCAAAATGTGTTTTACAACCAATTGCGGACAATTTAGCTTCCGCTTTCATCCACAAACTCTTGTAAATAAGCGCTTGCAAGTTGCTTCCTCCACCAGAGGTAAAATTCTCTTCAGAATCATTCTTCGTTGCCTACCAATGCGGCAGCAGCAAAAAACAATTGCATGGCTATGTATTTTGAAAGAGATACAAAAGTACAAGAATAAAAGATCATACCTTGGTTGTATCAGAACTAAAAGAAATAGTCCCCTGTGAAAGAAAAAAAAACTTATAAAGATTATTTCCTAAAGAAATACATAACAAAGATAAATATCACTTTATATAGGTTGAAACGATAATTGCATCCATAGCACTAAGTCAGGGAAATGAACCATCATCAAATCAACCAATTCCAAGAAACAGGAGATTATGCATACAATATAGGATCACAAAAAACGTATTTATTTCTTTGGAATGTCATGAATTAACGAATGAGCATACTTACCCCAACACTAGATTGATCGTCGTCATCTTCCACTTCCATAGCATTGCTTGGTGCCAGATCAGTAGGTTGGGAGAATTTTCCCTTCAAACATGAATTCAGGTTTCTTATAATGTGCTTGAGAGTTTCATTGTTTTCTTTTTCCATAGAGAAGCTATTATTCGAGAAATGTAACAGAAGCAAATCCGAAAGATTAAGCATTTCCCCAATAATCGATAACACTTCCTTTTTCGAGTCTGGTTCAGCACACTCAACAGCATTCGACAACACATTCTTTTTCGGATATGGTTTAGAACACTCAACAGTGTCATGAGAATCAGCTAGAACCTTCTCAGCAACAAAAACTGCAACAGAACCATTTTCAGAAACATCATTTGGATTCTTCTTGGAGTCTTCATCAAATACATGCTCAAGTGAAAGCTTGCTCATCGGAAGAGGTAATTCACGCTGCAGGACTAAAGAATAAGATTCCCGGTAATTAGATGGACCTGATGCCAGAGTACACGTTTGATTTGTATCATAGGAAAAGAAGCTGTCATTCTGTTCATATGTTTCAAAAACTTCCCTGCCGAAATCTTGATTGTGTTTCTGATAAAGATCATCATATTCTTTTTCATATACCTTCCAGTTATCGTTGCCTTCTGAAATCAATTCAATCAAGTTAAATGGCTACATAACACAAGCAAGCACTCATAATAGATGGAGACATAATCGAATCCATAGAGGTGTAAATAAGAACAGTGGACAGCGGAGACATGATACGTAGCATCAAACCAGCCAGAAACAAAATTGTTGGCAGATAAAATGTAAATACAGAAACACACGAAATATTAATTTTACAATTGGATTAGAGTTTTGAAAATGGCAGAATCATACTTAAAAAAACAAAATTCAATATCAAGATACATTTCAGTTTTCAATATTAATAATTCTAAATTTTGACTACAGCATTTTTGAAAACACAAAACAGGAGATTTACGAATTACTTACGCTGTTCAAGCGGTCCCAAGTTGAGCTGGCGAGGAATATACGGCGGTGGTAGATAACAATAACACGGATAATAACAAGGCGAAGGGTTTGCGGCAGATGAATACAATGAATATTGGTGATAAGGATCGGAATCCATCAAAGCGAACAAGTGAAGCGATAAAGCGGAAATTGAAATTGTAATTAAGTTTAGGGTTGGGATGAATCGAAGCTGACAGAATTAATGACGACGATGAAGCTTCTCAACGTCCACCGCGGCTTCGTTCTATTTCACCGACTATCACACAGTCTTACCGGATCCAAGCCCACCGTCATCCTATCATTATCATCGTCGTCATCATCCTTGGAAATTAATATAGAAATTTAAAGCATAAATTTATGCATGTTGGAGGCAGCTAGTTAGCGAGGAGAGAATGCCAATGCCATTACTATTACCCAGGCCACCATAATCAATTAAGACATGTTCGAAGCATAATTTTATCAGAGAAAACCAAAACCCTCCCCTTTTTCAACAGAGAAATTAGAGATAATAATACTTTGATTCGGTGTAATCAAAACAAACTAAAAAGAGTACTGAAGAATTTAGAAGCATTCATAAAGTAAGGACCACACGTGATCAGCACGCACCTAAAAACAAATTTTTACTCTTTCAATATGCTAGGATAGACCAGCTCTTCCTTGCCTTTAGCTTTGGCCGGTTTATATTAGTTTAAATATAATAATAATAATAATAATAATAATAATAATAATAATAATATAATTATTATAGTTTATTTAATTGATTTAAATAAATATTTAATTATATATAGTTTGTAAAAATATAATTATTATTTTTTATATTATATGTTTTAAAGAAATTGGGTGATAGATTTCCAAATATTTATATATTATAAATGATGAATTTTAACTAAAATATAATATTTAATATTTATTTTTTAATAATTTGAATATTTATAATATTTACAATAATTTTCTATTTTAATAATTTAAAATAAAAATATTATTAAAATACTATTATATTTTTTAATTTATAAATATATATATTTTTATTTATTTAAAATATATTATTTTAGATATTTTGAATTTTATATCAATTGATTTATTAATATACTTTTATAGATAGAATGATAGATGATCACTTGAAATTAACCGTTCATTTTGATTCTAAAAAATATTTATAATATCTTCATAATATGTAGAATTTATATATCAATTCTAAATAGAATTTAATTATGTTTCTCAAATGTTCTATATAATTATTAAAATATATTTAAAGATATATATTATTCTTAATATATAATTAAAAATAATAATTAGATTTTTTTATTAGACGCAAATGCTTTATAATTTGAGTTATTTCTTGATTTTTGATCGTTTTTTTACTATAATTCTAGTATTATTATATTATCTTCCGAGTTAATTTATTAATTTATTTAGAAAAAATAAAAAATTTAATTAAAAAAGTTTGGTAGAAAAAACTTATAAAAAAGAGTACATTTATTATAAAAGATATACCTAAACAAGTTTGTATGTTTAGTGTTTTAATTTAAATTTTTTATATATTTGAATTTTGACTTTAGAGAGTAAAATAAATATATTAAAAATAAATTTTTTTTGAACAAACAAATCCTATATTTAATACTCTTTCCGTCTTATATTTAAAGTATTTTTTTTTTATCATTTTCGTTGACTTGTTTCAAAATACTTATTTTTTGTTAAAAAAAAATTATCATACCATAATACTAAAATACTTTATTTTTTACTTAAATTATAAATATACAAATATACAATTACTTTTTACAAAAATTTTAAAAGCGCACAATGTTAAAATCTATTACAACAATAAAATATTATTATTTATTAATCTACTATAAAAATAAAAATTACCGGGGTTAGATCAAAAACCACAGAGAGAGTATTTTTATTTAAAATATTACTCCATCCGTCCTAAAATATTACTCAATTCCAAATGTTCTGTATTTTGTATTTTGGAGCGGTGAATAGTTGTATGATATTGTATAAATAGGTGTTAATGTAATATTTTAAATATAAATTTGAATTTTGGTATAATATAAAAAATAAAAAATAAAAAATAGGTGTTTAATTTGATATTTATGAAAACAAAAATTTGATCGATTAGTGTATTTAAAATTAATCCCCAAGCAAACACACCCTACAGTAGTAATATTGTACAAATATCATTAGAAAGGACTATATATATCAAATGAAAGGCTTCGTTTGAAGCCCTCACTCTCATAACTAACTTAGACGACAACACCATGAAGATCCAAACTTCATAATCTCGTAAAATGGCGATCTTCAAGGTAAAATTCAGCAAGGGCAGTGTGCAATGCAGCTCCAACAGGAAGAACATCTTCATCAAGAAAGAAATGAGGGGAGTGAGGCGAGTGAACTGAACCTACTCTCTCATTTCTGATCCCGATGCCGATCATCGCTCCCGGGATCATCTCCTGGTAAAAGGCGAAGTCTTCCCCGGCCATCACCTTCTTCGCCTCCTTCACATTCTCCACTCCCAGGAGGAGACCTCCGACCTTGTTTATATGTCCATGAAGCTTCTCGTCATTCTCACAAGCTGGATATGGTCGGAGCTCCCCGCCGTCATCTTGTACTTTCACGACAGCGTTGCATCTGTGGGCGTGACATACTCCTTCAATAACCTATAAGCAACCCAAGTTTGTCAAAAATCTAACCCTGGAAACACTTGGTCGTGCTCTTTTGTGGATTTTAGCTCGTATTTTTAATGTTCGAATTCTTCTTACCTCAAAAAAAAAATTATCACATCAAACAATTATTTTTTTTTTATATTATATTGCAAATTTATTTTACATTCAAATCATCACATCAACCTTTATTTACATCACGTCAAAAGAACTATTCAAATTCACTTTTTACTATTAAAAAATCCACACCCAAAAACTAAAACCTCCCAAACAAACACAAAGAGTTTGAATTTTAAATTGGAATTTAAATAAAAAAAATTTTGAATTGTTATAATTGTATGATATGATATAAGTAGATGTTGATGTGATTTTTAAATATAAATATAAACGATAAAAAATAAGTATTTAATTTGATGTTTGGAGGTAAAAAATTTGATGAAGAGTATCTCTTTGACCCTCTGCTGTAGCTGAAGCAGCCCTCGAGTGGTCAGACTCCGGAGCGTGCCTCCTAGTTCAACGTGTTCCGGGATTATGTTCCAGGCAGTCCCGCCTCGAACATACGTAACGGAAAGCACCTGCGCTCAATTATATCTCATCTAAAAATTACGACTTTTAAGTGAAATGATCATTTCAATAGAACTGGGATCGTACTTGGCTGTGGAGGGGATCGACTTCTCTTGAGATGAGTTGTTGCAGTGCCAAGATTGCAAAAGATGCCGCTGAGATCGGATCGACACTTTCGTGTGGGGAAGCGGCGTGCCCGCCTTTTCCGACTATTTTGGCTTCAAAGAAAGATACTGCAGCTAGAAATGGTCCGGGCCGACTTGTTATGGTCCCCGTCGGTGCTTGAAAATCCACGTGCATTGCGAATATGGCTTCGGCGTCGCCGAGGGCGCCTTCCTTTATCATATAAGATGCTCCGGCGCCTCCCTCTTCGGCAGGTTGGAAAAGAAGCCTTACTGTTCCCTTCAGCATTGAATCAAACGTTCAAGAAAAGCCATTTGGCAATAGAATTTGATGTAAAAAGATATCCACAAATGATGTAAGAGTAAAGACAACCTTAAGTTTGTCCTTCCTTTGATTCAGTAACTTTGCAGCACCAAGGAGCATTACAGTATGTGCATCGTGCCCGCATCCGTGCATTACCCCATCCACTTTACTCTTGTGCTCCCACTCCACAAGTTCCTTTCATTTAAAATTTCAATATTCAGACACACATATGATAGAATCTGCATCAAGAATGTAAGGAATAGCAAAATTCGATGTGACCTGTACCTGCAACGGCAGGGCATCCATGTCAGCGCGCAGAGCAACGACGGGCGGGTTTCCCGACCCGATTTGAGCAACCAAGCCCGTTTGGGCAAACGGGTAGTCGTAAGAAACCCCGAGTTCATCGAGTTGGGAGCGGATGAGGGCGCTGGTGTTGAATTCTTGGAATCTGAGCTCTGGGTTTTGGTGGATTTGCCTTCTTATTGAGATTAACCAATCCTTGTCTTTAATGGCGGCGGTAAGAATCTGTTTGGCATGTTCTTGATCTAAATCTGTAACTTGGGTGGGAGAATATACTTCTGCCGCAGCTGCACAAACGATTGGCACAAGCAAATTATAGAGGAGGATGATGATGCTGGAAAGTTGAAACATGATTGATTCCTTAGCTTCTTTCTGTCTAGCTTTTGCTGGTGCACTTTATAATCGAATATTCTCCTCTCTGAGAAGAGGGATGGGAGTTTGAACGGGTGCGTGGGTGGGTAGGAAAGCATTTTACTTACCATAAGTCTATTTTTCTAGTTTTACCAGGAAAATAATATACTAGCATTCATATCTGAGATCTGAAATAGAGTATTAAACTTCTTATAGTACATACGATCATCCAAGAAAATACTTACAATGAAAGGCAAAATCTGGTCCAAGAAATCAAAGAAAAAGAGCCACAGGTAAAAATTCGTTTAAAGTCACTAAACAAAATATTACATATCCTTATCATAACATACACAGCCTATACATCTAAAAGACCATAAGAACTCAACTTCTATACAAAACGTTAGGCTTTATATCTAGATAGTTTGACTTAAACATATCCAACGAAATATGTTGATGTAGCAACGAGCATGATGATGAGACTGATGGCCACGAGTACCTTAGGCATGTAAGAAAATTTCAACGATGCACATCCAGGTCTGACCGAAATAGCATCCTCAGCCTCAGGTTCATCACCACAAGACTGTTCGTCTTTATTTGCTTCATCGGAGATTGACGACACGTCTTGATCCAGACTACTCACGCTCTCTGTTATGTCATCCTAAAGAAACCATCAATTCAACATTCAGATTCCTTAAAACAGGCATAATCAACAATAGAAGCTTTAAATGTAAAAAGGTGCCTCACCTTTGATTCTCCTTCATGGATTGGTTTCGCGGGGGCTGACTTATTGAGACACATAACCGGCCCAATTCGAATATCCTTCTGTAAGCGAATTCTTCTAGGTGCAGTCCCATGCACCATCTTGTCTTGGGCACCGGCCTGATTTGAACTTTTGCGAGACTGTATCTTAATTCCAGACCCGGAATTGGTGCCTCCCACTTTTGGGCTAGTATAATCCACAGCCTGAGCAATGTGTCCTCCATAAGGGTTTACGTATGGGATCTCATTTCCAGCAGCAGCAGTAGTAAAATCATCTGGCAAGACAAAGCTGCTGCATAAAAATTCCATGTTCTGTTGGTCATTATCATTCCCACCATCAAAATCGTGACCATTTTGCTCCATAGTTGCCACATCAGAAGTTATTTCGCTCTGGAATGGAGACTCTTGCTTGATATTTCCCGCAGAGAGATCTGGTTGAAATTCAAGCTATAGTAAACATAAGGTAGAATCATTAGTATCCTATCTATAATAATATCTTCATTATTAAGAAAAATGAATAGAACGGCAACCTCCATTACCTTTCGTTGTGACACCTCGCTCTGTAGTACACGGCCTGAGTTGTTGTCCTTTAGTGATTGAAGTATGTAATTTGGAGTATCAGGGGAAGTAACACAGGAGATCATGTCACAAGAACTTGGCTCCTGGTGCTCAGGATCAATAAGAACTGAGTTCAGAAACTCAATGTCAGCTGAATTTGAGCCATATTGATATGGGAAATTTTGTTGGTTATTGTTCATCTCCACATTAAAACTCTCATACAGATAATGATTCCCAAGCTCCGATTGCATCTGTGTGTGCAATGGGGAGAAGATTTTCCAGTCTGATGCCTGTCGTGGAGGAGAACAAAACTCACCCAACAATTTTTCCAGATCTGGGTTAGGCTGAACAAAAAGGCAGCAAAAGACACATTAGATATACAACAAAAGTAAATAAGAATATGCCAAATATATTAATGCTAAGAAGATAGAATGAGAATTCTTTAACTCACAGGAATAAATGGAGTGTCTGGTCCATCATCATCCCCCCCTTCAGGTATACAGTTAATGCTCTGCCAATCTATAGGCAGAGAAGAGTCAACTACAACTTTCTCAGAACTTACTGTTGGATGGCTTTCAACACTGGAAAATTGCATTTCCGCCAGGCCACCAAGAGGAGTAATGGACTCTGATTGTTCATCTTCGGGAGAGGACTTAAGAGCAGTAGGTGAAGAGACAATCTCTTCAACTTCATTGCAATTTGAACTTTCGCCTATCTCATCTTGCTTCAATTCAGCCTTCTTGAACAATCGGCAGAGCACAAAGGCTCCCTAGGAAAAAAAGAAGAAGGTAATTTTCACATAATCTGATACAGAGGGGCAACCCAAACCACACCATGGATGAACTTAAGCTGCAGCCAACATTACAAACCAGAACATCGCCTCCAAACAATGTATGATTTAAAGGTTCAATAGTTTCATCTTGATATTAAGCTCAATTCAATCCATAAATCACACCACAATTTCAGGCTTATGATGGCACACATATGCCACCCAGTCGAGGTTGATATACTATTTCCCGTATTTATGGACATCATAATACTTCTAAATTCTAATATCAATTCATGAAGCAAAATTTCAAATCAAGGTCTACTTCTATAGTTTCTCCAAATTTCCACCAATATCAACCACCAGAGTAACTACATTTTAAGCTCAAAGCTAAATTCAAACCAACAAGTAAAGAAAATACGTCAACTTAACATTAATGTAAAAGCATACTGCTTAATTGAAGCAATTCATAGTAGAAGAGTTTCTGCTATTCCTACCTGACCAGGATGGGTGCCATCCAGAGACTTATCAGTAGCACGATATTCATGTATCACCCAATTGGTTCTCTTACCCTCCGGCGCACGACCTCTATAAAAAACTAAAGTCTTTTTCATCCCAATCTTCACTCCCTTCCGGGATGTTATGTTCCTATCTTTGCCGGTGGCTTTCCAATAACCCTTTTCTGTAGCTCGATTCAATCTCTGACCATTTTGATATTTCCGATCCTTTGGGCAGAAGAAGAACCACTCATTATCAGATGATTCTATCACAGACAGATCTGCCCCAAAAACCAATAAAAAAGAAAATGGATCAATATAAGATAATTACCCTATCAACAATAGTTTCCAAGGCAACAAACAACTTATAAATAAAAATGACACCTTTTTCAAAAGAAAAATGGTACTCTAATTCATTATGAACTCGCCACGCCGAAACTTCATAAAGCACACATATCATCATAATGAAATCCTCTCTTCGATCGAAAACCAAAGAAAAGATTTCAATTGACAGTATTTTTTGCAAAAACCCTAATAAAAATACATTCCGCATAAAGAACTTCAACACCCCAAATCCTTCTGTTCTGTTAACCACCTATAACATAAATGCACATAGCCAATAAATCCAAATTGAAATTCCTCCTTCTCTTGCAAAACTTAGCATAGAAGAAAACAATTACAGAATTTGAACCACAATTTTATATATATGTACATATATACCTGGTAAATCCCATGGCTCCCATTTACAGACATCGATCTCACGAATAACACTGACTTCCTTATCACATCTATTGATCTTGAGCCGCAAATAGTGGTCGATCAGCTCCTCATCCGTCGGACGGAATCTGTATCCCACAGGTAAAGCTTTCACCGGCAGTACAGCCATTAGTCAAAAAGTTTTTACACAAAAAGACCCACGAGAAGCAACCGAACGGGTAAAAAAAGCAACGCTAAATTCAAGCAAGAAACTCGAGCGAGAAGGGAATTATTCAGTGGGGTTTGCAGATACAGACGATTTACAGACAGAGAGGGAGTGGAATTTTCTGAGAAGCAGCGAAGACTGGTTGAGTGTCCGCGTTGCTATTATTCCGTGCATATACCGTGTCGCGCTGAAATCTCCATTTTGCCACAAGTAATAAATATTGAGTAATAAAATTCAATAGAAATGCGCTTTTTGCTTTTTTGCTTTTTGCTTGGCAGTATGTCAAGAAATATGATTAGGGATTTTAGAGATGGAAGTGCAACTGAGAAATAATTAAATGTTTTACAACTATTTTTGTATATTTTTCCATTATTTATTTAAGGGTAGACTATATAACATTAATGTCTTAGTAAAAATACAAAAAATAATACTATATATTTTAGTTATTGCATAAACTCTTGTTAATGTAATAATTTGTTAAAATATAAGAATATGTTATATAATTATTCTTTATTTAAAAGAGTATAGTGACATGAATGATGTGTTTGTTTAGAATTTTTTTAAGTATATATATAATTTACAACCATTTTATATTCTTCATTTTGTTTAAGGTTTAATTAAAAGTTAAGCTTCTCGTTAAATATTTGAGTGAGTTCGTATTGTTCGAGCTTAATTCTTTAAGTAATTTTATTATTCGAATTTGTTTTCATGTTTGATTTGAATATATTTGTTTGAGCTCATTCAAATTTGTGCTTAAATATGTATGATGTTTTATTTATCTTTTAATACATATATAATATTTAATAATTTGATTATTCTTTTTTTTACATATATTTAAAAATAAGATTCGAACTCGTTAGTTAATAAAATAAAATTATTTATATTATTCAATTCAATTTGTTTATATTCGTAAAAACTTAAATCAAACCAGACCGAGCCAAATTGAACCAGGTTTACGAACAAACAATGTATAGTAATTGCCTAATTGGTAAAACAAGCCTGATACTAGTATTTTATTGCTTGTATTGGAGATATTTTTAAAGGTAATAAAGGGCAAAATAGAGAATTGGGTGAAACTGATGATGCAATTACAACTAATGATAAGATGCCACGTGTATAGTTTTATGTCAGCAACGTAGACGCCGACTATGAGAAGTCGCTATCATCTCTGTTTAGTTCTAGAATAATACTTTCTCCGTTTACATAATTTTGTCTTTATTTTTTATTTTCGTCTGCCTTATATAATTTATCATTTTTTAAAAATATAATTATACATTTTAATCACATTTTAAATTTTAATTTTTAGATATTTTTTTTAATTTTAATTAAATTATTTAGTTATCTTAATTTTAATTTATAATTATTTTTACTAATATACTTTTTAATTAATTTCTAATTATACTTCATTTAAATTCTCGTGTCTACAGCAATACACTCATAGTACATAGACGGAAGGAGCAGTAATAGATATGTGTATGTGTGTACTGCATTGTAGTTTATGTATAATTCCTGAAACGAAATATACAGACATTCACGCACATACCACTGGTAATGCTAAAATAAAGCATGTTATATATGTATAGGGAAATTATCATTTTTTTTTAATAACATCGTAATTGCTATTCTTCAAATGTATATTATAGTTTTTCCGTCCCAAAATCATAGTTTTATTATGTAAGGCACAAGATTTAATAAATATTAATATTATATTAGTAATTGGTAAAATATAAAGATAAATAGTTTTTTTTGTCATCGTGAGTATATTAGTGTAAAAAGCAGTGACAATTGTATAATAATAATAAAAAAAAGGGATAATTTTATAGTGATATAATTATTTATAAAAATATTATTTTGAGACGGACAAAAATGGAAATCAAGACTATTGTATTAGAATAAGAAAATATAATTTTCAAACCAAAACAATACCTTATAAACTAAGTCAATTTAAAAATAGAAAATAAAAAATCATCATTATTAATATTATTAATTTTTAGTATCAATGACAATGTTAGTATTTTTATTTAATAATGGTGCAAGTATATGCAGGCAAGAGAACGACAGAGTGAGACGGGCAAGTCAAAAGCTTCCTGGCCAAGGAAATGAATATACGGTATTGGCAGCAATAGCAATTCTTTAGTACAAATGCACCAAACAGTTCTATTTATTGTCTTAGGTGTGTTTGTTTGAGGTTTGAATTTTGAGTTTTGATTTGAATAGTAAAAATTTTGAATTTAAATAGTTGTATGATGTGATATAAATAGGTATTGATGTGATATTTTGAATGTAAAATTGATTTTTAATATAATATTAAAAATAAATGTTTGATTTGATATTTTGGAAAGAAAAAAATGAAATGAATAGTGTAAATCCAATCCAATCCAAAACAAACACACCCTTAATGTAAAATTTGTACAAAAGTCAAAATTAATGATGTTTAATCTAAAGACAGATCTAAATTATATAAATTTTATACAAATAAAAAATTTAAAAAATTTAAAATAATTTTTTTAATAAAATAAATAAATAAATAATTGATGAATAGTATTTATAAAAATCATATAACAGTTTCCAAAAACTATATAAGATATTATTTTTTATTTTTTTATAATTTTTTTTTACTATATATTCATATAATAATTCAAATAAAAATAAAATAAATGAAATCTTTGGAGTGGAGGCTATCTCAGCTATGGTATGTTATCTATGTTTACGTTATATGGGACTCTGTCAGTCACAATCTATACTACAAAGTTAGACGATTACGCTTGTTCTTGCAGCTAACTAACTAATTTCTGGCCGCCGCCGCCGCCGCGGATGTTGGTTTTAGTCGGGAGCGGGAGCATGTCATTCTCAAGGGCGAAAACACAACCGTGAGGCGAGCATGGTCGGAAAGAGAGTAATCTTCGGGCCACATCCCCTTTTCGACTTGTGTCGGGAACAACACTGCATTCTTTACACTCAATCCGATCCTCTGCTCCGTCTCGCTGCTCGCTGCTTCTTGATCTTGCTCTTTCTCTGTTCTTGCAGGAGCATGAGCATTCCATATTTGTTGCTGCACCAACATCGATCAATTAATCAATCAATCAATCGTCGAAGCAATTCAGCACACTCTCCTACGTTATTATGCAAGTCCCTCTCGGGAGGATTACCTTAAACTCATTGTAGTCGAGAACACCATTTCCATCGACATCCGCCTGCACCCACAGTTCTTGAACCTCTTCACTACTCAGCCCATTACAATGCCCAAACAGATTAAGCTGCACGAGCAAATGGCGAGACAAAACAAGAAACGGTTCAGCACCATACGCGCAACACTCAATGTAAAATCAACGATGCCTAAGTACCTGCCGCAGTGCTTCACAAAAGCCAGTGTATGTGAGGTAAACGCCGTTGCTGTCAGCTTTCAATAAAGCAAACGCGTCGTCCTCTGTCAGCGAGGCTCGCCTCAGTTGATACTGTAAAATCACATTCGATCATAACTGCCTTTATGCATAGAAGCAAGATTATAATCAAGCCATCGATAGACAAATCCGCACCTTGAACATTCCGAAAACAGCTTCACTCCAACTGGTTTTAAGCAACTTCCGGTATCTATTGGGATTGAGCAACCATATGAAATCAACCCCACAAATGTTCCCACGATGGTTCCGGTGGCTCACCCACTGCTAATGCAAAAACACAGAACCAGAGATGGAAAATCTGTCCAAGGGCCTAATCCTTGAAGTTAAGCAAAGAGTGTAACCATCTTAATTTACCTTGTGAGCATCTGCATCAGTATACTGATGAGCTGTGTCGTACGAAGATACAAAGCCTTGAGATCTAAGAAACTTGTATACATGCCCCCGCTTGCTTCCGTTCCAGTCGCTGTAGTAAATGTCAAACAACTGTAAATAAACAGGATCTCATAGTTTCCACTTATATTAGGCATATGTCGAGGAGGCCGTAGTAAGAACCATACCCGCAAAGTAAGATAGGCAATGGATTAAGTTTATTCTCTTTCTGATATGACTCCACATATTCCAATATTTTGTAAACCTGATCAAAGCAAATCATAGGAGTTGAGTTAATGATACGAATACGAATTCTTCTGAAAATTTAGAAGCACGGCATGGAAGAATTTAGCATACTTGACGCAGTCGCTCCAAGCTCAAGCTAGAATCGTGTGGGAACATTAAATGTGTATTCACTATAAGAATGTCTTGACAAACTTCGCTGCTCCGGCATTGCTGAAAGGGAGCAACTAGCTCGACGTGCAGCAGCTGAGCAACTCTGTCCCCAAAATCATTGAAAAGTAACTCTCTGTGGGCAATGATCCGAAAATGATCCTTATGCACAGCAGTAAGTAGACCTGAGATTTTACAGCAGGTGCTTTTACCTTATCGAAAACTAAGCAATTCGACTGAATGGTAACTTTAAAACTGCATAAATACAGCAGGCTTCATCAAGGAATGCTACACATAATGAAAATCACAAGTGCATCAATTATCCATAAATCATCTGGGAAACAAGAAGAGGATGCCAAAGAAAATTGGATCATGCAACACATCCAGCCATGAGATCAAACAAGATGCACATCAAGAGAAACACCAAATACAGCAGTCCTCATCAAGTTGTCGATAAAATATTGAAAACAAACCTATTAGTTCTCTGAAAATAACAAAGTTCTATATATCTGTAATTGATGCTCCCTACATACCATCTCCACGATTATTTGTCCGGGCAAGCTTGAAATTGATGTAACCAGCATCACCAAGCCTCTTGTCATAAATACTCACAAGCTCTTCGTTCCCAACCCAAACTTCCTGCCATAGCCGCCATGAAATTCAAGCTTGTTATATGGCTATATTTCATGGATCATCAAACAGGTTTTCCATTAATCCATTCCCATCACGGAGAACACAAACAAACATTTTGCAAGGGGAGAAGGGAAATGGCAAAACCTGAAGACAAATAATGGAAGATCTTTCGCACAGTAACCAATCCAAAATCCTCTCGTTCCTATCAAGCCAACAGTCCTTCACATCGCTTTCTCTGAAACTCGGGTCCTGCCATTTACCCCACAACAAACCCATCAGGAAATTTAAAAAACAAACAGTGAAATCCAGTGACATTAAGATTCGATTAGTTTTTGGGTAAATCAGCCATTGAGCTCCAAATAGTTGTTACCTCATGATCGAGCCTTTTGTAAATGGGCGCAAGAATATTAAACGTTGTGCAGGAAACAGAAGTGGGGTCCTTAGTCGACGATGCAATTGCGTAACTGCCAATTCTCAGCAGCACCCTCCCCTTGTTTACTCTTCTGTTCTTCTTCATACCCATAACAGGCTCGCAGGCAATTGTATTTCTAATTGATCGACGAACGAACGAGTGAACAAACCGAGACTTTTCCGAGGCAAGAAGATGAATTTCTAGGAACACACCCAACTGAAAAATAAATAATTTCTTGACAAGGACGAAAAACGACCAGGTTAGCTGAATGCTGCAGACCTGCAATGCATGTTTATATAGATAATGATTATGGGCTTTGAGAGAGAAGAGTATAAAACCATACCTAAACCTTGGGAGAGAGAGAAAATCAATCCCGATGTGAGTGGGACTCCTCCAGGGGAATCAGTGGGTATATATTGGCAACATGTCTTGTAGAATGTCGAATTGTCGACTGCTGACTGCTGACTGCTGCTGTCAGGATATAGATTTTATGTGGGCTCATTTTTTATTTTATTTTTTTAGCTGAAAAACTATAATATCAGAAGAAATTGTAGCACAAATGTGAATTATAAGCATCTAAAACAATAGTATTACATTGACTATGCAGTTTTATCTTGTGTTTTTCGAGTATCGGTCCCAAGATTTGTTCACCTTTTTAGCCGAAAGTGGGTTTGCATTTAATTTTTTGAGGATAAAAACAAAAAAGTAATTACTCGAAGCTTCTGGGAGCAGAGATCCGGAGTTCGATTCAAACTGTGGGTGAAGTGGTCCATCTTCGAAAGAGTTAAAATGGAGCTCAACTCCAGGAGCTCTTGTAAATACCAATGGAAATATAAAATAAATAAATAACAAAATATTATGTTGATTCAGTGGTTCATGTTCATGTAAATTAGCTGGAAGTGATTTTATTTGTCCACAAAATATTTATGTAATATGACAAATTCGTATGAGTGTGGTTTTCATTAACAAAACTAGTCGTGAACAAGCTGTTGTTCAGGTTTTGTGTACTTGAACATTATTTATATCTTGTTCAAATATTGGCATTTATTATTATTATTATTATTATTATTTGAGATGATTCGTTTGGGTCTATGTTTATAAGACTTGAGATTTCATTACTAATAATATATTTTTATGGAATTTTGAGGACGGCAAAAGCGCGACAACGCTTTCCTCCACGAATTTGACGCTTTAATTGTAGTCTGTAGACGGGGCCGGCCCACCAGGACATTTTTGTGTCCGAAGATCAATTATTAAAGCAGATTTAAGCGGTGCCCACTTGGCAATTATTTTACTGTTAAATTACTCAAAGCTTTCAAAAATAAAATAAACTGGTTATTGTTGTTATTTACTTATATTTAACGGAGGCAGGAACGTAGTGCGTCTGTTAGTGCTTCTAAAGGTTGTTTAATTATATATGTATACATACATACTCAATTATCAATATTATATAATATTAATATTCCTTGATTTTTTATTTTTTTTTATTTTTTTTTATATAAAGAAGAGGGGGGCGGGTGGTGGTTGGGGGACATATTCCTGAATGTGGGTGCGTACGTGTTCCTAATTCTTATTCTATTACTGCTTTTTATTATTTATTTCATCAATAAAATTAAATATACCACTGAGGTAGTTATGGTACTTATCATCATGTTTTATAATTTACATTGCTGAATCGAATCATTAATAGTTTTATTTATATATTTTTTAAACTTTTTTTAGTAATTATAATAATAATAATATGTGTATATTGCTTATCAAATAAGGGCAACGAAAGTAAAAAGAGCATATAGAATGAAAAGCAAAGAAAAAGCTCTTGTAGTAGACATTTGAGTGACATGTCCAAGTCCTCACTCTTATCAAATATATATATCAGGAGCCCAACTCAACTTGGATTGAGTGTAGGTATTTTATTCTATATATAATGGCAATATTTATAATGTGTATGCATGTATATCATCCAACAAGACTTACTCTAATGAGTAATGACCACCACCCGATCATGATCTGCTTTCTCCTCATCGCCTTCTTCTTCTTCTTCTTCATCTCCACTGCAATGAAAGCTGCTGACATCCAGAAAATAAAGCGCGAAAACAAGGATGAAGCAGCTTGAGGCCATTGCCACGGCTCCAAATATCCACATGAACAAGGGGAGCGAGAGGTAGAATGCCCGCAGCCCCAAGGACCAGAAATAGCTCCCTCGATTCACTATCCTCGCCACATTCTCCGCCGTCATGGTTTTCTGGTCCTTCTTCTTCTTCTCCTCCCTGCTGCTGTTCATCCTGCTCGGCGATGGCACGTTTATCAGAATGCTGGCGTGGCTGTAGTACCTGATGGACTGCACGTTCAGCAGGAACGCCACCAGGAAGCACACCAGGATTGAGAACAGTTTTATGGAAAATCCTATTCCTAGCTTGCTGCTCTGAAATGGCAGCTCCGCTCTGCCGCGGCCGCCCGTCATTAGCACCGCGATCACCGAGCTCAGCATGATCGCCGTCGATGCCAGCACCGTCGACGCCATTATGTTGTTGCGGAGCGTCTGGACCGCCAGAACTCCGAACTTGGACGTGTCCTGAATAAGTATGTATAATCATCATCAACTCGATCCAGATCCATTCATACACCTACGCCTAATTGCACATTTTTTGTGTCGATTCAATTCGTAAAGGATTTGATTTAAAAAACCCTAACCCTAACCCTAACCCTAACCTAACCCTAACCCTAACCATGTATATACATGAGCGGATTCGATTCTATCGCGTTCAACACAGCAAAAGCTGAAACCCTAACAAAAAGGGGGCAAATCGATCGAAGACGACTGTGCGATTAATTGGAAGGAGTAAATGAATGAATATATAAAATAGTTATATGTGATTAACCTGCATCATGGCGCGAACCCAGATTCGGCGGTTGATGGCGTTGACGCCGATGAGAGTGGCGGCGGGGCGGCGGATGATCTGGCGGAGGAGCCATACATGATAGACGAGCATGAGCAGCAGGGCGATCGGCACCAAAATGTAATCAAGATATAAATTCTCCATCTCCATTGACGAATTAATTTATTAAAATAATTTGCAGAAACTTTAAAGCCTGATAATCAAAATAAAAGACGTTTACAGTGACGACCAAATTTAAATCTAAATCTAATAAATAAAAAACTAAATATAAAAAATCTCTTACATAATTAATAGATATCGGAAGGAACTGATCACCAGCCTCTGCCGGGATTGGGAAACGACTGTGTCAGTCAATCTGTGAACGCAAAACGACGACGACAGCTGTATCCTTTAAATATATACAGATAGTACAATGAATACACGCACGGCACGCACAGGTGAATTAAGGCGGCACACTGGTTGCTTGGCAGTTTGCGACGGAAACAATATTCCAGTACATCACGGTTTTCCTGCGCCTCCTCCCTCCGATCGAAGCAATCTTTTCAGAATAAAAACTATTATTAAATAATGGTATGTTTTAAGGGTGTGTTTCTTTACCTCCCAAACATCAGGTTTCTAGTTTGCTTTAAAATATATATATATATATATATTTTTTTTTTAAAAAAATATTGTAAATTATTTTAATACTAAATTTAAACCAAATTTTTTTCAAATTTATGTAAAGAAACAAATCCTTAATAACATAATTATTAACTTACCGTGGAAATAAAAAATATCCTATTAATAATACCCCACTTATATTATGGTAAATGTTTTAATAAATTACTAGGATTGTTTTTAGAAAAAAATATTTGTAGATCTTTTGTCTTTTCACAATAATGTTAATAAATACAATGTTTAAGGCTTGAAATAATAAGATTTGATTTAAATTAAAATAATATGTATATAATAGCATACGAAAATGAAAAAAATGACAGGGTAGGTAAGTGGGATGGAAGAAGTAATATTTACCCCTCATTTTCAGAAAAGATGTCTTGTTTGTTGGAATTTGACACTAATAATAGTATTTAAATGGAAATAGTATAAAATAGAATTTAAAAGAATAAAATGACTTTACTTTTTGAAAAATTTTAAAAAATAGATTACAGAATAATTTGAAAAAATAGAACTAATTTTGTTATAGGTTGAGGTCACAATTACTAAATAACGGAACATAACAATTGTTTTGAAATTGGAAGATAAAGAAAACTTTTTGGTAACTGAGGAAATACTAAATTTAAGTGTAAAAAGTAAATATTATAAAGTGTAGGGAGGTATTATTTTTTAGTTTTAATGTCAAACAAACAAGTTTGCTCGACTGAGAGTAGTTTCTAATTAGTGGGCTGGGCTGGGCTGGGCTTAAATGTCAATAATAAATATGACCAAATCCAATCGAGCCCAACCATAACGTACTATCGCGCATTGACCAAACCAACCCAAACCCATTGAGTGAGACTGAGACTGAGACTGAGACTTCGTCGTCATTAAACCTATCCGCTCTGTGAAATTTCTTCCCTCGTCCCTCCAATTCCTCTGTGCCAATTGTTTGAGGACGGGAAGCTCTTAATGGTAAGTCATGTCTTATTTTCTACGAATGGACGAACGGCGAGCAGTCTTGGAAGACAATCTATGTAGTTGGAGAATGTTGGCGTCTAGAATCACTGCCACTGCCACTGCCCGCTTTCTTTCTGTTTCGTGCTTGGCATTTGTTCAATATATTTATATATGCGTTTGATTTGTATGATGGACTGATTGAATTGCTTAAAGAAGATCAATTTTTCCCTTGCCTTTGCCTTCTTGGCACGCTGTGGATTGTAATTTAATTGCAAGTGATGTCAAGAGTAGGCTACAGCTTATCGACCAAGTTGTTAAATATATCTATAGCTTCTCTTTGTAGATCTAGACAATTGGAGAAAGCAGAAGCTGCTCTAATAGATGGTATTAGGTTAGGAGTACTACCGGATGTGGTTACTTACAACACTCTGATAGCCGGGTACTGTGAAGTTTCTGGTTTTGACAAAGGTTATTCTGTCATCCCCAGAATGAAAGAAGCTGGGATAACCCCAAATTTGATTACTTACAATTCTTTGATGGCTGGTGCCGCCAGGCAGGAATTGTTACATTGCTGTCTTGATATGCTCGAGGAGATGCTTGATATGGGGATTGCTCCGGATATGTGGAGTTATAATACCTTGATGCATTGCTATTTTATATTGGGAAGGCCTGATGAAGGATACAGGATATTCCACGACATCATTGTTAAGAATTTCACACCTTGTCAAGCCACATGTAACATCTTGATTGGGGGGCTTTGCAATAATGGCCACATCCACAATGCTCTAAGGTTATTTAGGAATTTGAAGATTCATGGATGTGCTCCTCAGGTACTAACATATAACATACTTATCACTAGTTTGTGCAATTCTAAAATGTGGAGGAGGATGATGAGTCTCTTTAAGGAACTTAAGGGATCAGGTCAGCGCCCAACTGCTCGGACTTATACTTCAGTTATGAAGTGCTGCTTTCACTGCGAACACTTCAGAGAAGGATTTGAGATTTTTTCAGAGATGAAGAAGAATGGATATGCATACGATCTATTTTCCTACTGTACAGTTGTCAGTGCTTTGGTGAAGTCAGGCAGGAGGAAAGACACTGATGGGTGTATTGCACAGATGATTAAGATTGGGTATGATCAAGACATTGTAGCATATAACACCTTAGCATATTGGCATATCAGGGAAGGAAGGCTGGAGAAGGCCTATAGTTTGTTGAATTTAGCCACAGAGGGGGGACTGGCCTTTGATGCTTATACCCATACCATGCTGATTGATGGGCTCTGCAAAGCTGGAGATTTTGATGGAGCTGAGAGGCATCTCAATCATATGAAAATTATGGGCTTCAATTGCTTAGTTGCTCTTAATTGCTTTATTGATGGACTGTGTAAGTCTGGCCACTTAGATTATGGGCTGAAAGTTTTTGATTCAATGGATGCAAAGGATTCTTGTACATACTCTTCCTTAATACACAGCCTTTGCAGGGCAAATAGGTGCCGTCATGCTGCTGACCTCTTACTATCCTGCATTAAAGACGGAAAAAGAGCACTAAGATCGGATCAAAAGGCAGTTTATAATGGTATTTGTCAAACATATTCCAAGAGGGATGCCAAGAAATTTATGCTAAAAATCCGGGTAGCCAAGTTGTTGCACCATTAAATTGTCATTGCTGTCAATGGTGATTGCTGTCGCAGTCACTATGGAGGAGATGCAGTGCACTATGACCGACATAAGGTCAGAAATGATGGCCCTAACAGTTGATGTTTCATTCACAAGCCTTGATTAATTACTCCCATGGTGTAATGTTACCAGGCTTCCCAAACCAAGCTAATTCATTTCGCAGTAAAGCTGCAAGGTATGGAACGCCTGTTGTAATATTTGCAAATTCTCTGTTCCTTAAGAAATACTGAGGAATATCGATTTTTGTGTACCTTCATTTCACCTCAAGTGAGTTTGCGGGAAATTTCCTTGCTGTGCTTCATTATTTGTTTAAGAAGCTGTAATTAAATCTCTGCGCAATTACTTACAGCTTCAGCCCTCAAACCCCCTACTCTCCAATATGAACAGTCAAAATGTTATTCTCATTTATTTATTTTTATCATTAGCAGTTAATTATAAAACTTGGGATTTTCATTGACCTTTCCTCACTTTCTTGGCTAGTGTTATGCATTTCAAACATTTTTTGGTAAAATACATTGTTGCTGAGCAAGTATTGATGTATTTCAGTAACTTATATCATTCCTTCTTTTACAACAGTGCATTGACAGTGGTGATAATCTGTGTGTGCTGTCAAGATGACTGTTCGCTTTATTTTGCTGTCTCTGGGGCTGCTAGAACTTGCTTTTCTGGCTCTACATCCAGTAAAAAAAGTGGAGGGATCTTTAAGATGGCTTGAGCTACTGTGATTCTTTGTTTCTGGCCACCTGAAAATTAAATTCACTGTTGCCCAACTTAGTTGTGCAGCACTGATGCTCCTTCAGGTAATTTGAGATTTTTTACTATGAAAAATAATGGCACAGAGTAACATTGCTGTTATAATTTTTTGAAGCTTCATCTGATGAAAGGGAATGCATTTGTCCATTCAGCTGCGTTCTGCACCTGACCAACATCTGCATTTTGGTTTCCTATCTTGATGTTTCCAGAGACTAAAGTCGGTTCTTGTGAAAGCAATCCTATGTTTTGCCCGAGGCACTTCAAGTAAAGATCCTTGATGTGTAGTTGTCTATGGAAATCTCACCTGAGGATTTTAAACTCAGTCTGTCTTCTTAACTTGAATCCATGTGAACTTACTAGAAATAATGATCACCTCTTAGAAGATCATACACCATAGAATCGTGTTATTAATGACATGATGACACACTTCGCCCATCCACTGCTTCCAACAAGAGCTAGCGCTTTGCCTGCTGTGATTGGCAAGGAGAAACCTTGAACAAGTAAGTGTACATCGCATATGCATATGTTCCCATGAATCAATGTACATGATTGCCATTTTCTCAATTACCTTAAACTCCTTTCCTGCAGCTATTGCCTGATTGAAGATTTGTATGCCTGCCTGGCGAGGCATGAGTGAGTGATCTTAAGTTGAAAGGGATGTAACCAAATCCTGATGAACGGCTTCCTTGTCACTCCCAGCAGCTGCCACACCACAACAACTCCAATCCACACAATCAGCGGTGCGCCCATAAACAGAAACCCCGTCTTTCGAACGTGCCTGTGTCAACTACCAATGGTGCATCCCTTCAATCTACTTATGTAAGCATTCTGAGAAAGGATTTGGTTGCTGAATTCCTCCAGTTTTGATGTGGCTGGCTGGTTGACTGGCATCAAGCAAGCACAAGGCAGTACATAGAATATTAATTAGAGGCGAACTGGTTTTCATTTCTGAGATTAGAGTAGGTATCTTCTTCACCAGTCCAGTCTACTCCACAGATTGATTGGAATCTGCAAGTGAAATAGCAACAACAATAATAATTATGGAATGTCTTTTTTTCGAACAATAATTATAAAATAGGTAGATTAAACTTTACAATACCTATTTGTTAGAACCCTAAGAAGGTGCAAAAATAGTTGGACGATAAATGGGACTTTTTCTAACTTTTGACTAACATTTGAAAAGTTATAGATGTGATTAAAATGCTTTTTTTCTTTTCTTGAGAGGCAATGGTAAAATAACATGAGAAAAAGAGTAGACGTGGAGAAATTAAATGAAACATTAAATACTTTTCACTAAAGATATATATATATATATGTTGTATATTCATTCCTAAGTTTTTCATTGAATTGAGGGTTTGTCTTTGAAGTGTCAGCTAGTTCTTTCTCTCTCTCACCTCACCTGGCTGCTGCATACCCTGTTGCCCTTATTTTATTCCAAAAACCTAAAAGAACCCACAGGGAGGGGAAGGGGAAGGGGAAGGGGAAGGGAAGACTCATCGAACCTTCCAACCCCAAATAGAAAAAAGAAGAAATCGAGCAAGAAACGTCATAAAAAAAAAAAAAAAAAAAAAAAGAGGAAATCGAGCAAGAAATAACACACCTAAAGTCAAAAGTGGGTAGGAATTTCTCTCTCAACCACACTTCTCTCTGTTTCTTTTCGTATCATTCTTCCTCCGCATTTTTACCTTGAATAGAAGTAATTGTCCTCTACAAGACTTTCGAATTTCGGAAACCCAAGTGGGAGTACAGGTAAAGTTCGGATTTTGTAGCGTTCCCTTCCCCTTCTTTGTTTTATTTTTATTTTTCGAAATTGCCATCTGCTATTAGATTTATGTGTGTGTTCTGGTTTTGGTGGGATCAAGACAAAGTCTTACCAAGTAAGAATAGATTCAATTTGGGATTTGGTATTTTGAAGTGGATAGCTGCGTGATGGAATGTTAATGTGGGGCGAGATCTACTGCTTTTATCCTTTGTGTCCATATTTTCTGTATAAATATTTTCACGTTTAAGCTTCTGAATTTGGCTATTTTTGATGAGTAGTGTAAAGATTGCAGGCATGTTAAGTTGCACTTGTTGCAAAGTTTAGGTTACTAGCATTTTTCTACTATGTAGCCAAGTTTTTATCAACACCAATATAGTGAATTGGTAGGGTAAGAATCAAACTTTATGCTGCAATGGATGATGAATATTCAGAGAGATGGTTGATGGAAATTCAATTCTGAAAGAGTTGCTTTATTGCTTTTGCTTGACATTTTTTCTTTTATTCTCTTTTCTTTTCCAATACAGTTATCTTAAGTTTGGATCGATTATCCACCTCAAGTATCAGATTGCTTACTTTCTGAAGATTGAATATATTAGCTGTTTCTACCTGAGACATTGATCTCAGGGGTTGTGGAGGCCCAAAATGGCAGACGGCAGTCCGAGGACTGATACTTCTACTGATGCTGACACAGAAGACAAAAATTTGAGGGTAATATGTGACTTGATACAATATGCTTAAATTCTTGTTACTTTATTGGGCATGAATAGTCTGCACTATATATTCAGTTTTTTTTTTCCTTCTGGCATTACCATGTTCACCCATGGTGATAAGTTTAACTTTGTATGTAATGCCTACTTTTCATCTTTAACCTAGTGCTCTACTAGCAAATAGAACTCTTGTTGTTTGCTATTAGCTGATGATGCCATCTGTGTCTTGTGCAGTTTCAGAACAGTCAGTTACAGGTAACGGTTGCTTCTGATGGAAGTGATAAGTCAAGAGATCAGAAGGTTTTTACAGGCTTAATTTAACAAGTATATTTTTTAGGTTTGTTATGATTATGAATCTGAATTCATTATTACAACTACTTTGTGCAGACACTCCGTCGACTCGCTCAAAATCGTGAAGCAGCAAGAAAAAGCCGCTTGAGGAAGAAGGTAGGTTTACTCATGTGGGAATCACTGCATTTCATTTGTGCCAAAGGCATGCTCGCTACTTGTTGATGGATCATTTCTCTTACTTAGATATATCCTACTAGTAATGAATCAACAAGAACACTAAGTTGACTGATTATAAAACTAATTTTCGTACTACTAACTGGTGAACGAACGGAAGAGGTTGTCCTGAATCCCCATAAATTACCTGGCAATAAATAACACAACCTCTATGCTTCCGCCCAGATAAAACTCAACTGAACAGAATACATAAGAGGATAGATTCAACTTATCACTTTCCTGATGTGCCTTAATGAGTTGAATTCAAATATTACTTGCAGGATTATGAATGTATGATGTAAATCTGAATTTAACTTAGAATAGCTTTCCTCTTCAGCAATCAGCACTACTTTGTTTTGTAAAAAGTTGAATTTTTGGTTGCTCATATAGCTGGGCATACGTGTTACCTTTATTCTAAGAAGTTCTTGTTTTTTAACATAATTGATGTGTTCATGTGCTGTATCTTACATTCTATTGTTCAATGTGTCTTGGATTTGGAGCTCAGGCCTATGTTCAACAGCTAGAAAGTAGCAGAATGAAACTGACACAACTTGAGCAAGAGTTGCAACGAGCTAGACAGCAGGTATGGGCTCCGGGTTCTGACAATTAAGCTACGCAAATATGCAGTTTTTTTCATTATTATTTTCCTCTAATGAATTCTCTTTCTTTTCTCGTTTTTGGAAGGGTATATTTATTTCAAGCTCAGGAGATCAATCTCAATCAATTAGTGGAAACGGTATGCTCAACTTCTATTTTGTACGCGGTTTTTCATCCAGACTAGTGGTTGTGTTAGCTGTCATCACTTTTTTATTACAAAATTTAACCTGTGACAGTCTCTTAACTCATGTCTATAAGTTTATGTTTATAAATTGATGCAAAAATAAGCATCTGACTTTAGCTCCCATAGATGTCAAAGTATTTTGTGCTGGAGTAAAATTTCTAATTTAGGGATGTGTGGTGGCATTCTCACTATCCACTTCTTTTTCTTTTATACAAGAAGTTTACTTTTAAGGCATTAAGGAACACAATTGAATGGGTATTCCTTTTACCATAATCAGGTTTGCTTGCTTGAGGATCCAACTTGTGAGTGCAGTTCAATTGCTATCCCCTCTTCATTTCTTGGATGGGGAAGAAGGAATGTCATTTCATGTTTAATTATGCTTCCCACATTTATATATTACATAAGAATGCCTAATTTCTACTGCACGGTGAGAATGAAAACTTACTGAAGCACATCTTTGCTAAATTTGTCTTGATGTGGCGAATCAAACCCCGCCATGTATGGCAATATTTTGTAATTATTAAGGTTTTTCAAGAAAATGTCTATGGACATGCTAAGTAAATCTTTTTGTTGTTTTGTTTCAAAAAATTTGAAACGAAATTCATTCTCTCTTCTTTACAGGTGCTTTGGCCTTTGATGTTGAATATGCACGGTGGCTTGAGGAGCACAACCGGAGGATTAATGAGCTCAGAGGTGCTGTCAATTCACATGCCGGTGATGGTGAACTTCGTATAATTGTGGAGGGCATTGTGTCGCATTATGATGATATCTTTAGAATAAAAGGTGATGCTGCAAAGGCTGATGTCTTTCACATTTTGTCTGGCATGTGGAAAACACCTGCTGAAAGGTGCTTCCTCTGGCTTGGAGGATTTCGTTCGTCAGAACTTCTCAAGGTTAGTTGCATCTATAAACTCTTGTACGTCTTACTATGCATTGCAGCCAACATCCTAATAAGCCTCAATCATTGTCAATTGGGACCTTTCTAACTGATTCCACAGATGTAATATTTTTAAGTACAGAGAATCCCTTTGTTATTTCCCTTTCCTTTTTTTTCATTTCATTACTCGATCTGTGACATCTTGGTATAACTTATCTATAGAGAAGCAAAAATTATGAATAAAATATTTAATGGTACCTGATCCATAAGAAATAGTAAAGAGATGGAATGGAAAAATGGAAGATATATATGCCGCGGAGATTTTGAATAGGTAGAGGTTAGTTTAATCTTATTATCTAGAAAATAAAGCTAATTGGCTTTTGCTCAATCATTGTCAATGCACTTCTTTCTTAATTTCTATTGAAGTAACTAAATAAGCAGCTTGTGAGGATGTTACCAACATCTCAAGTGATTGCATTTGAGGGCTGTAAAGCATATTTCTGTTCGAGTAATTTTCTAGCAATGAAATATTTTTTGATTCCTGGTTGCAGCTGCTTATGAATCAGTTAGAGCCGTTGACGGAACAGCAGTTATTGGCCATTAACAACCTGCAACAGTCATCTCAACAGGCAGAAGATGCCTTGTCACAGGGAATGGAAGCTTTACAGCAATCCTTAGCTGAGACTTTAGCCGGTTCTCTTGGCCCATCCGGTTCATCTGGGAATGTTGCCAACTACATGGGTCAAATGGCCATGGCTATGGGAAAGCTTGGAACTCTTGAGGGCTTCATACGTCAGGTCATCTACTTGAATACCTGTGTGCATTTGATTTGCATTGATTTTAAGTTGATGAGTGCATTGCCATATTGACACCCTTATTTATTTACAATGGACAGGCTGACAATCTTAGGCAGCAGACCCTGCAACAAATGCACCGGACTCTAACAACCCGTCAATCTGCTCGAGCACTACTTGCTATCAGCGACTACTTCTCGCGCCTCCGGGCCCTTAGCTCTCTGTGGCTGGCCCGACCCCGTGAATAACAAGAACAAAGTTTTTTGTATAATTAATTAATTAATTCCCAGTGATGTATAATTTGTAGCGGGGCTTTGATTAGGGAAAGAGTTGCAAGAATTGCAGGATGGTGGTCATCCTAATGGAAATGGAAAGGTAGTGAATCAGTCAGTAAGTGTGTAGAGGTTGAGGAGGGAGGGAGGCATCATTGCCATTATAGGATTGCTGCAAGTTTATAGTTAATGCAGTAGTAGTAATCTATCAAATCAGAGTCAGTCGGTCATGTTTGTGTTGAGTGAGTGAGTAAATATTTTCAAGAAACCATTGGTGTCTTTTTTAAGTGCTGATTCTCATTGATGGACTGGACACAGAAACAGAAACACACACCAATTTCTTATTAATGGAATTGGGATTGCTTCTTCTCATTCATTCTCACACCATTATTATTCCCTTCTTCTTCTTCTTCTTTTTAGTTTGCTATTACATCATTTTGTTCAACACTGGAGAGCTGATGATCAACAACGTTAAGGTGGGGATGAATTGAATTAATGATTGCTGCATTTCAGCTGAGGGCCTGTTTGGCTGTTGAGGTCCTGGAGTTCCTGAGAGCAACCTTTACTCTTATGACAGTTACACTTGAGAGGACTTGTTAATAAAATAAGTAAATCCTTCCCTGTGCTTCTCTGTAACTCTCTCTCACTCACTCCATTATCCATCCATCCATCCATTTCTGCTCTGCCTGGCAGCGGCAGCTTCTTACCGCCGATCTGAAGATGTATGGTAATCTGCACCTACTCTCAATTTATCAATATGTACGTTGGGATAATATATATCAATGACTGCGTGTGCGTCTGATTCAACCTGCTGTTGTCTGCACAAATCTGCTGTTCTATTCACAATATCACTACTATTTTAGCGACGACGACGCTTATTCGGTTCTTGTGCTTTCTGCTTATCTTTCAAGACAAATAATTTCTTTCTTGGAATTCCTTAACACGTTTTTGTCGTTGCTTCGAATATTCAACGGCCGGTGTAGGCTTCGAGAATGTTGGATGTTTCTTTTCCTGCATTTATTGTATGGTTTTTCCACCAGATATGGCAGTGGCTGTTCATATTTGGGGAATGACTTATTAGGTTTATCAGATCCAATTCACACACAGCAGTCTATTCCACCGTTTTTTCTTAATGTTTCCTCTCTCTCTCTCTCTCTCTCTCTCTCTCTCTCTCTCTCTCTCTCTCTCTCTCTCTCTCTCTCTCTCTCTCTCTCTCTCTCTCTATTTAATTGTGAATTGTGACTTATATTGTAGATTGCCTTTGCTTATTTGCCAAAATTCTGTATGACAGTTTTCTAGATTTCATCTGTGTTGTTATCGTCAATTATGATATGATCATTTTGCCTCAGGGGAGAGTTACATGTAAGTCTCTCGTTTTGCAGAAGATGAAATGATTGCCAACAACGAGGACTTATTAATAGAGATCCTACTATGGCTGCCGCCAAAATCCCTGATGAGATTCAAGCTGGTATGCAAGCAGTGGCTCTCCATAATTGCAAGCCGGCATTTTTCTGAGCTACACACCCGACAGCAGCGTGACCACCTGTCTCATGATAATACACTCAGACCTTCCCTTCTCCTTCGCCTTGCAGAGTCATCAAATTACTTTCATATCCAACAAAGCTTCCAAGGTCAAAAGTGGTCATCGTATCACTTCTCTCCAACTCTTAGTCGACCAATTGTTCGGGGGTTCTCCAATGGGCTGTTTTTACTTCAGTGTCAAAATGGTGAGCATCCCCTTGAAGAGTGCCATGTTTACAATCCAGTCACCAAGGAATCTCGAGTGATTTCCCTCAACAACAGTGACCAGTCTAGATGCGTTGTCGGCCTCAACTTAGCATTCGATCCTTTAAAATCACCTCACTACAAAATTGTATGTGTCAGGACTACTAGAAGGAGGTCATCTCTTTTGTGGCGGAGTTGGTGGCGTCGTTGTCAGATTGAGGTGTATGAGTCCGACACTGGTGCCTGGAAGCTTCATGAAGAAACAATATTAGCCCCAAGCAACACCCATTTCCATCAAGGCATATATTGGAATGGTGGAATTCATTGGAATAAGATCTTCTTTGATCTCCATGGAAATTGCGTCAGAAAACATCCTGAGGTTTTGATTCCGGATGATCCTAGAACAGTGAAGTTTTGTGATTATGTTGAATCCAATGACTATCTGCATTATGTTGTATATCTCCCTGAAGAGAAATCCGTTATGGTCTTTGAATTGCTAAGTGATTACTCCAGTTGGACATTGAAGTACCATATTAATCTGGATATATTTTCTAGGCCACTTTCTGTGTTAAGCATGATCAGAAGAGAGAGTGAAGAAGATGACATGTTGATACTTCACAAGCCTGGCATGATTATGGCTTACAGGTTTAGGGATAAATCAGTAGAAGTGATTGTCAACTTTGAAGATGAGGAGTTTTACAAGGAGCAATGCATTCAATTCTTTTCCCAATGCACTATTCAGTACACTGAGACTCTAGCACCTCCTTGACTGCTGTTCATGGTGGTTAATTTGGTATGAATTTTTTTGCGCCTGCTTTCTACTCTTTCCTATCTGAACCAATACAATTCTGAGGATGTTTAGACAGTAATCTCTTCTTTTGTTCACGTCATTTTGTCTATTTCTTTCTAAAGTTTATACACATATGTGAGTTATACTTGCTAATACATTTGAAAGGATATCTTGGGTTGACGACTAAATTGTGTTTTAACTGCTGTTCTTCCCCTCCAACATGTTATTGTGGTAGAGCACAATCACTGCTTTGAACTTTGGTAGATCTCAAAAAGTTAAGGGGTTTACATTAATTCACAAATTATATGTAAAATTTTCTCTATGATGTCCTGCAGATTACAGTTGCTCGAGACAAGCAGAACTGGCATTGTGCTGAAGAAATGGCTTGTATGCGTTCTACAGACGATACAAATTTCATCTGCAAAAAGATTGCTTGGGAATGTCTTTGTCAAAGTGGCTGAACATGAGCATATTTGTAGTTGGTATCATCATTACATTACACCTTCGCCTTGTGGAGATGGAAGCTTGTGGATTGATAATCTATTTTGTTGTATTATCTGAAGGATCATAGATAATATTTAAAGAGAATATTGTTCTTGTAATGCTATGATCATCTCAAGGATGGATACATTCAATTAATTGTGAATTACGATGGCAGCTACCTAAATGACACTATTTCCCACTTGTTTCTGGGAGGGACCTACCTTTTCTCCTTTGCTATCAAACTATAGGTATCTTCTGTGGTAGATGCCAATTTGCATTGAGCTTTCATTGTATTGTATTATATTCAGGTTCAGATATTGACTGCCCTGTTCTTGTTTGAACTTATTTGGCAGCAACAGAAGACTGGCCCTGGCCGGCCAGCCGGCTCTCCCTAAGTCTCCGAGAATTATGTGGCTATCTTGTCTCTATTATCAATGGATGCTACTACAGCTCTTCTACCACCATCCTCCTTGATTTGATTAGAGGTATTGAACAAATCACCTCCTCTTGAATCTCCTGCAGGATGGATGGCAAATTCACCTTCACCTGGAACGACGATGTGTTGATGGAACTCCTCCTCTGGCTGCCTGCAATATCACTTGTAAGATTCAAACTGGTATGCAAACACTGGCTCTCCATAATTTCATCCCACCATTTCTGTCTTCTCCACACTCTCCGCCACCACAAACCCCAACCCTCTTTCATTTTCCACCCTCACACCATCTCCCCTTCCCAATTCTTCTACTTCCATCCTCTGTCCAGTGAACGTCTGGTGCCATATCACTTCACTGTCCCTATCCCTAACACAAAAATATTGAGCTCTTGCAATGGCCTGCTATTGTTGGAGTCTGATCAACCCGGAAAGAGTTGCTACATTCACAATCCCACCACCAAGAAATCAAGGTGTATTAATCTTACTGTCGGTGGCACGCACACAGATCTTCTGGGGCTCAACTTGGCATTTGATCCTTCTAAATCTCCTCACTACAAAATCATTTGCATCAGGAAAGCTGCAGCAAGGCAGCCTGCTCCCCGTAGGCAGCCCTATTCCCGGGATGGACTAAGTTGTCAGATTGAGGTCTATGACTCAGAGATTCACACATGGAAGCTCTCCCTGGAATCATTCACAGCATATAGAGAAACCAAGTTCTCCTTTGGTGTCCACTGGGGAAATGCAATTCACTGGGATAATCATCCTCGTGCCCACATGTACTTCGACATCAGTAAGAATGTGATTGGAAGCTTACCCTATGCGCAAATCCCATGGCCTCCGGGAGGAGGAGGTGGAGCCTGCCATTGCCAGCTCCAAGAATCAAATGGGCGTTTGCATCACTTCATCATTGTATCAGACAGAGGTGACAAATCAATAGCAGTACTGGAATTGCAAGAAGATTACTCCCAATGGCAGTTGAAGTACCATGACAAATTTGGTCGGCTTCCAGGTAAGACTCGGACCTTGTGTTTTGTGAGAGGAGACGAGAGAGAGGTAGACACTATGGTGTATCATGTGCCCGGAAAGATGGTAGTTTACAAGTTCATTGACAAGAGCTCTAAGGAGGTTGATCTCACAAATGAAGCATTTTATAAGTATGATTCTGTCTTGTTTGAGCCTCAAAATATCCATCTGTTTGGTGAAAGCTTGGTTCCTGTCTGATCCGACTGTTATTATAGCATAAATGAAGGTCTGCATTTGGCCCCTCTATATGCAGATTGGCTTTTGTGAAGAATAAGGTATGACTTTTGTAAGTGCTGGTTTATTTAATCTATAATAATCTCTTGGAAGTAAATACAGCCTTAAAGGTCTCTCTCTGCTTAGAAGAGCTGCAAAACTATTAAAATTTTATGATTATGAAGATATAGATAGATAGATAGATAGATAGACAGATCACTCAATCTCTAGTCTGAATAGTAATTAGTTATGTATGTAAAGTTACCCTTTCCAAAAAAGCATTCTTCATCTCTAAACCTGCCTGATTCAATCTCTCATAATATTGTTTAGGGTGGTAAGAAGTAAGAAGAAGGATTCTTCCCTTCCCTCCCCTGGCTGGATTCTAATCTTCTTAGGATGTAATAATAATATATAATTAGAGTGAGCAGTTGCCAAAGAAAGGAATCGCTTCTGAGTGAGGCCATCCATGAATCAGGACAAAAGAAATGCTAAACCCATCTATAAAGGATTTGCAATAGTAGTGAGTGAGTCATGTCAGAATTCCATCCCCATTTGAAGTTCATACCTCAGCCTCAGACGTACAAATATGGATGTCATTGTCTCCCCTCCCTCCCTCCACCCATGCCAATGGCATTGCCACCTTGGACTTGGACCTGGACCCTTCCCATTTCTTTCTTTCACTTTTCTTTCTCTTTAGTCTGCGGTTGCACCTTCATCGTCTCAAACAACTGCCCTTTCACAATATGGCCCGGTACCCTGGCCGGTTCAGGAACACCGCAGCTTCCAGCAACAGGGTTTCAGCTGGATTCCGGCCAGACCATTGCCATCCCCAGTGTTCCTGGGTGGTCGGGTCGCTTCTGGGCTAGGACTGGCTGCACATTTGATGAAACGGGTGTTGGCTCTTGCCAGACCGGGGATTGTGGTGGGAAGCTGGAATGTGCGGGCCTAGGAGCCACGCCACCAGCATCACTCTTTGAGATAACCCTTGGAACTGGAGACCAGAAGGACTTCTATGATGTTAGCATTGTCGATGGATACAACCTGCCACTCGTTGCTGCACCAAGAGGAGTTTATGGTCAATGCAATGCCACTGGCTGTTTAGCAGATATTAACATGGGTAATGAACAAATAATGAATGATCGATCTATCTACCTACCTACCTATCTATCTATCTGTAAGCTCCGTTCGTTACCATGTATTAGATGGATGATTCTGGCCTAACCAAAATGAATCAAACAGGATGCCCTAAAGAGCTTCAGGTGATAGGAAGTGAGGAAGGTGAAGGGGGTGTCGTGGCGTGCAAGAGTGCCTGCGAAGCATTTGGATCCGACCAGTACTGTTGCAGTGGGGAGTTTGCAAACCCGTCTACCTGCAGGCCGTCTTTCTATTCAGGTATCTTCAAGAGAGCCTGTCCAAGAGCCTACAGCTATGCATTTGATGATGGAACCAGCACTTTCACATGCAAGGCCTCCGAATACATCATTGTATTCTGTCCCAATAGCGGGTAATGCCTCCGATCCAATCTCTTCTCAATCGTCCTGTTTTTGACAACCAAAATTTAAACAAATCAGTGGAATATTCTTGGCAATACAGGATGAGGAGAATAGATGGTGGATTACAATCTCCTGTACTGGCAGAAAGCCAAAGAGGGAAGATTGCGCGGACAGTTTCATCTTCAACAATCCACCTACCTTTCCCGATATCAATATCTTTCCTACTCTTCACTCTCTTGCTTTGGCACACCTGAATCTTGATAGGTTTAACAGCCCTGTTCTTTCCAAGCAGCACCGAGAGAGGTCCTCGCCCACTAAACCTTATAGGCTATACCTCTCTATCAAGACAATGTAAGCGAAGCTGCTAGAGTTCAGTTTCAAGGACATCATGAAAAATATAAATTAACCTGCAGAGTACCACACCGAAGAGACTTATGGAATAACTAACTCATGTATCATTAGAATGGAATGATATGAAATATTCGAATAATTCAGCATTATCCTGCTTTGGTTAAGTAATCTGAAAGCATTTGCTACCTAGCAGTAAAACTCTCATGTAAATTAGGTAAATGGTACTGTAACATTTAGTATCTTTTTTGTTTCTTTAAAGCTTAATCTTACAAGAACTAAAAGTTGGTCCCCTCTAGCTATACTCCAGTTCATAGTCAGGCAGGCATATCATTTATAAGAACAGAATATAATTGTGGGGGGAGCAAATGAAAGAAAGAAATAAAATGAAAGTATCACTGCAGTGAAAAGAAGATCTCTCATTTCTTGGATTTGCTCTTTTTGGAAACTTGAGGTTTCTTTTTCACTTTCTTGAGTTGTTTTCCTCCTGTAGGCTTTCCCTTTTTCCGTCCTGGACCCTGAATCAAGATCTAAGCTGATGAGCACAACTTTCACATTACAATGACAAAGAATATCGAAAAAACATACTGTTGCTTTTCCAGGCTTTCTCATAGTTTCTGCATCATGTTGGTCATCAGCAGCCTCAGTTTTATCAGCTTGAGCAGTAGCCTTCTCACCTTCATCTTCTGAGTCAAACGAAAATCCATCGAGGGTTCCTAGTCATGGAGAAAAAAGTGATTCAGAGATTGGCTTTTCTGCATTAAAGTTCAAAATGAAGATAATACAGCTAACATAAGCATAGTAAGATTAATTATGATAATGAATCATCAGATAATATATATCTAACCTTCAACCATAGTCTCAGCCTCATAAACATTTGATTGTGGTTTCAACTGAATATAATCATTCATAATAGCCTCAATCTGGTCAGAGATCACAATTAGTGCAAATTAAGTAGTATAGAACATAATCTCCTAATTCCCCATATATTCTTTGACTTAAAAATTTGTCTTGTGATAAGGATTTACAAACCTTTGCCTCTGATTGGCTAAAGCTCACCTGAAAACATGAGATAACTTTCAGAAAAATGGGAATGTACATACCAGAAAAAGGAAGATCACCGCGAAGTAAGTAGTTAAGGATAGATGGAATACCACACAAAACGTCCTTGATGGAACTATGGTTGTTTTGTATATAGTTCCTGGAATAGATGTTTATTTAATCAGCTTGAATGAACAATGAATACAATTGACAAACTGTACAATTAGATTAGCCAATCTAATAGGCATCCTAAGAGTACAGCTCCATAGAAAACCCTGATGCTGCATACTATGATTCTAAAGGTAAAATAAGGGGGCAAAAAGGCCATCAAAATTGATGACAATGCTGACAAAAATTTTTGTTCTGTTCATGCTGATAGCAGATTCAAAATTTTTCCATACATATGGTAACCCAAAGATGTATTCTTCCCAATACAAGAGTTGATTGCTATATTAAGATTTTGATCAAATGGAAAATGAAATCAAGTACCCAAGAAAATAAAGTATGCACATGCCTTTTAAATCTAATAGCATCTCTTGATTTTTTGAAGGATCTTCTGAAATAACAACCCGTCCAACAGAACCAACATCACCACTCAAATCTATGGAATCACCTTCACATTCAACAAGTGCCTGCAACAGAAGGAGAAGGCAAGCAACCATGGGACCAATTTATTGATAATAATACACTAATTGATGTGCATTAGAAGATCAGGCAAGTGAAGTAGGAAACAAGGGAATAATATAAATTAGATGCAATAATTATTCTTATCACAAACAGTAAATTTAGTTCAAGCATCTCTTAATTCAATGAGATACAAAGGAAGCTGAACTCTTTAAAAATCCAACACATAGAATAGTATTGAGTTCTATAGAAACCAATAGAGGATATATAGAGAATTATACAAGTACTTCATGTGCTGCAATGCTTTTCGGAAGTGCCAGCCTTTCAAACTTAAAATTGAGACATGATATTAACATTTTAGTGAGATAAGGTACTATCGGCTAACCTTTGAAAGTTGAACTTTCTCTGGGAGCAAAAGTGGCACCGTTGAAGTTGCTACCTGAATTATTGGATTGAAACAAACTTGGTTAATTGTAAATAGCTACAGAAGCAGTTGGCATTGGAGCTTCTGACCTGTGGCCCAGGATGTTTCCTTGAGACTTCTTCCTTCACTACACTTTTGCTATTATTATTCTCTGTATTGTTAAGAAAAGGAAAAAGATCTTAGATATAACAAGGACAACAAGTTCCAAGAACCCAAAGGTCAATAGTTCTATAATCATTTCAGGACGGTTGCAGAAGTATTAGGACCCAGATACAAGGTCTTTACCTCCATCTATACTAGTATTTATAGCCTTCTTCATAGAGGTTTTCTCATCCCCTTCTTCCATATTTTTCACTGAAGATTTAACATTGGAGGTGCCATTTGTTGGAGATTCTCTAGCATCGTCAAGGAGAACATCACCAATTTCATTACCATGCTCTGTTGCAAACTCTTCTTCATTTGCTAATATATCCATTTTTGCCACTTCATCCACTGTAACAGGTTTTCTATCTGGACCAGATTCAGAATCCGAGGACAATGACCAAATGGTATGATTATGTCCCTATGGAAAAGAACATATGCATAGGCATTATTTGGGTGCATAAATAAATTAATGGATTTAATTCACAACTCATGAAAATGACAAGATAACAATGGAACCTTTTGAAATTATTAGGGTGCACAAATGATATTAACGTAACTACGTTTCGAAGCATGTTGCAAGCCACTAACTTCAATTGATCCAGTTGTGAATATGTTTGTGTCTGTGAAAAGAAGATGCTACTTACGTAAGACTTGTCATGCTTCTCAGGTTTATTTTTCTGTCCAGTGTTTTTCCGTTTAGCCATCTTCCCTGCATACAGTAAACTTTGTAACTCCTAGACAGAATAGATTCAAACAAACTGTTCTGTTTTCTAGTTTTACGAATAACGTGATAATTAGAATGCATATCAAGAAAGTGGTATGCTTATAAAGTATAAAACAACACCTTCCTTGCTCTCTTCTTCATTCTTCCTCTTCCTCACTGGTGTTTGTTTACCCTTTTCATTCTTCTTTGGAGACTTTCCTTTGTCACTCTTGCTCTCTGTATGTCCTCTTCCATTATTGGCATCATTACTATCAGAGATCTTTGTGGCTCCTTTATTAAACAATTTACTCAGATTGAGGCCATCCTCATCATCACTTCCGGGACTGCAATCCGGTGGCGACTCTGATCCAGATGACAGCTCTACAGCAGAGTAACTTGGAGGCTAATAAAAACATTAAAATCGTTACTCTTAAGATCCAAACAAAGAACACAACTATATGCATAACAACCTCAACAATTCAATCAGCATAAAATGGGTATTTTAACTCAGAACTTAGATACATACTGCTGCAGCTTCACAGGGCATCTGACCCAGCAAATCATTAATTTGATTATTGTGTGAGGCATCATCGGGAAGCAACTTAACTTCAATTGTACCCCAGTGGCACATATAGCAGATACGCTTACTAACATTACTAAAATTAACATCATATTAAGGAAAAGATACAGGATAATCCTCCAATTTGGTTTAACTTTAAAACAATCAGCACATAAAGAGCATTAGCCTACTCAGATTGATAAATTACAAACGGGAGACATTTATGAACTAATCTTGGAACCGAATAAAAATTTTGAGCAAAGTGAGCGGGAAAATACCTGGAAAGAGCGCAACCAGTCCGGAGATTCTTCTCTGGAGTCACCCATGCGAAAGCTTCAAGCACTAGATTAGATTTCGAAGCAGTAAGCCAGAAACCCTAATTCTTAGAAGGTTGCCGACTCCAGTCCTTCCAGAGATTCCCGACGGTGGGGAGGTGAGGCCCTCTGGGAAGAAGAAAAAGTTGTGGACGTAAAACCACAAAAGCTATAACATCGTGGGTGTGAAAGATAAAATTAAATTAAATTAAATTAAATAGGACTCCACTCTTTCATATTTGTATTTTAACCCCTGGAGAGTCTTAAAATTAATTGAATCGCCCAATTTTGGTCCAACTCCAATATTGAATTGTTTTTGTGCGAAGGAAATAGTTTCCCTTAGGGGCAATGTTGTTGCCGACAGAGAAACAAGTTTCGATTTGAATTACCGGTGCAATTGAAATCTGGATCTGCTGTTTGTTTAATTCCACCAGGAAGTTGTGGTATACATACATAAATCGACACATACATCATACCATACGAGCAAACACAGGTAAGTAATAGTAATTCTTATCTCATTCAATATACAATCGAACAACAAACAAACATACTGTATGTACTTCTGCTCCAATCATGATCAGTCAGTAGTGTATAAATAACTAAGTCTGATCTTGGAGATCCTCCCTTCTTTTGCTTGCTAACAACACCAGCAGGATTGACAACCCCAATTTCCCCTCAAAAAACGCCGTCCACGTGCAGAATTAAGAGGAAAGGGAAATACCAAAAAAAAAGGTGTGATAGAGATAGAGGAGAGATTATTGAGAGGCGATGCTGGAAAATGAAGACATTGATTGGAAGGCGGACAATTGCTCCATCAATTGCAAGATCCGGGACCTGTACTCCCTGGCCTGGTGCACGGCCTCTGCCTCCAGCTCCCCTAGCTGGCAGCAGAGGCGCTCCTCCGCTTCCTCCGCAACCCTAACTCTCCGCCACGCCTTCTCGAGCTCCTCCCTCATTCTCTCCTCTTGTTCCTCCCTCTTCTTCAGCTCCTTCTCCAGCTCCTCGTTCCTCCGCCGCAGCCGCAGCGCCTCCTTCTCCCCCTCCTCTCCCTTCCACGGAATCGCAATGCTGGGAGCCATATCAGATCGAGTAATTTAACAACTGATTGAGAAATAGCTAACCGCAGACACAATTTACAGTTTTCGATTTGAGATGTGCTGCAGGTATTTTGAGAAGGGAATGAATGAACGAATATATAGATAGAAAGCAACAGTGGAAGAGGGGTTTGCAGGTGCAAGTATGGATAGCGTGAAGCGTAAAGGCGTCCAGATTCAATGTATCTCGGTACTCTCTTTTATTCCCTCGGCTATAGGTCGGTCCCCACACCATTTATTTTGCTGCTGCTCCTCTATCAACCACGTAATTGATATCCCTCATTTTTTCTATTTAATTGTTTATTTATCTGTAATAGTGAGTCCATTCAATAGCCAATCCCAATTATTTCTTCCTTCTAAGGTCACATGTCTAAATTAAAATAATAATATTCCTCTTGTACAAGTGCAAGATTTTCATTTACTTTGACCACGTATATTTGAAAAGGCTAAAATATATTACTAGTATTATATAATATAAAAGTAATGACATTTAGAAGAATATTTATTATGTTAAGTGGATAATATAATTATTAAATTAAAAAAAAAATAATCTTATTTTAAGAGGGACGAAAATAAAAATTAATAACCTTCACTAATATTTTTAAAAAATAATAATAATTAGTTAATACTAGCATGTAGGCATCTAGATAGATAGAGAGGGGAGACCTCTATAATTTGCAAACAGTTTTATTATATTTCATATGTCGTACATACTATTTTCATATTGTCGTTTTTATCTACATTAACTCAAACATTCAATTTAGAACGGAGGGAGTACAAAATATATATATATAAATAGCAAACAGTTTTATTATATAAAATATATATTTTATTTAATAAATACCTTTATTATTTGTTCATAATTAATATAAATGTTGTACTTCCTTCGTCCTGCAAGAAGGTTGTCATTATCTTTTTGCGTGTTAATCTTTGAATATTAATTATGATATCAATACCTAGTACAATTTAAGAAAATAAAATAAAAATATGTTTATTAGTCTTTTATAATACATATACAATGATATTTGTTGAATAAATTATTCAAATGTAAGAATATACAGGTGTGTGTTTGTCTGTATATGTCTAGGTTCAATGTATTTAATGCTAGTATTGCTTGCTCTGGATGCTAGAAGTCCCGTTCAAAGGTCAATTGCATTTTGTGCTAGAGTAACAAAAACTTGTCAATACTCGTTAATGGAAAAAATGAAGTTTGAATTTGTCTAAGTCATTCTTAGAACACAAGAGAAGAGAGGAGTTTTGCGTAGCGTCGATAACGATGAAATTTGGACATATGACTTTTAAAGTAACGCCAATCACAATCACGCTTCAATTCTTCTTATTATTTTAGTTATTATTTTAACCCCTCAGTAGTCCCATTAGCCAATAGCCAATAGCCAATAGCCAATAGCCAATAGCCATGCTCTGTTACATTTCTATTTTTTTATTTATGCGGTTCAAATGTATGCTTGGATTTATTAATTCATTTCGATTCGATTGGCCGGCCGCCGGTCAATGCCGTGTTTCGTTATATATATATATTTTGGAGTAGGCAGGATTTGCTCTTTTTTTAGTTCATTTTTAATGTCAATTTAAATATATATAGGATATAATATTATGTGAAAAGAATACTATACTCCATTCATCTAACTCGTATGTATCTATTTATTTTTTGCAAGTAATTTTAATATAAGAGTAATATTTTATAGATAATAGTATAATAAAATATAGGATTTGTTTAGGAGTAATATAAGAATTGCGTGCATAATATAAAAAATAATATTTTATATTTAATATTGACTTTTGTGATAAGATAAATAAATATTGAGAATCGTGTAAAAAAAATTGAAGAACAATGAAATAAAAGAAAAGAAAAATTACCTTTAAATTTTTTCCATTGTTAATAGCATTATTTGTAATGTTGGGTAAAGTTTAAGAGTTTTTTTTATTAAAATAAAATTATTTTTTCTAAAAATGGAAATTGACATTTTAACTGGAGAAATGAAAATGACAAAATAATTATACGGCTTGGATGGAGGAAATATTAGTATTATAAAATATAGGGAGATATAAGAAGAATGACTTGATGACACGAGATAACTTGTAATCATGATTCTCTTAATATGACTTATTTTGTCTAGATCACGTCGTAACGAAAAAAATAATACTCTTTTCGTCCCACATACCATGTCCAAGTTGTTGTATATGTCCGTCTCACATATCATGTTACTTTTTTTTTTTCGGAAAATGATTACACACTTTAATCTCATTTTAAACTTTTTATTTTTAAAAAAAAATTTAATAAAATTAATTAGTTATCTTAATTTTAATTTATAATTATTTATATTATAGAATAATTATTTTCACTAATATATTCTTAATTATCTACTAATTGCACCCCTCCTAAAATACTCTATTTACAATGTAACAGACACGATATGTGAGACGAAAGTAGTAATAATAAAACAAAACAAGAGAGATATGTATGTTTTTTTTTAAAAAAAATAACAATAGTAATAAAATAATACTAATAGATAGAACATAGCAATAATCTTTTTAGTAGTGTACGTTATTTTAGAGAATACAATGTTTATAGTTTAGTATTTTTAAATAGTATAGATTTATATATAATATTATTAATAATATATATATATATATTAACACAATATTTAATATGTATTTTATTTATTTAAAAACGTTCACTATTAAACAAAAAAACATTATTTTTATATTATTAAATAATCTTTTGTACCTAATTTAAAAAATTCTTATATTAAAAACGCAAATGAACAAACTCATTAAAAAATTATTATTTTAAATTAAAAAATAAATATAAAACGTTTTGAACCGTCAAAATAGTCTAGATCACAAATAAGTTTACCTCAAATTATGGAATTTGTTTCCACAACATACTTTCATTTGTTTTATACTATTCATTTCTTAAAATACACCGCATCAAATATATTTTTTCTTTCACAAAACGATAAATCAAATATTAATTATTATTATTATTTTTTTTTTTAATTTCAAAAGTCTCCCAAAACCTCTATCTAAACTCGATGATTATGGTATTTCTTTTTTAACATTCCAAATAATAATAATAAAGAAATAAATAAATGAGGAATATGTCTGTAATGTGTTTCTTGTGAAGAGCATATTTTCTTTAAATAAATAGAATTGCCTCAATGGGATATGCTCTTTATTTTTTATTTCAGGCTGTTTACTGAAACTAATTCCTTCACTCAATCATTGTGTGTCTAGAACATTGTATTTTAGTTACGTTTTATACCCAACACTAATGAATAAAAAAGAAATATTAACACACACATATATATAATATACATAAAAATTGATAATATCACCACAAAAAGATAAAGAAGCTAATAAATAAAATTAAAGAGAGCAAAAGAAACTAGAGGGTTTGCTTTTCCTTTTTTTTTTTTTTTTTGTATAAATATAGGAGTACGTGTCTAAGGATGAACCTAATCTTTTGGTATGTAATAAGAACACAATTTCATTTGGATCTAACTTTCCTAGTTTATTTTATATTTTATAAAATATTTAAATTCGTTGGGTGGGCTGGGCTGAACATGAAACCCAATTCTATATTTTCTTTTTTTTGTTAGTAGACAGAACAAAGGCCCAAAGAAAATGTTAAATTAATCTCTCTCCAAATGAAATACTCCCATCGTATAAAGTGATTCAGAGAGGCAAAAGGGGCACGACACGACACGACACGACGTGCCTAATTGCGATTTTTGGGTTGATTAATTGATTCCAATAATGAGTTTGATTAGTTAAACAATTAATTAGGATTGGTATTGGTATTTCACCAACTGCACAGCACAGCACACCTGGCTGTCCGTAAGGCTTCAACACCAACGCCAACACGTCATCTCATTATTGTTATTAATACATGATTAATTTGGCGATGAGAAATGAGAGAGAGAGAAACAAATAAAAACCATATTGAATGGATGGACGGACGGACGATCGATATTCTGATTACTTGAATTCAATACAGCATATTATATTACTTACAGTTACCCACCGATTCAACCATCTTAATAGCTCCCATCTTTATATAACCAAGGTTTTTGTTTTTTATTTTGGTTTTGTATCTTTCCTCCTCAGTGATAGCAGCAGTCTACGCAATCTCCCCCCTCCCCCCTCTCTTTCTCTCTCTAGATTCTCCGCCAGTTTGATCCAAGCCGCCGCCGCCGCCTTCGCCTTCGCCTTCGACAACTATGTCCTCGCAAGTAAGCTCTCTTCATTCGAATCGTCCCTTGTTTTTTTATTTTTTTTGTCCAATGTTTCCGAAACGCCACTGAATTCGATTTGCAGAATCTTATTATATCTTCAGTTTTTGGATTTTTATTTTTAGTTGTTAATTTATTTATTTTCTGCTTAATCTGTAGTTGGGCTTGAAATTTGATTCTGAACAGTAATGAGATCGGCTTTATCGAGATCTTCGATCTCCTCTACGCGCGTTACTTTTTTGTTTTGTTTTTTCCCCTTTCTATTTATTGAATCTTACAACAATTTCTGTTATCGCTGTGTGTGCGTGTTCGCCGTATTGCTGTAATTTTCGGCTGCATGATCTGGTGACTTCATCATGCAACATTTTGGCTGCAAACTTATATAATTATATCAGAAAAAGGGTTCTTTTCTCTTCTTCCGTTGAAATCTTTTTTCTAAAAACCTTCTCACGGGAATGTTTTCAGGTGTTCAAGCACAATTATAGACCCATGCGGTGTGGAATTGCCCATGGCTAAATCCTAGGGACAACAGGAAAGAGGGAAAGAAGAAAGAAAGAACGACTCATTTGAACTATTCCATTGAATCTCTCACTTGGTTTTTCAATCTCGAAAGCCAAGTGGATTGACAATTCATCTCCAAGTAGATGGTGAGAACCTGGTGGTGAGATTTGGTTGAAATAGAGAGATGGATTTGCATGGTTATCCTCAAGGTGAACATGGAAGGTTTGAGCAAATACTCAACCAGTTCCTATTGAAGGCATTGCACATTATATTGGACTCTAGAGTTCCTCTCAATCGCCCTGCCAGTCGTAGCGGGGAGATAAAGAAGAGCGACAAATGGTTCAATCTAGTGTTAGGGGATCGCCCCGCAGTTATGGAGAGCTTGAGTTTTTGGAATAGAACTTTGATGGAACCCATGATAATTGATATCACACTAGTTCAAGAATCACCAAACTCTTCATCAGATCATCCTTCAAATGCCATGCTGGCAGCAGAAATGTGTTTGGAAACAGTTGTAGAGAGGTGGATAATTCAGTATGAGCATCAAAGGTCAATGGTTCCTCAAATTGGCGACACCTCTTATAAGAAGGTGTACAAGAAATCCATCATACTATTGCGATCAGTTTTTTCTATGTTGAGGCTCCTTCCAGCATACAAGGCCTTTCGTAAACTATGTTCGTGGAAGCAAAATTGCAATTTTGACATCAGTTACAAGGTCTGCTCATTTAGTTCTCCATTTTCAAGAGAGCTGGAAAATTCAATGAAGAGATATAGTTTTATTCCGATTGATGCCCAACAAGGTCGTCTTTCTATATCTGTGCTTTATCGCGAAGACCTGACTGATTTTAATCTTGATTCTTGTATGGTTTCTCCCCCAGAGATAATTACTGATTATGTAGGCAGCCCTCTGACTGAACCTATGAGGGCATTTCCCTCTACTTCATGTGAGAAGAGTAGCCCTACATCTTTCCCATTAAGAGGGAAGCAAACATCTTTACCGGTCCGGCGACCTCACAGCTGGACGAGTGGTCTCCATAGAGATATCTCTTTGCTCCAAAACCAGCAATTGAGTGGATCTCCACCTTTAAATCGCTCGCCATACGAGTATTCACCCTCGCCTACTGAAACATACATTCTTAGAAATCAAAATCCAAAGGTTTCAGCTTATCAGAGACCAGTACCGGATGATTTAGTTTCTCCTCCATTCTCGTCATCTCCTTCTCCATCTCCCCCTACACATTTTTCTGGTGGAAATACTGTTAAGGGTCGTCTGTATTCAGAAACTGCTCCCATGAGTATTCCTCATCCAATCATGGGTAGAAGTCCAAGATACCTCACTCCTAATTTTTCAGATCCAAATCGGAATTCCCTTCCGCCTCTGTCCCCAAGAAACACAAGGTATGATCCTCCATCCCATGAATCCCCATCTGGAATTCGATCAATGAGGAGACAAGATTCTCTTAGAGCTGGCGAATCAAATTCTGGGCCAATAAATGTTGGTCAGAAGGTAAGCCATTCTCTGAGTTTCTATTGTTGGTGCTTCTTTTTGCTTATTGGTCTATGCCTTATCCACTATGCTAATTTACAAATTTCTATATGGGTACTTGGGTAGGCGTCTCGTGAGGATTCTGGACGGTTTTCAGGTTTGCTGTCTTCTAGTAGTTCGCCACGTGTTGGATTTTCAAGGAGCTCTAGCAGACTGTCGTTCCAGGATGACATCGGTGATGTTGATTTCTCGTGCCCATTTATTGTGGATGACGTGGATCCTCCTGATAGCCAGACAAGGTATTCTTATTAGCTTATTAAACTTGCAAAAGTGACTTAAGTTTAAAACATTTGATTGGAGAACGAAGACATGCTACTTGATTTATCTAAAGAGGAATGTGCATTTTAATCATACCTCGAATATGCAAAGAGTGGGAGATGAAAATTCTGTTTTCTTACAAATTTGGTACCTGCGACTTTTCGTTAAATAAAAGTAGTATTCTACATATAGCATTCCATGTTTTAATTTAGGGGTTTATCGATCCCTACATTTAAGATCCTTCTCTATGGGACATGGTCATTTTATTTCAACCTGGTTAGTCTGATGAAGAGGTATCAGTGCTTATTGAAGGTTTACCTCACCGTTTATGCCAAATAGCTACCTCACAGTCTTGGATCATCAAAATAATACTTTCAGGATTACCTCATCTTGTTCAAAACTTTATGACTAGTTTGGATGAAACGATATGGTGGAAAAACATACTTCTTTTTCTTACCGAAAACTCTGTCCCTTTTGGGGTGGAAGGTTATTTCCTTTAGAATTCCCCAATTAGCTATTAGTTTTGTTAAAGGCTCGGTGGATATTTAGGATGCAACTAGACCTTTTGGTTGTATCTATCTTCTCTTATATTGTTCTAGTATTGATAAATGGAGATTACTAGTCCCTAGGAAATAATTTTTTCGTAAAATTGATCTGGACTTGGTGAACTAGATAAAGGTGGTATGCATGCAATCCGACATTTCAACAAAAGAAAGTGGGCAAATATTAGTTAAAAACTTCTCCATGCCTTATCGGAGGTTGATGCATTGTCTTCATGTTCTTTCTTGAGTAGTAATAATATAGTATGTAGCAAAATTATTATGTCCACGTATGCATTTATTGTGCTTGTGATTGGTTCATTCTGAAACCTAGGGCAGATATTATTCCCAAACATTTCACAATAACCTAAGCAGCATTTCTTTCTAGACTAATATATTCTCAAGTGCATCATAGCATGAGCTGGTTCAATGACTTGATATCAGGTGGCGTCATTCATCAACTATTTTCTCAGACCAAATTCTATTTTCGTATATTACTAGGTTTCCCGTGCAACGAACTGAGTATTACTCTGTGAGTTTGTGCTATATGCTTAGCATTGGTGCTTGTATTTATTGTCACGGGGATGAAGTTATATGGTATTAATGTTACTAGTCTTTTTGAAGCTGCCATTTATTCCATATGCATTCTGTTAATTACTAAGTTCGGATTTCTGATTTCATTCTCTAATGGCGTACACTTACATCATGGAGTTTGCTTTTTCTTAACAGTATGAACCTTGACAGAAAAAACAGTTCGGACATTTCTTCTCAAGCATCTTCAACAAGGAAGTCCCAGGATACTGGAGTTGGCGCCCTTGTTCACATGCTAAGAACAGCTCCTCCTCTTCATCAGGATTCAAGTTATTATGCCTCTCTGTCCTCTAAGACTGAGGTTGCGGGTGAAGCTGGGGCTGCTTCTGAATATTTCAAGCCCAGGAAAACATCCGATGCACTTGAAGAACTGAAGGCTTACAAAGAAATGAAAGATCTCTTACTTTCCAAGAGTGCTGCTGCTGGTATGACTGGCAAAGCAAAAACTGAGACCTAACTGACACCACATGTAGCCTTCGTCTCTTGATAAGTTAGCTTGAATAGGGTTACTGGTGATGATATCCCTTTCAAATTAATTGATTTTCATCAAATAGCAGGGGGTGTCAATGAGTTGGGGTTGTTGATTATTGTCCAGACAAATTGTATTATGTCTTTTGTGACTTGTAAATATGATCAGTTAAATTAATTATTTGCTGCTTGCAAAATCAGTGGCCATCTATGAACCGAATTTTACAGGAGTTTCTCTTTGTCTCGTGTACATTTAAATTGACATGATTCCTGTCTCCGGATGGAGTTCACTTATGGAGTTTATTCATATTTGGTATAACATAGTTATAGTACTTCCGCAATCTAGCCAACCCATGAATCTGCTTCAGAGTCTTCCCATTTGGATTGGTATATATGATTGGATTTCTTTAAATCACTTGGAAAACTTCCTTTCCTGCAGCTTTTGCCTGGTTGAAGATTTGTATGTCTGGTGCAGCATGAGTGAGTGTGATCTGAAATTGAAGCCTGGGAAATAAAACTCTGATGCTGGCCGGTGTATATGAATCATTATCTGCATTGTTTCTTACATTGCACCAAACAGGATGCTCATTACTGCAGAGATGATGTATCCTCCTTGTGCTCTCCCCGCAGCTACGACAATGGCTCCAATCCACACAATCAGAGCCCACAAACAGAATGTTACTGTTTGGAACACACCTGTGTTGCTGAAATAGCATTCATTTTCTGCATGTAGGTAGCTCCAATGATAAGAATCATGGGGACGATGAATAGTGCTAGAAGCGACACTTCCCAGCAGGCAATCAGAGCAATGAATAAAGCCAAAAAGAAGGTGCCAAGGCATGATATGAAATGGCCCAACTTTCAAAGACACCATAGAGGTTGAACCATTTTCCATTTGTGAGTGTTATCTTCACTTAAAAAGTTTTTCTTGTTGTGCCCAGGGATATTTGTATAGCAAACACATTTGAATCAGGTTGGATACAGCACAAAGAGGTTATCTTTGGGAAATGGTAATTTCCTTCTCACCAATTGCATCTTGAATAACAGACATGGGGTGCTGATACCACAGATTATTTTGCCCAATCTCTTGACTGAGCACAGCTTTTAAAAATGCTAGTCTCAAGCGTCTCACTTGCCTTTCCACTGGAATACATCCAACATCCTATCTCTGCATTATACTTTATTGTAGTTAAGACTTAAGAGCTATATATGTAAGTGACAACATTTGTAGCACTGCAACTCCTTGATTTATCAACTATCTAAATGGCAGTGGAACTTTTCCTACTTTGATATGATTTATGCCTTTAATCTTTTGAAAGTTCCTTGTGAAACGTACAGTAGCATTGATTTGGTTTGAGCTTGCACTCATTTTTCAACTTAAGCTGGATTTGAGCATGATCACCAAACTACTCAAAGTAAACTAGAAGTTAGTTAAAGTCGCATCTTAGTCCATTTGGGATTCAATATTAGTGAACTTAGTTCATGATGAACCTTTCTTTGGAGAGATACCTCTTCTCAAATATACCATGTTTGCTCTAATAGTTTTCTTTCAGTTCTTTCAAGGGATGGCTTAACAATCATATACAAGGAAGTTACCTAGTATTCCAGCTGGAAATGTACATATGGTACAACCTGATCATTGAAAATCAAGAACATGAGAGATGGATTTCTGTATCAATGCAGTTTGATGTATGATATGCAATGGCTTCAGATGTAACTTTCATGCTTTAGAGCACGGTCCATATCATTGAGGTTCCCAGTGTCGTTACCATATGCATCAAGGAATTCACCAAGCAGAAGATAGGCCACAGGCTGGGCTAGGCCATGGACAATAGAACCCAATGTAGCAAGAACTATCAAAAGCCAATCTAAATGGTCTGCCTGGCTCAAAAGCTTGTAAAATGATAAGGGATCATCCATCTTCCATGATTCCTTTTCATCTTGATTCTTTTCATTACTGCATGCAAGTGTGTGCTCATATATATATATATATATATCTGTACACGCAATTTCAATAGCATATATGTTTCCTAGTTCTCAGTGTCAATGATGAACATTTCGAGGATTTTCTTTGGTATGATCACAATACATCTGCATTTCACTCTTTGTTGTTGACAGGTTCCAAATTGCAAAAGGACAGGAGGTGGAACAAATTAACACATGCAACCGCACTTTAGTTCAACATGGAGTCTGTTCGAGGATGGTGGATATACCTTACTGCCTGTGCATCTCTGTTGAAGAGATGTGTATATGTCAATGCCTTCTGAATATATATTTGCAGATTCCAATGTTCATATCAACATATTTGTTAGCATTAGCACATAGCTGTGACACTGTCAAGCTGAAATGTAGTGAATTTTAAGTTAAGGATGAATTATATGCCAGCAATGAATGTTTTTATCTGTTGATTCTTTCGGCGTGTCTGGATCAATTTCAGTGTCTCTGTCGAGGGTTTGGAAGGCTGGAGTTAGTATGCTGATGGGAGCAGCAAAAACTGTGGGTATCAGTGTCCAAAGTTCAGTGATTGATGGAGAGTATCTATCCGGTAAGATCTGATGGCATCCTCAAAGGAAGAGGAAGCCTGTTTTCTATCAACAAGGATGGTTGTGTTGTGTACCATAAGGCAACTGCGTGAGCGATGTTCCATAAGCAAAGGGACACGCCTTGACTTGGTCCATATTTGATACTCTGGATCCTTCCTGCTATTCATCAATGGCTTCTTCAATGTAGCCTATGCTTTCTCCATTACTTGCTCTTCCTGGCAGAAAGAGGCAATTGTCTTGAAGTTTGTTTGAGACCGACTCCGAAGCAAGGGCAACCAGACACCAGTTCTGCAGTTTGAAAATCCTTTTGCCGATTAGACCACCGATGAAGTGTCATGGCATCACAGCCCAAGAAACCAGCCCCATGTTCTATTATTACTGTATAATAAAATTAAAGGTAATTAAGTTGTACTGGAGGGTGCATGCAGCAGCAAAATCATGTGAAATCAGATGGATCTATCTATATATATATATATATATATATCTCGTCATGTTGATCCATTTTTAACTACATCATCCAAGCCTACACTACACTACACTACACTACACAAGGCAAGGCAAGGCAAGCATCATCCACATTATCTCCTCCATTTTTTACAAACTAAACTGACATAGTAGTAGTAATCAATAATAATAAAAATAATCTCATCTCACCTCATCTCTTTCCAGAAGTTCAACAGCAGGAGCAAGAGCAAGAGCAATCCATCCTTCTTCTCACACGAAAGGAAACAAAACACGCACTGCACCACCAATTGCAACAGCAATTCTCCCCTCGAAAGAAAGGAAGTTTGAAAAAAAAAGAAAAAAATTGGTATTTGACGTGATGTTTGATAAAGAAAAAAAATATATATATATTCAATGTGATATTTTTTAAAAAATAAATAATATTAAAAAAAAATATTTAATGTAGTATTTTTTTTAGAAAAAATAAATAATAGTATCAAATAAGTAAAAATAAATGTTAATATATATATCCTACTTAATATATCTCTTGTATGAATATAATATTGTACCATAATTTGTGAATTAACAAAAATAGAGTTTATTCCATTAATCCTAACAATAAATAAATAAATTAAAAATAAAACTTTATTAGTAATAAATAATGTAAAAGTTTATTTGGTAAAACATAGTATTGAGTTGAGTAATATGTAGTATTTAATTTATGCGCCCATTAATTAATTAGTGCAGCTACAAATTCTTGAATGTTTTTGTCGGAACTCCCGCAGTCGTCCACCGCCTCCCTCGCCGCCTTCCGCCATATCTCCGAACCGAACGATTTCTTCTTTCCCGACGAGCCCTTCCCCGTCCTCCGCCGCTCTGACCCCGTCCCCCACACATCCGCCACCAACTTCGCTTTCGAGAACTGGTCGCTCCATTGTGGCAGCGCCACCGCCGGCACGCCGGAGCAGATTGCCTCCAGCATCGAATTCCAGCCGCACGAAGAGCACGTCCAGCTGATTGCACCACCGCACGATCAGACCGACGTCTCCTCTCTGTAATTCCGGGGAAGCTTCGATTCCTCCGACGCCCTAACCACCCACAGGAATCTCGCCGTAATTAGCTTCAGTGCGGCGGCGATTTCTCCGATTTGCTCCACTTCCGACCGGGCGACGTCGTCTTTTTCAGCCAGTCCGTACCCTCACTCGTAAGGTAATTATTTTTATTTTTGCAATTAAATTAATTAACTAACTAATTAAAATTAATTAATCCAACGTGTATATCACACAAATATTTCCTTTTCTAAAATATTTCCTTAATTAAAACATTTCCTTCATAAATTTGAAACCTTACGTGAATCTACGTTAGTTAATTACCGTTAGAAGAAAGATCATTCTTCTTCTTCTTCACTTCATTCTTCTTCTTCTCTGCTCCGGTCCCAGTTCCCTCCCCCTCTCCCTCTCCACTCCTGCCCCTCGCCCAGCCCACCAGTCACTCATGTTTCCCATCAGACACATGGACGCCCACTCCATCTCGCAATCAATCATTCAATCAGGTTATTTCATCTTATGTTTGGTTTGGTTTGGTTTGGTTTTTCATATCCAGCTTAGGTTCTTCCTTATTAATATATATACTCATACTTTATTTGTTCGTCCCTACAGTTTTGTAAATAAATAATATTTTGATTAATTTTTTGATTAATATTTTGTTCATGTCTATTTTCAGTTGATATACAAAAATGTTTTAAAACTATGATGAGATTTTCCGTACCCTTAGTGGGTTTTTTTTCTCATTATGGTGAGAAAATATTTTGTATATCAATTAAAAGATGAAGACATTGATTTAAACTTTTTGGGGATGGACCTAACAAATGATCATCTTCTACGTCATTCATTTATTTGTTGCACTAGTTAATATGTTACAGAATTCAAAGAAAAAAGAGGTTCACAAACAAAACCATTATAAGTCATAATAATGCTTCAAGTTTTACACAAAAATTATAAGAAAATGACAATTCATTTAAGAACACAACCAATAGTATTGGTTGTTTCTGTCCACCTGATAATTGAATTCCCCTTTGACCAACCTAGGAGTGCAGCAGTGATGCTCCTTCAGGTTACTTGAGCTTTTTATCTTGAAAGGTATTGGCATGCAGTAGCTTTGCAGTTGTATTTTTTGAAGGTTATCTTACCTCCGTCTAGTGTTGATCAGGAAATTGGGATATGAACGTGGGCGTTTGCCATTTCAGCTGCTTTCTGTATCTGGCTGTCATCTGCATTTTGGTTTCCTACCCCGATGTTGTCTTTGATGTTTCCAGAAAATAGCATTGGTTTCTGTGAAACCAATCCTATGTTTTGCTAGGCATTTCAAATCAAGATCCTCGATATTGCGATTGAGGATCAAGATCTCACCTAAGAATTGAAAACTGAGTCAGCCATATTAGTGTAAATCTATTGTAAGTTGTTGGAAACCAATCTATGTTTCAAATATAATTATCTACTTTCTATTATTTATATACGTAAATTAATTTTAACTCATTTCAGATTTATTCTGGAGGCAAGGAGGATTGTTCAAGGTAAACCGAATGGAGTTGCTAGACCGCACCAAAGAAAGAAATGGAAAATTTTGCTACTTTTGCTTTTACTTTTATTGCATCTTTAAATTGCATTTTTTTTCAACCTTTCTTGCATTTAGCATTAGAATCAATTAACGTCCAGGGACTTCCATGCATTCGTTATCAACTTAACACTCATACTGACTCCTAATCGTGTACTAACTATCTCTTTTTTGTATTCTTTGTAGGTAAGCCAACGTGGAGACTCGAAGACCGACGAATATCCACTCGATGACGAAGGTAAGTTATTTAAATCTAATTTATACTTTCGAATGTTTATTTACTTATATTAATTTTGAATTCTTTCAGATCTAATCGGGGGCAAGGAGGATTTTGAATGGAGTTGCTAGACCGCACTAAAAGAAAGAGAGAATTTCACTACTTTTTCTTTGACTTTTATTGCATCTTTAAATTGCATTTATTTTCAAGCTTTCCTGCATTTAGCATTAGCATCAATTTACGTCCAGGGATATCTATGCATTCGTTATAAACTTAACTCTTATACTAACTCATAATTGCGTACTAACTTTCTCTTTTTTGTATTTTCTCTAGGTAAGCCAATGTGGAGACTCGAAGACCGACGAAGATCCACTCGATGACGAAGGTAAGTTATTTAAATCTAATTTATACTTTCGAATGTTTATTTACTAATATTAATTTTGAATCCTTTCAGATCTGTTCGGGGGAAAGGAGGATTTCAAATGGAGTTGCTAGACCGCACTAAAGAAAGAAATGGAGAATTTCGCTACCTTTGTTTTTACTTTTATTGCATCTTTAACTTGCATTTATTTTCAAGCTTTCTTGCATTTAGCATTAGCATCAATTTACGTCCCAGGACTTCCATGCATTCGTTATCAACTTAACTCTCATACTGACTCCCAATCGCAGCTAAGCCAACGTGGAGACTCGAAGTCCGACGAAGATTCACTCGATGACGAAAGTTAGTTATTTAAATCTAATTTATACTTTCGAATGTTTATTTACTTATATTAATTTTTAATTCTTTCAAATCTATTCGGGGGCAAAGAGGATTTCGAATGGAGTTGCTAGACCGCACTAAAGAAACAAAAGGGAGAATTTCGCTACCTTTGCTTTTACTTGTATTGCATCTTTAAATTGCATTCATTATCAAGCTTTCTTGCATTTACCATTAGCATCAATTTACGTCCCGGGACATCCATGCATTCGTTATCAACTTAACTCTCATACTGACTCCCAATCGTGTACTAACTATGGAGGTGTTTGTCAAATAGTTTTTTGAAGAGCTTTTAGCTTATTGAACAACTTTTAGCTGTTTGACTAATCAAAAAACTAATTTAGGTATTTGGTAAATTAGTTTTTTGGAATTGCTTTTTACCAAAAAAAAACTAATTTCTGAAAAGCTAATTTACCCAGCGTTTTGAAATAGCTTTCTGTAAAAAAATTTTTTTATTCCTTATATGCCCTTAAAATTTATTATGCATTTTATACAAATAAATATATTTTGATTATTTATTAATTATATTAGAATATTTTAGTATATTATAGTTTTACTTTTATAAATTTAAAATAATTAATTTTTATATAAAAATTATTAATTGTAAAATATATAAATTTATTAAAATCAACATAAAATAAAAAATATAAATATTAATAATTTGTTTTTATTTTAAAATTACATTATATAAATTTTATACTAAAAATAAATTAAATTTATTGAAAATTATAAATATAATAAACTAATCGATAACTAACATAATAAATCTATACACGAAAAATTTATTATTTTATATTTTACATCATTTTCAATAGAAAAAACTATTTATATATTTTAATAAAAACATATTATTTTTTAAATCTAACTGTAATAAAAATAAATACTTTTATAACACTTTTACAATTTTCAATAACTAATAACAAAAAATTTTAAACATTCTAAATTAAAAAAAAACATAATTGAATATATTATAAACAAAAATAAAATAGAAATGTCCTCAATTGTCATTTTACGTATAAACAACTAATATCAAACAGTTGTTTTACCAAACATTTTAATGCAAACAGCTAATCGAATTAGCTAGTCAAACCAGCTAATTGAATAAGCTAACAGCTATCAGCTAATTGAATCAGCTAACAACTATCAGCTAATTGCCAAACACGCCCTATCTCTTTTTTGTGTTCTCTGTAGGTATGCCAACGTGGAGACTCGAAGACCGACGAAGATCCACTTGATGATGAAAGTAAGTTGTTTAAATCTAATTTATACTTTCGAATGTTTATTTACTAATATTAATTTTGAATCCATTCAGATCTGTTAGGGGGAAAAGAGGATTTCAAATGGAGTTGTTAGATCGCACTAAAGAAAGAAAAGGAGAATTTCGCTACTTTTGCTTTTACTTTTATTGCATCTTTAAATTGCATTCATTTTCAAGCTTTCTTGCATTTAGACTTAGCATCAATTTACGTCCCCGGGATATCCATGCATTCGTTATCAACTGAACTCTCATACTGACTCCCAATCGTGTACTATCTCTTTTTTATATTCTCTGTAGGTAAGCCAACGTGGAGACTCGAAGACCGACGAAGATTCACTCGATGACAAAGGTAAGTTATTTAAATCTAATTTATACTTTTGAATGTTTATTTACTTATATTAATTTTGCATCCTTTCATATCTATTCGGGGGCAAACAGGATTTCGAATGGAGTTGCTAGACCTCACTAAAGAAAGCGAGAATTTCGCTACTTTTGCTTTTACTTTTATTGCATTTTTAAATTGCATTTATTTTCAAGTTTACTTGCATTTAACATTAATATCAATTTACGTCCCGAGACATCCATGTATTGATTATCAACTTAATTCTCATACTGACTTCCAATAGCGTCCTATGTCTTTTTTTTTTATTCTCTGTAGGTAAGCCAACGTGAAGACTCGAAGACCGACAGAGATGCACTCAATCACGATTACGATCACTCGATGACGAAGGTAAGTTATTTAAATCTAATTTATACTTTTGAATGTTTATTTACTTATATTAATTTTTTGAATCCTTTCAGATCTATTCGGGGGCAAACAGGATTTTGAATTGAGTTGCTAGACCTCACTAAAGAAAGCGAGAATTTCGCTACTTTTGCTTTTACTTTTATTGCATCTTTAAATTGCATTTATTTTCAAGTTTACTTGCATTTAACATTAATATCAATTTACGTCCCGAGACATCCATGTATTGATTATCAACTTAATTCTCATACCGGCTTCCAATCGCATACTAACTATCTCTTTTTTTTTTTTTTTATTCTCTGTAGGTAAGGCAACGTGGAGACTCGAAGACCGACATAGATGCACTCGATCACGATTACGAACAGACAAAGGTAATTGTTTAAATTTAATTATCTACTTTCAATTTGTATATACTTAAATTAATTTTAAGGAGGATTGTTCGAGGTAAACCGAATGGAGTTGCTAGACCGGACTAAAGAAATGGAGAATTTTGCTACTTTTGCTTTTACTTTTATTGCATCTTTAAATTGCATTTATTTTCAAGCTTTTTTGCATTCAACATTAGCATCAATTTACGTCCCGGAACATCGATGCATTGATTTTCAACTTAACTGTCATACTAACGGTTAATCGCGGACTAACTATCCTTTTTTGTATTCTCTGTAGGTAAGGTAACGTGTAGACACGAAGACCGACGGAGATTCACTCGATGACGAAGGTAGTTTATTTAAATCTAATTTACACTTTCATATGTTTATTTACTTCAATTAATTTTAAATCATTTCAGATCTTTTCGGGTGGCAATGAGGATTTTTCGAGGTAAACCCAATGGAGTTGCTAGACAGCATCAAAGAATGCGAGAATTTTGCTACTTTTGTTTTTACTTTTATTGCATGTTTAAATAACATTTATTTTCAAGGTTTCTTGCATTTAGCAGTTGTATCAATTTACGTTATGGGACATGCATGCATTGATTTTCATCCTAGATCTTATATTGACTCCCAATCGTATCTAACTATCTTGTTTTTGTATTCTGTGTAGGCTAGCTTACGTGGATACTCGAGGACCGACGAGGATGTACTTGATCCGGATTACGAACAGACAATGGTAAGTTATTTGAATTTAATTCTCCACTTTTAACTGTTTATATACTTATAATAATTTTAAATCATTTTAGATCTATTCGGGTGGCAAGGAGGATTGCTCAAGGGAAACAAAATGGAGTTGCTCAACCGCACTTAAGCAAGGGAGAATTTCGTTACTTTTGCTTAATTTTATTGCATTCGTTTTCAAACTTTTTTGCATTTAGCATTAGCATCAATTTACGTCCCAGGACATGGATGCATTAATTTTCATCCAAAATCTCATAGTGACTCCTAATCGCATACTTACCTTACTACCTTTGCATCTCTACTGAAGAGAGAGATGTATTTTAATATCTTTTGAATATATATTTGCAGATTCCAATGTTCATATCTACAAATTTGTTAGCATCAGCACATAGCTGTGATGCTGTCAATCTGAAATGTACTCAATTTTAAGTTAAGGATGAATATATGCAAGCAATGAATGCTTTATCTGCCATTTAATCCCATATTTTTCCAAAAAGCAATTGGCCATGAAAATGGTAAGGCCAGCATTTACATATGTCATCCAAGATAGGATGATGATGGCATAAAGAATTTGGGGTTACAACTACTTCGGAGATTGGTAGGTGGTACTGTTGAGAGGAACCACATCTTATTCTTGATCCAAAATTAATGTCGTTCATGTAATATAATTTAATTAAACAACTGATAGTTGTTGAGACAGATTGGATTGAGTTATCCTTTTCATACAACAGCTGGGATTTTCTTTGTTTATTTGGTGCTTCATTTTTCTGCTATACTTTGAAGCCTGGAAAGTCTAGTGTAAACTCCATCAGCTGCTATCAGGGTTGCATGGGTGCCCATTTCCACAACCCTGCCCTTGTCCATAACCACTATAGTATCTGAGTTTATTACAGTAGATAACCTGTGTGCCACAGTGAGATGAGTTGTTCTCAGTGTCAGTGATTCCAGAGCATGGATCACAGCTCTTTCAGATTCGGCGTCCAGCGCACTTGTAGCCTCATCGAAAAGGATTATTGTTGGCTTTTTCAATAGAACCCTGGCAATGGCTATTCTCTGCTTCTGTCCACCTGAAAGCTGGCATCCCTTTTCCCCTACTGACGTGTCGTATCCTCTTGGTAGATTGCTGATTACTTCATGTATGTTTGAATCCATTGCTGCCTGTATGATCTCGGTCTCAGAAGCTCCCTCGTTCCCATAACATATATTGTCTCTAATTGAGCAGCTGAATAGAAGAGGCTCCTGCTGTACCAAGCCTATTTGTGCTCTGAGCCTTTTAAGATTGTATTTTTGTAAGTCCTTCCCATCTATCAGTACTCTACCTTCTTTGATATCATAAAACCTGAGAAGAAGTGCTAAGACAGAGGACTTCCCAGCTCCACTTGGTCCAACAAGAGCAACTTTTGATCCAGCTTCAATTTTCAAGTTGAAGTTGTCCAGAACAGTTGCTTCTGCTCTTGTGGGGTAAGAGAAATGCACATCTTTGAATTGAATGTCTCCTTGAATGCTTTTATCCGATGATTCTTTTGGCGTGTCTGGATCAATTTCAGTGTCTCTGTCAAGGGTTTGGAAGGATGGTGTTAGTATGCTGATGGCAGCAAAAACCGTTGGTATCAGTGTCCAGAGTTCAGTGATTGATGGTACTGTGAGGGAGAATATCTGGTAAGATCTGATGGCATCCTCAAAGGAAGCCTGTTTTCTCTCAACAAGGATGGTTGTGTACCATAAAGCAACTGCGTGGGCGATGTTCCATAAGCAAAGGGACACGCCTTGAATTAACCCATATTTGATACTCTGGATCCTGCTATTCATCAATGGCTTCTTCAATGTAGCCTTTGCTTTCTCCATTACTTGCTCTTCCTGGCAGAAAGAGGCAATTGTCTTGATGTTTGAGACTGACTCTGAAGCAAGGGCAACCAGTTCTGCATAGGCAGCACTACTGCCGCTTGAAAATCCTTGTGCTGACTTGGCCTGGATTAGACCGCCGATGAAGTGGCATGGCATCACAGCCCAAGAGACCAGCCCCATTCTCCAGCAAACTCTGATGCTCACTGCTGTTGCAATCACTATGGACGAGATGCATTGAACTATGACAGACATACGGTCGGATATAATGGTCTTGATGGTTGCTGTTTCATTGATAACCCTTGATGTTATTGATCCAACACTGTTTTCAGGCTTCTCGAACCAAGCCAATTCATTTCGCAGTATAGCTGCAAGATAGATTGCTCCACGTGAATGAATGGAGTGAATTTCATGGTGGTTATGGAATAAATGTAAGTTCGTAGAGAAAAAGATCTGGGTACCTGAATATAGAGCTTGCCTGAGATTAGACATGGCCTTCTCCCCAACCACGCCGAAAAAATAATGCTGCAATGTGTGAGCAAAGAATGCCATAAATCCTATCAATGAGAACATAATTGAGTACTTCCCTACTTGGTGCTTTGGATGGCTTCTGTAGTAGGCGACGCCTATTGTGATGATGAAGAACCCAAAAACAGGCTTAGAAACGCCTGAACAAGCAGCACCAGAGGAGCCTATTGCAACCTTTGCAAACTCCCTCTTCGTCAATCCAAACCAAATTCTTAAGAACATCGATTTCTCTGTATCTTCCTTCATTTCATCTTTCTTGAGAGAGTTTTGGGGAGTCTTGCTTGGTATGCTGAATTCATCAGCTTGGTCAAGAAGCTGCGACGATATTCCTGTATGTATACTTGCTGCTTCTTCCATTGAATCCTCTACTCTGGAATACAAACAGTGAAAATGTTCAAGCTCTACTTTTGTAATTACTCATTAGCAGATAACTGTGAGGTAACTTGAGATACTTTCACCGACCTCATATCGCTTTCTTGGCTGATGTTTTGCAGTTCAAATAAGTTACGGTAAAATGTATTGTTGGAGAGCAAGTCTTGGTGGGTTCCAGTTTCGGATACCATTCCATTTTCTACGACGGCGATTGTGTCTGCATGCACAATGGTGGATAATCTGTGTGCTATCACAATAACAGTTCGTCCTCGCATTGCTATCTCAAGGGCTGCTTGAACTAGCTTTTCAGATTCTGTATCAAGGGCACTTGTGGCTTCATCCAGTAGAAGCATTGGAGGGTTCTTTAAGATGGCCCGCGCTATTGCAATTCTTTGTTTCTGTCCACCTGATAGTTGAACTCCTCTTTGTCCAACCTTTGGCAACAACAAGGCTTCGTAAGGCTAGTTGAAGTTAAAAAACATATTGTATACATAGCAGCTGTGGTGCCTGCAATTATGTGAGGCTTCATCTCACCTCAGTCAAGTATTGGTTTGGAAATTGTGAGATGAAAGAGTGTGCATTAGCCATGTCAGCTGCTTTCAGGATCTGATTGTCCTCTGCGTCACAGTTTCCTGCCTTGATATTGTCTTTAATGTTTCCAAAAAACAGCGTCGGTTCTTGTGAAACCAGTCCTATGTTTTGCCTGAGGCACTTCAAATCAAGCTCCTTGATATTGTGGCTGTCTATCAAGATCTCACCTGAGGATTTTTTATACTCAGTCAGCCTTCTTCTTCTTACTTGTTAAAAAAGAAAATCATTTCAAGTTGATAGAAATGATGATCGTCACCTCTTAAAGGATCATAGAATCGTGTTATTAACGACATAATGGTGCTCTTCCCACATCCACTGCTTCCAACAAGGGCTACCATTTTGCCTGCCGGGATTGACAGGGAGAAACCTTGAAGAATTAAGGTTTCCTTCCTGGATGGATAAGCAAAGTGTACGTCGTATATGTCTATATTCCCATGAATCTGCTCCAGAGTCTTCCCATCTGGATTGATATATATGGCTGGCTTTCTTTCAATCACTTGGAAAACTTCTTTTCCTGCAGCTTTTGCCTGGTTGAAGATTTGCATGTCCGGTGCAGCATACGTGAGTGATCTGCAAAGGGAGGGGGTGTAATCGAATCCAGGTAAACTGCAGAAGTATATGTGGTAGATTCTTATTAGTATTATTGTGTGGTTTGTTTCTTACATAGCTCCAAAGAGGATGCTCATTACTGCGGCAATGACATCTCCTCCCCCTGCTCTCCCGGCTGCAACCACGATGGCTCCCACCCACACGATCAGAGCCCATGAACAGAATGTCACTGTTTGGAACATGCCTGTACCAATGCCCTTCACCAGTGCTTCACTCTTGCTTATGTGGACTTGCCTTTGTAAGCATTCTGAGAAGGATTTGGTTGCTGAATTCTCTCCAACAAATGCAAACACAGTTTTGATGTGGGAAATTGACTGTCATGAGGCACAAGGCAATCAATCAATATAAGCCTATAATTATATATATTTGTGGCATGGCATTGGCATTGGCATCAGTAAGGAGTTGCTGAGTATATAGATGCTCTTGATTCTCTACCTGTTCTACCATTGCAGTAGCCTCTGATAGGAAGGACATCCTTGCTGCTGAAATTGCATTCATTTTCTTGGTGTAGGTGGCTCCAATGATAAGAATCATGGGGACGACGAATAGCGCTAGAAGCGACACTTCCCAGCAGGCGATGAGAGCAATGAGTACACCCGAAAAGAAAGTGCCAAAGCAAGATATGAAATGGCCCAGCTGTCATGTCAACCAAAACACACAAGTAAGGGGAATCAGCTCTCAAATCTGTAACTTGTCGTCTTCACTTCACTTCAGAGCGTTTCTTTTCTTACTATGCCTAGTAGTAGTAGTAGTAGTGATGCACGTCTAGCAAACACTTTTAATTCACAAACAAAATGATCAAAGTTGGATGATTGTGAGTGAGTTAGTATTTACCTTCTCCCCAATTGCATCTTGAATAACAGACATGTGGGTGCTGATACCACTGATTATCTTCCCACTAGTTAGATCTGTATCAAATGCTCCAACCTCTTGACTAAGCACTGCTTTTAGAAATGCCAGCCTTAAGCGTCGCACCTGTCTTTCACTTGAGTATGTCCAGCATCCTATCTCTGCATACATTCAGTGAATCAGCAGCAATAACTAGCGCAGATCATACAAACTCATAATTTCTCAGTCAGTCTCATCTAACTCTTATATATCCTGACATCATTCCCTTGATGATAAAAACACAGACACCGCCTCAAGTTCATCTTAAGTTTAGATGTCATAACACTTGTCTTTCGATAGCATACTGATCTTCCCAATCTATTTATATAAGAAGAGCTCAACAAGAATGGACATGGAGATTACCCAGTATGCCAGCAGGAAATGTAGCGAAAGCCATGTACCACACGTATGGCACAACCTGATCACCATCAAGAAACACACAGAGCATGAGATGAAGCTAGAATTAATTAATGAATGAATATATGGAACAATGAAATTACGTACAAAGCAGTTGATCTGATCCTGATCCCCCATGCAAGTATATGCTATTAATTACTTACATGTTTAAGAGCATGAACCATGTCATTGAGATTCCCAATGTTGGTGCCGTATGCATCGAGTGCTTTGCCGAGTAGAAAATAGCCAATGGGCTGGGCAAGGCCATGGACAATGGAACCCAAGGTACCGAGAGCAATGAGAAGCCAATCCAAGTAGTCAGACTGGCTCAACAGCCTGTAAAATGGCAGGGGATCATCCCTTTTTTCATCCTGATTCTTTTCATCATCGTTATTGCCAGTCATTTTTAATTTATTTTTTTTTGAAGTTAGTTAGTTTGCATGGAGATAGATAGATAGATAGATAGATGTGCACAGATTAGACATAATTAAGTATGATTTAAATAGTATTTACGATTCCTAGTTTGAGATGGTAATGAGGAATATTTGGAGGATATCCTCGGGTATGATATATATATAGATATATATGTATGTGTGTGTGTGTGTTTGTCTTGGCGGAATATGGATGGATAATTGTGCGGGTGGGTGGGTGCAGAGGGAAGGGACACACGCAAGTGGACAAACAAACATGAGGAGAAATAATAAGAATAATGGTAAGTCCAGTTCCAATTCATCATGTGGTGGATATACCTATGCATTATTCGGTGACTGATCAGGTCGGTCTGTCGCAGCTCTAGTCGAGGACAAAGCTAAAGATATTATATATATATATATATATATGCCTGCATATGTATATCGATCCTTGCTTATTGTTGTATTATACTATATGTAAGAAGTACTTGTTTATATTATTGGGGCTCATCACATCAAAACCACATTTGATTTCAAAGTTTGTCTTGCATGAAGGCTGGCTATATAGTACTATCAATTAATGTAAAATCATATACTATATGATTAATCGTTCAAAACAAACAAAACTAGTCCACTAATTAATTCACTAATAGCAGAGTAAGTGTTGGGTGGGAGAAAAAGAAGAGAAAATATACTAGTCTAAGGCAGAAGAATATAATAGTTTCATATTCATATTGATGCATCAGAAAATCAGTATATATATGAATATGATCATCAGTGGGTTCAACTTCAATCTATCGTTGGTTGTCTTGTTGGTATGGTAATAGTATGTATCTATCCTTATTCTGTAAGTTCTAGTCGAAATCTTTAAAACACACTGAACAAGTACAAATTGCTCAAAACTCTTTTTTCCAGTTTTCCTTCACTTGTGAAAATTTTTCTTCAGTCCTCTACTTTCTGAAACTGCTTTGCTGATGTTTTGATAGACTTTGTTTGGGATCAGATTTTTAACTTCCAGATTCATTCCCCCTATTACGCTCTCCCGACTCGTTTTCTTCATCCTCTTGCGGATAGCTGGGTACTTGGGAGTTATCTGTGCAATTCTTCTACACATCGAAGCTTATTAGTGTAAGAGACGAGAGAGAGAGAGAGAGAGAGAGAGAGAGAGAGAGAGAGAGAGAGAGAGAGAGTTGTGTAAATTGGCTTTATATTTCATTCAAATAGTAAGGGATTCAATTAGGATTTGTTAGATTAGGGACCATTCTTGACTGTTGGCCACATTGGTTTGGTGCTAAGGTAGTGTGTGGCCGATCCTCACACAATTAGGTATGTTTTTGTGTTTTCTTTCGTGGTTCTATATAATATTTATTTGTTTGATTTTATCAAAAAAAAAATCATCTAAAATCACTACACATTGGTTTCAACATGCATGCATGCATTGCATTTCTTGCATTAGTCAATTTTACAATTAATGAAGTGAAGTGAAGATAAGATTGAATGAATGAATGAATTAATTAAGCCAAGCCAGTCAGTGAATCTGCAGCCATCCCTTCCCTTCCGAATCCCAATGGTTCCATCCACCCATAGCTACCAATGTCAGTTTAAGTACATCTTCTCTTTAATTAATTAATTAGGAATAGTGTATATAAATATAAATATATATATACACATACACATACACATACACATACACATGCATAATTAAGAAAGAGATAAAACGGATATATTATAATATGGTTGAGACTGAATGAATGTAGGAAGGGCTAGCTGCAAGTGGCTGCCACTGCCAATTTGATTTAAGTATTATTATTATTATTGCTGCAGCCCATCCCATTCTTGGTCAGACAGAAGAATTCAATTGTAGATAGATTGATAGAGTCTTTTATATCAATTGCATGGTCTTCTTTTTTAATATCATCATCATATTCTAACTCTTACCAGTCTCTCAACTACTCAACTGTAATTAGTTAGTTGGATCATGCAATTCATACTGCTATGTCTTTCTGTGTTTGTATGTCTTCCACCTTGCTGCAGCTGCTGCCAGATTAATAAGGAGGACACATACGGATCGGATCGGATCATATCATATCATCATTCAATTCAGAGACAAGACACCCTACCCTAGATCATTATTATAGGATGAAGAAGGAAGCTAAGGTTGGTTTTCAGAACTTGTACTAATACTTACTACCTCGCTCACTCGTAAATACTAACAATTAATGAATGAGTCATATTATCATCCATCCACTGCTACTGCTCCATCATCCATATCCATTCATCACAGACCCAATATTCCTAGTATATTATATAAAATCCTCCAACCCCGCCCCACAACTTTTGTCCGTCTTGTTCTCTTTAATTTCCGCTATCCTCACCTCCACTCCTCCCTTTCAATTATCTTGTTCTTGCCTTCACCTTTAATTTATAATTTCATTTCCTCATTAATATCTTCTTTTTAAGAAAATATATATATATATATGTAAATTGAGGCAGCTGCTGCATCCGTTTGAACTGATTTCTTCAAGTGGTACATAAGTATACATTTCTTATTATTATGGTGGTGGTTGTTTCTCAAATTCATTTAAGTAGATAGCATTATAGCAACATCACATCACATGCCTACAACTATACAAGCCAGTGGTCGTATTTCCACGACACCCATAATATCCATCGCTTTTTTTTTTTTATATGTATGTTGAAATTTCTAGTAGATATCTTCAGTTCAGTGCGGCTCGTGGTGAATTCATTCTGTCCCCACCCACTATATATATATATTCACGTTTTATTGGTTCACAACTGGTGGGAAAAGGAAAGGGAAAGGGAAAGGGAAAGGGAAAGGGACCAGCTTTCTATCGTCCTAGCTATCATATCATACCCCTATCCTATCCTCTCACTCTCCCATCTGTTTCACATTTTATCACCACTTAACATAGGACTGTTACACCAAGATTAACATGTCTTTTCAGCCTCATTAAGCTTGCTTTCCTGCTCATCATTACAGGTTGACAATCTCAACTACCTTTATCTACACGCCAAATATACACATACTACTCTCTCTCTCTCTCTCTTGTATCAGAGGAGAAGATGGAAAACAAGGAGGCAGCGATGAAGTGGGAGCAAGAAGCGGTGGAGGAGCTAGTAGAGGATGAAACCCGTCTCATAGTGAGAAAATCAACGCACAGAAAAGACAACGAAGCCGCTGAAATTTCTGCTCTTGACAACATTGCACAAGTGAGCAATGGAGTTTCTGAGAGTAATGGCCACGCAGGTGAGGCTGCAAATGGCGTTCAAAATGGAGACTTTTGCCATGGGGAAGAGCTGAAAGTAGAGGAGCCGGGTAGGGTTCATAATATAGAGCAGTCTGGTGGGGTTTTTGAGGTTGGTTCGAATGGGGCTATAGAAGAAGATTCAACTCACGAACCTGGCAGAGAGGAGGAGCTTGATCTTGAAGGGGTTCCCTCAACTGGGCCAGAAGGCATAAATGGGGACCCGAAACCAGAGAATGTTCTGATTTTCTATGATAGGGATGAAGGTAATAAACAAGACTGATTTTTTTCCCCTTCGCATACGTAGATGATACAGTGATACTGCTTCATTATTTTAATTGGGGCTGTGGAATTAACGCCTCTAAATAGCCAAACCAAAACATGAACAGTGATAATGATTGCATTGCCTTGATATACTTGGATCTCAAGTTTTAAACCCCACTCAATGGCCAGGCCAGGCCATACCCCACCTTTGTAAGCCCTACCATTCTGTTTAAACCCAATTAAAGAAATATCCAATTCCCTCTATCTTCCTCTTATCGCCACCCAACGCCTTTATTATTTTGCTTCCTTCTGTTTTAGTCCTGAGGGCAGTCAACAAATTTCAGAGTTGTATTTCTTACGGAGTGTGTATAGTTAGCTGGGTATGGAGTTGTTTCAGTGGGCAATGTTACTCTCCCTTCTTGAATGTATCTAACTTGCACTAATGGCCAATAAAGAAACATCATTTGGGTTAGGTTAGGCTAGGCTAGGGTCCGTCCGTTTGGTTGGAAGAGAAGTAAAGAGGATGACTGCCAGTTGGCATTTCAGAGTGGTGGGTGTATGTATCATTTACTTTGATTATGTTAATTCCAAGTTATAACTTGTGGGAGTAGAACCTTACAAGGTTTATTGGTTTTAAGCAACTCTCTCTCTCTCTCTACATATGCCTGTAGCCTTGGTTGAATTTATCTGCATTTAGGTCCAAGAGTGCTGCTGCTGCCTTGACATACCCCTTCCCTTCCCTTCCCCTCCCCCTTTATTTTGGACCCTGTTTTTGGATAATGGCCAAATTCCAGATCTCTTGTCCCTTTACTTTATTAATGGTTTGTCCCCTTTAAACTGCACCCTTCCAGTTTTCTTTGCAATTGTTATGATTGCAGTCACTTATCTCTTTTCTTACTGAAGGGATATGGAAGTGTCGAATTTGCTCTTGGACATACCGGAATGAGAGTATCTGTGTTGACCATATTCAGAATCATAAAGGGCAAATGCATAAGCTGATGAATGTCAAAACTTTGAATTTTGAATCGGAAGGTCAGCTGTGTTTTGGATGATGGCCACATAAAACTACTGTATTTATAGTTTGTTATGTGTTCATGCTTCCAAGAGGCTTGCATGTGGATTTGTTATGAAGAACAGTTTACTCGTTGTACTCCTAATCCTTCATAGCTACTTGATGGACAATGTCGGAACCCATATGGCTTTAAATACTGCTCCATGTTACAATGGATTCTTTCGCGAAGTCAGACTTGCAATGTTTTCGCTAACATTGGACTAATATGATGTCAGGTGTTGAATCTACTCACACACATATTGCAAAGCAAACTTTGAAGGATCCTGAGGATGACACTGCATTCAAAATCACATCTCTCGATTCCCTCATTCAGAATCAGGACACACCAGCAATAACGAGTACATTCGAGGCACATATTGAGAACGATAACTTTCTGTCTTCAAATACACAGCCCTCCCAAAATCTGTTCCAAGATCATGGTGGGAGTCACCAGTCATCTACAGAAATACAAAGTGTGGAGGTAGATCTGATAAATGAGGATGATCTGGAAGTAGAAGAATTTGATGTAGAAAGGGTGTTGCAAAAGCAAGCCACGCATGATTTGTACTGTCCTAATTGCAACTCTTGCATCACAAAGAGAGTCATACTTCGCAAACGAAAACGCAGAAATCGAATTTCTGATGAAGATGTACAGCGAAATAAAAAGGAGTTTGTGCTTACCTCCAAATTAGATGCACATACAGTTCAGTTGCCAAGGGATCAGATTCAGCACAATGATGAAGTGGGTGAAAATGTTGATCAACTTATAAGAGTAGACGAGGATGATCGTAGTCAAGGGCCTGCTATATTTAGATGCTTGTCGTGTTTCAGCTTTTTCATACCAATCGGTTAGACGTTACTTCACAGCCTAGAACTGCTTAAAATTTATATTCTGCCTCTGGTACCGAGAACAAAAATTTAAGCTTTCATTTAAATTTTCAGGGAATGGTTTGTCCAAATTATTTGGAGAAAAAAAAGGTAAAGAAGATGTGGTTGATGAACAAATTTCAAATATGAAAGAGAGGGGGTCTTCCTCCAAGTTTGCATCAACAAAGCAGAAAACTGTAGCTGAGCAAGGTATATTTATTTCCTTATCTCTGAATCCTTCGAAAGATTCCTATAAGCTGTACTTACTGATGGCATAGATTGCCTTGTGGTAGGAGTACATTGTAAGAAAAGTAGCATTCTTGGAATGGTCAGAAATTAGTGGTGCAACTTTCCAGTAAACAAAACATGTCTGAAATGGTCCTTGACATGGGTGTTGATTAGCTGGATAGAATCACAACTCACATCTATGATTTTACAAAGCTACAGGAGGTGTTTATACACCTGTTGTCTGTAGGCGGGTTTGCAAAAACGTCATTTGGTATAGGAAAAGCTACTCTGTTGAGAAATAGTTTAATATCTGTTGTTAAAGGCTTACTTCATTCATTTTTTAGATGCATACATTTACTAGAGACACGTGAAGAAAGGGAAAAACCCACAGCCATTCCCTCATAAATGGTACCCTCAAAATCCGAAACTCTGAACTACAGTTCAGTTTATATCATTACAATACTAGATTAGGCCAACATACAAATGCTATTTGATTAATACTATTTATGAAAATATCTCAAGTAACTACAATTCAGAAATAGCATCTGATAAGAATTTGATGTTCTAACCATACTTCTTAAGCCTCATTGCTTCTGTCATATGCAGGAAGTAGTTCTCAGACTGATGCTGGAGTTGTAGCATCATCCAACTTGAATGGCCAAATTGGCCAACCATCAGTTGTAGCAAAAAGTGATGGCCTTTCTCTTGATTTTGAGGGAAATGAAGAAATAACTGAAAACAATGATACTCTGAAAAGCAGACCTGAGATTTTAAGTATTCCACAGCAAATACCTTTATCAAATGGAAAAGTAACCATTGCCATCAGAGATAAATCAGATACGGAGACAAATGGCAGAGTTGGTATGTTTTCAGGCTTTAGTTTTTTACGAGGGGAAATTCATTCTCTCAGTATTTTTGTAGCACACCATTTGTTTCGCTTTATTGTTAGAGTAGCCATAAGTATATTACCATAATAGGTTTGTCTGTCTGATATATAAGATGTGAATGCTCTAATTATTATGATGCAATGATGCTACAGATGCAGCAATGGAAAACTTTGATTTGCATACCAAAGATCAGCTTAACGAACCAAAGTACGCTAGTCCGGAAAGCAATCAGTCAGTAACATCAGTTCCCATTATAAATCAATTTACTAATGAGGAATCTGTGGAGGATGCTGTCTCATATCCTGAGGACTGCGGATTGAAGTTGCTAATTTCCTCAAATAATGGATGCCTAGCTTCTGAGGATTCAGAGAAAAGCCAAATAGCAAATCAGTCAATGCAGCTAGGAGGTGCAGGTGATTTTATTATTGAATGTTTGTTCACTTTTGACACAAATAACGATAACGGAAGTAAACTGTGTTAGATAGTTCTAGTTCCCCTTGATTTATTATCTTTCTTTGCATCTCATATCCAATTAATTAAATTTTGATGATGATAGTTTCTTTTAACTGAAATATATATATAACTGAAATATATATATATATTTCAGTTAAAAGAAACTATCATCATCAAAATTTATGTGTATATATATATATAGTATATATATTAAATGATGGTGTTTTGACTAAAAGCATCAATATTTCAAAATGTTGCATAATATTCAAATTCTCCAGCTTAAAGCTTCTGTGGATGTGCAATAGGACCTGCATTTCATTTCTATATTCTCTTTTCTTGGAAGTGAATGGAGCATCTACAGATAAGGAGGCCATCCACGTCTCAGCTGCATCACTTTCAGTACTCAATGTGGCGGATGTGAACGGCCAAATGAATGCTTCTCTATCTGTGGTGTTTGAAAAGAATGCCAAGGATGCTGCTCCCATTGAATCTGTTCTCGAGAATAAAAATCCCAACTTCAGAAACAACGAAAAAAGTGGTATCTGCTTACTCTTGTTTTAATGGATCTATTAATTTGTTGTTTTCTTAATTCTGCATATATCTGATAATGGCTTCTCGCCCCATTCGTTTCAATGGGTGGAGCAACTACCTTCAGAAGGACCTGATCATATCTTTGACATAGCATTGTTGTTGCCCTTTGACATGAAATCCAAACCGAGCTAATATTAAGCCAAATTAAATAGGAATTGTGTTTGTGTTATTGTTGGAAATTAAGAACTGGGCAGAAATTCCTAACCACCCATAGAGTTGGTTTAAACTATAAACTAGGAAGTATCTAATTTGGTTTCATCATTTGAACATGTTGCTTTCTTATATGTTATATCATCAAATTAACACCATATTTAAGAATGTTTATGTGTGTTGATCATTATATCATGTGCTCTATCTTTCTTTAAGCATTCAAGTTGATCTAACAGGGGAAGTCTATCCATCTGAAGTGCCTCAACTTATATTCACCAAAACAAAGTTAGAAGTCCCCTCCAACAGGTCGCCTAACGTCGACAATGTTTCATATTCTCCAGCAGGACAAGGTATGCGTGTTGTTGGCATATAAACATAGAGTATGTAGAAGCAGGAAACACTTGACGTAGATATGCCAAATTTTGGTAATAGTTTACCAAGATTTTTAACAAGATAATTGGGTGTATCCATACTTCTTAGAGTTAATCATCTTGAAAAACTGATGTAGGCAAGGATGCTGTGATAATGATAGACGCCGCACAGCCCACAGAATCATCTGAAATTGTGCCAGATGTAATCCATCCGACAGAAACAACTTTATCACAAGCCACCACTCAAACTAGCATTGCTGGTAGAGACGGGAGAAAAGAAACTGAAATCGAAGTGATTAAAAGTATAGTGTATGGTGGCCTTGCTGAGTCGATTACTAGCCTGAGTGTTGTATCCTCTGCAGCTGGCGGTGGTGCTGCCACATGTAAGTATATGCCCAACCTATGCTTTCGCACAAATATATGGATTTTGATAGAATATAAATTTCGGTCTGACTTTCCTCGAATTCCATCCCCAGTGAATGTATTAGCTCTGGGAATGGCCAATCTCATTGGGGGACTTTTCGTAATCTGTCACAATGTAAGTTGTATGACCAACCATTCACTGCTCATTTACCACACCGCATCTTATGTAACATAGAAAGTTATGACATTCTTTTGCAGATTTGGGAACTAAGGGGTGAGCGCAAAGAGCAGTTCACCAATCGAATTTCAGGAGTAGCTGATGAAGGAGTTCGCTACAAAGAACTCCTAGGACGGAGGGAGAATTTCATACTCCATGCCACAGTTGCCATAATATCGTACCTGGTATTCGGCTTGGTGCCTCCAGCTGTGTATGGTTTCACATTCCGCAAGACTGATGACAAGCAACTCAAGCTGGTGGTGGTGGCTGCGGCTTCCATAATGTGCATAGCTGTACTGGCAATCGGGAGGGCCTATGTGCGGAGACCCCCAAAACCATACCTGAAAACGGTTTTGCGCTTTGTGATTCTGGGGTTTATGGTCTCAGGTGTTGGTTACGCTGCTGGTGATCTGGTGGCGAGGCTCCTGGAGAAGCTTGGCCTTTTCCAGTCGGATACGGGTATGGCTTTAGGCTTGCTTTCTTCGGCTGAGATTGTACCACCAGCTTGGGCTTCTTACTGAGTGTATGATGATGATGTACTAGTACCTCACGATTTTGCAGAAGCAGTTGTAATAATCTGAAGCCCATCTTCCGATTTCTTCAACTTTTATTGATGACATTCTTCTCTCTGCTGTTAACTGTTGTATAGTTAAACAAGTTGACAATAGGCATTCACCTAGGATGAGTAAGTTGAGTCTGTACCACAAGTAGTCCTTGGCTATAAAAACCCAAAGTTGTGTTACAAAAGCGTTCCTCCTCACTTCAGAAATCAGAAACAAAAAACAGTGAACATAAACCGTAAAATACTTGAGAAAGAAATAACACAGCATCACCAATATTTGCAAACATTCTGACATTCCTAAGCTCAGAGTATAATAATTTAAGAGCCACCACAGCAGGCAGCCTAAGTGCAGACGCCAAAAAACCAATTCCAAGAAGGGAGAGAGATGAGTTTACTGTGCGTATAAGTTTGTTCTTATTATTTGCATGCAGCATCACCTTCACCTTCCTCTCTAATCACAAAGTCTTGTCATCGGATCCCTGGCTCAGGTCTTGCCTGCTTTTACCTCTCTTAATCTTTGCCTTGACCTTAGACTTTGTTATGAGGGTCTGGACTGTGTTGGCAAAATTCCCCACAGCCATCATTATTAAAAGAACTCCGCATGTAATCACCTGAAATACATATACACTCCTCATGTTAATTGATGCCAATGATCTTCCTCTATCATTTACACAGTTCTTTCTTTTACCTGCCAATCTGAACCGATTCTAGCAAGTGCAGTCTTGAGCAGCAATACCCCAACATATGCTTCAAAACCCTGAAAATAGATATAAGATATAGATGGGTTTAAACGTGAACTCAAACAAACGAAGTTGTATATCCTAGCCTCCTATAAAGTAACAAGTGGCTGCAAAACCAGCCAAAATCCACTCAGAAAATTATGCAATATCACTGGTCCAAAAGGTGGAGTTATCTCCGGCATGATATTTAAAAAACTGGTGCCGTCATTAAACAAAAAAAGTGGCAACTCAAAAGTACCTGTAAAACAAAAAGTATTGGGCACAACAGCAGAAGCTGGCCCTCCACACCAGCAGTTTCTCCCCAAACAACGTCCATTCTCCGGGCCTACAATCAGGATCAGTACCAAAATAAATTCACAGAATACCTTAATTAAGAAGATTGACTCTCCACTTGTTTAGGATACTTCCAAACTATCACCATGTATGAAAAAATGGCAGAAATCATAACTATACTCAGCACATTTTAGCCTACCCAAAAGGGAAATGTGTCCATCACTCCCTTGGTAGACCAAAAACCAACAAAATAATAAATAAACAAGTAAATATTCAGGCAAGATGAATTCATTTCTTAGAAAGACTTATCATTAGCATAGAAAATCTACACCTTAAATTCAATGGACAGAATTGCTGGATTTTAGCAAAAAAATTAGAGCAGTCAAAGGTCTCCGAAAGATTAATCACAATAAGACAACAGAAAAACAACTGTAGAGCAACACCATTATCACAGAAGTTAAATTCTGACCTTGCCAAGTGCAATACGTGTATAAAGTCTTTGCCTTTGATATCTATTCTGAAGAATCATGGCAAATCCTTGCATTATTGCCCAGATCAAAAACAGTTGTACACCTCTCTGCAATGATCATTTTGATTTTGACTAAAACAAAAATGAAGAAATGGAATATAATAATAAATGAGAAAAAGAAAGCTGAATATAGTACATAACATACCTGCTTCTCAGCACAATCGGGTCCTCTTTTTGTCTCCCAAGTTAAACTAATGAGGGCCATAGCCATGGCACCGTAATGATGTTTAATCCACCTGCATACGTAAAATCAAAACAAAAAACATCAGCATATTTTGTAATATGAACCAGCAAGCAATGAAAACTAAAAAGGCATATCTAGGAAGAAGCTGAAGTATATGGGCCAGTAATATGCAACGATTAGTTTGACAAGAACCAAACATCTAACTAAACAGAGAATTTCTATTCAGAATCATCACCACCATTATCATTACATCTCCCATCCTCGGGTAAAGGGTAGTTCCTACAGGTCCCTAAGAAGGGATCCAACAGTTTGCTACAAAACAATTTATTTGAGAAATCAGGAAAAAATCCATCTGAGAGCATACAGTTGGGTATGTTGGTGTGAAAAGCATTACGGCTATGTCCAGAAGCATAATATTTCTCATTGCTTGTGCAGAGTGCAGAGTTCAATATAGAGAATTAACACAGAAGTTGCCCAGATTCAGTTCTAGTTTGAGGCCGTATGGCAGCATTTTGCACTGTCACTTTAAAGTTCTCTGTAACTCTTCCAAATGACCAGACAGACCAGATTAGATAAATGGGATTTCCAAAGAAACATCAGTTTGTTTCAATAATAAGTAAAGAACGCATGTCTTTCACACATTCCCCTCATCACAGATCTTAGCAGCATGTTGAGATATACATGCCAGGGAATATTTCTGTAACCAATCATTCTTTCACAACCAAAAAAACCCACAATGAAGGGTACAAATATATTCTTTCTAGAACACCTTCTTGCATCCCTTTCATTTTACTCTCCAGCCCCATCTCTGCCACAGGCATCCAAGTAATCCACCACAAAGATTTCAATTTAACAGCTTTAAAGGAAGAAGCAATTCCTTATGAAAATTCTTGTTTCTATAATACAATAAACAGTGAACATTGTTGCTTTGATGTTTCATAATGCAGCCATACAATATCCTATAAGTAGCTGAAAATCTAGTACTAAAACCAGAACAGTGTCATAGATACAGATACAAATACCTAAAATTAAAAACCAATACTGAAATACCAAACAAAGTTTAACTAATTTTCCACCCAAACAACAAACTCCATCCTTTCAAATTTGACCCTCTATTGTTCCACTGAGTTCAAAGATCTCACCTTTCAACTGAAACCATCAAATTACTTATTATCAAAACAGAACTTTAATGATCATTTAATTACCATGGGCGAATATCACTTCCATTCACTCTCAATATGTTTTCTCTTAAAGCCAGACCAGTGTAGAGATAAAGCAGCCATGCCTGTGCCAAAAAAAAAAAAGTGTTAAGATTGACTGTTGAATTGTTATCTATTTACTTCGAAAGAAAAAACACAACAGCCAAAAGCAATATGAAATTAGAAGAGACAGCCAAGCCATGCCAATACCTGGTATAGTTGAACTGGTAATGCAGGTAGACATCCATCCCAAACCCATGTCCTCAAAATCAGCAGCAGCGATGGCAAAAAGAGGAACATATAAGCTGTTCTATCCTGCCATCAGCACAAGACATGTCCAATAACATAGAATGAAGTGTTGTTATCACAGGCGGAGTGGATTAATAAAGTTATAACTCTAATATGGCTTGTGGATAAAAAACAAAAGAAACAACAAATGTCTTGCTTATATGATATAGGAAGCTTAGGAGTGCCAAAACTCCATAATATAAGATAAAAGACACTGACTCAACGTAGCAGTAGCAGTTATGCCTGAGGGCTACTAAACTTCCACACATTAAAAGCTAGTGGAGCTTAAAAATGTCATCACCACATCCCGGAATCCATAACACAGTCAAGATCATGGCTATACTCCATTCTATATACCCCTAGCATAATTTATGTGGGCTACTGACTTTCTAAACATTACAGGCTAGTGCAGCCTTAAAAGCAAGTAAAACAAAGTCATAAATCGCATTTCAAAGATTTCCAGTAGTCTCTAGCAAATTATCAGTTTCACTCATCTGCACAATCCATGCACTTCTTGTTAACCAAATCCCTTTGATCACCCATATCTAGGCCTCAAGATCGTAAATTAGGCAGATAAATACTGAACTAAAGAAGAATCCGGTACAATAGTGAATGGCAAGAGCGTAACACAGCTTGGGAGATGACGTCATACCCTGAAATTATTGTATTCCTCTTTGACTTTCAACTGCACATCCTTCCTGTTAGCCCTCACATTGATTGGCCCCAAAAACATCCTCAAAAACCTCCCTACATTCACAGGACAAAAAGAAGAAAAATTCCAGTCCGTCCAAAGATCACATCTTGAGCGCAATTTCTTATTAAAGAAAATGGAAGAAAAAGAGAAGGGAGCAAGTTAAGTTTAAAACCAGGGGATTTGCTGGGAAGGAAGGCAGCTGCATCTCCTTCACTGAGTATGTATCTCGCCTTCAATAATTCTTCTTCCACCTTGCAATTAAAAATGAGAAAGGGGGGGGGGGGGGGGAATCAGCAATTAGAGAGACAGAGGGGGCATCTGCAGGGAGGCATGCAGGTATGCATATGTGTATAGATAGATGTGATAATAGACGGGGATGGGGATGATGGTACCTTGTCGGAGTTTCTGGAAGTGCGGAGCGAGGAGCGAAGGGAGGCGATGTGGGAGTCGAGGGAGGCAACGCGCTGGCGCAGGTCGTCTTCTTCGCGGGAGGTGCGAGAGATGAGAGAGGAGGCGGTTTCCTGCAACTCCTTAGCTTGGTCGAGCAGCCGCGAAACCTCGCCGTCGACGGAGAGGGATGGCGAGTCCCCCATCTGAACTGGGCCGATGTCCGATCAAGCGGTGTGATGTATGACTGATTGATTGATTGTTGTTGTGTTCCCAGAAATCAGCCAGCAGATTTTGTTTCAAGTGAAGTGATTGATTGATTTGTTCATTAATCGATGGACGGATGGATGGTTCTTGGGAACAGATTTGCGTCGCGTTGCGTTTGAAAACTAATAGGAAAGAAGGGAGGATTTAGGAAGAAGAAGAAGAAAAGAAGAAAAACGCCAGTCGCCAGCCCACCAACGAACGGGGATCTTTCAATAAAATAATTAAATTAATTTAATTAATATCAACAACAATTATAAGGAGAAGGAGAAAAGAAGTATTATATCATGAGAGGAAGGAAAGAAGTGGAAGAAATTTTGGAATATGTTGGGTTTGGAATAAATCAAAAATCAAAGATCAAAATAATAGCAGAGAGCAGGGCAGAGGAGAGGAGAGGAGAGGAGCAACCAACCAAGAAGAAGAAGAAGAAGAAGAAGAAACACTAGGAGGAGGAGGAGGAGCGCGGTATCGTCGTCTAACAGCGTAAGCTGAAAATTTCAAGATAGCATCGTAATAATAATAATAATAATAATAATAATAATAATAATAATAAATTATTTAGTTAATTATCCATCCAAAATGACGAAGTAGAAGTAGAAGTAGCAGCAGCAGCAGTAGTGGTAATGAATTCTTCTTAATTCAATTTACTAGTAGAAAAATAAATAAATAAAAATCTAAAATGAAAGAAGATTGCTGCTACTTGCTACTTACTTACACAATAGAAGAGTACATGTGCGCGAGTGTGGTTAATTACATTTTGATGTGAGGTGCGTTTGGTTGTTTGTTTGTTGTTGTTGTTGTTGTAGGTAATCTTTTTATTAGGTTTTATTATTATTATTTATTTTATTAGTGGTGGTGAGCATATTTACAGACCACACGTTGAATTCATCTCATCAAGGAAGGGATGGATCGGATCGGATCGGATCTGATCTGATCTGGTCTGATATGATTGATATGAGGTAGGTGCGCTCTCTCTGTGTCTCTCAATCGGAGGTTGAGGTTACATACATACATCTCAACTCAACTCAACTCAACTTCACACGCACACCAACCATTACAATTTACAACCTTACTTGCATCAAAACAAAACAAAACAAATTCCATTCCAGACAGATACAGAAAAAAACAGAGACATCTCTCTCTCTCATAGTCAGCCAATCAGCATGGACCAAAATTGTTCCTCTCATTCCTATTCCTATTCCTATTCCTTTCGAGTCAAGAAAATAAATCAAATTCAGAGAGCAACTATACAACACCACCACCACCACCCGCCATGACTATTGACTATTGACTATTGACTATGCCCTCCTCTACTTGTTATTATTATATTTATTGTATTCTTCCTCTTATTAAGATGGCAGACAGAGATAATCAATCAAGGAAACAAGCCTAACAGTAACAAAATGCATGTAAGAAGAACCTCCCTTTCTTTCTTTCTTCCTTCCTTCCTTCACCTACCTACCAGATCGGTTCAGAAGAAGAATCTTCTTCAGCTGCAGCTGCAGGTTCAGGGGGGTCCTTGAACTTTGCTTTCTCGCTCACTTCTTGAAACGAGTTCACAAGGTTCTGCAGCCTCGCCACAAACTCTATCAGCAACGATGTATAATTTGCCAGGGACAGTGCACTGGCACTTTCGTATGTCTGCGCCTCTCGTGCGTTGGACGGGACAAAGTTTTCTCCAACCAGGGACAGCCTCGACGGCCACATTGTCTGCTGCCTCAGCATGTCATCCCCAGAGGATGAGCCCCACTGCGACGACGAATTGATGCTCATGCTCGGATTATTATTATTATGATGGAGGTCGTGGTTGCGCAGCAGCCTGGGCGTCGACCTCTGCTGCCCCGACTCAGCCAGGGAATTTATCAGCATGGGGCGGTAGTCACCGTCCTTGAGTTCCTGCAGTGCTTCTGGATCCGCAAACTTGGCGGGGCGCTTGTCGCTCTCCCAGCTCTCGGCATTCACCAGGAGATATGATTTCTGGTCGATGAGCAGCTGCAGATCCTCGGCAGCCTCGTGGATGTCGTGGAGCAGATCCCCCGGGGGGAGCTTTTCCATCCTTTCAACTTTGTCCCCGAGGAGTCGCAGCACCTGAGCACCTGCTGTCCCGACTCTCTGGATCTCTTTCTTGAAGACTTGCCGCAGCTCGGATGTGGCCTGCAGCAGCAGCATGATCTTGGTTGCTTCTGTTCCATTCTATAACTAATGACGAAGAAAAGAGACAAGACCTGGATTTCGGCGAGGATGCAACCGTGCATTGCCATGACCATGAATGCGCAATGGCGCAGGGCGCCGCTGAGCTTCACGTACTCGCTCCATGGATACTTGAACATCTTGTACCGCCCATGAGGAGGTTCCCACACAGCAAACCCAAGCTGCCATTGCAGATCAGACATCATCAGATACTATCAGTAATAGTCACAATAAGAATAAGGATTTAAGAATACCAACCAGGGCATCCTCCTGGCTTGTGGACTCGACTGCAGCTCGATACCCCTTGTACACAGGGTCGTCGAAGGCCTGGTACACCAAGATCTTGGAAGGGATTCTGGTGTATTCAATGCACTGCAAGTATGTGGTCACACACCCTATACCAATCAACCAATTGATCAATTAATTGATTAATGTCGTAGTATCAGCACAACTGACTAAATCCCTCCTCACCCACCCACCTTCTAGAGAAGCAGCGACTCCCTTGAAATTCTTGACGACTAGTTTATGCAAATCCTCTCCAGCCCAGATGGGATAAATGCATATGTTCACAACCAAGCACACACTAGCCCCGACACCAATTAGCATCAGCCTGGATATAGCCCTTTGGAAGAAATGTGAAGTTCCCGACACCAGCACAATGCAGAATGTCAGCATGAACACCCGGAACCCGTACTCGTACTGCTTCATTGCTGGATACAGCTTCAAATAACTAGCCAAGAACCCTGAACACAACAGACATACAGCAACAACAACAGCTTCCATTCCCATTCCATCATCGTGCAACGCTAACAACAATCAATCAATCTCTCTACACTCTCCTATGGCTACTACTTGTGCATAAATGATAGTTTAGATGATGTGAAAGAAGTGAAACAGAAGCAGACCTGCGACGAAAATGTTAAGGACAATGAAAATTTCTTGTAGAGGTCCAACCATCATAGACAGCTGTGCAATCCCCAGAGCCAGGGTTCCAGCAGAAAAGGTCCCCAGTGCGCGGTTGAACCCTTTATTCAGGGTAGCCCCTTCACCACAACAACAAGCATACAAACAAACAAATATATGATACGATTAAGTTAGTGAAGTCAAATCCAATCCAATCAAATCAAAGGGGAGAGAGAGAGAGAGAGAGCATTGTTTCCGAGGATGGATGGGACGGACAATAGAGAAGAACTCACCGATGCTGAACTCAAAGACCACAACGACGGTGAGGAGAGCCCAGATGGAGTACTGGCCGGTGTAGCTCAAGGGCACTTTGAAAAGGATGAGCACTGAAACCAGGGCCAAAGCACCGCCATTTTTCACTGCAAATATCACCTTCCTGGGGTCCGACCTTCCCATTTCGTATGATTTGACTGCAGCTCCTTTCACAGTGTCCCACCACCTGGAAAGGCACTCCTCCGTGCTCCGGATAGCTCGACGGCAGCACCCCTCTTCGACGATGAAAGAATCGCCTGATTCCCCATCATCCGAATAATATTGCCTCGAAAGCAAAGATTTGCTTTCCTCGCTCAAAGGTCCAATCCTGGCAGCCATTAGAGACCGGCGCGGCGGTGCGGTTTCTCAGATCATCAATCGCAGGCAGGCAGGCAGACGACTTTCGACGGATTCAACAGGTCGGATTTTCTGTCGAGAAATCTCCCGGCATGACGTGGAAGCTATAGTAATGATGTTTTGTGGTTCCGCCGCTGGCAATGATGGCAATGTCCCTCACAGTCACAGGTACAACGCATATGAACATCGGGTGATGATGGTGATGGTGGTGATCATTTTGAACAGAAAACCAAAAAATTAAATAAATAATATTGCAAATCCAAAGGAGGAGCGACGTCAAGAAATCAAAGATTCAGATGCGTAAATTCACGATCTTTGCAACGGGGTGGGGTGGGTGAAGGAAGGATAGATGTAAATTACGTGAGAAAAGAGAGAAAATGTATGTATATTATTGGGAGGGAGGAGAAGAGCAGAGAAGAGAAGGATTCTCATTCACATTTCCATTTCCATTCCCACTCCCCTTATATTCACAGTGCCATAGATGTCATTCATTATGAATGAAAAGCAAGATTGGGGAGCACCACTTCACTCTCTTTTCCATATCCTAAATACTACTCTCTCTCTCTCTCTCTCTCGCTCTCGCTCACACCTTCTCGGTTCGGTTCGGTTCCGTCCCTTGGGGTGGGTCTTCTCGCAGTGCAGTCCAGTCCCAGCCAGTAGCACTCTACGCATAATTAGCGTTAAGTCGTAAAATTTACCAGCCAAGACAATTATTTCATTGCACCACCCCCCAACGGAATCACAAATATCTCTATTTTGCTTTGCTTCCAAAGATTTGAAAATAGAACAAGTCAGTTGAACACCACAGTTTTAAGCAAGCATCACCCACACTTGTAAAATGACAAATATTTTAAACCAAACAAAATTCAACAAGTTGAGCCCTGAAAAACAAACAAAACCAAAATATAGAGGGCGATAGGATGTAGATGGAGGAGATGTATAATATATAGATGGATGATAGATGATAAGACTAGGATTTTGCTGCTTTCACTCTATTTCTTTTCCTCCTTCTCTGCCTCGGCAGCCCTCTTGGCCCTAACACCCACATGCCGGGCGTTGGTCCTCTCCAGACGCAGCTTATCATATGCCTTGAATGATTTCATCTCTTCTGTCACCTTGACAAGCTCAACAGCTGGCTTCTCCCGCACAATTGGCATGTAAGCACCGGCAACCTGTGTAGCAGTTGCCAACTCCTCCGGAGTAGAATCACCAGCCTGCCAGAGACAAACAAGATTGTTAACCTGTATATTCATCCCCATCAAGCAATCTTCGGGCTGTTCAAAATATCAAGGGACCCCACCTTGGCTTTCCTAGCACGTCTTGGGAACACGACAACCTTGGCCTTGTATGTCTTCAGCCTCTGCACATTTGTCTGAAAGCCCTCCAAGGAGCTATTCCTTCGCCGATGATCAACAGATATGCCGATAGTTGGGGCAAGCTTCTTGGGGATGCCTGCAGCCTTGTTGGCATAAAAATCAAGTGGTTACTAAAGCACCGCCAGAATAATTCTAATTGGCAGCCCATGCATCAAAGATTCATGTTTGGCAAGTATCAAGATACTCAACCAGAACCAAAAGCATCAATGCTGATGACGCAGGATACACAAACAACACAGGGTACTATAATTTACCTTTGAAAGTTAAATTCATCCAAGTACAAAAGCCTAGCAGTAGCCCATATCTACTTTCAATAGGTTAAACAATTTGGACAAAACTAAGTAAAAACATATAAGTATCTTACCTTCAGCTCCTCGAGAGAGAATCCACGTCCAGCTCTAACCTTCATGTTGTACTTCAGAGTCTGCCCGTGCACAATTGGACGAAGAGGTCCAGCAGTTGGTCTGGGGAATATCTTCACAGCTTTCTTCTGCCTTGCTGAAAAAGAAAACCATCACAACATGAATAATCACTGTAGCTATCAATATCCACAGGACAAACAAATCTACAAAAATAAAATTGTAAACTATACCGATTCTTCTTCTGGTTTTCCTGGCCGGTTGGTTGAACCATGTCTTCACATAGTTCTGCCAGTGCTTCTTGAAGTGACCATTAGGTATAACGTTGTTGTGCTTAACCATGGCTCACCTAGTGTACATAAAATCAACAGCTAAGTTAACAAGTACACAGATTAAACCAACGGATTGTGTCCAAAAAAACAAGAAAAAATCCAACACAACAACATGAATCAAAATCTCATTTTCATTCAAGTAAATGAGGAATTCATTATTTTCCACATTAGGAACATCAACTCAAATGAGGATTTAAGGTTAGAAATTTCTTGCAGCCGTAAATCAGTAGCTTTTGGGTATACGCTTTCATTATTTCGGAAAGACAAAAAGAAGAAAAATCTCAAGCTAATGAATATATTGCTACTCCCTCGTTTACTAAATAAATCAGCTACAACTTAAAACTTATATCAAGCATCCTTCATTTGTTAGTTTACATACAATTACAAGCTTTCGTTTCGACAATACAACATAATAATAAAGCTGAAAATAATAATAGTAAGGCAAAGATCAAATATCAGAATTACAAGCAAGGGAAAAAAACGCCAACGACGAATTAAGAGTACCATATGTACCATCTAATCTATAGTGAAATAAAGAGAAGATTCAATCTTACTCTATCCTGATACCTACAAAAGCAATATACCAGGGGATTCAAGCCAAAACCTCAAAATGTATATCCACACAACACGTTCAACTCAGACAAATGGGAGAAAATTGAAAGAATACATGGAGCGATAGCTAATAAACATCGAATTAGAGGCTTACAGATGTGGAGGTCGTGGCCGCCGCGGCAGGAATGGCTGGGATGAAGGTTGGAGCCGCTGAATCTCCAAGATTAGTTAGATAGGCTTAGATATGTATATATGTATGTATATCATATGCAGTACTTGAAGAAACCCTAATGGGCCATGCTGTGCGGCCCATTTTGTAGGTTCTTTTTTATTTATTATCTTCTTCTTTTTTTCTCTTGGCCCAGTTTTTGTTTCAGGGCCATAATGTCCACTGCTGGGCTTCCTGCGCCTGTCCATCACCATTCACGTGCAGAAACTATATACTATAAATTATAAATTACGAATAACGATAATATATATACATCTGGGGTGTGTTTATTTATTCCGATGTGATTAAATTCATGATACTATTTTAATTAATTATATAATAATACGATAAAGTAAATCAAAGTCTTCTGGCAAATAAAAATAAAAATAAAAGAATGTTGAGAATGCAAGGGATGGGTGGTGATGAGATAAAAGTAATAGTGAAAGATAGATACTCGATGGATATGATATACATAAAGATATAGCTATTGGTAATGTTAGAATGCTAGAGATGGGTGCTGATGATATAGGTAGCTCGATTAAGCAATCACATATTCGAAGACAATAGTTAGTGTGTCTGTGAACAAGAGAGAGAGAGAGAGAATATGAACATGATCATGATCATGATCAACAAGAAGTCAAGTCCTTTTCAAGGTAGAACTATGATGATGATGACGACGATGATTCTTTTTTGCATTTGGCCCCAACTTGGTCTTGGCCAAGCTGTATTGTCTCCCCTGGATGTCGGCCTTGATTGCTTTCTCCCTTCTCTCATCTGATAGCAGTGCAAGTCTGGCAAACCTGTTGGGTCTCACATTGCCGAGCTTCTCCTGAATGTCCTCCATGGCAGGAACCAGGCCGCGCCGCACAAAGCATCCCCCGACCACCTCCATGGAATTCAGCGCCGGGAGGACGGGGCTGTCTTTCAGCTCAAGGTCGAGGCAAAACGGGGAGTCCTTGAGCCACATCCTCAGGGAATGAGCCTTGGCCACCAGGACCCCATCCCGGGTTTTACAGGGCAGAAATGGAGACCCCATCTCCCAGAGGTAGGCTTTCAGGGTCCTGTTCAGAGATACACTGTTGTATTCGGCTGCACCTGTGATTAGCACGACCGATTTTGAAGACTCGGGAGAGCCTTCCAACGACGCATCCTGAAGGATACACAAATGACTCTTTTTAAGGTTGGGGATGCTTATGTAGAAGAATGCAGTGGCATGATCATGTGATGCAACAGAAAGACATACATGACACCAAACTTGGAATCCAGTTAATAATTTAGAACATAGGAATCTGCATCTCAGAGTGGCAAAGAGCACATTACATGACCATTGAATTATAAAGTAAGAAAATACGGTACTGTGTTCGACACATTATGCCAGATTCCATAGTTGTTACTAGAAGCGTACTCCATTTAATCCTTACGAGCATGCCTCCCGGGAGCGCAAGTTTGATTGATAAATTAAGAATCTACAAGAGAGTTTTAGTTCCTTGCCCAAACTTCTGAGCTACTACTAGTCATTATTAATGCAGGTACTCTGTTCTATATTAGTTAGTATGAAAAACATCATGATAGAAGCAGAAGTTTAACCTGCATGTGGTCAAGCCATAAGGTTAGTCCAACAAGAGCAGCACCGCCCGATAATTTTCTAAAGTCAGCCCCCCAATCCCTGTCAGCCACCCTGCAAGTCATGGAAGATAAAACTTGTAAATAGTAGTAACCTGCACCGCATATATAAGCACCTTTTTATATATTTGAACAAACAGCAGCTCATTTTGAGCATATGATCATCAATCCCATTGATCTCAGGTTCATAGGTGAAATTGAATGATCATCAAAAGCACATTCTGAGTGTTTCAGCATAATTTGTCATGCGAATTCTCTTGGAGAATAAATATGGTTGCTGGCCAAAGTACAAGTAATTACCGGAAAACATTGTGATGATAGATGTTTCTCTTTATTGCAAGTTGGAACAACCAAGTGGCTGTTGCTCGACGTTCAAAAGCCCACAGCACATCTTCCAAAGCATTAACAAAATTAAATGCTGCATGGTCTTCTACAGGTTCAAGTTCCTTAAGATACTCGTCTATCTCTAACAGCAAGGATGTAGAGTTTCCTGTCAGGAGCCTGTGAAAGTAAAATTCATATTGGGAACAAAAAGATAAAAACATCACTTTCAATCAATCCACACACACACATCCAAAGAAAATTATGTTAAGGAAATAAAAGCGTGCCTTAATGGTATATGGAAACCAGAATCTCCTATTGCCTTTAGTAGCAGAGTGGCTTCGCTCAATCTATGGCACCGACTTGCAGCTCTAATAAAGCAAGTCCATATTCTATGATCCGGATCCAAGCCTTCTCTTTTCATATCCAGGAGCTTCTGAATGCCAACGTCCAGATCACCATTCTTGAGATAAGCATCAATGACTGAACTATATGGTAATGTACTAAGGTTTGCCCCAGCAGTTCTTAAATTGTTAAGAACTTCTTCAGCTTGCACTGGCTGGCCTGAGCTGCCATAAGAGGTCATTAGCAGGTGCATCGTAGCCATAGTGGGTTCAATCCCTGATTCTTTCATGGTCACCAGCAGCTTTTCTGCTTTAGAATGATTACCAGATGTTCTATACATTTTCATCATCAAATGATAAAAGGAACGATCTACCCTGTGTCCCTCTGACCTTAGGCCATCAAAAAGTTCTTCAGCTTGCTCCAGCATCAACATTTTACATAAAGCTGCTATCAAGCTTTTGTAGGTATCCAAGCGAGGGTTTAGACCAAGACGCTCCATTTCACGTTTCAATGAAAGAGCTTCCTCAGGCCTACGATCTCTACAATACATTACGATTAAAATATTGTAAGTTTCTTCATCAGGTTTGAGTCCAGATTCTTGAATCTTCTGGTACACTTGAACTGTCTTCTTATAATCCTCTATTTCTGTATACATCTTAAGCAGCATATTATAAATAGAAAGATCGGGACTGAATCCTGTTCCCTCCATCTCATAAACCATGGCTTCAACATCCCCTACTTGCTTCCCCCTGGAAAGCAATCCAACCATAACCCTGTAGAGATGCATAGTCGGAAGATACCCTGCCGCTTTCATCCCATAGTATATCTTTTTCACTTCAAATATGTTGCCGGATTGGGCAAAAGCTTCAATCATCAAAATAATAGAACTCTTACTAATCTTGTAACCCATATCCTGTAGATCCTGAATGACAAGATATAGTTCATCTAATCTTCCAGCAACAATCAATGCCTGCAACAGACAGTTCATGGTTTCAGTGGTTGGGGAAGGCCCATCTCTCATCATTGTATTGAAAGCAGCTCTTGCATTTTCATAGCAACCACTTGCAGCATAAGCATGAAGTAAAGAGTTCCAAACTCTACGGTCCACCATTCTGGATTTCTGCCGCAGAGTTCCTAAAATACTCTCTGCCTTTTCCAGTTGCTTCAGATTCCCATAAGCTTCAATGAGGCCAGTGTAGATTGATATATCTTGAAGACAATGGCCTTCGGTTTCTGCCTGGGCAACCAAATGATGAGCGGTCTCAGGGAAATCCATTTTGCAGTATATAAGAGCAACAGTAAGATATGTATTGGCTGAAGGTTTGATCCCACAAAATTTCATATCCGAAAAGATCTGACAAGCTTCACTAAAACGATCGGTCTCCCCACAAGCCTTGATTAGAGACTCATACATTGCAAAGCTCCTGGTAGAAGCATGCATGCCACCATCCTTATAATATTCAACTAAAGCAGCATCTATCTGGCGAGTGCTGCAATGAATAACAACCAAAGCTTCAGAAATAAACTGATGGTATCCAGATGTGTGATCCTGTATGAAGTTTAGCAGCTCTATTGCTTCATGGTGCCGTCCGGATAAACTATACGAAGCCAGAATCACTAATAAGTTCTCCTGATCAAAATTCAAACCCTCCATTATTGCAGCTCTCAACTTTTCCGCAGCAAGGTCAAAGCAGTCACCTTTTACTAATACAGAAGAAATGACATCTGGACTCATCCCATGCAGCTCTTCGAGATCTTGAACCACTTTCTGGATGCTTTGGTCATTGTTTTGCTTATTAAGTACACGGAGCAATGCTTCATAGATGGCACCACTAGGAACAAAGCCATCATAAATCATTTTCTGGTACAACAACATAGCCTTCTCAGCATCATTCGACCGTAGATGCACATCCAACATGACAGAATATGCAAAATTGTCCGGTTTAACTCCAGACCGCAGCATGCAGTCGAACATCTCTTCAGCCTCCTCCCGCTGTCCGGACTTAGCATAGCCACATACCATAGCATTATAAGTACGCACTGTAGGTCTTGTATTGCTGTTCAGCATCTCCGACATCACGCTGGCAGCTTCTGTCATCTTATTTGCTTTCCCCAGTAAGTCAATTAGGACGGTATAGGTGACTGCATCGGGATTTCGCCCGGACGACTTCATGTCTCTGTAAACTTCCAAGGCAACATCATGCTTGCCTTGCTTCCCATACATGTTTATTATTGTATTGTAAGCCATCTCATCCTGTGCAAACCCCATTTCCACCATCTCCTGGCAGATTTTTTTCACCTTCTCCACATTCCCTTCCCTTGCAAATGCATCAAGCAGAGAATTGTATGTAACTGCATCCGGAAAGAAATTCTCAGAGCCCAACTCTTTGAAGAGCCGTTCTGCCTCACCAGAAAAACCACATCTTCCATAGACTGAAATCATGGCATTATAGGTCCACAAATCCGGTAGGCATTTGTGTGCTTCCATGTCACGGAAAACTTTCACCGCCTCTTCCAAATTGGATTGGCGCGAATAGCCACTGATGAGGGTGTTGTAAGTGATTATGTCAGGGCGAATCCCCGATCTCCTCACTTCATTCAGCAGCTCTGATCCCAAATCTGGAGTCATGGAACCTGATTTCACGCGTGCATTGATCAGAGTATTGAAACTCACAAGATCCGGTTCACATCCCCTTCGACGCATCAAGTCAAGCAGCTCCTGAACCTCGGAAAACCGACCGTTACGAGCATACACGCCCATCATTGCGTTATACACTTGGACGGTGTTGCCAATGGCTGGCTCAGCACGAGTGAAAATCTCGACGGCCAGAGCTTCTTGATTGGCTTTTCCAAGCACTGACAAGATGGTGGCCAGCATTCGTGCATTGGGTGCGTACCAGTGCCGGAGGTTTAACCACTCGTAGACCTCTAAAGCCCTTTGCCAACTGAGCTGGCCCACCCATTTGACGACGAAGCAGTAGTCAGTTGGGGTCATCTGCACCAGTTTCTTATCCAGAACATCAGCCACGAACTCCTCGGGTTTGAGCTCCATAATCTTATCGGTCACAAATTGCACCCTTTTACGCCAGTCCTTGGCCCTCTTCAATGCCAACTTGTTCATTTTCTTGATTTTATTTCTGCTGAGCTTTTTGTCGAACACCTCGTGTTCTTCATCGTCCGAATCCAAACTAGGGGGAGACTCGTCTTCGTCGTCGCCTCCTTGTTTCTCAACCTCGAGATAGAGCATCTTCTGCTCCGAAGAAGGCGGGGTTTCAGTGAATTTCAGGTGCGGCCACCTTACAGATGGTGATGCTCGGGAATAGGTAAATTTCTTAGCAGCGTCTTGGGTGGTAGTAGCGCAACAGCAGGAGGAGGAGGGTTCTTTTTGGCGGGGCTTGGATGAGGTGAAGAAGGAGGGTGGGGGCGGAGGGGCGAATATCTGTGCCCCAGTGCAGGCCATTGGAAGGGAAGGTGGGCGTAAGGAAAAGATAGGAATTAGCGTTTCTTTAGCATTGGATAGATATTTGTATTGGAATGGTGGTGATGATGATGATGCGAGTGAATGAGGGAGTGGGGTGGTTAAGTACTCCTCCGTCAGGTCAGGTCTTTCTCATCTACACGTGCGTGTAATGCGACGGATTGATGACTGACTAATTGAAGAAGATGATTGGTGGTTAATGTTGTACTACTACTACTGCTACTACTACTATGAAGTGAAGTGCAGTGCACTGCAGTTCTATATAATGTTTGGTTTCTTTAATGTTAGCTCTTCCCTCAGTTTCTTCTTCGTCGTCTTCTAATAATAATTATTGATCAAACTTGCAATCAACTCCCAATACAGACACCACCACCAGCGAAAAACAAACAACAAAAACCATTCAAACAGGCAGTGTGAAGTTGAGTATTGTCTGTAACACGGCAGCAATATATATCTAAAGCTAGGTGGTACATATATTCATGGTTGATGGTGGTCTGTCTTGTGTGATACTCTCTACTAGTACAAGCAGTAAGTAGTGTTTCATACAAACAACCAACCAAGCATCCGACACCAGCACCAGCACCAGCACCAGCACCAGCACCTCTTTATTTACTCAAACTACATACATAGATATATATATATATATATAGATACTGTTCTTCCAATACCTTCCTTATTAGATCAATCAAGCATGGGGGTGGGCTGAGTGGTTTTACTTCCTCTTGTTAGTCAACGCGGGGCTTGATTATGTAATTCAACTGGTGGCTTGTCCAAGTCCTCCTGAGGGCGAAAGAAGGTTGTCTGCTGCAGCACAGAGTCTGAGTCTTCTTCACCGCCGCCGCCACCCACACCAGGCCCCCTTTTATCAGCCAACGCAGCAGGCCCGAACACCCCAGTCTGCGGGTGAGGAGCCCAGTACTCCACAGTTTGTGGTGGAATTACATGGTCTGGAACCACAGCTGGCTCCCCATTCCCACTCTCAGTCTCCTCCCGGTTCTTCTCATAAACTGATTCGTGCACGCTCCTGCATGCGTCGTCAATGCATCACCACATCATGATACACACATTATTTATTAGCTTAGGTTGCTGCAATCATGACTGAGGACACAACAAGTAACAAACCTAGAGCATGCATGCCCATCTCCCCCATATTCAAATCATTTATATAATCAATTAATAGGGGAATAGCAAGAAGCAAAGATAATTAATTAAGATAACAACAACAACACAACCAAAACATTAAACCCTTGTTTAATTACTATCTTGTTAACAAGGACACCTAATAAAATTACAACCGCTTGCTCCAGCTGAACCTGGACCAGATCGTAAATCCAAGAGATCATCTTATATAAATCACATGAACTGTGCCAATGGCTGTTGAGAACAATTCAATTTGCTGATATGTAATTGAGTAGCAAAGGTAGAGATGATAAGGAAGTGGTGCCAAATACTTGCAAACAAATAAATGCAAAGTGGTTTGTGGTTGATTAAGATGATATTCAGTTTAGGAAATTAGTTAGCTAGCAAACCAGTTAGGTTCAGCTAAGAAATGATGGGACGTTTTAGCAACCATGGATGTCTGGAAGTCGGAATATGCATCAATCCAACTTTGATTGGATTTAAACTTATTTGGTCTGAAGTTTCTAATTTATAAACAAACAATTATTTCCATACAAGCTAGTACTCCACTATTTAGTTGTAAATTCAAAAATCTTATACTATTATCCTACAAGAAATTAGAAATTATTAGTTCTACTCTCTACCTATACAAAATCACCCTCACCTAACCTAACCTCACCTACCCTAATATTAGAACATACTAGTAGCATTTAACAAACCCCACCCCTCTCCTCTCCTCTCCTCTCCTCTCCTTCTCCTCCACCCAATAAGGCAAACAATCAGCTTCACCAGAGCCTCTAACTACTTTTGAAATAGAGTCGAAGCCAACAACGCATGCTATTCCAAGCAACAAGTATAAAATATTAACCAAATCATGAAGCAGTATTTAGAAATGTTTAGCCAAGGCATAAGAACACGGAGGAAAGTAGTACTACTAGATTCTGTCTAAAACCAAACCCAAAGCTGAGTAAGGAACTGTTATATTTGACAATCTATAGAGATCACGAAATTTCCGCCGACGATTGAAAAAATCAGGACCAAAACAGAGGCATTTATTTAAGAAGAGAGAGAAATTCTTATTATAGACAAGATCGATCGAAAACATTATGAAAAGGTTGCACAGCCGGCGGCATCATTACACTTAAAACCCAGAAGAGGAGATAAGTGCAGCGTTTGAAACCAGGAAACATGTTCCGAGTGTGTGTTCCTGAGGCTCTAGTCGCTAGAAGTGACGGATCAAAATACAAGATAGCATATAATCCAGAAACGGTAAAAACAAAGTCAGACTGTGAGGCACGCACGAGATGAAGATATTAATTATCTTAACAGTAAGAAAGGTAAGAGCAATTAATTAGGTTATTGGATCTTGGAAATTGAAGAGAATATATTATGGAGAAGCAAGCAAGCAATCGGAGAGAGGGAGAGAGAGAGAGAGAGAGAGAGAGAGAGAGATAGATATACCTGAGGAGGAGGGTGGGAGAGTGGCGGGGGCGGCGAGAGGAGGGGCGGATCTGGGCAAGAAGGCGTTTCCCGAAGGTATAGTGCAAATGATTAGGTGCTGCCATACAAGTCAGAGGAGACCCACCCCGTCGGGGAAATCAAATCAATCAGCAGCTGAAGATGAAGAAGACGAAGACGAAGGTGAAGTGAAGGGGGAGCAGAAATAGAAATAGGAGGCGGAGTTAGGGGGGAGGTGGCTGCCTTTTTATAGCAGCAGGACCAGCAACAGCAACAGCATCAGCATCAGCATCAGCATCAGCAGTAAGGTAAATGTGGAGCAAGAAAGAATTTGGTAGGTGGTGTCTGGTCGGTCAGGTCAGGTCTGGTCTGGTGTGATCATTGTAATGCCTTGGGTCAGGTCACTGGTCAGTGGTGTGGTGTGAAAAGGTCCGAGGGAGGGATGAACGATGATGATGATGATGGAACGGAAAATTAAATTAAATTAAATTAATTATGCATTTAATGAAAATAGGATGTTGGATGCAATTTTTAATATAAATAATAAATGTAGTATATTGTTAATTTGGACAAAAGAATTAATAATAATATGTAACAAGATTGAGTTTCTTTTAAGAAAATCAAGGCTAAACAAACATCAAGTCAAGTCAAAGAAAGGGTGTTATATACTAGTAGTATTAATTACTAAAAAGTTATATTCGTGGTATTCTTTCTTTGCATGTTTTAACTATAAGAGTACGTACACCGTGGCGTGGCTAAAATAAATCTTTTTTAACTTGTAAAATAGTAGTAGCAGTAGTAGTAGTTTATATGTTGAAACGTATTGTTAATCATTCTCAAAATTGAATTAAGGTGGCCATAAATAAAATTCAATTTCAGGCAATGACAAGACAATCATTCTTCATCGACACCTTTCCTTTCCTTTCCTTTCCTTTCCAACCCCCAGCTGACTACAGCCACATTATATTGTCACCTCCAGCGGCCGATGCTTCTTCCTCATTTGTCCAACAACATCTTTGTATGTATGTATTGTATTGTGCGTACACATGACACGACACACTGACAATGACACGACGACTACTACTTGCACTATAATAGAATTACTATTATTCTTCTTCACACGGGAAGTACGCGGTGCCCTAACAAGTAACAACAATAATAATGCTCCTTTATTAATTACTACTTGGATTAAATCTATATTCCCCATGCCATGCTAATGCTATGATGCACCTCTTTCACTCACCAAACATATAAAAATAAAATACAGTCAATGTATTACTGCTACTACAGCTAATAATAGTAATAAATAACAGGAATCAATGTGAAGCTTGGAGGGGAGGGAGGGAGGGAATCAGGAACATACATACATATATATATATGGTTAACAAGTACGGTATCGAATTCAATATTCAAATGAAGGCAGGCAGGCAGGCAGGAATGCAACAATGAATGGCTGGGGACACTGCACAGCACAAATACACTACACACCCCAACAGGACAGGAGGAGGAGGAGGAGGTGGAGATAGAGGATATGTTCTCATCATCAAACTTATTTCAACAAATTAAAAGATTCCGATTCCCTCCCTCATGCTCATTGCTCAGGCTCAGACAGCTCAGGTGAAAAGAGAAGAGATAAAAGAAAGCCAAGAAATGATGCAGCTCAGGTCAGAGGAAAGGACAGGACAGAACCACAATGCTATGCTATGCAATGCAGTAAACAACTAAACATGCCTTACTTTAACTTACTACTTTACCTCTTTGGCTCCTCTCTCTCTCTCTGTCTTTTCCATCACCACCACCATGTCCATACATGCAGATGCAGCAGCAGCAGCAGCAGCAGCACTTGGATGGGCATAGGCTATCCATTCCGTTCCCCTCCCCTCCCAAAACCATATCTGCTCTCCAACAATCAATCAAACCAATAAATTAATTAAAGCACCACCAATAATTAGCAACAACCAACTCAACTCAAAAACCAAAAACATACATACATACATATTACTCTAAACAAACAAGGTTATATATAAAACATTACCTCCTCTGCTGCACGCCCATTATAAAACCTTCTCATACATCTTGAAAGAGAGGTTCTATCTCCAGAGGAGATCGTGACTGACCCCATCTAACCCACCTGCTTCTGCAGTGCTGACCATACTGCAAGAAGAATCCAACACTCCTAGCCACCGCCCAGACCCAGACAATCAACGCATCTGTGCAAGAACGAGCAATGCAGATTTCAACATCTCTCGGGCTTTTCTGTCTGGCTGACATCCACACAACTCCATTTCTTTGTAAATCTTAGGGACCTGCCATCAAAACCACCTTAATTACTTACCTAGCACTGGTATACTATATGCTAATCCCAACTTGCAAGAACAGGATTTAATTCACTAAGCATCTCTCAATGTGAATCCACAACTGTTTGTTTCAACTACAACACTACAGGTAGTCGGTTAGTGCTACCAAATTGAACTTAACGGTATAAACATACAACAAGGTTGGAATAGCAACGATGCACCTGATCAAATTTCTTGGCCCACAGGAAGGCCTTCATGAGGGTGGTGTATGTTACCACATCAGGACTGAAACCCTTCACCCACAATAACAAAAATTTCAGCTTGTCCGTACCCTATTCTTCCAAACTGTATTGCGTGTGTGCCCGTGCCAAGGTGTGCAACTTACTATTTCTTTTATCTGGTGATAAACAGATAGGGCTTCCATATGCCGTCCAGCAGTAGCAAAAGCATTAATCAACACATTCAGCATAACTAGGTTCAATTCCATCCCTTCTGCTTCCATGAGCTGCAGTACCTTGACAGTTTGCTCACACAGCCCCTGAAGAGTTCAATCAATGAATTAGAATCATTAACCATTTAACACTCTTTATTTTATGGAGAAGGAGACTACTAGCATTCACTCTCTCATTCAAGTGCTTCCACAGATTGTTGGTTGGTAGTTTGGACTAGACAATAATCTTTTGACAGGAGAGCAAGTTAACTTCTGTTATCTGACAGCTAGCTACTAGATAGTGCAAAAAGAATGATGGCCAAAATATCTAGTACACCGACCAGAATTTACATGCTAGGTAGAGGGCTTGTATAAGAGTTTGCAAACCTTAGATTTCATTCAGTTCAACTAATTGTAACTAAAGTCCACTACACTTGCGTGCATTAGAATGTGTAATTCCAGCAAGTATTTCTACCTCTCTAGCTTATCACAGGCATGAATTTCTAGCTGAGAAATATCCAAATATGCGAGCTCGCAGTAATCTAATCATGAACTTCGGAACTAGATTTTATGACAATCGGGTGATATGTCACTTTAACTAGTTTTAGCATATTTTTTTCATTGCTTAAAGCCTCATAGCATTATTATTTGAAGTCTTCATAAACATGGATTTACTGAATCTTCCATGATTGGTACACCTAAATTTGTAGCAGTTCATTGAGGAAAATTTCCAAATATCACAAAAGTATTTACAGCTTTATGGTAGATCACATTTTGAAGTAAATTCTGGAGATATCATCATCCAGTGTAGTTGCAGTAATATATAAGTTGAACTTTGAAATGAACTATGTTTTTGGTTTTTTCACAGCCATGAGTAGCTGAAATCTCTTTGTGGGACTTCTCTTATAGTGACTTTCTATATTTACTCGTTTTCGCTACTACCCTCTCAATTAATTACTGTTTGATCTAACTTAAGATTGTTTCAGCTGTAATTTGGTGAATTGGGTGAGGAGCTTAAATAAGGAGTGCCTGATTTAGACCATTTAGAGGCAGTGTAGTCCCTACTTAAAAATTAAAATACAAGTGACAGGGAAAACGAGCTAAATTCTCAGAAACTAATAAATGTACTAAATGTGGATCTAAGGTTTTGTTTAAAAGATTTATCAAAAATATTGAGGCATAACTTAAGCTATGGAACTGAAAATGCTATTAGCTAGTTTAGATCCCTACCATCTACCCTGATGTGTATTTGGTGTATCAGCCAGCTAAAAACCTAAGATGGGTTGGCAAGGAAGCGAAAACTTCATTTTGTGCTTCAGTATAACAATGCCACATATCAAATACATCAGAGCTTAATAAGCCAGTGTTGAAAAACTAATAGGATTAGAATAGATAGAGGATACTCTACACGTCCATGATTTACACTTAACTTGAAGTTAGGATCACTGAAAGGCAGACTCTCACTTCATGAATAGGAACACGAAAATAAGCTAACATGAATTGCTGCACAAACAACAAATGATCATAAATAATCCACAGGTACAACTAACCAAAGCTAAAAGGCAAACCTGCTGAGCATAGGCATTTGCCAGAACACAAAACATGCTTGGTGATGGTTGGATGCCTTGCAATTTCAGATCAGTTACACAATCCTCAGCATTTTGGAATTTCCCGTGTTGTCCGTAGATATCAACTAACACGGCATACATGGCACCACTCCGCTGCTGCCCTCTGCGCATCATGCACTCAAAAATCCTCTCGATGGCATCCCACTTTCCCTGATCCCCTAAGCAAGAAATTATGATCATGAAAATATTTGGATTGGGATGAATCCCTTGTTCTTCAGCCACCATCTTAAGAAACAGATCAAAAGCGCCGTCAATATCCCCGAATTTACAGTGCCACCGGATCAAAGAGCTGTAGGTATTAGCATCCGGCTTGATCCTGTGTTGCTGCATTTTCTCAAACATTTGAAGAGCTTCTCCTATCTCCCCGTATTTCCCAAAAGTGTCTATGATGCTGTTATACATTCTCAGATCCAACTCAGTCCCCATTGCTCGTGCCTCTCTCAGAACCTCCGTCGCCTTCTTCCACATCCCGTTGTCCCTATAAATTTGAATAATCTTGCTATACAGGAAAGAATCCGGGGAATAGCCCTTCCTCTTCATGTCAGAAATCACAAGCCATGTGTCCTTCAGACGCCTAGCATTCACGTGATAGTCGATCAGTATCTCAAATGTCTGACGGTTCTTTTCCAGGCCAACGCCATCAATGGCCCTCAACACTTTGTCTGCGAATTCTAACATGCCTTTCTGCAGGCAACTCGCGAGCAGAGAATTGAGCAACCTGATTTTCGGGGTGCAACCAGAAATAAGCATCTCCTGCAAAACCACATCAGCTTCTAGAATTCTTCCAACTCTACCAAGAGCCGCTATTAAACATGAGTAAGATACAGAGTTGGGACGAAAGCCCACCGCCTCCATCTGGGACAACATCGCCATGGCGGGGTCGACTTCTCCTTCCCGACAGAGTTCACATATCGATTCGTTGTAGAAATCACAAGAAAGCTCCTTCATATCGTGATTTGAGTAGAGAAAAGGGGTGTATTTTAGAGCCAGTACGCTGCTTCTGGGTCTCTGCCTGCGTAATGAAATAGGTTTTGAACAGCTGGGATGGGAAAAGTAGAAAGAGAAGGGATGGATGGGCGGCGATTTGGAAGGGGGACTGAAGAACATCATCTGCTGCAGCAGGAGGAGCTCCATGATTGGCCTTGAGCCAACTTCAATATATATATATATATATATATATCTTTCGAGTTTGAGGTGCTCGGCTTATCTATAATCCAATGGAGAGAAAGGTGATAATGGCATGCTCGGCTGTCGCCTCTCTCTCTCGGCCACCGCCTTTGCTGCTGGGAGAGGTTTTGAGCATGGTGGAGTGGAGAGAGGTTGTTGTACTTTGACAAATAATTACTACGAGTGTTATGTAAAGCAGGGTTTTGCTGTGACGTCAGACAGCTCATGTAATGTATTATCTCATCTCGAGGAACAGAGATGATGACCACCCCCCGGCCCTGGGTGGTTCAATCTGCACGAGCACGAGGCGAGGCAGCATTGCCAATGCCATGGAATGGAATTCTTTCTGACTGTGGATGGATGATGAATTACAATCAATTGTCCGATGTGTGGGCTTGGGAGGAACATCTATGATAATATAGCCGACTCAACTCAATGAATTCATGGTTGTGTGTGAATAACGAAGCACACAGCTGACTGGCATTTACTAAAAAAATTCTTCAATGTAATGTAAGCATATCCTCCCGAGCAAAATACAACTTCATCTGGCACGCCGGGGGCAAGGGGCATATGTATGTATGTATGTATGTGTGTGTGTGAAAATCTACAATACTCAGCCGCAGATGGATAGATCAAAGCAACAGAGTTTCCCTTATTTTGTACAAAGCTCCCGACCATTGGCTGGCTGGAACGTATTCTACTCATGATGGATGGATGGATGGATGGATGGATGGCAAACCGCTATTCTATACTCTCGGGCGGGCTGGTAGGCTGGCAGGAAGGCAGAGCAGCATTCCATTCCAACTGTGTATTAAAGAAGACAACAGCAGCAAGGATGTAGGTAGCAGTAGCAGTACTAGGTTGGGGAACGTATGGAAGGAGGAGTTGCAAGGTTCATCAAATTATTCTCTCCTAAAAAATTTACATGCACCTAATATTACTGATGAATAAATCTCTCTCTCTCTCTCTCTCTCTCTCTCTCTATATATATATATATATATGTGTGTGTGTGTAACCAATCAATCCACACAACCTGCGGACGACCCTGCTGCTGCTGCTATTGCTGCTGGCGGCGCCCAACCAATTCCTCATGTAACCTACTAAACACCAAGTTGACGGGTATACAAGCTATGGTCGTGGCAGCCGCATTCTCCCTTTTATTATTGGCAGCCCCGGCCCCGTCCGCCGCTTGGTAGTCTCTGCAGCCACATCTCAGATCACTCTGATGCTTCTCAGAGATTGATGAGAGTGCTCTTATCTTCTGACCGGACGATGGACTCGTTCTTGATAATTTCCGATCCCCGGGATTTGGGGACATGTTCCTTGGCGCTGTGTTTGATCTCTGGTCTTGGTAAATGAATGGAGCTGCTTGCCTCCTACCATCACCGCCATTTATCAATGAAGATAAAAATGGGCGTGGTACACGGGCATTTGCCGTCCGCCGGCCCGTCCTCCATACTGAAGGCAGCTGGGCAGGAGCCTCCAATGGTTCAGGGGAACAATGATCTCTGCCAGAAACAAGGTTTTCTGTCGAACCATTCTCAAGAGCTTCAATCTTGATGGGATGACCGATCATAGCGTGCCCATTTAACTTGCTCACCACCGAGGTCATTGGGACATCCCGCCGGTAGTTGTTGGCATCCACTTTCAGATCAACGTCTATCAGCATGAACCTACCACCAAAGTGATGTCTGCCATCAAGTATAGGATCCAGATGCCCCTGCTGCAAGGCCTCCCAATATCCTCCTCCTCGATTGGCAGCAGATTGATTGCTCCAACCCAATCCCTCCGAATCAATTTTCTCATAGGGGGTGATGCCACCTAAACCAGTAGATCCATACCTGGATATATGGCTCCTAAATCTTTTATTACCGTAGTCAGCCTTGAAACCACTGTTGCTCCAGTTGGAGTTTCTACCAGTCACATATCCCCCAGAGAATTCTGCATCAGCTCTGTCCAGAGACCTCTTCCCAAGACCTTGATTATTTCTCTGTCCTTTCAGGTGCCATTTAGAAGCCCCAGTACTGGTTGATTCAGCAAATGGTAATTCATCAAGGTCATCAGTACTGCTTATGCTCCCGTGGTCCTCTTGTACTCCGATTCTCCAAGGATATTTAGGTTGCAGTTCAATAGAGTAAGAGCCATCTGCAAAGCAGGCAAAAAATCTTAAATGGGCATATATATACATATATTATTGTGAAAAACATTAATGATAAGCAAAATAGTGCATTTTGGCATCAATGACAATGAATACTATTTTGCTTTCATTATTTGTCTTTTTTACACAAAAAATTATTCTAAAGGCTATGGGATCATCACAACAAACATCCATGTTCTCCTATTCCGGTTAAATATGTCATGGATGGATTTGTTGTCAACATAAATGCCAGACTTGACAAATAATGAGCGCCAACTCAAGCAGGATGTCATCCCTAGGAGAGAGAAAAGAAAGAAACAAAAATGCAGTTGGTTTTATCATATTTCTAGTTGCATGGTAAAATTGATACCACTGCCTAAAAATGATGTCTATAAATCCTACCAGAGAGTCCATCTGAATCCAATTCCAGAGAATCAGTTTCAGAACTATCCGTTTCAGTGTCCTCGGTTGACCCAGACTCGTGGTCTTCACCCCTGTCAACCGGATATCCTCTTCCTTCAAATTGTGAAACTCGTATATCCATCTGGGAGGATATAGTTTGGTTGTCATTTGAGTAATCCCCAGAACCAGATGGCAGATAAGCATATCTACTCCTCTTTGCACGAAATACAGCTCCAGGAAGCTCCTCTCCTGAAAGAGAAATAGAACTATAATCAGCTTGTATACTTACAAGATCAATACCAGATTCAGTGCATGACACTAAAGTGCAGCCACTAACATATTGGATGAGAAATTCAGTAGCGGCGTAGCCTACTATTTCAAAGAGTTCCACTATTGAAGAGACATGCGCATATAAATAAAGAACTAGATGAAACAGGACCTTGTTGAGAAAAGTTAAAGCAAATGGCAAAGAAAGCTCACTCATCGGTGGAGTAGTACTGAGACCAAAGTCTTGCAAGCCTCTCATCCGAGGCAGTATACCAGCACTCTCATCATCTCCACTCTGTTGATTTCCCTCCCTCACAGTTTCATCAAGCATAATCTGGTCTGCCGCATTCTTTTCAGCAGGAGAAGAACCAAGCCTTTCAGAAAGCTGGTCAGATCTAGGATCATTGTGGTTTGCATCTCCACATTCCAAACTCCCAGAATTGACAGCTTCTGGCGACTTCTTTTCCCCACCATTACAAACACTTGTTACTTTTCCATATTTCTTCTCCAATAATTGCCTCTCCAATTCAAGTGCATGCAATATTGCATCTTCCCGTCGTGCATATTTCTCTCGTTTCTTTGGAGGCATACCCTGAGCAGCTTCAGCCCTTTCTATACAGTCATCAAACTCACCACATCGAAATGCTTTAACACGTTTTGACTTCTCCAAATTGTACCAGTCCCTGAAACAAAGTAGCCAGAAACATAAAAATAAATAAATGAATAAATAAAAATGGGCAGGAAATTGTGACACATTTAATTCTTCTTTAATTACTAAGCAACCAGGTGCTCTCATAAAGAAGAACATGTTACAGATAGCAAACTGCCTAGATGCTTAGTTCATCACATATAATTTATGATATTACTACTTCAAGCTGCATGTCAGTTCAGCTAACAAATAGTAGAATTTTAGAACTCCACTATTTATTCTTAGAAACCTGCAACACAAAAAGGAAGATGAAAATAAAGGGGTTTTAAGCCTCTTCTAGTATCAAAGAATTTCTCTCATGGAAGTAACTTTTATATGAAAGAAACAAGCTATGGGTCTATTAGATACTATAGAAGCCTCTTCAAGAAAATAAAAAGATCTTTAATGGATAGAGTTACTTTAGTGTGTTTGCAGCAACTGCTTCATCTAATATCAGATGCTACACAAATGTAATACATACTAATAAATAAGCAATATATACAAACTCTTACGCTGTCTGGAAGTTCAGGGAATTAGACAGTAGTGTGAAAGAAGCAAATAGTAACAATGTATCTTACATATGTGCCTCTAAACCTCTATGTACCAATAACTGATATCGCCAGAGCCTCACGTAAGATTGCAGAAGAAAAGGGAGGATAAAAATAGGTGGGTATAAGTTTCTTTAATTAAGACCCAAGCTGAAATTAGTATGGGTATTTTAAAACTACTCTACATTTAGTTCAACACTTGGAGCAATTAATAAACCATAGATATCAACAATCTATGTACTCATTCCTACATCTTCCACGATATGAAGCATCAGTATTGAATGAAATCTATTCCTTTGGCTCACTTCTTCATTCACCAGCTCAGCTTGCTTGAAACTGTTGTGCAGTGCCTGACAACAGCTAAACATACTATCCTTAGCTATTATTAAGAGCCTCGAAAACTATATCATTGCAAAACAGTTGGAAACAAAAATAAACGTAGAGCTTATTGAGGTATGTGATTAACAAAGGCCAGCAGCAATGCAGGTTACTCTTGAAGACAGTAAACGATGTAAAAAGGTTCAAATTTTGAGAGCTATATACTTTATATGCTCATTCTCCTTCAAGCATACAAGATTCCACACAATAATTTCATACAACGGATGATGGCAGTGAAACTCAGCAACCAGTAGACATTTATGGACAAGGGACACACATGCATATTGCATAGAGTCAGTTCTGAACTTACACACTTGCATCTTCCCTGCCAAGAAGTTTGACTGGAGTTCCTGAGCGAGGTGATGTCACGAGAGAAGACGATAGCTCTTCAGGTCCAAGTATCTTTCCAGGCCACCAAGATCCATTTCGTCTTCTAACCCAAACAATACTCCCCACACTACAATCCACCAGCCCTCCACCACTGTCAGAGCTACACATGCCTGCCCACTCTCAAAAACAAATATCCAATAAAAATGTGTATAGGTTAGAACCTTAGAGGGGGAAAAGGGAAGGAAAACAAATAAAAACAAAGGTCCAATTTCTCCTCCTTAGCAACTTATTTATATCCAGAAGTAGGTCGGTCTGATCATGCTACAGAAGCTGCGAAATAAATGCTGCAATTTATGTAATGTCGAGAGAGAATCGGAAAGGCGGAAGGAAAGGCGGAAGAAATAAAGAGATTAGGAATGCAAGCAAAGAGGGGAAGAGCGGGATAAAGGATCAGGGTGACGGTGACGGGGAACCAAAATCAAGATTGAAAATCGAGGGGGGGAGAAGCAAGGGAATTAGAAAGGAGATAACATGTATGGAGGGGATCCGGCTTCCCAGAGGAGCAATAGCAGGAATTGAGGGAGGAGGAGGAAGAGGAGGTCACGGTTAGGGTTGGGGTTAGGGTTAGGGTTTCCATAAGATTTCTTCACATTTGGGGGAAGAGATGGGGGAATTCAATTCACATTCATTCAGGTCAGGTAACAGGACAGAGGCGGGCGGGCGAGGTGGATCATGGATCATGGATCATGGATCGGACTTCGGAGGAGGGAGGAGCGTTTGACTGTATTAGTATAATTATTTTTATCATTTTGATTTGTCCAAAAAGATTAAGTGCAAAATTTGTCATATTTTTATTTCAAAGTTTCAAAAATGGCTCATAGCTAATTGTTAACATAAAGTCAATAAATAATAATCCTCAAGAAGCCAATGTGAAAGGAGGGATTGGAGAGGTGTTGGATGTTATGGAAGCCCAAAATACATAATATTCATAACATCCCTTTAGCAACTGCTATGAAAAACAGAACATGTGCACCAATTTTAAAACAAAAATGGTTTTAATTGATTTTTTAGAAATAAACTCCATCAAAAATATTTTATATAAACTTAATTTATTCAAATCATATAGGGGAATAAGACTCAACAATCAATCGATCATTCAAGTTCCAGAAGTAAACCTAGAAGACAAAAAAGTAAAAGACTTCAAAACAAATATTTAATATAAATTCCCTTTTCAAGCAACGTCAGTCAATCACACTCTTAAGCTTCTAAATACCTTCCTTCATAACGTATTTCAAATAGAGTGGATGGTTTCAGGACTATAATTGCATCACCAATTTAAAATCCAAAGCAATCTTAACAAAAAGAACAAATTCAAAAGACAAAATAAACCAACAAAGAGAGGATTGTTGTTGATGATGATGATATGGGATTGTTTTGCAAGTTATTTTAGATTGAATATTTAACATTTTATTACAATTATTTAATTTTTTATTTGAAGTTGAATAAAATATTTTATGTTTTTTATTTGAAAAATCCTGAAATAAATAAGGAACAAATTTCTACGTGGACAGGGCAGATTTTGACCAGCCACATTATCATCCCATCCCATCCCATCCCTGACAATAAAATAATGGAGTAGTACAAACAAACCCCCCGCAAGCGAGGCAGGCAGCCCTATTAATAAAACCAACCAGAATGAATGAATGAATGCCTCCTCTATCAATAAAACCATATTCCAGACTCACCCTGCCTGCCTGCCTGGCTGGCTAATAGTAATAGATAATAGATAATAGATGTGTGTGTGTGTGTGTGTGTCTCAGCTCATTTAGTTCAATTCATTCCTACATTAGAATCTAAATATTCATTCTAAAACCAGCTGCCGCGTTGTTTCAGAGTTTCTCCGCTAGTCAAAACCCCACAAAACAAAACAATCTTTCTGATGATGAGGAGGAGAAAATAATGACCCAACAAAAACCTGAGAAAGAAAAATTATACATAGGAAGGAATATGTGTATGTAGTAATGTGTAACCCAACCCCCTCAAAGTCAAACCTAATTAATAGTAAGAGTTCTCACGAATCCACCATCTCATCCTGTATCTCATTGGGGGCCACCAGTCCTGGAATTGATAGCATGCGCTGCCGTTCCCTCTCTCTCTGCGCAGCCGCCTCCTCAGCATACAGATCCTTGTTGTCCTACACCAATCAACAATCAAGATTCAATTTTTTTTATAAATATCTCAACACCTAGCCATTCATTGCCATGAAACACAGACTCAGGCAGAACAATTCATGTAGACGCAAGGGCATCCTCTGGCACACACATATTCCACTGAAAGTTAAGCATTTTCCCCTTCATAGATGGATCCATCTTACAAACAACTACAATATCTATATATATATATATATATATGCTAAGACCAATTTTAATCCCAAACATTGAGTTCCAAAAAAACACAACCAGAAATCATAGCATAAATCAACACTGTAGCATACAATTTACCTGAGCTGAAAATTCTTTGGATTGCACAAGAAAATCCCTTATGCGGGTTTTGAATGATGAAAGCTCAGCTCTTGACTCAAAAAGCCCACTCACAAATTGAGTCACCTGAGAAGACCCAAAGTTAGGTACCTGCAGTGGGTAGTGGCCTATTGATTGCTATTAAGCTATGTGAAGGAAAGACATTTGCATTACTACCTCACTTGACGTCATGTTCGGAAAGGATGTACCCAGAAGTTTAATTGTGTACTCACGAACAAAGATGCCATTATTTGGATAACTGTAAGGAACAGTAGCAACATCCCACAGGGGTTCAGTCAAGGCACCGGATTCAACCTGGAGCATCACGCAACAGGCTGCTGTTATAGGCGTGTTAACCGGTTTAAGCATGAAGAGAAAAACAAAAAAAAACCAATAGAGGAGAAAAATATTAAATAAGTTCAGATACCAGGCAGAACAAGTGCTGCAACACCAGCACATGCAACTTAAACCCAGGCTTATGAAATGTGTCCGTCAAAACTGCAAATATTTCCTGCTCTATTGTCAAAAAGTATGTCCTGTAAAACTGATTGCAGAACTCGGAAGTCTGCCAAGCAGGCCATAAAATTGTTAGGGACTATATCTGATAATCACATACACAATAAGCAAGCAAGAATATAAACACCTGAAAGTTTTTCAGCATCTCCAACAGAAGGTTGAGTCCAGTTTCTGCAATGTTTCGTTCAGTATGCCGGAATGCCCAGATGATGGAATCCATTACAAGTTTCAATTGCTGAACATAAAGAAGATAACCACAACTTAATAATGAGAAGATATACTGGTGTGAGTAGTTCCAGAAAGCCAGTATTCAAGTTATTTCTTGACTAGATTCAAGTTATTGAAGTACAGTTCAAACCTCGCTGGACAGGTGAATCAATGCAGCAAAACAATGAGTTGCAATAGCTCGAAGCAATGAAAAGAACTTTAACCGGTGTTCAGGATAGTCCTCAAAATTCTTAGTTATCATCTGCCAAGAAAGATAAAATGTAATGAAGATAGACAAGTATATACAGGACTCCATAAATGAAGGCTATGAAGGGAAATCCTTCAGGCTAAAAGTTGAAAGTAAACAAATACTGTCAGCATATATAAGCAAGAGGAATCATCATAAAACAAGCAGACAAGCATTGCGAATTTCAATTTCAATATGCAACATTGTGCTTGTGCTAACCTCTAGAGTACACTGGAACACAGCTTCAAATATTCGAGGAACATCATCAATCATTGCTCCCTTGTACCTAAACAAAACATGGAGTAAATATGAATAATCGTTAATAAGAAAACCCAGCAGCAGGCCCTATAATTATATTCATCATAACCATCATTATAACTGATATTTCCCATCAAGGAAAACAATACTTGCAACACACTCCTAACGATGGCACTGCCATACTGTATCAAGTAGGTTGTATAATTGGCAAGAATATCGTGATAGAGCCACAGAAAATGTTCCAAAATCAATTGACAGGCATCAGAGCTTGATGAAGATTTCAAGTTGTTGACAGCATATAAAGGCATCCACAAACAAAATGTGAAACATAAATCACAATGAAAACAAGGCATACTTATTTATTATTGTAGCAAATAGAGAGAGGACTTCTGATTCTCTCGCATCAGGCAAATTCCGGGCATAGTCACCAAGAACAGGGTCCATCATTGGTTGCACAAACTGTCTGCCAATATGTGGTTGGTCTTCAGCTTTGTCTAAAAATGTCTCAACAAGCTTCAATGTTTCCCTCTTGACAGAGCTGTTGAGCAGATATTATAACAATTAGCAATATGAGGATCTTGAGGATAAGGGGCTTTGTGACTATGGACTTACCGTAAGAGTTTTACAATAGATGTCCTTGAAGCATAGGGTCCACCTTGGGCAATGCTAGTAGATATAAGCTCACTGTACATTCTGTTCCATGCAATAGAATATGAATCAAATAGAACATTTCCAATGGCAGAGAATGAGGTAATTATAAAATGCAAAAATCCTAACAAACCTGTACACATTGAGCATGTCCAGAAAGATTACAGAAATTTGTGGCAAGAAGTATGTCCCAAGAGAGCTGGCAACATTAGTATTTGTCTGCATGATGTGCATCCATAACAATAAAGGATAAGGGTAAACACCAAAATGCCTCAAAAATTACCAGACATTATAAAACAAAAATAATACTCCCTCCATCCACCGGTAAGCTTCCCATTTAACTTTTCCACGCGGATTAAAGTAAAATAGTATTTTATAGATATACCGTGTAATAAAGTAGTGTAATATATGCTTTACCCTGGACATTAAAAATAAAAGTAATGTAAAAAGTAAATAGTACGAATATTTTGATATTTAGTTGAAAGTTAGTTTTACTAAAAAGGGAAATGGAAAGTTTTGATTTGATCATACTAATATGGTAAAATGAAAAGTTTACTAATAGACAGAGGGATATATACTTTCTGACTGTTTACTAGTTACGAAAATGAGAACTTTAAATAACAACCGATACAAATATAAAGCTTTCTCCTAGGAAAATAAAATCCAAAACTACTTCAGATAAGGCTGATGCAAGCAAGTTTCAAATACTTGAATTGATCTATACATCACTAAGCATCCAGCACTCAAGAAGACTGTACAATACACCAAGTAAAATCTCAACATAAATTTATCGCCAAACAAAATATTATCTCAAGCTTGTTCTTTCTTAGAAAACAAACCTGCAGTATGTTGAGCACTGCTCTTATAACATCAGGATCTTTCAAGAAATCAACACTATGTCGTGCCTGCCCAATTATTTCTGCCCATTTCTGCAGCAGATTATTCATTAGGTTAGGCACTAAAATAAGTATGCATCGCTGAAATGGCATTTGAGACATAGCTATTACTAACATGTGTCTTTTCTCAAGATGTGATGCAGAAAGATCTAACCTGGTTAGGGAGCTCCATCAACCTCTGTAAATATTCATCTCTCTTGTGAGGATCAGGCTCCGCTTGAATCATATGACCCACCTAAACAAAGAAGGTGTGATCATAGATACCCTTACATTAAAATAAATCAACCTAAGATACAGCGAGAATATGCGACATGGTGAGAACATACAGACTCATAAAAGGAATGGATCTGATGAGGCTCAAGGTCAGCAATTGTAGCTGGAAGTGTAGTTAAAAGCTCTGATACAAATGGCTCGTTTTCTCCAACCTGCATGAAAGGAACGATGTGGTAGTTATTTACTTATTTTTAACTATCATTTCTTACTGTGGTCTCGATTATCAAGTGAGGACAAACCTGCACAATGACAAATTTCCGCTTGCACTTCTGAACAATTTTCAAGAATGTATCACATGCCATGTCCTACAAAAGAGCAAGTGATGAAATAAGCACAAAATAAAAGGCATCAGACCAATTTAATGATATGACCAGTATCTGGTGAAAGTTAAACCAAAAGCTGATCAGCAGGAAGAGAAAAAAGAAACATGAATATATGCACAAAAAGGATTTCAGGTAAAATATGCCTAACCTGAACTCCTGGATGAGTTTCATGCATAAACTCAAACAATTTGTTCACAACAGTTTTCAAGAATTTCCAGTGAGCCCTCAAAAATCTTGGGTACTGCCCTACCACGTACCTACACACCCAATGTTAAGTCAAAACCATTGTCCACCGATTTCATTGAACAAAGAGAATCATATTGACAATTAATTTGGTACAAATCCCAATGCAGTGCCATGACTTATATTAGCTGATAATCACAATTAATAGAAGTTTCTGATTCTAACATTATATTACTGGCAATGACAGCTTTATTGTCCTTCCCCTTGGTGATTTCACAGAGATTCAACAAATCACGAATGACCATCACTAAAAACCTGTTTTCCTGTCAAAATGTAAAATATAAATTACATGAAGATTAAAAGTAGCCAAGATATTTGTGAACATTTATTTTTTATTAAGAAAGGGAAAAGGAATGGCAATGGGAAAGCAGTATAAGATTTAGATAAATTTATGTACCTGCTCCTCCACCATTGACCCAGATATAGATCCTATAGCCCAACACAAGGTATTGAGGTTATTCCAAGTCCAGTCCTCCCCATTTAGCTGTTTACTCAGTTTCTTCAGCATCTGTAAACATACACAATAAATTTCATTATTGGATTAAGTTATGTATCTACAATGACATGTAATCCACTAGGAAAACACTAGTACAGACGTTAGTCAAGGGGCCATGCCAATTGAGGCAACAAAAGATGCGGGAAGCATTATCATTGCATAAACTTAAATTTCTACGGTTGCTAATACAAAAGAAGCCAATAAAACTTGTTGAGCTAATCACTGTGCCATAATGACACGTAGGTTTGCTCATTCATACCACAACACACAAGTAAGCACATAGTTCCTTAAAAGCACAGAGAAAAAGTTGAGATGAACAATATAATAAAAGCAGACCTGTTTCTCTGTATCCTCATGATCAAGATGTGTCAGGTATATTAGGGTCTCCCTCATTATCTGCAAGATAATCAACTATTGGACACTCCAGAAAAGAAACAAACAAATATACAAAGAGACCAAACAATAATGATGGAAAACATAGGTAGGAATAGCTGTTTGAAGTTTGAAATTAATGCAGTACCTTATACTGAACCAGCACGTCATTGTCCTTCATTGTTTCACGAACTATATTTCCATTTTCATCCTCAACAATGAGAACTTCTTCAGGCTTGGCCATGCGACATATCATAAGCATTCTCAACTTCGACATTGGCCCAGCATAAAGTTGGCGCCTTTGCATGAGTTGAGAACCAGGTCCATCAATCATACCTGGAAGCATTGGCATCTGCTGGTTCAACGTAAATTTGAGGCTGTTAGGCAGGTATGATTTACATTTTCATATTATAGTGAAGGATCAAGAACAATAGAATCCATGTTATAGTAAATCAGGTAATCCTTGCACACAGAGCACCTGCAGTCCCATCATATTTGCAGCAGCTGCAGGACCATCCAAATTATGGTGAGCTTCAAACAACTCCAAGACTAAGGAATTCCAATAGTCCAAACAAACCTGCAAGGACGTAGAAGTCGATGGTAGCACAAGATATTATGCAATTTTGGCATCCTACAGCAGATAAAATCACAAATGTACCTTAAAAACTTCTGTATCATCCACGTAGGATATGTTGATGAGATATTCAAGGCCTCCTAAAAGTGCACTAATGTTTTCTTGAGAACATTCTAGCACTCGTATGTGAGACTGCATCCAGACAATATAATCATCATGAATATGAGGACCCTAACAAGTATCTCAGCAATCCACAGATCAACACTAAAGTTGATCAACCCTATGACATCAAATGACATTAGTATAGCATTGATTGCATTTTCAATTAAGGTGCACAAAGCAAGCTCACAAAATAAGACCTAGTCACAGATCTACACCTAACGTTGCCATAATTTAGGTGAATACGACAAACATAATTGTAAGAGTGTTGCAAGAACCATAATATAACCGCAGATGCCTTATGTTAATAACCAGCAATATATAGTGGCAGAAATATGCAAGGTTGTCACAGCGAGGTCCGGGGCACGGTGCCACCAGACTGCCATATATCAACTAGGCGAGACAATGCCCGCCATGGTTACAATTTGGCGATATGGCAACCTACTTGTTATATATTTCTAATATTTATATAATAAAAAACTATAACCTTAAATCACCAATGTACCAATATGTAAAGATATTAAATCATCACCATTAAAATTTTAATATTAAAACATTACCATTAAAGTTCCAAAAATCAAATTATAACACTTTAAATTACTAAACAACACCAAGATACCAAACACTAATATGTCACAGTAAAATTCCAATAAAATATTCTATTTTTAATAAAATAGTAGTAAAATGGTTTCATAAACTATTGTACTTTTTCTAAATAAAATATTATAAATATTTAATAAAAATATATTTTTAGTTAATATTTCCAAAATCAGTATAGATAATTGAGCAACTGGCAAACACAGGTTCATTCATAAAGCTTACCTACAGTCGACGATGGCAGATGACAATGGCAAGTGGCGGGCGACAGCAGACCAGTAGAGAAAAATGGAAAACGCAAGAGCAAACAACACTTAGGGTTTGATATTAATAGATCTTAAATGGGTAAAACAATAATGGGTTGGTTCAATAGAAGTTATTCCTGGTCAACGTCCCCAGAACTTGCCGTATCACATCACCTTGGAATCCCAAGGTCGTATTTGGCGACGCCTGGACACTGACCTCGCCAAACAGCGAGGTGAACTTTCCTGGCGGTGATGGTGCACCGCCAGGATGCCTAGGCGATGCCGTGACAACACAGGAAATATGGATAAGAGAATGTGAAAATTCAGTCAGCATGTTGCACTACTGACATGCAGATTATCGTAAATACAACCCCTCCCTGTAGTTTTCTCATTTCATTACTAACCAACAAAAAGTTTAGGAATCTGAATTCCCTCCTATTGGCCTTTAGGAAAAGTATTTGTTAGAAGGGAAGGCAGGGAAAACATGTGAAGATTTACCTTGAAAAATGATGTGAAAAACAATGCCAAGTTTTGAATAAAAGCCTGGAAAGTGCCAATAGCAGAATGTAAGTTGAGATGAAAAACATTAGATTTCAGGAGACAAATTATTTCTTCTTTTCAAAAAAGCACCTGCTCCTCACTAGTCCCATTTGAGTAAGCCTCTAAAAAGTTGGTGGAAGATGGAAGGATGTTCTGGAAAGCAACAAAGAGAGTCAGAAATCAGCACATAATAACTGAAAGCTTAAGAATTAAAAAATATCTAGCAATTTAGAAAATGCTACCTGCAATTGCACCATAAATATAGTATACATTTTGACATACTGGGAGTTGTAAAAATCACCAAAGTTAAGAGCAGCAACCTGCGGAAAACAAAACTATGCTATGTTTAATAGAGACAGAAAACATAAAAATAAAAAATAAAAAATAAAAAATAAAAAATAAAAATAAAAAAACATGAAAGGGGAAAAGGGAGGATATACCTCTGTCAAACATTGGAGAGCCAGATTACGGTAAGCCGGTACAGGGAAAAAATTTAGCAGTGTCTCTAGCTGCAAAACAGAAACAGAAACATAGAAACAGCGCACAATAATTACTTCATATACAAGCTTGCCATTCTAGCAAAAATTTCCAATTTTCGTTTAGTAATCAACCACAAGAATCAAAGAAATACAAACCAGTGGAGATTCAAATATATATCCTAGAGGAATCCAGGAAAGAAAAGCATGCAATGTAGCCATGGTAGCCCTGATAAGCTCTGCTCTTTGAGATGCCGACAATACATACAAGCATAGCTCATGAATAAGTTGAAATTCACTGCATAAAAACAATAACTTCTCAATATTTAAAGAATTTTGAAGGAGAAAAACTCATAATAGACCGAAACAAGAATCATCGAGTCAGTGTTAAGTTGATACAAAGCTATAATATACAACTACATCACTAGATATATGGGCCCGTAGGCCACACAACTTTTAAAAGTTTCAGATAGAGAGCGGGGACAGAAGTATACATGCAATCAAATTTGCTCTTAGGGACATGGTTTATGCAAAAATAAAAGTGCAAGAAAATAAGCAATGAAAAGAAGCAAGCGTCAATTAAATCCACAGCAGGCAATGTTTACATTGTTACCTGTTCAGAGATTGCTTTAACTCCTTAATCTTTTGTTGTGTCATCTCACCCCTTGAGAAGTCGAAGACCTCTTCGCTTAGAAGCTAACAAATAACATTTTCAAATCAACTATAAATAGTTGATGAAAATAAATAACATTGTGATGCAAAGAATACTCACTTTCAAAATTGTCATGCAATTCTCACATATAGTTTCACTTGTCTTTGCTGCTGCAACAAGGTCAGGAATGAAGCTTCGCCACCGGGAGGGCCACTCATGTTTCAGAATCTGAATACAGATAGAGAAGACAATATTATGCAGTTACATGGATAGTCAAATGAAAAGAGTGCTAGATGCGTAGCACAAAAGTGATGGTCTACAGAAAAAATAAAGTGAATTTATTCAGTTGGAGAACTAGCAAACATTACCTGAACCAATATAATGTTTAATTTATTAACATAAAGCCTCTCCGCCCGGAAAGAGATATCATCGCTTGAAAGCTAATAAATGAAAACAAAATGTTGTGAGACATCAATTTACATTCTCCAAAAAATAAAATAATATAATTGCATTGTCCAACTAAAACTGCATGATAGAAAGTGTAAAATACTGCAAAAATAAAAAAGAAAAATTCCTCACAGGTTTAAAGATTAAACTACCTTAACAATAACTTCTGAAATATAGTTCTTCATCCCATCACGTTGTTCCACAGGCAAAGCATTCCATCTGTATTTAATAACACCATCCAGGACCTGTCCATGGAGTTCAGCAAATGGTCTGTTTCTTCAGCATCACCAAACAACATGGAAGATAGAAAAAGGGGTGGTATGTGTAATAAAAACCAAACCCAAAAGCCACATAACTACCAATGTCATTATTACAAACCTGTAAAGCAAAAAATTTTGTGTTCAGGTTCTGAGTGTTTGACAAAATGTGGACCACTTGGAGCCACATGTCTGGGTTATTTTGCAGATCCCTCAAGATATGATCGGCAGCTGCCCTCTGTCAGCAAAGGCAAGAAAACAAGGATGTAAAGTTTACATTGAAACTGGGGGCAATAATAACCACCATTCAGGAATGACCATCAAATGCAGCAATTAGCATCCCCAACAACAACTTAAAAGATACTAATATGCCAAACTTGCGCATGCCATATCTCAAGGCGTCAGATTTCAGAATAAACCATAATGGCAACATAAGTCACAACCATGGAAAGTTTTGCATGGAAGAGGTCTAAGTGCAAGGAAAATACTTCCTTAGACATCAGTGAAAACTCCAAGCAATGTGTGCGGACATAGACTAGACAAAACGCACCAACTACAAGATCAATAACATAAAAGTATATTTTATCTATGTAATCTTCACATTTCAACAATGACCCAACAACGGGAACATGATTATGACAAAAACAGATAAAAAAATTTCACAATCATGATGACTGAGCAGTACAATTCCCAAAGATTATAAACAACGTGATACCACCTTGTAGCTATATATATACAACCTCTTTAGAAGCTCATTTCCTTTTTATTTTATGCAGGCTAAAATTGTAATAATTATCATATAGAGACTATAGGCATTCCCTATAGTTTTTGCAGAAACTTCCTTCCATTATGAAGCAAAAAGTGGCACATATAAAGATTTTGTGAGCTTATTCAGTATTTATTGATATAGTTACAATTGTCCTTATTAAAATAGAGTTACATGAAGTAATAATAAAGCATTCAATTGTTTGTGTTCAATGAAGGAAACAATCTCTGACTTTACAAAACGTTTCGTGTCAATTTAGCTATGTAAGGGAATGGTCAAGATCCTGTTAGATAGTCGCATAGAAGTTATCCTTGGCATGGCTAAGTTGTATGATGTAGTCACTTACAACCAAATCATGAGGACAGTGTGAACAGAGAATTCTCAATATATAATCAAGGTACATTCTTACAACATGCAAAGAACTAAGTCTATGCGAACACTTTTAGAATACTAAATATAACCAAAAAAAGAGTATATCAGATTCGGAAATAGTTTGTTTCATCGAGATAAAAGACAATCTTTCAATATTTTCAGAATTGCCCAGAATTTGAGGATGCCTACTAAAGAGGCCAAGCTGCAAAACTTTTAACTTCAAATCATGATCCCCATGATGTGTAAATGTAAGACTTATTGACCACTTGAATAGAAGTAACGCGCACTGAGCTCTTTTGTTTTCAATTTCTAATAAGCAGTTGCCGGCAATGAAAATTATAGTCACAGTTAAATAAATTTGAAGCATAGCTAATCTCTATTATGAAATAAACGGTTTTGAGTGAGTATGTCAACGAAGTTAGCGCATGCTAGGAGAGAAAATAATAAATCCCTCGTGCATAAAACGCTTAATGAAAAAAAAAAAAAAAAAAAAGATTCAAATACTGAAAAACTCCTCGAGGAGAAAATGCGTAAATATGTGAAGCAAACAAATGCAGGCAGATGAAAGAAATTAATAAAGAGAAGCAAATAAAGAGTGGGGAGGGGAGGGGAGGGTAGGGGGAGCAAAAATAAAGTAAGGAAAAAAGAAAAAAGGATTGGGAAACCTCGTCTTTAGATCCGGTTCCATAGAAAGCAGCGACGGTGGCGTCGAGTAAGGCGACATCCATGGGGCGGCTTAAATCCCGAAGCTTTTCGGCAGTCATGGCGGAGATCGGCAAATAAACCCTAGGCGCGGGGGAATCGGAGGGAAAACCCTAGGGTACGAGTGGTAGTGGGAGTGAGGGGAGAAGGAAAACCCTAGCCTAGCCTAGCCTAGTAGAAGGTGGGCGGGGGAGGAGTGGATGGGGGGCGGGGAGGAGAGAGAGAGGTGAAGAGAAGACTGCTTCAAATTGAAGCAGAGAGAGACAGAGAGAGAGAGTCCAACGGGAGGAGGCGGAGGAGGCGGATGAACGAGGAGGTAGCGCCCGTCTAACTTTGAAAATATAGGAATTAGGAAGATAAATATAGATATGCGCGTTTGTATATATGTATGTATATGTATATGTATATGTATTCGGGTTTTTGTTTTAATTTTGGATTGAAATTTGGTTCTGGGTCGGCCTTACTGTTCCCCTCCCCTCTCACTTGAGTTAGTCAATCAATCGTAATAACGACAGTTCTGATAGAGTGGTGTGGTGGTTTCGGAAGTGAATATGGAACAGTGAGATCATAAGTTTAAATTCGACAGCCTGCAATACATGGTTCGTGACTTGTCTTTGTCTTCTTGAGTTCAATTAACAACTTCCAGCCGAGTCTTGTGCTACGCACTGTGTAATCGACAAAAAAAATTTATAATATTAAAAATATAATAAAAAATTAAACTAAAATAGAAAGATACATAATCAATTGTGTAGAATTAAACATGATCATATCAAAAATATGATTCTATATAATTGTACATTGAATTATAAATGGTCATATCATATAATTCTATATAATTGTACAAAAATTTATCAATCGCGTATGTCAACGTCATTAATTTTCGTTAGTTTTTTAATAGTGTGATTGATTGAAATTGATTTGAGTTTTTCATATATGTCAAAAATTAATAAATTTTGGTTATATTGTAATTAAAACTGATTTTTTCGCAATAAAATTTTATATAATACAAATAAATAAAAAATTTATGTATTCATCTATAATTAATATAAATTAATTTTATAAAAAAAATAAAGAATTTTAAATATAGATGAAAGAAAATTAATACTATTATATACTTAAAAAAAGTTAATTATTATTTAATTGGAGTATCAATTTTCTTAAATATATGTATTTGTATATTTGTATAAAATAATAAATAATAAAAGATTTCATCTTTACATTTTGTTCTTCAGAAACATTGACCCAAATTGAATTTTAATATTTATAGTTTATCTATCATATTCAAAATTATTTACACATATAATGCATCATAATTAAACAATATATATTCTAGAATATACAGTAAATTTAATAAATTAATAATGTGCATTTATTACTATTTTTCATAAGAACGCATTATTCAATCTTTAAAATATCATATTAAATTATTAATTATTATATAGTTTTTTAATGTATTATTTAAACAAAATATTTTTTTGATTTATTATATATATAGGATTTTTTATATATCTTAATTTTTCAACGTAATCAAATAGTTCTTTTATTTGAAAAACAAAGTAAATATTATTTTAAAATTTGCTTAAAAAAATATTCAAATTTAATGACAGTGAACATGGTTGAACATCTTTTTTTCAAGCAACTTCTATAAATATAAAAATAATAGTAATATAAAACAATATTATCAATTTTTTACTTTTTATTTTCTTCATCTTTACTCTTGCTTTTCTTCTCCATTCTACTCTCTTGTTATCATTCAAAGTTTACTCTCCTCATATACTCAATGGAAACAGTGATGGGAGCCAAAGAAAAAACTTACAATACAAAAATGAAAAATAAAATCTTGTTTTCTCTAAAATAAAACATAAAAGTGACGACATTCATAAATGAAATCTCCGTAAACCGTCATTTAGTTAGAATAAGTAATTCTTACCAAATTGGCCAAATGTTGCAGCCATACTCTTTATTAGAACGGTAGCGACATCCCTTCTAAAACTCAATTAAATTCTACACTTGCACACTACCAAGAAGGTGCACCGGAAATGACACAAAACTGGGGTTTAAACATACATCCAAACCCTTGTACCATAATTGCTCAATGGATAACATTTACCAAACATCAAAATAATTAAAACTGTTTTTTAATTACACTGGAAACAGTAAACAAAAATTTAAAGGAAACGAAAAAAATACCATTATATATAAATTCACTATATCAGCAAATGAATTTGCATAAAGAAAAATGAATAAATGAACAACTAATATAAAATAACAAACTTATGCCAGAGACAACAAAAAACTATACATAAAATTGAAGAGGCAATAAACTTGGATCTCTAAACTGCTAAATAGCTTCAAAATACACACAAAAACGACGAAATAAAATGCTGCTTTTGTCCGTAAGAGTTCTTCTAATAAACCGTGTTGAATTTCAAAGCGGTTGAAGCAGCAAAGGTGTTATACAGCAGCCTACGCTAGCCTAGCTCTTCCGTAAACTACAAAGCTGCCTTTACCATTTTTAAATAGTCGCTGCAGGCTTCCCTTGTGGACTTCCGCTTGTGTCATCCTACGTGGAAATGGAATGAAGTCGGATCGTTTTCCTTCAATTTGATATGCTAAAGTCGGCGGCGATGGCAACGTAACTACGCATAATTTTTTGTCCAGCGTTTTATGTTGCCATAGATGGAATGTGGTGTTTGAAGGTTTTTGTTTAAAAGAGAAACAAAGTATATACATATATATTTATACAGGCTAAATTAGATATAAAAATACACAAAAACTCTTCAATTTTCAATACTCATTATTAATTGTAGTAAATATAAAAACTGTTCGATTTTCCAATACTCATTATTAACGGTAATAAATATAAAATATTGAATTAAAAATTCAATTGTGGATTAAAGGTAACTATTTGTGCTATCAGTCAAATTAAGAAATTTATTGGCCTTAAATGTATTTAGTAAGTGCGGGACTCTAATGTGCAGAAACCGATAAATTATTAATTAGATGATGAATTCAATTAATAATAAGGGATATAAATAGGGTTGTGATCCCACGAAGGGTTGTGCCATATGCTTTAAGAACACAAAACCCTTCATTATTTGCAGATCTCAATCCTACTATGCCGAGGAATAAGGTTAGATCTCGCTTTATTTTCTTATCTCAGTTATTACAAAAGATCGTGGGCTTAAGATTAAATTCCTAATAAATTAGAACAATTGGGGCGTGACAATTAGCTGTTAGCTGATTCAATTAGCTGATAGCTGTTAGCTGATTCAATTAGCTGGTTTGACTAGCTGATTCGATTAGCTGGTTGTATTAAAATGTTTGGTAAAACAACTGTTTGATATTAGTTGTTTATACATAAAATGACAATTGAGGACATTTCTATTTTATTTTTGTTTCTAATATATTCAATTATGTTTTTTTTAGTTTAGAATGTTTAAAAATTTTTTGTTATTAGTTATTGAAAATTGTAAAAGTGTTATAAAAATATTTATTTTTATTACAGTTAGATTTTTAAAAATAATATATTTTTATTAAAATATATAAATAGTTTTTTTTTCTATTGAAAATAATGTAAAATATAAAATAATAAATTTTTCGTGTATATATTTATTATGTTAGTTATAGATTAGTTCGTTATATTTATAATTTTCAATAAATTTAATTTATTTTTAATATAAAATTTATATAATTTAATATAAAAATAAATTATTAATATTTTATTTTCTATTTTATATTGATTTTAATAAATTTATATATTTTACAATTAAAATAATTTTTATATAAAAATTAATTATTTTAAATTTATAAAAGTAAAATTATAATATAATAAAATATTTTAATATAATTAATAAATAATTAAAATGTATTTATTTGTGTAAAATTATAATAAATTTTTAAGAGCATATAAAGAATAAAAAAAAATTTACAGAAAAAACTATTTCAAAACGCTGGGTAATATAGCTTTTCAGAAATTAGCTTTTTGGGTCGAAAAAGCTATTCCAAAAAGCTAATTTACCAAACATCTAAATTAGTTTTTTTACGGATTAAACAGTAAAAAACTGTTTAACAAGCTAAAAGATATTCAAAAAGCTATTTGTCAAACACTCCCTTGTGTTAAATTATTGAGATGTTTGGTCAGATAAATTATTTATTTTAAATCAAATTAATTCAATGTGCATACGATATAAATCTTTATGGGATTTTCAATTCGTTCTTTTTGAATTAATTGAAATCAAGATTGGTGAATTAATTATATATTGGAATTTGGTAATTGAAATCAATTTGCCGATTCGTGGAAACACGAATGAGTAGATGCATAGGCCTGAATTTGCCCTCGGAGTCCGTGCGCTGTGTTTGTTTGTTATTGTAGTATGTAAGTCATTATTATTCATTATTCTTTAATTGAATTTATTGAATCATATATACTAACTATATTATTTGTAAATATGAATTATTTGCAAGTGGAATCAATCTAAACTCATTCATTTCATGAAAATCAATTCTGCTAACATATATTATATCCCAATATATTAATAATATTTCTAAAACTGCACGAAAAAAATAAATGAATATTTACTTATGAGACGGATAAAATATATATTTAAAATAACAAATAAACTTGCTCAAGTGGTTGGAGTCAAAATTATTAGTTTTATTTTTTGAAATATCAAATTAAAATTATACATTTCGTAATTTTAATTTATATTTTTTTATTTTGATTTTAGTTCCGTTTCAAAAATCACCGATTATATTTGACAATGTTAGTTTATGTTTATCCACTTTTAATTATTTTATTTTAATTTTTAATTAATAAAAATTGTAATTTTAATGTGATTTTATTTATAAATATATATACATATATTTAATAAAAATTCATATAAATAATAATAACAATTAAATAGATTGTTATAAAATAAAAATTAATTACGTTAAATATATATAATATAATAAATCCGATCAAAAAAATAATATAAAAATATAAATTTAAAATTATTATTATTATTATTAAAATAAAATAAAAATAAAAATAATAATAAATTTATTTTTTGAGACCTAATGTACTTTAATATTTTTATTAAATATTTGAAATTTCTTTATATATATACAAGTGTACTGCATATATTTGAAATTATATAAATTTATAAAACAATATTTAATTAACAAATTTATAAACTCTAATGAAATATAAGGAAATTAATAAATAATTTAATTAAATCTATCAAAATCTATATAAATCAATAAACAAAACCAATTAAACTTTGAATAAATTCTATAGAAATCCAAACAATTTCGTTTAAATCCTAATTGAATACATCATTTAGATGTAATCAGTTGTCTTATGAAATTGTGTCGACTACATTAATTTTCCATCTATGCTCATTTTCAATTTGGAGACTATTGATCAGTTTAGCATGTCAATTTTACTCTGCTTGTATTTCAAGTAAGTCTTAAATCACTCTAGCTAGGTGAAATTTTTATTTATTTAATTTTTTATTTTTTTTTTCAAAACATTTGATGCTGCCATGTTTTGGAATTTTCTCCATTGAATTTTTATTTATGGTTTCTCCGATGTTGTAGCAACAGATTGCCAGAAAGCAGCAAACTGTGTTACATGGTCTGTAACATCACCCTCCGCAGGTCCTGCAGTCATATGACGAGGCAGAATAACAACTTGGAATTTTTGTGTTTGTTATAAGGATTTTCAAGTATTTTTAATCTTTATTAAATATTATTTTTTTAAAAACTTAAATCAAATATATATTTTTTATTTTTTTTAATATACTAAAAATTAATTTTAAATTCAAAAATTTGATATTAATACCTATTAATATCCATAGTATAATTATTCACGTTTAAAATTTTACAATTCTAATTTAAATAAAAAAACGAATCCACAAACAAACACACCCTCGTTGTACAACATCAATCTTTGCCCTATTATAATTACTAGACCTAGCCAGTATTCGATAAGCAAATCAGCTGGGGACGTTGCCTGATAATCTCGTTGTGGCAGCTCGGTGGCGCGGGGAGGAGCAATGGCTTCCCTCGTACGAAGCGCGATGAAATCCCTCCGAGAAAAGGGTATCGGAGGGTTCTTCCGCGATCTCAGAGAGGAAGGATATCTGTTAGTCTTTATCTTCTTATCTTCTTCGTCACTCTCATTTTTTTCAAATCCGGATCTTAAAATCTTGAAATATAACGGTTTGAAGTGTTTATTATATGGAAAGGGGTATCGATGGATTGTTGCCAATGATATTCGCTTCTCTGTATTCTGTTTATTTGAGTTGAAAGGATTTTCGTTTAACTGTATTTAGGTTTTAGGGTTCGTAGTCAGCGATGGTAATTCAGTCATAGTGGTGATTACGAAACGTGGTTTTCAGTTTTATCCAATTATTTATATTTTGATGAAACGCTTTTTAACTTTTTTGCCATTTTGTTCGTTATTGAGGTTTTCTATTTATTTATTTTTTTTCCATTTCTTCTTCCTCCACAAGCAGGACAGCTCTACTGGATGGAAATCTCATGTAAGTAGAACTCTGCCAAGCTATCTTGATGGACCTTTATTAGATAGCGAAATATATATATATATATATATATATATATATATAGACTGGGCTCTTTTTGTGCTGGGCGATACTGGCTTTTGTAGTAGGGATAGTAAGCAGTTTGCTCCAATTACAGTGTTCAAATAGTTAAATCGATCCTGCGTAATTGAAATATTTTACCTGCCCCACTTCGTCTTATGTGTATATATTTTTTTGATTGTGTACCAATTATGTATATTTGTTTTAGGTTTTGTTCTTTTATTGATGTTCCAACTGCTATTGAATGAAACCCACCCCATATTATAATTAATCAAGGCAAACAAAGATACACAACATAGGTGCGAGACTTGTGGGTGTTGACAAATTCGGCAACAAGTACTTCGAGAAATTAGGGGACACTCAATATGGTCAGTGGTGCTTTTCATATTTCTGGATAGGCTTCATGAATCATTTCTGTCGTGCCTCATTTCTTATATGTTTGAGATCCGTTAAATTGCTTGGATGATATCACCATTCAATGTTTAAAACCTTGTTCATAGTTCTTCTTCAGTGCTAAACTACTGAGTACATACTGTATACACCTTTGGTCCTTAAAAGCTCAGCTGCCGGGCAATCTTTGAGTGGGTTCCTGCCCCCTGTGCATTACGATCTTGAGAATTTCCCATCAAAGTCCATGCCCGAGCATTTTGATGCTATGAACTTAGGGGTGCATAATGCCGCTCATTTTGTTACTCAATTGTAGGGCGACACAGGTGGGTGGAATATGCTTCAAAGAACCGCTACAATGCTTCTCAGGTTCCACCAGAGTGGCATGGTTGGCTGCATTTTATAACTGACCATACAGGGGACGAGGTAGGCTAAAACCTTGTGGACTGGGTTTATGTCGGTAATTGTGCTATTAGTAATGGTCTAACTGTGCATTTGATATGGTGCAGCTGCTGTTGTTGAAGCCAAAGAGGTATGGGGTTGAACACAGAGAGAACTTTTCTGGAGAGGGAGATGAATATGTATATCACTCAAAAGGACATACCCTTAATCCTGGGCAAAGAGACTGGACAAGATATGAAACCTGGCAGCCCAAGAAGGCCTGACTGCACTGCAGCTGGAAAATAGCTCTCTCTTTCCCCTTTTTTTTTTTTTTTTTTTCCGTTGTTAGTTATATGAATAAATCTGATGGACCCTGTCTGTTTCTGAAGCCCCGTGATTCAATCAATGTGTGGGGTTTCTGTTTTTTGTTTAATTATCTTTGATGGAGCTGTATGGGATATCCCCCAATATTATTTGTCGTCATGTTGTTTTTCATAAGTGCCACCGGCTTGTTGAAGGTAATAATGAAGAAATGGGCTTCGGGTAGTGGTTTATGAAGTAGGATATGTTTGTTGTTGTTGATGAGATGGGATGGGATGGGATGGGAGGAGAGGCAATGTTGTCTCAGGATAGGATAGGGAGGGATGTGTGTGTTGAAATGGAAATATGAACCTAATAGGGGCTAGTGTCTGTACTGGATTGAGTTTAGTTGAGAACTTAACTTGTTAGGAGTATAGGATTAAGATTGGAGGAGGAGGAGGAGGAGGAGGTAGTTGTTGTATGTATGTATATATGTATGAGGGGTGTGGGGATGTCCGATTCAGCGAAGGAGCATCTGAATAGTTGATAGTTAGCTGGCTAGATGAATGTATGTATGTATGTATAAGATTGTATAGGATAAGTGGGTGTTATTCGTTGAAATGAAAATGAAAAATCAAAGTGGTAGATGGATAGATCACCAATTAGCAATATGTATGTATGCATGTAATTGAAGTGGGTTGGGTGATTGGTCATTGAAGTCGAGTGTGACATGCAGCAGCAAGCAATCCAGGGAATGTCAATGTCCATATGCTGCTGCTGTTGGTATTTATCACCATCTATCCATCTGTTTTTCTTTCTTTTTTTACCTGTTCTTGGTTTCCTCCTCTCCTCTCCGCAACCACCAATCATCGCCTAGCCTACGCTGGCTGTCGTGGACTCGTCTCGTCCTAGAGCCAGTCTATGCCCTGCCCTGTCACCCCATCCAACCCAACCGTCAGACAGTAGGCAGGCAGGCATCTCTTCGTATCCATCCATCCATCCATTGCCGGCGGGCGACTTGTTCCTCCCTAACCTAAAACTCTAACACCGCAGGGGGCCGCGCTGTATTTCTGTTCTATTGTATTCGTTTCCATTCAATTCAGACGCAGGCTCAGCACGGGGTTTCTTCTACCACAAGCATCCATCCATCCTTCCTTGTTCGCTTCGCTTTCTATCCAATCCAATCCATGTCTTCTCACGCTCCGCCCAATCCCCAGGTTTCTTCTTCGCCTTGCTCTTTTCTCCCCTTCATCTCATTTTCTCTCTTTTTATTCAACGCTGTTTTCCTATTACATTTAGAATGGAACTTCTTCTTCTTCTTCTTCTTCTGTCCAGAGTGATGCTTTGGAAGAGGCGCAGGCACTTCTTAATGATCGCACTCCTCCCGACTCTGAGGAATATTCCCTCGCTGCAGCTATTCTTCCGTGAGTCCTTTCTTTCTACCGCCTTTCACTTGCTTCTCTGCTTGCCTTGGGTGCTACTTATTACTTTATCCAACCACCGTGGATTACTTTTGTTCCTTGAGGGTTTGGTTCTGTACGCCCTTACGGCCTTACCTTTATACTGTCCGACAGTGCGTTGAGCTTTGCTGTATATCGGGTCTCATCAAGTATGCAAAGCTTCTTTTAATTCTCGTCCTGATTTAGCTGTCTAGTCAATCTCACTAACTTCCTTAAACCGGGAATAAGGATGCATTCTTCTCTTGTAATTTGTGCCGTGTTATGTATAGTACTAATATAGTGTCTCTCAACTGTTCAACAACCAGCCATCATATATGAATTCTGACAACTGGGTCCATGCATGATATCAGGTTTTTGTTCCCTGCTCTCGGTGGACTGCTATATGGATACGATATTGGAGCCACATCTTCCGCCACTATTTCCATTCAGGTAAAGATTACACCATGCACAGTCTGTCATTTTTCAATAGATGAGTGGGGATTGGATTCGTCGGTAGTATGTAATCCCGTGGCATTCTTCTTCCACAACTGCTCCGTCCATAATAGTATTCTAGTGAAGTTTTCTAGTGAAGTTTGTTGGAGATCCAATACTTTTTGTCAAGTTTGAAATATGGCTTTATTTTCTTTCTTTCTTCCTTTCTTTCTTCTTCTCATTCTTAATCTTTGCTTTTTTCTCTAAAACAAGTAACCATTTTTTACATTAATTCTATGTCTGGATGAACATTAGATTCTTATAACCATCCAACACGTATCATAGAAGTGAATGGATTATGCTGATGTGCCCAAAAATCACCACAAAGGTGGTTACATGGTTTCATAGAATGCCTTATTCTTGTTTCATGCTTTGATGCAATTCAGTTTTTATTTAACATGCCATTAGTTACTTTTGGAATGACTTATGCACTTAGTTGATGTTCTGTTATTGGAACTATAGAGACACTATCCAATTTGATGGATATTTAAGCTGATTAAACCGGTGCCCACAAGTTTTCTGGAGTACATAGAATTCAAGTGATCTAATTTCGTGCCGTCTCAATTGTAGCTGAGGACAAAAAATGGAGGCTAAATTAAATTTCATTTGTATTATTGAAAATGTTTGTTACAATCATTTTGTGTTCATACTGGAATCTTGCTATGCAATTGATCTTTGTTTCCTTCTTTTGCAGTCAGCTGCAACAAGTGGGATTACTTGGTATAATCTGTCTCCCGTGGATGTTGGTCTTATCGTAAGCAAGTTGTTTATTTCTGTTTACTGTAATTTATTAAAATGTTTCAGATTCAGATTCCTGTTCCCCGCATCTGTATCAAGAAGATAAATACTTTACATTTTGCTTCTAAATCCGCAGACCAGTGGCTCATTATATGGTGCATTGATTGGTTCACTTTTGGCATTTAATGTTGCAGACTTTTTGGGTAAGTTTAATATCTAAATGCAGACTTGGTTACAACTTACAGTTTGGTCATCTTATAATCTTGTGCTTTCTTTTTTCTTTTTTTGCTTGACACTGCAGGAAGGAGGAGGGAATTGATCTTTTCATCTTCAATGTATCTCATTGGAGCTCTAGTAACAGCCGTGGCACCAAATTTTGTGATCTTGGTGATAGGACGTTTTGTCTTTGGTATAGGAATTGGATTGGTAAGAATTCACTTTAATTTTATTGTAACCACATGTTTGCTGTCAGTTTATTATTATTATTATTATTATTATTTGGACATTATCTGCTTATGGATTTGTGCAAGCACTAGTTGTGTTTGAGAACAATTGTGTTTTCTTTCACAGGCCATGCATGCTGCTCCTATGTACATTGCAGAAACAGCTCCAAGTCGTATACGAGGGCAGCTAATTTCACTTAAAGAATTTTTTATAGTTCTTGGAATGCTAGTAAGTATGCCATTACATATAACGAAAAAATAAAAAAGCCCACTCATTTTTCTCTGCAAGCCCATCTATCCATTTTAAGATGGTATTAATGACACAAGTATTGCATTTACCATAGACTAATTGACACACTCACTCATAAATACAACTCAAATGCTAAAGCGTGAGATGTTCCCTTGTAGCTTGGATATATAGTGGGTAGCCTTTTGGTGGAGGTAGTAGCGGGTTGGCGGTATATGTATGGAGTTAGTTCTCCTCTATCCCTCATAATGGGAATTGGGATGTGGTGGCTTCCTCCATCCCCTAGATGGATTCTTCTTAGAGCCATACAGGGGAAGGGTGAGATGCTGGTTTTGAGGGAGGCTGCCATATCTAGCTTATGTAGACTAAGAGGTGAAGCTATTGGTGATTCAGCTTCTCAGAAAGTGGATGAGATTATGTCTGAGCTCTCTTATTTGCAAGAGGAGGAAGAAGCATCAATAACAGAGTTGTTCCAGGGTAAATGCTTGAAAGCACTTACAATTGGTGGTGGCCTTGTCCTATTTCAACAGGTATTTTTCTTTGTTGTCTCGCCCTAAAGTTCCATTGTGTGAAAAAATGATTATAACCTCCAACCCAACTTACTTTGTTTTGTAGATTACCGGGCAACCAAGTGTATTATACTATGCTGCAACTATTTTTCAGGTATATTTCTGAATCATTGAGAAGGTCAAATTATGCCTGTATTTAAAATGCCATGGGTTTTCCTTATTCTATTCTAAGTATTCTACAAATATAGAGTGCAGGATTTTCTGCAGCATCGGATGCAACTAAGGTCTCAATTCTGCTTGGTTTCTTGAAGGTGAGGTGGTGGAGTCATTCTCATTTTTCTTTTCTTTTCTTTAGCTTCTTTCTCCCGTGGATAACATTCTTATAGTTCGATGTTCCTTTCTTTCCACTTGGCCTCGCCATGTTTACCTGTTGCATCCAATGTGGGCAAGCATTGCATTCAAATTCTCACAGTTGACCCATATCCAGTCCTGTCATACTTCATTCTTAATCTTTAGATGGAAGAATTTACGTGTGTTGCTTGTTTCATGTGTTGTCTTCTACACTACCCATATAGATCTGTGCCTGTTATCTTTGACAGTTGCAGTTAATGCAGCTTTAACATACTCCCTGTCTTTGTTGATGTAGCTGGTCATGACAGGGGTTGCTGTTCTGGTGGTGGATAGACTAGGGAGGAGGCCTCTCCTGCTTGGTGGTGTCTCTGGAATTGTAAGTCCCAGCTTGTTAATGTGGCTGTTCATATATTGTGTGTGTGTATGAAGTGAAGTTTGTAATAGGCTATAGTTGCACTTGGATCATATGGGCAGGTATTATCACTGTTTCTCTTGGGGTCTTACTACACATACCTGGATAATATACCGGCTGTGGCAGTTGTTTCTTTGCTTGTGTATGTTGGATGCTACCAGGTATGTGTGTGATAATGACATTAATGATGATGGTGATACTGAATAATAGCGTTGAGTTCAGTTCAGTCAGCAGCGAGCAGCAGATGTGCTTTCTGGCAAAAGGAATTTATTTGGAATATGACACAAGTGGCGGGTGTGTGTGGGTGCAGCTATCATTCGGGCCCATAGGATGGTTGATGATATCGGAGGTGTTCCCACTGCGGGTGAGAGGGCGGGGACTGAGCGTGGCAGTGCTGGTGAACTTTGGGGCAAATGCTTTGGTGACATTTGCCTTCTCTCCACTCGAGGTATGTATGTATATATGCATGCATGTGCGTGTACTAAACAAAAACTGCGAGATGAATTATAATTGGGGTTGTGGGTGGTGCAGGAGGTGGTGGGGGCTGGAGCGGTGTTCTTCGTGTTTGGGGGCATCGCAGTGGCGTCCCTCGTCTTCATCTTCTGCGTTGTCCCAGAGACCAAGGGGCTTAGTTTGGAGGAAATTGAGGCAAAACTCCTCTAGGGGTTAGGAGTTAGGCTTTAGTAGTAGTAGATGCTGAAATGCAGCAGTTGCAGCAGCAGCAGTATATACTCACTATATAATAATTGAATGAAGGAATAAGTTTGCGGGAGCGTTGTTGGGAGTATGGAAAGGAGCCGAGCCGAGCCGAGCAAAATGGATGGACGGATGGAGCCTGGAGGGCATTGCTTTTGCTCTCTTGCTTTGGAATAAATTCAAACATGGGGTCGGCTCGTCTCTTGTTATTGTGGAATTTTATTAATATTTAATGATATCAGCTACTCTCTCAAGTTCTTTTTATTGATATATATATATATATATATACACTGCTGATATATCATAATTTAGTAGGGTGCTGAGTACATAAAATTTAATTATTTTTAATTAATATAATTATATATAATTAATTTACAAGTATTTGGCATGATGCTGAGAATTTTTCACCTGATCTTTGATCATATATATTTATAATTAGAAAATTATAAAATAATTGTATAATTTTTTGTTAAATAAAATATTTAAAAAATTTTCAAAAGATAAAAAAAGAGTGAAACATAATTAATAATCTTGGAAGCAACGATTTTTATTCCCATTTATTTTTATATATATAACGCGTATGTCGGGAGCCACAATTGCTATATCATCTCAAGAGGAGGAGGCAGATTGTATTAGGGTTTTGAGCCTGGCATGGCGAAATTCAACGTCGTACAGAAGCGGCGCCGAGCCGCCGTCGCTGATCGCAAGAGGATGGTACACGGCGACCCCATCACCGGCAAGCTGCACCAGAAGCCCCAACCGCACTCCGTCTCCGGCAAGCGTCAACAGAAGCTGCTCAAGAAATGGCGCCGGGTTTGTATTGTCTACGCGCAGCGCATCATATGTGGCGATTTACTACTACTTGGCTTAAACTCTCCCTCTCTCTCAAAAACAGGAACAAAAAGAGGCCGTGGAGAAGGGCTTAATTACGATGGAGGATGTGGAGATGGCGGCTGCTGCTGATGGTATGCTCTATGCTGCCTGCCGATACTTTGCAGATTTGATTATCTTTTAATTGAAGTAGAGCAATTTATATAAATCAAGTTTGGTGATGATTCAAATAATACGTAATTAGGTGGAAATCCAGTAGTTTTGTGATGGATATTGATTGATGCTGAAGGAAGTATGCAATGGGTGCTTGTTTTCGACTTTGCTCAGAAACATCTTATGAGTGGGTTTTGGTTTGATGGGGGGACATTCATTCATTCATTATTTTGGTTTCAGAGGCGCAAGATGCCAGTAAGGCCCCTGGGTGTGCCCCAGCTGCAGTTAATAAGTTCCCAATGGGGAAGAAGAGTACGAGGACGAGACTTGGAGTCAAACAATTGAAGAAGAAAGGTGATTGCTGCTGCTTCCCCTCTTAGTTATTTGATTGAACTGCTGCTGCAGCATCTAACTCTGCTTCTTGCATCGCAATACTGACTGATGATGATGATGATCTAAATTGTTAAATAACAGGCAAGGGCAAGAAAACAACCCGAGAACCCACTGGAGGAGGAGATGCAATGGTGGAGTGAGAGTGATGGGTGGATGGATGGATGAGATTTTGGGAATGCTGTTTTCCTTTTGTTTTCACCTAGTTTAGTTTAGTTCTCACTTGTCAGAGAGAGTTGCTTGTTGTATGAGTCCCCTTCCCCTTCCCCTTCCCCTTCCGGCCAACACAGCTCTGAGATGATGGATCATATGTGAAAAGTGAGAAAGTAACAACAAGATTCTAATAGCATAAACACTACTACTACTACTTCTACTTTTTTGTTTTTTGCTCGAACCAACCAAGCATCATATTTGTTTGGTGAAGGGAGGGGGGATGGCATGGATGCAAAGCTCAATTCAGTGGTGAGTTAAATTGATAAAAGTATGCATGAACGGGGTGTTACAGAATTCTGTAAAAGCTTGTGAGGCATCCTGCATCACGAATGAATGAATAAATAAATGATGGTGTTTTTGTACTCTCACCAAATCACAAGTGGTATAAAAATCCAATCCAATCCACCAAATGAAGTGCCGTTGGGTCGGGTGGGCTTGAGTTGAGGTTGAGGTTGAGGGCTCCTCCTATTGTAAATGCCAGCTTTATCACAGAACCAGAATTATAATAAAAGGCCCTCTCTCCCTCTCTCTCTCATTAGGAATTGGCAGCCCCCGTTTCTTCCCCCTTTCTATTCTCTTCCATTTTTCAATCCTCCAGCCCTATTATTACTCTCCGATCCGATCCGATCCGATTCGATGGCGGCGGCATTCCGGGCAAGAGCTGGATTAACAATTGTCACCCACCTCGTTAAATCCCTACCCCGCTCCTCCAATTCTCGATGCTTAAGCGGCATCGTCGCCCCAGAAGTCGTTTCTTCTCATACCGCCAAATGGATGCAGGTATTTACTTAAACTCAGCTTTGGAATTTTCTATTCTGTAATTGTTCATCACACTCCTCTGCTTCTTATAACCATAAAATACGATACTTAACACTATTCTTTATTTTTGTTTGTATTTTGATTGCTGAATTTTCGTGTGCCCGTCAAGCTTATTAGGCTAACGGTTACAGAAGAATTTATGCTTTAAAAGATGACGTTTTTGTGCTTCCATTGAGTACTGATTCCGAGACATAAACCAAACGCCTAGATATTGATGCTCGGGGGCATGTAACTTAAACCGTGTAACGACGGCAGTATCATGCGAATGTTTGTGATTCAAGTTTTCTGGCAGCAGAACTGGAACATTGGCTTCTAATTTCTTGTTCCAAATCTAGCTCTACCGTTGATAACCACAGTGATTTGAAAACTAGCTCTACCTGTTTCTCATTTGGTAGTTTGAAAACAGAATTAGAATCATTATTCTAGCGAAGCTTGTGTAGGATCATGGAACAACTGATATAGGTGTTGAGGGTGGCATCTTACATGATATTCCAACAAGTGTTTAAATAAATGAACTACCAATTGGTGGCGCCTGCATATTTACAATTTTAATGAAACCTGTTAAAACAACTTTTATTTTTTAGAGGATTCTGTCATGCCTGCTTATGTACCACAGGAAGATATAATTTCAGATGCCTTGTTCATACCAATTCTGCGTTTGGGTTTCAGTATGGCTTAAGATTTGTCTAATTCATTTATTTACTCCATCTGATCTTGCATGGTGATTATTGTCTGCTATATTGTTGTTGTTGTTTTTTGTCAGAGAATTTCTATAACCTGTCTGGGGTAAATAACCCTCAAAAAAACTTTTCATAAGAATTTGTTGTGTTCTTTTTAAGTAGAGGAGGGAAACTTTCTCTTCATTTGAATGACTGCCATGTGTTATTTACTCTATAAGGAACTATACTTGTATTATCTGGTCCTGTATAAAATATTTGAAGAACCTCCAATATTATGTGCCTTGTTATCATATTAATCTTCAAATTTTTATCGTTCCAAATTTTATAAATTGTTCAATTATTGTGGAAATGAGACCTAGGCCTTGTTTACATAACACTTTTAGAATTTTGACACTATTCAATTTTTTAAAACATCACATTAAATACATTTTTTCTTTTATAAAATATCATATCAAATGTTATTTTCTTTACCATTCTCAAATTTTGTTTTTCTTTTATAAAATATCATATCAAATGTTATTTTCTTTACCATTCTCAAAATTTTGAAAACTCCAAAACTACCAAAAGTCTGTTGTCTAAACGAAGCTCTTGTCTTAGCATCTTCCCTTCTTACTGATTGAATCTATGTAAAATTTTTAAATAAATGTGTCAAGGGTTGTGATGTATCTGTCTTCCATGACTAGTGTTTTATAATATTGAGCTCCATGTCCCTTTGAAGAAGTTAAGGCCTTTTTTTTTCTTGAATTGTGTAGGATACTGGTAAAAAATCTCCTATGGAGTTAATCAATGAGGTCCCACCTATCAAAGTGGAAGGGCGGATTGTTGCTTGCGAAGGAGGTTAGTATGAATTAGGATTCATAGTTGAAATTTGTGTGAATCTGGCTCAGCCTTGTTAGTTTGCATGGTCTTACTTATCAGCACATTGCATGGTGGGTGAGTGGAACATGTGTGCATGTTTGTGATTAAGATAATTGTGTCTTGGAATCAGATGATGATCCAGCTCTTGGGCATCCAATAGAGTTCATATGCCTGGACAAGGAAGAGCCAGCAGTGTGCAAGTATTGCGGGCTACGGTATTTGCAAGATCATCACCACCAGCATTAGATTAGGAGAGGATGGTGATGCAGTGAGCAGATAGTGCAAGCAAAATTTGGGTCAAACAATGGGGAATGAGATTGTGTGTGCGTGTGCACGTCTGCTGCCCTGCCCTCCCTACCCTAAAATACAAATGATAAGAATAATAAATATTCTGAACACCTCAAATTGGTTGATATCTCTCTTAGGGAGTCTAACAACCTCTCCTGGAATCCATCCAGTTTCTATGCCATTCCTTGTCCCCGTCCTGTCCTCTCTTCTCCTCTCACAGTAGATGGGTGAGGAGGACATGTTCTTGTTTGTTTTACTTGCTGTATTGTCGTTTCTACCATCATCACCATCTTTGTTATTGTTATTATGATTATGAATAATGAGAATTTAAGAGACAGCAGAGCAGCGGCGTAATTAATTATTCCTTTTCCTATTCCTATGGCAAGCCTGTCTGTAGTTTCAACTGGAGGAAGCTCCCATCTCTCTGTTGTGATAAGGTCAGTCCACAGGGAAGATGGACTAATTAGGTTAACTTAGTTAATTGCTCTATCCTGCCAGGACCACTACCAATAACATTTCATTCAAACATCACAGCTTTTTCGTGAAAAACTCAATTACAATTGCGACAGTAATAGTTGAGACCCACATAAGGGAGCATGTTTGATGACGAGACATTGTTGATTAATCCGTTGCAATTGCAACATGAATTCCGCATTGATTAATTGTATGCATGCATGTATGTATGTATATATGTATGAGTGAGTGTGTGTGCGGATATATGTGATGTGATGCATATGATATGCACGGTTCCTGTATCCGTCATCTGGCTGTTATGGTCCAGACGACCCCTCCTAGCTGGCTTACAGTATAATCAAGCAGGTGAGCACTGCTACAAAGAAACAAACTCTGCCAATGCGCATCAGATCCAGAGAAGCATCTGATTTAGGAGGGTTATCATCATCAGCCCCAACCTCCACCGACTCTGGGGGTTGTGGTGATGGTGGCTGTGGGATATTACCTGCTGAAGAAGGGCGAGGCGGAGGAGGAGCATGGGCTGGAGCTGTGGGTGCCGCTGCTGCTGCTGCTGGTGCAGGGGGGCAGGTAGCAGTATCTGCAGGAGGCAGCAGGGAAGGGTGCAGCACCCCATCTATGCCATGGCACCTGATTGAAGGCCCATGGGTGCAGATGTTGGGGCTGGTGGTCCGGGCATTGTTGAAGAAGAGGCGGGGGGTGCCGTGGTTGACCACATTGAGGACGAAGCCGGGCTTGGAGGTGGGGATAATGGATCCGGTGGGGAAGTGGTCCATGTGCTCGAACAGGAGGGGCCAGGGGATGGAGTGGCGCAGCAGGAAGTCGGCGATGGAGGCCCCGGCCAAGTTGGCCTGGGAGAGGGACTTGTCGCTGGGCATGAGGAAGGTGACGTTGGCCTCAACCAGGTCCGGGGGGGCCATGTTGATGAGCATGGCGAAGGCAAAGTAGTTGGCCCTCTGCATCTCAGCCACAGCCATGGCCATGTCCATGCCCATATTATTATTATTACTAGTATTGTTATTAGCGGGAGCAGCTGAAGGGGGAATAGGGGAGGATGAAGGAGATGGGGAGGAGGAGGAGGAGAAGGAGAGGAAACCGGCCAGGGCTAGGAGGAGGAGGAGGATGTTTGATTGCAGTGACAAAGTGGTCATAGTCATAGTCATGGGAGTAGCAGTAGTAGTAGTAGAGGTAGTAGGCCTTAGAGGGAAAGGGAATCAATGCAGGCGGCGTGGCATGTAGGGTGGGGGAGTAGGAGGAGGAGGAGGAGGGGCGTACGTGTACGTGTACGTGATGAGTATCCTCAACTCAACTCACCGCGACTCCAGTGATTAATTGATAGCTAGTGTTTGATTGAGATTGAGATTTGGAGGCAGGACAGACAACAGGCAACAGGAACAAGAAGATAAGGACTACTAAATGAATGGAATGAATGAATATACAAAATCGCAAGTTAGATGGGGCATGCATCTTGGCTGCTGTAACAAACCCCACCCTCACCTTTCTTGCATTGCACACTGCATACGAATAGTATATGTAGTAATACAATCACAATATCTAAAACTTAACCAACCAGCTAGGTATGTAATTTAATAATGTACCTGCTCTCCCCTCCCCAACATTCTTTCTGCATGCTGCCCTAATTAAATTTTCAATCCAATCCAATCCAGGGCCGAGCCAACCATATGCCATCCTGATCCAGGTAGCTTTCTGTATATCTTATCTTGATGGCCGCATCATTTTCACCCTCCTCCTCCTTCTTCTTCTTCTCCCCCGCCCGCCCGCGTACATACGATCTGCATCATCTTCATGCACGCTCAGCAACACCAACACGTGCTACTGCTTCACATTGCAATCCAATCAGCTCACCAACACCCCATCCCATATTGTCACTCATATTATTAATTAATTAAGAGCTTTGTTTACAAGAGTTTGTCCACCTCCACGGGGTTGGGTTGGGTTGGGTTAACACACAATTTACAAAGTCGCTAATATTTTGCTCCTTGAGGCTCTCAGGTGTTGCAGAATGTAGATATGATGTGCCAAAACACAACATAACATAACATAACAAAACAAAACAAAACAATAGAGCTTGGCACTCACCACTGTAGATTTTGTAGAGTAAGAACACAACAATAACAATAATATCCCTCCCTCGATTCTCTTCACCCTAGTCATTGCTCACCACCATATACATGCACAATCACATCAATGAACTGAATACCAGCGACAACAACGACCCTTTCTTTCTATGTGCATGCCCACCCTGCCACTCTGCTGACTTCCGGTGGTAACACAAGTACTATTGACCTACACTACTACACACACCCCGCTCCCAATAGAGGCAAAAATCTAAGAGTGGTACCCAAAGAAACAAACAAACAAACAAAAAGAGGCTCCAATCATTAGGGCGAGGGGGGGGTTCCCCCGCTTGTGCCGTTGGGGAGCCTGCACTCGCAACTGCACACACTTCTAGAACCCTTCACCACCCGCTGCGCCCTGCGCACATGGAGCTTTATGTTCGCCACCTTACCTGCTATCTGTTCATTCACACCACACATCTGAGCAGGGAAGCAATAATCACCACGATACAATACATATAAGCTGATTGCCATCCCTAGTCTCACAGACAGGTATTGTCAGGCACATCCTAATACATTTTCCAGTACTATTCCCACTGATTCCACACAACGAATTCTGCAGTGACTACAAACCACTGCAACTGCAAATTTTGATTCATTCCATGATGCCAGGCACCGAAATTAACAGTTTCAGAAATGCACTTCTCTGCCATTGGCCAAAAGGTTTTTTACTTACTAGTTTCATATCAAACACACAAGTTCTGGGAATAGAAGACGGTTTGTACTTTTCTCTAATATTATTCACTATATAAAGCACGGCTTTTTAGAATCACAACACCACCAAAGAAGATTAAACTGTCATCAATCACAATTACTCAGTACCAAAAATCAACATTTTACAAAGCAACTCTTGAACAGATAGCTCTAACTCATAGCAATAAGGAGCTTCAAAACTGAAGTGTTAACTAGTACATAGCACACATGAAAGAGGAAGTGACTTACCATTCTCCAAGCCAAGTCTTCTGGGCCCAATGGCATTGCTGGATGGGAATATAAAAAGTGTCTCGAGTACTGAAATAGGCAATACAGTTGATGATGTTCTGTACTTGATAATTCCGTAAGGAGGAAAGCAAAACCGTTTTACCAAGAAAAATGAACTAGTGCAAGAAAGTACTGAAACTCTTTTGTAGCAATATAAATAGATTGAACAAACGTAACAGAAGACGCATACCTTAGCTAAGTTTTTTTGTCTCTCTCTAATTTCAGAGGAAGAAATACTTCTTAAAAATGATAAAAGCCATCCTGGCTGTGCAGCATCGCTAGAAGAAACAAAAACTGCCATCTGTCACATAAAAATCAGCTCAGTCCCAAACAAATGGCAGCAGATAAAGCTGTAATAGAAATCTAGCATGCTAGTTGGTGTCATAAGAACTCGCATTTATACGTCGCTTTGTGTAAATGTCACTAACAGTAGATTCATAACGGAAAATATGTCAAAAGTTGCATCAAATTACTAAATAAATGCATAATGTATTCTGCTGATGTTGCAAAATTAAATTCAGATTTAAAAATCTATTTGAGCTCTTCTTCTCTCACTTGTCATGTTTCATCAAATAAAGTGAAATTTCGAAAATCAATCCTTCAAAAGAATTCATATACCTTGCGATAATCTAGTATTCCTTCGAATGGAAGCTCCAGTTCATCACTAATTATAACAGGGATGCATCCACTGACAATTGCATCAAATAATCTAGCAGATGAAGGTGTATCACCAGCTGGACTAAGGCAAAAGGTTGACCTGACAGACAATGAATGAGGCAAGTAGATCAGAATTATTTTTTCCCCATAGGTCAGCTGAACCTATTGAATTTATTTTATCTCATTTACTTGCGCATGCCAATCTGGGCTGCAGCTTTTCCACCCTCACCAGCAGTGCCCTCCTCTATAACCACATCTTTGGCACCATTAAGTTCTGCCACAAGTTTTGTGCGAATTTTCCCACCCTAGAAGCAAAGCAAGATGAACCTCTTTATTTAGCAGAAAGTGCCTCTTTTATTTAGCAGAAAGTGCCTCTTTGAAGGCACACGTGAATAGGAAGATCTTACAGCATTTCTTTTGAGCCTTCCACGAAAAAATAACAGTGTCGTTCTCTTAGAATCTAGCAAGCATTTGGAATCACACAAATCCACATTGGGAACATAAGGAAGTATCAAGTCTTTCTCAAGGTAAACTTGGCCAGGCTTGTACCTGAATTGCCAACAGAGTCATACATTAGCTTTTATACATCTAAAATCAACTGCTGTAATTGGTTTGTTACTGCACTCAAGATAGATACAGACCAATTCCCAGTGGAGTCCATATCTGGAAGGAGCCATATAGCCTGCTTCACAAATTTTCGAACAGATTTAAATGACCAAGGATGATGAACTGGTAATATGTGATCTCTACCTTCAGAACGCTTCCATGCTGGTTGATCTATTATCCATTTCAGTGCTTCCTAGATTCTCCAAAGATTACGTAGTAAATGTCATAAAGGGATGCATATTAAATCATCTTCCAAAAGAAATCACCATCAAAATACAGCAATTTTCAATGACATTAAAACTGATCCTGGGATCAAGATTTTGAACTCCAAGCAAACAAAGTCTGTCATGAACATGTTATATTCAAAATACACCAATCACCCTAAGAAAATTGTAATATTGTGCTCTCAAATGGTGCAAGATAAAAAGTAATGAGTAAAAATCACACTAAAGAATGGTTACTTACGTTTCTTGACATAGTTATATGAAAAAGGCCAATCATGGCATATCCAAGATATGTACATAATGAGCACATGAAAAAGCTCAACAAGATGAGGTAATGGATTGAAACACTAGCTGAAGCTACAATGGAAACATTCAACTAGTTTTTTCCTTCTATTGTTAGAAAAAAAAAAAAAAAAAAAGAAGTTTTTTTTATGGTAGTGATTGAGCATTTCTATCCGGTTAAGGAAAAGAACCAGACAATGAACATCAGAAAAGCAAACCATAAACAATAGAAACTCCGAGAAGGAGTTCACCCTAGCTTCTGAAAAACGCATGCAACCATTAAAATGTATAGAAAATGGTAACGCACTCACACCCTATAAAGCGCCTTGCATTGCTGTTTCTCCAACAAGAAAAAGCTAATTGTAGTGAAAAATGGAACGTAGAATAAGTCAGCTTCTTCCTGCTTGAGAACTCTCACGACATTCTTCAATAACCTCTCAGACTCCGGAGCTATCAAATCCGCCCACAGCCAGTAATCAATTGAATGCTACAGTCAAAAGCCCACGTATAAGCAATAGCATAAACGAAGCATTGTAGAATCTATGTAAACCAGATGCAGCAAATGAACGCTCACTTGCTCTATTAATCGATGAACGGGACTGCCATTAGAGGTGAGATTATTAGTCTCCTGATACGTATTTTGGAACAGGCGGAGTAAATCATAAGTGAATTTGGAAGGCATGTCATAAACATAAACTCGAATCGGGGAATATAACGACATTTGGTTTCCTCCATAGAGACGTTTCTCCTCAGCAAGCGAAATTGAATCGTCCAATCTCTTGACGTCTTGTTGTGCGGCATCGCCTCGAACAGTGTCGTCGGGAAGCTTCAAGGAAGATTTGGAGTTGGAATTCATCAGGAATTTCTGGAGAGAGGAGACGAAAGAATAGTCGATGTTAGGGCTAAGATGCGCATGGATCGTGCCGACGGGAGAGAAGGAAGAAGAAGGGGTGGATGAGAACGCAAAAAAGAGCAGAGAGAGAAAGAGAAGCGCAAGGACGAAAAGGAGGAGCGGAGATCGCCGAGATTTAGCGGCGCCGGAGGCAGCTCTTCCAGCCATTTTCCGGTGGCGGGGCGGGGCGAGTCGGAAGAGAGAGGGCGCTCTCTTCAACCTAATTGCTGCTATTTGATTTGATTGATTATTCGTTCGATCTATCGAGTTAGGGTGTGTTTGTTTGAGAATTTGAATTTTGGATTGGGATTTAAATAATAAAAATATTAAATTTGAATAATTATAATATTTTTAATATAAAATTAATTTTTTAGTATAATATAAAAAATAAAAACTAAAAGTTTGATTTATATTTTGGGAGACAAAAGTTTGTATGGATAGTCAAATTCCACGAATTCCCTCAAACAAACACGCGCTGGATGATGTAGCTAAAAAAGCTAAAAAACAAAGGCACCATATATATATATTATTCTTACTCTTTTTAATAATATTTCCATCTTATTATCAAAAGTTTAATAAAGTGAATTAGATTGACCCAATTCTCATTTACGTGGAACATACTTACGTAAAAGAAAACTAATTTTAAGTAATTTAGATTTTTTGAAATAGTTAATTAGTCTAAATAAAATTAATTTTACAACTCCATCGTTTGAAAATAGTTTGTTTGACGTTAATTTATTTTATTTTTTTATGTGACATTCAATACAATAGTCGTATTTACTATTTTTTGTTCAAAATAATAATCTTACCATATCACTCTAAAACTATCGTTATTCTTCTTTTTATAGTAATACATTCACAAGGGACAAAATGTCTTATACCTGTATTTTTTACCCACAATCAATATAATATTAATATTCCTTAAAAATCTCCTGCCCAACACAACCAAGACACAAGGAGTATTATTTATTAATTATGTTAATATTTTTTAAAGTTGACTTTAAAATTTATTTTTTTATATTTGATAAAATTGAAATTATTATTATTCATTTATTTATATATACTATATATAGAGAGAGAGTCACTTAAATTTTTTAGAGCAAAAATCATTTTTATCTCATTCAATATTATAATTATTAATTTTAATCTCATTCAAAATTTTTTTATCAATTTTGGTCCAAAATGGTTGACTGGGAATCACCAGCAGATAGGAACATGATTGTGTTTAGCATACCAGCGGGAACACGACCATATTCATAAGTGTAGGGTAATCAATACGGCCGTCCGTGTTGAACCCATTTTTTTTATTTTAGTTTATCTCATAACAAAATATCCATTTTTTTTAGTAATTGTATTATCTTCATAACATTACAAATATTTTTCAAATTTACAATATATTACACAAATATCATTACTTTTATATCATATTATACTAATAAAGTTATTTTAGTCTTTTTACCTTTATTTCTATTCTATCTCAATATAATACTAATATTTATAAAATTTTGTGCAAAAAGTAGATTGATATATAGATATGAGACGGAGGGAGTATGATATATCGAAAAATAAAATTATTCGGTAACAATTAAATTGTATTATTTCGAAAATTTAAAAGTTAGACCCCTATTTCATCTAATCCTAGTTCCGCCCACCGTCCATGCTTTTCTTTCTTCAATTTTATTCAAGTATGTTAAAATACACAAAAAAATTATGAATGATCATTGTATAGTTTTTTCCTTTCGACTTTAAGGGTGTGTTTGTTTGGGGTTTGAAATTTGAGTTGGGATTTGAATAGGAAAAATTTTGAATTTGAATAGTTGTATGATGTGATATAAATAGGTATTGATGTGATGTTTTGAATATAAAATTGAATTTTAGTATAATATAAAAAATAAAAAATAGATGTTTGATTTGATATTTTTGAGGAAAAAAAAATTGAATAAGTAGTGTAAATCCAATCCAATCCCCCAAACAAACACACCCTAAGTATATCTAATACGTCATAGAAGTATATAGAATCAAAATATTTTTTGTGTGGCCCATTGCTTTTGCTCTTAGAGCATGTGCAATAGATAGTGAAAAAAAAAAAAAAAGATTGTTTCTAATTCGGGGGTATTATAAGGCGCATCTTATTTTAAAAATCAAAACAAAAATTAATACACAATTACATTATATGTATTAGATGAATTTCAATGGCTTAGGCTTGGCTTCCTTAGCAGCATGGATGTTGTCATGCTTTTTTGCCTTTAAGATCTTCTCCATTGTGGTTTTTTTATTGAAATTTGAAACAAAAATTTCACACACTATAATTGGACTTGTATATTTTGTATGCTCTTAAAATTTGGAAAAAAAGCCTCTAGAACGCACATCTATTTTTAAAATGATATCACCATCAAATATAATAATAAATCACAAAAAAGTACAAATTATTTTAATTGTATATTTGATACACGGTCATGCACATAAAGCGGCGAAAAGTAATGCAAGGTATGAAGACGAGGATTGAGAAGATGAGTGCAACACCTACGGATTAGAAACAAAAGATACGGGGAGAGAAAATATATATATTTAAGATTTAAATTTAAATTTTAAAATTAGAATTGAAGTGGACAATTGTGAAAAAGAAAAATATAGACTAAAATTTTAGCTTGTCTTTCAACTCAGGAATTTTGGGCTTATTTTTCTTTTAGCAACTTTTAAGTGAAATTGAAATTAGAAGAAAAATCCAACGATGAGCATCAATTGACTTAAATCATTTCCTTAAAGTAGAAGTATCAATTTTTGTAGGAAGTTGCTATGGAAATGATTTCTTAGTTTAAAATTCTTGCAAGGAGAAATGAATTTTCTTTTTGCCATTTGAGTATTTCTCTAGATATCTTTGTTTTGGTCTAGTTTATTGTGGACGAAATTTTTTAGATTGTATTGTTTAAGAGGAAAATATTCATGTTCAAAATTTCCTAAAAAGCATCTAATGAGATAAGTCCCTACTCTACCCGCCCCTGTCCGTTGATGTGTCTTCTAGGTTCCTTTCTATTTCAATGGCATCATCTTCTGGAATGAGATTCGAGGCCGGGATAGGCTCTCATTATCTTCCTCTGCATTGAAAGAAGTAGCTGCGACAAAGAAAGAGATATTTGCAAGGGAAAGTGAAATCAATTTTTAATTCAAAGTACGTAGGCCGACTACTCTTCAACTAAGTCATGTAGAGACCGAAGGATCTCCTACCGCTTGCGCCTCTATTGCTCTGGACTGAATCGAAGAGGCATGGAGAAAATGACGACTTAAAAAGTATGCGCATTGAGAAAATGACTTCAATTGCGTTTGCGCCAGATAAGGGGAAAGGTAAGGAAGGAAGGATGTACGTACTCTCAGATTATGCCCAAATCTTCATGCATCATGGGACATGGCGTTGCCTTTGCCATTTTGGTTTATTTGATTGGCCTTTGTGCTTGCTTGCTGTGTGCCTGATACAGGACAGGAGAGAACAGGACAATCACAACCACATATATCGTTAACGTTGAGCACAGGTCCCTCCCCCCTCTTCCCTTCCTCAACCTAACACGTTAACACACGCCAGCCAAATAAAATGATGCTATCTATTGAAAAGAACAGGAGGAGGAGGGTATGCATGCATGTATCTCTCTCTCTCTCTCTCTCTCTTGCTCAGTCAGGCAAGACTCATACCTGTGCAAACATCACAACACCAGCACTACTGCTAATCATAATCAAACACAAACAAACGTGCTGATTTGCTCCTCCCTCTGCTTATGCGAATCACACCAAACCCGCAGGTGGTTCTTCTGGTTTGTCTCATGATTTTAATTAGATAGATAGATAAAAACAGTCCTTGCAAACTTTCCAAATATCAATCACAATATAATCTTTAAAAGGAGATGAGATCGTCTTTGTCTTTAGGCGGCGGCGGCGGCTGCTGCTGCTTCTTCGAATCTTGTCCCCCAGACCCACTTTTCTTCCCAAAGATCATCTCATCAAGATCATCCATCATCTCATCGTTCTTCTCTCCATTACTACTCCCCCCACCACTGTGCACCCCTGCTGCTGCTGGTTTTCTGATTAGACCTTGACCATCGTCTTTCCCTGCACGCGGTGAATCATCTGGCTCCACAGCAACCGGTATCATCGCTGGCTCTGGCTCTTGCGGCACAGCCAGCGGTTTCTTCATGTCTTCGTATCTTGATAAAACTTTCTGTACCTCATCATTCACATTCAGTGCTTCAAATAGAAGGGCCTCGTTTTCTCCAGCTGTTTCTATTATTCTCTGAACAGTGTACTGGGACTCCCGACACTGTTGGACAAGCGTGATGGTCAGGTCATCCTGCACAAACATTCATAGCAAAGAACAAAGTATAATTAGCAGCAACACATGTCAATTGAGGTGCCCCAAACAATTCTCCAGATGACATCATCATCATCATGAATTCTCCAGATGACATCATCACACCCAAATCACACTTGTATGGTTAGCAACACTGGAAGACCTTGCCAAACAAGATAATCAATTAAGCAAATATTTGAAACTGTTCACTATGTAGAAGATGAGGGCCAACTGCAAGCATCACAATTAATCCAATGAAAATAAAACCATCGCCGAATAGAAATGTGAGTACGTAGATGAAACAGGCAGAGTTAAGAGGCCAGACTTACATGAAGTTAAATTCTCTATCAAATATAAACCAGCAATGGTACCTGGAGAACATCTTGCTGTGGGGATGAGGATATAACAGTGGTCAGAAGCTCTATGCTGTTCCTTGCTATGTCGAACGCTTCCTTTGTTTGTTCAGCTGAAAAGCTTTGTGCAGGCGTAGCATTTGATTCTGAAGCAGTCTCAGATCTTGAAGGAGTAAATATTGGAGCCAGACTTTCATTATCGCGACCAGGGAACCGTACACCCCTTGATTTCAAACTCTGAAATCAGACCACAAGAAACATAAGCTCAAGAGAAGTGAATCAGAAGCTGAGTTGTGCATATTGTACAAACAAGACAATTAAAAATGTAAACTGAAAATATGCTGCGGAATTTATTCTTCAATGTCAAGAGTCAGAGAGAAAAATAAGTCCAGACCAAGCATAATTCATCCTAGTACAAGTCAAGTGACATAATCAGTGGATACAATCACATGTTAGTATCCTTGTGCTAAAAGATATTGGTCAAACCGATCAAGGAAACTTTTTAAGTCAAGTCCATCAATTCCAATATACTTCAAACTAACATATATACATATGGATTAATTCAATAGCACCCCAAGCAACAGCACATTATGGAATTAGAAATCAAACCTTCAGCATGCCAGAGCAGTTTGGTTTAAATGGTTCTAGAATCAAAGAAGGAAAGGCTGAATTGTAAATAATTAAATGCCCATTCAATCACATTAAGTTGGTTCCGAAAAAATCCAATGAGCAAAAGAAGTTGGGACTCCCAGGACCCAGGGTACCTTGTATGTCTCTTCATAAACAGGCAAGTAGCGCAGCTCAATCGATGACTCTCCCCATGATTCAATTAACATCAGAGCCTTGTTTCGATTATTGACCACAGTCTGTGGATCATCGATCAACTTCACCATCTCGTCCAGTACCCTCTCAGCTGCCACCTCGGAGAAGGCCTTTTCGCAGTTCTTTGCAACAGTTTCAAGCAACACCAGAGCTAAGTACTGAATCCTAGTAGTCTTCAACATGATCCGCTTCTTTATCCCCCTGATCAATTCGGTACTGTTGACCCTGTCGTGGTTGATCATATCACAGAGTTCGAGATTCATGGCCCAATCAGGCTCATCAAGGGTCTCAGCAGTGGCTTCCTCAACAAGTTTGTCTGCCTGATTTGGGCCCTGGAAAAATTCCTTCATTTTGAAACTCATTGAACTCATCCCAGCGGTGATCTTTTGTCCCACTTCAGTGCCGCCTATCTTCAAGCGCTCACCGAGGGCATTGACTTTATCCATCAAATTGTCACTCATCTTTTCCAAATCCCGCAAAATCCTGAAACAGATTAGATATTAGTAATCCTTCCGATTAGGATGATGACATGTGTCAAAGACACAAGTTTTGCCAACAAGATCGAGCAGACTCTAATTCTTTAAACCCTAGTATCAGACAGATATCGGCGGAAGATGGGCTCTCGAAGAAAGAACGGGGTAGAAAGACACACCCTCCATAAAAAATCAACACGACTAGAAACCAAATCAAGACACCACAAACTAAACTGTGAAATGGTAAATTAAATAAGTTTCAAATGTCATAGCGTTGATCCGCGGCTGATCAAAGTAAAGCAATTAAAATACAGGTAGCAGAGGAGAATAGCGATTTAGATCGGGAGGGGAAGGAGGCGTACCTTAGAAGGGAAGCCAAATGGTTGAGGGGGGAATAGAGGAGAAGATTGACGCGTCGACCAGGAGAAGAAATGGAGAGAGGACAAGAGGGAGCGGAGCAGGGGTTTGGAAGTTGGGAATTACGGAATGTTAAAGTGTCACTGTATCATAGCGTGCGTTTGCGTTTGGATCTTGGAAGAATTCTGGAAGGAAAAAGAAATTAATACGAGAATTGCTTATATATATTTTTAATATTATACTCTTAATTAGTAGCATTAAATATTTACATATATATAAAACTATTTATTTTTAAACAAAAATATTTGAATAATTATTTATTTATAAAAAAATCTTGAATATTTATTTATACCCGGCGGAATTGTAGTGAAAGCTGTATTGGGCTGATTTATAAAGCAACCCAACCCAACCGGGCTTTTTACGTTTACATTTCAGCCCGCCGTCGCACTCGCAGAAACCCACCGTGCATCTTACATCTGACATCCATCCATCCAATCGCCCTCGCCCTCGCCGCTGCGGATGCATTCCCTCCATCCTAATCGCAGATCACTTGGCATTTGGGGTTTGGTATGTTCGACATGTCGTGGTTCGGCGCATTCTTAATCGGGGCCGCTTGTTTTGCTCTGGGGTGTCTAATTGGGGCGCTTAATGCCTCCCGTGGCGCGTCTAGTCCCTCCAAACATGCCGAAACCATTGTTAACGAGGGCAGGAAGAAGAAAACTCCTGGAAAACCACCGCTCGAGGTTGAAAAACTAGCTGAACTCATTGAAGATTTTAAAATGGTTTTAGTCGTCAGGAATGATCTTAAAATGGGCAAAGGCAAGATTGCTGCCCAATGCAGGTAAAGCTGAATTCGACGATCGTTATTGTTATGACCGCGAGGACTTCGTTTAAGCAACGTCTCCATAGCGTGCTCGGAGAATGTTTTTATTACTACTATTTTACTTGTTTTTTTATTTGGCTCTTAACTGAAACAAGAACCCATTTTGCTCCGTATTCAGGAAGTTTAAGGAATACGTCGAGCGGGGAACAAAATAATCCACAAAATGATGTTGGTAATTATCTAAGAATAATTGACATTAACGGCACTTACTGCAACTGCCGTTGCTCTTATTATGCGAACAAAGTTACGGCAATCGAATTTCATGAAGTTAATAGTTTTACGGTATCAGAGAAAGATAACAGTGGTTGTTAAAGTGATACGACGCTTAGGGTCGACAAGTTCCCTCTTAGCATGAAATTATGTTTAGCTTCATCTGATGGAAAGAAAAGAGCTTCCTTTATCAATGGGTACTTACACCTCGTGAAAAAAGTAATTTGAGATGGAAATATTCTGTCTTTCTGTGCGAAACAAGGCAAGTGCCAATCCATTCCATCTCATTGTGTAGATAAATACTTTTGTAAACTAGCTGCTTCCTGCAACCTGGCGTTTGCTGGACAATAAAAATGTTAAAGTAATCCTGAAAAAAATAAGACAAACCTAATATTTTTGGTTGTGTTTGTCAATATTACTCGACTTCTCTTGAATTAATTTCTATTTGAATGAATGTAATTTGCTCTTATAGTCTTACAGTTGTATGCACCAAATTTCATATGTTCAAATCACTGTTATTGGTTGTAGCCATGCAACTTTGGGGCTGTACAAGAAAATCTTAAGCCGGGCACCAAAATCTTTAAGCAGGTGCTTATGTTCTTCCAGTGATTCTCATGGGTCTAGGACCAAGATTTCTAATATGCTTTGTCCTATATTTACAAAGATTTTTCTGCGTACAGGTGGGAGATGTGTGGGCAGGTTAAGGTGGTTTTGAAAATTGAAAGGGAAGATGATATGCTTGTTCTACAGGTCAGTAGTGAAAGTGTGTGAGAATGGGTTGCAATATAATTGCTGTGATTTGTAAAAGGAAAAGAAGAATATTACTATTAAGTTAAAGGAAGGTTCATAAAAGATTTTGATGCCAACTTATCCCTAGAAGCTTATTATTGTTGCTATGCTCAGAGGACATACAGTGAACTAGACATCAACTAGAGGGGAATGGAATTTATAATTAATAGCCATTTAAAACCACAAATGGAAGATTGCCATTATCTTTATGCTTAAGCCTAGAAGCACATTATTGGTGCTATGCTTAGAGGACATATGATGAATGGGACATCAACTACAGGTAAATGGAATTATAATTAATAGCCATTTAAACCCACTAATGGAAGATTACAATCATCTTTATGGAGCATATCTTCCTTGATTGACATATTGGAAGTTCTTTTGCACACCTTAAGTTAAATTATCTCTTTGCAACTGTTCAACCGCTTGATAACTTAATGTATATTGTCTTTTATGCTTGTGTTTCTTCATCATATTGAGGTTATACCTCGATTGTAGTATTAGTTGTTTCTCCTATGCCATCTGATTGCTTTTTACGTATATAGGAAAGGGCAAAGTCACTCAATTTACCAACTCACATTACGATTGATGCTGGGAGGACACAAATTGCGCCAAGTAAGAGTCATTATTACTTTTTATTTTTACTGATTTACTAGCCAATTGTAATGGTCTTTTTTTAAATAAAAAAATAAAAAAATTGAATCCATTATTTAGAAGGATGGTTTTAGGTGATTAGTAGAAAATAGAAATTCTGACAATAAATTAGCTTTAATTGGAACTTCTCCTACCTTCACTCATTTACTCTTCTAATATGCCTGGCCTTAGAATGGCATCTTAATAGGAAGAAAGGGGTGCAATCACAACATTATCCTACATAACTGAAAATGGCTGAATTGAGCTAGAATCTCGGATGAAGTACATAGAATTGTTATTATTACTTTTTATTTTTTACCGTGAAGCGGTGCAACAGAGCTTAAGGTGAATGTATTGGAATGTTGCGGCTTAGGTGTGGAAATGAGTAATGAGGATAGATAAAAAATATTGGGATGGGTATACATTTATACTGCATTAGCTAAAATGAAGTTATATGTATTAGAACTTTAGAAGTAAAAATGAATTATGCATCCGTAGATGAGAATACAAGATAAACACGCTTAATATGAGATGTTGTCTATGTGAGATCTCTAGATTCTCCACTGCAACGTGTAGGAGATATATAGACTACAACTGGTTCATATGAAATGGGGAAGGGAATGATTAGAAATATTTGAAAGGAGATTATTTGCAGAAACATGCTATATTTATATCCAGTCCGGTTAGATTTGTTTGAATAAGATGAAAGTTGTGGTAGGGTGGACACATCAAGTGGATGTTTTCCTACTGTGTTTTTGGCAATGGTTGGTTTTCCGTATTCATGTTTAAAGCTAATGGTCATGGATGAACCTATAAAGCGGTGTAATGAGTACAGTATAATATCCGAAACCTGAACAGCATGATTTAAATGCTCGTGCTGGATTATTTGGAGAATAAATGGATGTGCTTTTTGTGATATTGAAGCTGTTGGTATAAGAATTAGGACTATTTGTTTCAGATAAAGGTACACCATATGAAAATTTCGAAAAAAAGAAAAGAAAAGAAAATAGCAGTGATGACATCTTGCTGCCTCTATTGTGTGTTGTATTTGGTTTCTTTCTGTATTTGTAATCTATAGCTGACAATTAGTTCCCATGGTGTCCTTTTTCCAGATTCAAGGACAGTGATGGCATTACTTGGTAAGTTTTTAATTTCTGTTGTGAAAGGCTGAGGAATTCGAGGGTGGGAATGTAAGTGGTACCCCGTGTCCAATTTGAATGTGTTGGTTGTGCAGGACCCGCTGACCTAGTGGATGAGGTAACTGGTGGATTGAAGCTCTTGTAGAGGGCATGTCAAGAGCTGCTCAGCGTGAGAAGGGATGGGGATAAGTGCAAGTGATGGCGACTATTCTTTATTATTAACGACATTGGTATAGGAATTAGCAAAGATGGGTTTGGAATGGGCATGTGAATTATTATCTGTTTTGTTGGCTACAGAGCAGAGCTCCTTGCAATCCAGCATGTCGGTGCATGTGCCCTTTTGGTTGAACTGATGGTGATGTATGGGTGTGTTGAGCATCTGACTGTCTTCTTGTTTGGTTCCAGTCCAATCGCTGACAAACAATGTGTCCTCCTTCCATCCTTCCGATCTGCCAGCCTGAATAACACGCACGCTTGTCATGTATGTATCACTTTTTTTTTTTTTTTGCGGTTGGTTTATTGAATGGCCGGCTGTCATCAGTTAGTTCCAGTTTGTTCAGGAAAGATCAGATCCATCTCGCCATAACTTAAATCGTAAGTAATGCCGAGTTTTTAGTATTTCAGAGGAGAGGAGAGGAGGGAGTGGTGTAAAATAGACAGCAGCAGCAGCAGCGGTGGTGGTCAGGAGTATTAGTTAATGGCAGGAGAATCAAGGCCGTTCAGCATTGGCAGGAGTTGCTGCTTCTTGTGCATTGTTGTTATTGGTGGTGGTGCTATTCTCAGTAGTAGTAGTATTATTAGTAGCTCTAGTTGTAGTTGTAGTTGTAGTTCTGCGTAGTTGTTGCTCTTCAGACACCTTGTCCATTGTTTTCTGGCCTACTTCACCAGCTGCTTTGCTGACCCTACTGAAAGCGCCGGCAACCCAGGTGGCCCCTGTCAACACATAACGGTTCTTCATCACTGCGGATCCGGCACCTGTGAGGGCTGACTTGGTCTTCTCGGACACCTGATACTTGTGGTCCACGTCCCTCACTTTGTCATTCACAATGGTGGCCCCGATGCTCACTTTCTCACTCAGCCCGATCCTTTGGTCGAGCTCAGCCACTTTGGCAGTCACCTGGTGCTTCTCGTCAAAAGCCTTGGCTCTGTCTACTGCATCCTTACCCAGAATGTAGCCGTTCGCCAGCATACTGCTCACAACATCCTCTGCCTTTTGGACTGTTGATGCTGCTGCACCAACATCCGCGCTCCTCTCGTGGGTGGCCTGAATGAACGAACGCACGCACTTATAATTAATAATAGAAACAACAACAATATCTATTTCACCGTACATCCTACAATAATTATTGTACTACTCCAAAAAAAAGTGAAGCATGGACTCATACGCGGTCCACTGATGATGCTGGAGATGCCATTGCTATAGACGGCAGCACATAGTCTGGTTCCAGGGCAATCTCTACCGACTGGTCCACTACTGTAGCTCCCTGCGCAGCCAACGAGACAAATAACTGGATCAGCAGGAGCAACAAATGCGACGAAAGCAGAGGAAAGGAAAGGAGCAATCTCAACCGTGTTGCAGGCAGGCATATTATATTATATTTACCGAAAGGAGGACTGCGGTCTCTGCACCCTTGTAATCCTTGAAAGTCACAAAAGCCGTTTGAGAGCGGTGATTCACACTGGAAAATCAATTCGAGGTCGACGTCACATCGACATATATATATACACACGCGCGTATATAAACAACGACAGGCAAAACAAGAACCAGCCAGCTAGACGTAATTAAGATATCTCGAACCTCTTCATTTCGATATGCTCAATGATCCCAGAGAAGGAAAAGAACTCCTGAATGTCCTGTGGAGTTGCACTTAGTGACACATTGCACACTCTCACAGTTCTCATCTGCCACCAGCACCACCGCCACCGGAATAAGACAAGACTTGCACGATGATGAATTTGAGAGACAATCATAGAAATGCCTGCAGGCAGGCATGCATACATACACACATACATACATACATACATACATACGCATTTCTATTTACCAAACGAACCGTGCCTACCAATCGAAGCAGTTCTGCACCACATCACACATCGCACAAAAAACTTGAAATGAATACTACATAACGACCATGAATTGCCTTTACCACCAGCCAGCCAGCAAGATCTCGTGAAGGCAGGCTTACATGAAGAATTAAGGTGGGGAAGGGCACGCAGTTTGTAAAATGTAATGGAGCAATTGTTACAAGACAAACGATACAGTTAGCGCCGCTTATTTACACAATTATTATTATTATGAGTATTATATACATTGCGGGGAAAGAAAAGCAAGCGTATGGGGAGGTGGGCAGCAGATCTTACCGGCGGTGGTGGCGGCAGCGACATTGCCAATGTATTGTGTGGGTGGAGATGACCAGGCGAGGCCAGGGCGCATGCTAGTAGAATGGATGCGAAGAGGAGATTTATGTGGATCCAGTGAATCTTGAATAGAGAAGAAAACAACAATTGGTACCTTTGATCCAAGGGAAGAAATAATCAATGAATTTATGGGAAGGAAGAAAGGTTGGACGGATGTATGAATCGAAGGAGGAGGAGATGGGGAAGGTCCGCTTTTGGAGGATGAACGAATGGCGGTTGGTGCCAGTCAAGAGGGCCCGGCCCGGCCCGGCCCACTCACTCACTTTTCATTTTAACAAAATTGCATCCTCACAGGCCACAACCATAAAGCAAAGCAATCTCGCCTGTGTCTGTCTTGATGCATGAACAAACATATAGCAGTTATAGTAACAACGTATTAATATTGACGATAGATTATATGCCAAACAAGCCTTAATTTGCTGCTTCGATGCTGATTATATATATGCCCCTGTAGTCGACATCTACCATCCCTCCCAATTCCTCTTCTTTCAAAATATGCACACATGGCACCCCCCATACCCAGAAGAAGCAAACTTACAAACAACAAAATGTGCGAGGTACCAAAACGGAACGGCATTTATTTATTTATTGTGCCTCTAGAAAATTAGCATTTCTTATAACATAAAGAGGTAAGATCGCTGGCCACTAATTCACCAAGAAAACCCAGACAAAACTGCAACTCTATCCTATCCGCTCTTAGATGCCGCTGCTGCGGCAGATGCTACAAGAGCCAGCTGTTCACTAAGAATATTCAAATTCTTCAGATTATCCCATTCACCTTCTTGATCCATCCTCACATTCTTCAGCTTATCCCATTCACCTTCTTGATCCATCCTCTCATCCACTCCAACTACCCCAGCAGCATTTATATCATCTGTACTCCCCCCAATCCCATTCAGAGCGTTGTTTGAAAGAAATTGTTCCCAAAAGGTGTCATTAATGCCAGGCAGTTTATGAATGTCATCTAGCAAGACATCAACATCATCTTGATAATCGGCCATGAGCTCATTTGATGAAACAGGCATAGGGGTATCAACAAATCCAGGAATCGAATCACTGCACCTCACATTCACATCTGTAGAATCACCTCCCTTAAATGGCCCATCATGCATGCTAACATTACTTACGGGCGCGACTGCTTGTTCTGGAACATAATCCAGTGGCCCAGTGTTTGTGTTTGGCAAGAAGGCACACTGAGCCTTGTCATGTGGCAACAAAGCAGAAGACTGGATCTGAGCAAGGGCAGATGTTTTAGGTACAACCTCTGAGAGACTCATTCCAGATATTCCACTGGAACAATTACCATGACCTAATATGTTGGAGGTGGGGTGCACATTATCAACCAAGAAACCATTAGCATCACGCAATTTAGATTCACGGCTCGATTTATTGATTATCAGGAGTTGTCTTAGCATTGCTTTTGCAGCTTCATTCATCAGAGGCTGGTATTTGACAATCTGCCCATCATCAGGTGACGCAATGCTATACTTGCAAGCTGCACTTTCATCATCCTCATTGGGAAGTCTCCTTTTCTTAGCCCCACCTGCAATATGACCCTTGCTATCATTCTGTTGGTGCACCAGCTGTGCCACAAAGCTTGGGGTATGCATAGCTTTTGCAAGGAAGGACATCATTTGCTGCTGGCGCTGCTCCATCATATGAACTCGCTGTCCAACAGTCTGCAACTGATGATCAGTGGACTGCCGCTGCTGCCTCAATCTGACAAGTTCCTGCATAAGATTATTCTTATCCCTTTTCAATCGATCAACCTCTTCCTCTATGCCAAGGTCTCCTACTTCATGGGCACGGGCACATGATGCAACCGATGGGCTATCAGCTTGGGTCATTGGAGGCAGGGATTGGGGGGCATGTGAGGGTTTGCGCCTGTTGATGCTCTTCAGCAAATGTTTGTTACCTCTAAGAAACCCCTCATTCGCAAACTCCCAACGGTCTGGATCAACTTTCCTGAAGCCCTAATCCGTAAAAAAATATGGGGAAGCAAACTATAAAAGAAACATTAATATTGCAGTTCAAAGTAACCAAACTGGAGAAAATTGGGGAGTCTCACTGACGTAGGTGTTCAACTGGCGGACGAAACTGGAGAAATTGTTGTGCTTGAAATGCTTGGGCAGAAGGTCTCTGGCAAATAAAGGGACGTCCCAGACGACGAAGGTGTTGTTGGTTTTGCCCCAGGATACCACAGCGTCGGTGGAGGGATCTTCCACCATGTCGAAAGTCTTGGATAGAAAGGGCGGCGGCGCAGAAACGCAAACACTCCCTTGCGTTTCCATCGTCAGGGTAACACTAGAAAAAGGCAACCGAAATCGAATTCGATTCCGTGGGGGATGGATGGGACAGAAAGAAGGAGGAGGAGGAAAAGAAAGTGAAGGAGAAGGAGAAGGAGAAGGAGAAGATCCAGGAAAAAAATAACGCAAGAAGAGAGAGAATTGATTGGGTTTCGGGTTTGCCCTCTCGGCACGCCTCGCCTCCCCCGACTCTGCTGCTGTCGCTCACTCCGTCACATATGGAGTATCTATAAACGAAGAAAGCACAGCACGGCACACGTGAACGATTTTATTACTATTAAAAATTAATTGTCCGAGGCGATTACGGCGGATAGGGTTAAAAAGGAGAAACGCGCACGCACCAAGGGTCGTTGCGGGTTGTCTACTGGATCCTATCCGACCCGGCTCACTGGCCATTATCATTCAAGTCGTCGTCCACCCGTATAAAAGGGTCGACCAGTCAAGTAAAACTGCATAGCCATAGCAAGCATAGCATAGACGTAAGCAAGCATATCCATAATCCATCCATCTTGCGCGAATGAGTGAATCGCAAGGTTCATCTCCATTCCGCTATAACAAAACCTCAAACAACACCGGATTTGAAGAAGAAGAAGAAGAAAGCGAATCAAATAGAACGATATGATGATGTTATGCGCAGCAGAGCCTTGTAGCATTTGCGCCTCCTATCCCTATCCCTATCCGTATCGGTATCCCCATCCGTATCGGTATCCCCATTCTTTTCCCTATTCCTACTCCTCCTCCAGGGTTTGCTTCTTCAAGAAAATACCCCATTTCAAGAAACACCCGCCAGCTGATGCTCCTCCGCCTCCATCCTTCACATGTCAAGCCTCCCTCATTACAAATCCCGATTTTTTCGAGGTTGGGAAGTCAATTGGCAGCTATGGATTCATCAACATTACTAGGCACGGTACCTTTCCTCCCAGCCAAGTGCAACTGCAACTCCTATGACCTATCCTTCCTTTTTCTACTTCACGGCGTTCTTTTTTTCTTCTGCCAGTTACTCTGGGCTGCTTCATTCTGGGACTGACTTGGAATATTTATCCTCAGACGTTGGGAAAATGGCAAGTCAAGATATTGGGGAAGGTTCCGTTAAGATCAGGTAAAATTTACGTGGTGCCCTCCCGGTTAGCATCATTTGTTTACTTTGTCCACTTGCAATCGTGAGTTCAATTGAGGTAAACATGGCTGAAAAAAAAGGAGGATGTTGGCGCTATGAGGAAATTGATGTGTTATGTTTTTCAATTTTCACAATCTATTCTCAATATGACCTTGTTCGAAGAAGAAGAAGAAGAGTAACAACAACAGCTTATTAGAACACATAATTGAAACTGACTGAACATGTGGTTTTTTTGTTTTTGTTTTTTTTTCCCGGCCTTTTGACTAGGCAATTCTCGTGATTCTCTATATAGTATAGTATTTCAACTTTAGTTACTAAGCCGTGGATTAGTGAATCTTGTGTATTCATACATAGAGTGTCTACCTGGGTGATAAGTTGTGAGTAATCCTTGGCAGCATGGTTTGCAATCATTGTACTTATTTTATGCTTATATTAATTATCTGTAGCACTGCGATGCAGACTTTATGAAGGACGGATTGTTCAGGGATTGTACAGAGGTATCCCTGTTATTTTTAAGGTGAGTGTTTGTGCTCATTGTTAATATGCTGTGTTGTTAATGGCACGCCGAGGCTCACCTAAGAACAGTAAGTGCATTCACTTCAAACTGTTCTTTCCAATTTTGAGTGTGTTGTCGGCCAAAAGATGACTGATTCTTCACTTGTTGTACTGCATGTGCCGAGATCATAGTTCTGAGGCATATCTTGTTGAATGCATCGGTCCGTTTTGACTCATTACCTATTGAAGCAATAGTATTTTGAAGGTTTATCCAGGACAACAAGTTGGTGGCCCTGAAGCAGACCTGATGGCTGCGAATGAGCTCAGTGCTCATTCTTCCCTTCAAGTACTGTGTGTGGAGTTGTTGGTTTCTGAATTTCCTCACTCACTGATAAAAGTCAGTCAGAATTTATAAATCTTGCCCCAGGACAATGAAAATGCACATTGTTTGCAGAGTAATTCAAAAGCCATGGGTTACTTGGAGAATATCCAGATCCTTCTTGGCGGATTTGAGACAAGAGCTGGTGAGCAGGTATGCCCATATTAAGATTGACAATTAATTAAATGGTAGAATGGCCTCTTTTGGTATATTTATCAGAGAGGATTCATTCATATATGACCTCTTTGCATTCAGTGGCTTGCTTTCCGGGATGATGGAAAGTACACTGCTGCAGATTATGCAAAAATTGCAAGTGAGAAGATGTCGAAAGCTTTTGATCAGGGAGTAGTGAAACCTTGGAATCCATTTGAAAAGGACGTTGCTATGATGAGGAGAAGGTGCTTTGTTGCTAAACTGTTTCAAGGTGCCATCAGAGGCCTGGCTTATATGCATGATCACGATATATTGCATCAAAGTCTTGGACCTGCATCTGTTGTTCTCAAGTATGCCCCATGCCCCTGCAAACAATTCAGTTTAACAAAATTGCTTTTGGCTATCTGAAAAATCCACCGGTGGTGCCCATTATGGACATTTTGTTCATGCAATTGTCAGTACAATGGTGGAGAAGAATGCTGCTTATCTTGTTCCGAGGCTCCGAGATCTTGCATTTTCGGTTGATATCAGGTGTGCCCATATCATCTTCAAATAACTGGGGCCGACATGTGGATTGTTATCATTATTGTTATTATTATTATTGCATGGCTTTAAAGGTATTTGGGGCTGGAGAGAGATTGGAGTCCGCTGTCTGAACAACTGTGGAGACGGGCATCTGCTGCAGGTGCTTTGACACCCATGGAGAGAAGAGCCTTTGGGATAGCAGATGACATGTAGGCATAAAGGAGCATTTTTTCTATTACATTTAAGCGAATCAAAATTGCCGGGATTATCATCATATACCTATGCTATGCTAGTTGGGTAACATTGGATCTTCATACGTATTATGCCAGATACGAAGCCGGGCTTCTGTTGGCGCATATGGCTTTTATTCCATTTTGTGAAGCTAGGGCGATGGATAGCCTGTCTTTGAGAGTGAGTCGAAATAGAATAATGTGAATCTGAATTAAATCGAATGATGGATGATGATGATGATATGGGAAAACCTGTCTGACTCTCTTTGCCAATCAAATCAGAGGCTTCTGGAGAATACTTTCCAACATGAGGTTGGAGCTATGAGAGAGTAAGTGGGTGTTGCCACAGAGAGCTTGTAATTGTTCTGCTTTGATGTATTATTATTACTACTCCTTATGTTTATTATATCAAAGTTGGTGTGAATTGCTGTTGGACGGTTGGTTGCGCGCAGATACTGTTTAGCAGATGAGTGCCTCAGTGAAGCTGTTAAATTTCTGGATGTGGGAGACCATGCTGGGTGGGAGCTGCTCCAGGTTTGATTTGATTTGATTGGCCACTGACTCTCGACTCTTCTTCACTCCTGACTGCTTAGAAGGGAAGGATTGAAGTGAGGTGTTTGTTTGTTTGTATAGCTTATATATGCGGTGGTGGTGTTTTTCAATTCTCAGGCAATGGTTGATCCTGATTATCGGAAGCGGCCTGGTGCAGACGCTGTACTGAAGCATCCGTTTCTGGCAGCAGCCATGAGTGTGATTGGTTAGACAGAGGCAAAACAGGCAGTCAATCTTAATCATAATGGAGTATAATAATGACTTCCATATCGGTTGGAGACTTCTTTGCTGGTCGGTTCCTGTCCTTGGCAGTTGTCTGTCTCTCGGTAGCCAAGTGATAAATGATTTTCTTTTTTGTTTTGGATAGTGCAAATTATAAATGATTTTATTTTTCTTCTTCTGTAGTAGGCTTTGAGTAAATTTCCAAACCTTATTACTTGTAAAGTACAAATTAGATTCGACAAAGTGAGTCATTTTAAATGAACTATGTGTGGCAGGTTAGATCCGAAAGCATCAGGATTTGAATTTATGATATGATAATCATGAGTTTACCATGTACGAAGTCAAATTATAAATGATTTTTTTTTTAGTTGACTGTAATATGATTTTGTTTTTTAGCTGATTGTAACATTTTATTTTATCTAAAAAAATTATTCAAGGGTGATACAATATATCAACTTTAAAATAAAATAAATTAAAATTTACTTTTTTATTAATAAAAAAAACATACTAATAATTTATGCTTCATTCGAACATTAAAAGTTATTATTGATATTAAAAAAATAATAACTTTTTTTATATTTTTTTATTTAATATAAATTAATTATTTTAATTGAAATGAATTTTAATTATATTAATACCCGTGGTATTTTAAATTTTAAATTTTAAATTTTAATAATTTATCTCTTTTTTATAACGACGTATTTTAATTTTGTAATGGGGGTACTGCAATTTTTTACTGGTGATACGTGTCAAGACAGGGCATAATGTAAATCCGTTATAGCAAACAGGGTGTGTTTGTTTGGGGTTTTTATTTTAAGTTTGGGATTTGAATAGTAAAAATTTTAAATGTGAATAGTTGTATGATGTGATATAAATAGGTGTTTGATGTGATGTTTTTATGTAAAATTTATTTTTAGTATAATATAAAAACTAAAAATAAGTGTTTGATTTGATATTTTTGGGAAAAAAATGAAATGAATAGTGAAAATCTAATCCAATTCCCCAAACAAACAAACCCTATAATATTTTTGGATCAAAAAATTAATATTTTGAAATAAATTTTATTTCCACATTGTATATTAATTATGATTAAAAAAATATAAATCAGATAAATATCGACAACAATAAATATAAAATATAATATATATAATTTAATAATAATATAATAATTATTATTATTATTATAATAATGAAGATAAATATAACGTGATGATGATAATGTCCATAGGAAAGGAAAAGCAAAAAATCCGTATTGTATTCATTTTGAGCTTAACTATAAATTTTAATATGAACTTAGATATTATGATATTAAATTCATCGTAGCCTATTTAGCTATTTAATTGACAAATTTTTTTAGCTAGTGTAATCGTAATCTTAGCTTTATATTCCGAAAATTTCATATTAATCCGAGGCAATTGAAAATAGCAGTCTATTCCACCACCAATCTGTTTATTTATATCTTTAAGTATTTTTTATTTAATAATTGAACGATACAAATATTATGAGGTATTGGAGTTTTATATCTAGAATATGATGTTCTATTAAATATAAAAATTTGAAATTCGACGAGCTAATTATAGAAATTAGATTTTGAACAAGCCTATAGCTCCTATAATAATCATATTGTTGAGCACAAAAAATAATAATAATAATTAATAATGGCAGTAAGATTCTGGATGGGTATGAATATAAGCCAAACGGCCTGTTGAAAGTGAGGTCGGGCGACGAAGAAGATCAGATGGTACGCAGTCGGATAAGCATGTCAGTTGGTTTGCAGTCTGACCAAAGGAAGTTGGTTGGTTAGTCTGCAGTCCGACCAAAGTAAGTTGGTTGGTTGGCCCACGGACAGGCCAAGGTAAGACGGTATGGTAACAGAGTCAAAAGGAAGTCGGTTGGACCAGCCGTCCATCTAAGGAGATAAGGCGACCAGAGGATGCTGTTTCGCCGTCGGTTGATCCACGATTGGTTGGTTCTCAGTCGGCTGATCCGCGGTCGATTGGTTCTCAGTCAGTTAAATAGGTCGGATATTCTGCAGTCGGATAAGCAGGTTTGGTGGTCCGAAAGTCGGTAGCTACAGAGGTCGGTTGATAGGGAAGTCAGCTGCTAAGGAGTTCGGCAGCTACAAAGGTCGGCTGATACGGCTGTCGGTTGGTTTGCAGTCGGATGGTTTATAGTCGGTTGGTCCGTGGTCGGACCAATTAAAGTCGCGCGAAGACGGATAGTCATCTGATTTGAGTAAATTATCAACATGTACGTGATATAAAATTTGAGTGAAATTGTAAAAGTAGGGAGCATGGATAAGTGGTAAACAGTAAAAAATTATATCTATATACGCTTTTGATGAAAAAAAAGTACAAGTGATCACCAGTATTTTTTGATAAGTTTACTTATTTGACATACCACGACTTATCATATATATTTTGTGAATCTATCGTTATATTTGAACTTAGTATTAAAATAATATTGAATAAAATATTTTTTATGGGTGTGTTTGTTTGGGGGTTTGGATTTTAAATTGAGATTTGAATAGTTAAAATTTTGAATTTAAATAATTGTATGACGTATATAAATAGGCGTTGATGTGATGTTTTGAATGTAAAATTAATTTTTAGTATAATATAAAAAATAAAAAATAGATATTTAATTTGATATTTTTGGAGAAAAAAAAATGAATAGTAAAAATTAAATCCGGTTCCCCAAACAAACACACCCATATATTTTTTTGACCTTCGCAAAAGAAGCGTATCCTAACTCAAATGAAAATCCAACCTTTCAGCCCTAGCAGTAGCCAGGCCTCCCTCCCGTCAACCCCGCCTCCGCCGCCGCCACCACTTCTGTCTTCCTACTTCTACTGCGCAGTGTTAACAAAAAGCAAGTTGTTAACCCTGTATTCATGATATCAATTCGTGATTTGCACTCCTGCTTTTGACTTGGCCCTCCCAGCCCTGCACAGATTTTTACCGCCCCAATCGGCTAACCGTGCCTCCCATGGCGTTGCCACTCTCATTCAAGAACAACTACCGCTGCTCTCGCTCTCTCCAGCAATTCTACACCGGTGGACCTTATGCGGTTTCATCCGACGGATCATTCCTAGTTTGCGCGTGCCACGACTCCATCAAGATTGTTGATTCTTCTACCGCCGCCGTCAAATCTACCATTGAGGGGGATTCCGAACCAGTAACTGCCTTCATTCTGAGCCCTGACGACACTTTACTCTTCTCCACCAGCCACAGCCGCCAGATTCGAGTCTGGGATCTCGCTTCTCTCAGCTGCATCCGTTCCTGGAAGGTTTACGACTTTACTTACTCTTTTTTTTTTTGAATAAATTAAATATCAACTTCTATTACTCCTCTTCATCAAAAGCTGCTAATATTGTAAGCTTGTACGCTCGACATAGGGGCATGAAGGGCCAGTGATGGGGATGGCTTGCCATCCGTCGGGGGGGTTGTTAGCCACAGCAGGTGCTGATCATAAAGTGCAAGTATGGGATGTGGATGGAGGTTTCTGTACGCATCATTTCAAAGGGCATAAAGGAGTTGTGACCAGCGTTATTTTTCATCCAGACCCAAGCCGTCTACTTGTTAGATTTCTGATCCAAAAAGAAATTAACACTAGCGTCACTTAGGAAAATTTTCACCCTTTTATTCAAATTCATGTCCGGGGATGTAAGTGTGAATTAAGCTTCTGACTTGTTTTGTTGACAGCTTTTCTCCAGTGGAGATGATGCCACTGTTAGGGTGTGGGATCTCACAAGCAAGAAGTGTGTTGCAACGCTAGAAAAACATCAATCAACTGTCACTTCTATGGCGATATCTGAAGATGGATGGACCTTGATTACTGCTGGAAGAGATAAGGTACATTCCAAGTGATATCTATCCATGTTCCTCTGGGTACGTGAAGGTTGGGGAGCGAAAGCTGAAAATTGGATTTGTTATGTTTTATTTTTGAATGTGGAGTCACTGGGCAGGTGTTCATTTCTAAACCACTATACGGCAACACACATACTCGCACAAAATATTAATAAGCTGGAGTTGCTAGTATGAAACGCTGTTGCTTGCTTTGCTTTCTTCGTTTTCTTTAACTTACTGGCTTAGGTTCTTGCTGATATGCATTGGTGATTTCAGGTTGTGAACTTATGGGACCTGCATGAGTACAAATGTGAAAAGACTATACCTACATATGAGGCAGTGGAAGCTGTGTGTGCGCTCAATTCAACATCCCCTTATGCCTCAAAACTGGCACTGCTTGCTCAAAAAAATGGTAGAAGTATCAGTTCAACTTCTATACACTTTGTATGTGTTGGTGAACGTGGGATTGTGCGGATATGGAACTCAGATGGGTAAGTTGTCATTTAGATGGTACTTTGAAAGTTCTCATTTATGTGATGTGAGATGCAATAGATTGATAATGCTATTTCAGTTTTACCTGTATTAACTATATCTACTTTTGAGAAGCCTGTGTGAGGTTACTTTGCTTTTGTAACATCAAATGTTGATGAGCAATATTTTAGTTTTCAACTAAGCTGTTGTAATTTTCTTAAACAGCCCAGTACTTTTTGAGCAGAAATCATCTGATTTGACTGTTGGAGCAGTTGATGAAGAGATTAAAAGAGGTTTCATCTCTGCTCTGGTGCTGCCATTAGGTCAAGGATTACTCTGTGCAACAGCTGACCAGCAGTTTCTCATATATGATTTGGAAGAAGACAGCATTGATGGTTTGTTCTTAGTGCTAAAGAGAAGGCTCATTGGATTCAATGAGGAGATTGCAGATATGAAGTTTCTGGGTGAAGATGAACAATTCCTTGCAGTTTCTACCAGCGTTGAGCAGGTAAATTGTTATTATCACATTTTTATTGATCTTACCCAATTTTATTAGTACATACAAGGCTATCAGGGCAGTGATTATCCTTCTTGAGGACCACTTTTGACAGAGGTCGCTTCTTCTTGTTGACATCTCTTACCTGATTTTATTTAATATAGCTATTTGATGCATTATGGTACTATCAATCTTTAGTAGGTGCCTCTTTCATTATGCTGCCTTTTTTTCCCCATGATGCACTGTTCCAATCAGCTAATTTATGATTAGCAATCTCTCAGAAAGGCAACTATTGTATATAGACTATTATTGAAGAATGGAGTTTAAGCTCATATAGCAGCCCTGGTATAGACTCAATTATTTTGCTAGATATTAGAGCTAGATATTTTACATACGATCTTTTTTTTTTTTTTTTTTTTTTTTTTTTAATCTTTAGTGAGTTTGTCTTATTATCTATTTGTAGGTACGAGTGTATGACCTAGAAACAATGTCATGTTCGTATACATTGGCTGGTCATTCTGATGTAGTTCTATGCCTTGATACTTGTGTATCAAGTTCTGGAAAAACACTTATTGTCACAGGAAGCAAAGACAACACTGTGAGTTACATTATTTGCATTGATTCAACTTCGGTGCTGTCATATGCTTTCTGTTTTTATTTGCATTTTTATTTTCTGACCTTCTATCTCCATAGCTTAGGTTGTGGGATTGCAAAAACCGATGCTGCATTGGAGTTGGCATAGGCCACATGGGAGCTGTTGGTGCTGTTGCTTTCTCAAAGAAAAACCGAAACTTTTTTGTTAGTGGCAGTAGGTAATTATCCCTGAAATTTGCGAAGTGGAGGCATTGGATGAGTCTATGTTGATATATACGAGCCTTTGGCATGGAAAATAATTCTTATGCTTTGATTGTGTTTTTTTATGGCAAATGCATATTGTTGACGATAAATAGTCATGCATTATTTATTGTCGGATGAAAACATTATTTATCTTTGAGGGCCACCTTTTGGTTGTACTTTGTCAGTGATCGTACACTGAAGTTATGGAGCTTAGATGGTATGTCAGATGATGTTGAAAGTGTTTCCAGCTTGAAAGCAAAAGCAGTAGTAGCAGCTCATGACAAAGATATAAATTCTCTGGCAATTGCACCCAATGATAGCCTTGTTTGCAGTGGTTCACAGGTTGATACATTGTGAAATCTTTTTCTGCTATCTCACAGAACATCTGTCTCTACGATTTTCTTTGTTGCAACACATAATCTCTCTTCCCATCTTTCCTTAAAATAATCAGGACCGGACAGCATGCATATGGAGGCTCCCAGATCTGGTATCAGTGGTTGTTCTTAAAGGACATAAGAGAGGAGTGTGGTCTGTGGAGTTTTCTCCTGTGGATCAATGTGTCGTAACAGCATCTGGTGATAAGACCATAAAAGTATGGGCTATCTCTGATGGCTCATGCCTACGGACATTCGAAGGGCACACATCAAGTGTCATTAGAGCTTCATTTATTACTCGAGGCACTCAATTTGTTTCATGCGGTATCTGTTTATATCTTATTTGCTTTTTGGTGCCTCAATGCATTTTAAATTGATTCTAACTAGGTCTGATTCAAATGTCAGGTGCTGATGGCTTGGTGAAGCTGTGGACTGTCAAAACTAACGAATGCGTGGCTACCTATGATCAGCATGAAGACAAGGTTCTGATTTTTTCATTAAAATAACAATTATGCTTCTTTCAAGGGCTTCTTTGTTTGAGGTACTAACTGTTATAATGTGAATATTGTAGCATTTAAGATGAATCAATTACTCAGTATGTGATATAGGCTAATTTACGGGAGTTTTCAGTTGAAAACCAACCATTAGTGGAGAGAATCCAGTGAACTCCCAAGTTCCAATGATACAAATTCAATGATGAGGGTTGCACAAGAGATGTTTTATCATTGTAGTCATTCCTCTTTGAAATCTTATTGAAGTATCTATTAGACACTTCCATTTAAGTTGAATTGAAAATTAAAAAATAAGCAATAAGAATGTAGATTATCTATATGTAGATTATCTGGATGTTGTACTTCTCCTTTTTGACATCCATCGAATGTCTGTGCTAGTATCAAATGAACTATTAGTGATATTAGGAAATGATTTTCAAACCGTTTGTAATTGTCCATAGTAACTTCATCCTTTGTCTTTTAGTTGAACTATTACTTCATTTACACCGTGAGTTCTGCAGATATGGGCATTAGCTATCGGGAAGAAAACAGAAATGCTGGCGACGGGTGGTAGTGATGCTGTTATTAATTTGTGGCATGACTCTACAACTGTGGATAAAGAGGAGGCCTTTCGTAAAGAAGTGAGGCACCTTTTTACAGATTTAAGTTTCATTAGTATAAACAATAAAATTTGTGGCACTGTCCTTTTTCTTAGATTTTTTGTCTCTTAAATGTTGGGCACTTTGTGTCCATAAAATGTGTATGAATTTTCAGTTATACTGTCTCTGTATAGTGTGGACTAGTATCATTATGATTATATCAAACATTGACACGTTATTGTTACAGGAGGAAGGTATATTGAGAGGGCAAGAGCTAGAGAATGCAGTATTAGGTGCCGATTACACTAGAGCTATTCAACTTGCTTTTGAACTTCGAAGACCTCACAAACTCTTAGAGTTATTTAGTGAACTCTGCAGGTGTCGCACTTGCTTTTCAATTCAGTAGTTGCAGTTTGTTTGTTTGTTTTTTTTTTTTTTTTTTTTCATTTCCCAACATGTGTTATTGATCTTGATTTGTTTACAGGAAGGAAGATGGCTGTGTTCAGATCGAGAAGGCTCTAAGTCCTCTGGGCAAGGAAGAGCTTCAGTTACTCTTGGAATGCATGAGAGAATGGAACACAAAACCTAAGTTGTGTCACATAGCACACTTTGTACTTAGCTGCCTATTTAGCACCGTACCTCCTACAGAAGTTGTGGAGGTGAGTATTGTTATTTCTAGTAAAATTTTGAGGACATTCTTTCATCGTGATGACAGTATATGTATGCATGGGGTGGTGTGTCTGTCAGATGAAGGGCATTGGGGAGATTCTTGAAGCTCTTATCCCGTATTCACAGAGGCATTTTACGAGAATGGGGCGGCTGGAGAGGAGCACATTCCTTTTAGACTACACCTTGACATCGATGTCAGTTATCGAACCTGAAAGAAATGATGCAGAGGGAGGTTCCCGGGCGGCTGCTTCTAGGTCTGAAAGAGATGCGAAATGGCCGCCCCCAAGAATTGAGTCGTCTAATGTTGCAGGAGGAGATGATGAGTTAGCAGCAGCACAAGTCAGCGGCGGCGGTGGCAGTGGTGTGGATAGGGAAGAGGAAGGTGAGGACACGGAGCCTGGGAAGAAGAAGAAGAAGAAGAGGAGGAAATCTCACAAGTCGGGAAATAGAGAACTCAAGAAAATGAAGGTGGCTGCCTATGAGGCAGCGGCTATATCGACCTCCTAGACTAGACTCTCAGTCGCACGCATGGTGAAATTTTTGTTAGTTTCTTTGACCACAATTTTGGGGTAGTAGTAGGGGGGAGGGGGTTAACATACACGTACAAAGAGAGAGGGATATATATATATATATATATATGTACTAGTAATATTTTATGCGCGGGTGAATTTTGTGAGCTGTGAGTCTCCACCTAATTGGTTCTTGGTCACTGTGGAAGGTGAAGGCGAAGATGAAGATACGAAGGTGTGTACTCAAATTTTGACGGACAGCAGAGAGCTTGAATGAGCGGAGAGTATCTTAAAATATTCGAGAACTAGTGTGGCGCGAACTTTGTGGTGTTTGTGTTGTGTTTTCTTTTCCCTGATCTAAGAAGGTCGGTGCATGTGTAATTCGACACATCATATGACACCCATCTTGAGTGGACAGTCGGTCGTGTATTGGATCAGATCAGACCACCGCTTCGTGATTAAATTAGGCAGGTGCAGGTTGAAGTAGGCGGCGGGACTGAGGGACTAGCATACGCCACCGCCCTGCCCCTGCGTGTGCGTGTCCTTCATTTCTTTCTTTCAAATGAGAGCATTGCCTCTCTCCTTCCTCCTCCTCCTCCTCCTCCCTCTCTTTGCTCTCCCCCTTCGCTCTCAGGACGGCTCTGCGCCCTCACGATTCGGATTCTGCCCCCAACAACTATTACTACTCAGCGATCTTCAGATGGCCGCTCCCACTCTTGGAGGCCTTGGTGATTCCCACGCTGACATCGATTCCCTCGCCCGATTTGCTGTCCAGCAGCACAACACCAACGAGGTCAGCTCGACTCACCCCTGGTTCCGACTTTCTTTTTTCGTTTCCCTTCTCACTTGCTTTTTGCTCGGATTATCCTCTTTTCGGAGTGATCCGTGCTCAACCACCGTATTCCGCCCATCGTTAAAAGCTCTTCACTAGCACGAATATCATGTTTGAATCGAATCCAATTAGATCAAGGAATCAACTTCCCGTCTCCTTCAATCGTAATTAATCCGGCTATTACCGACAGGATATGAAATCCTTGCTGTGCCGGCAGTTTGATCACTTGACTTGTTGCAAAGCCGGATGTTTTTTCATTTTTGATATGCGAATTTGTGGCAACTAATTGCTATGGCTTCGTCGTTCCTCTCCATCTTCATATTCCTTTCAGAATGCTTTACTGGAGCTCGTTAGGGTTGTGAAGGCGCAAGAACAGGTGGTAGCGGGTAAACTACATCATCTTACTCTGGAAATCCTTGATGCTGGGAAGAAGAAAATATATGAGGCAAAAATTTGGGTGAAGCCATGGAAGGATTCTAAGGAACTACAAGAATTCAAGTATGTTGAAGATATTCCTTCTTTTACTTCCTCTGACCTGGGTGTGAAGAAAGGTAGATAGTTATCTTGTTGCAGTTTTTCCATCACTAGTTAATTTGTGTATGAAAATGTTTTATATCAGTATCTTTATTTTAATTGAGAAGCTGGCTGGCCTATTTTTCCAAAGAAATAATTATGATTCATGAATACTAGAATCTTGCCCCTAATTTCATTTCGGTGAATTTGTTTTATTTCAGCAAATTACTTACATTTTAATGTAATTCAGATTGTATCTTCTGAGCTTATTTCCCAACTCTTTTTGATTGAGTTTATTTGTTGTCCTAAGCAAATGTAAAATTTCTTAAATGAATAACGTGATTTCTAGACCGCATTAAATCTACATTATTGTTTCAATCTAAAATTAGGATTAGCCCACTAGTAATATGTGGAAGCCCCTACTCAGTTTTCCCACCCTGAATAGTTGTTGGTGGATGTGCTTGTCAAAATATCACATCCCTCCCTTCTGTCACCCAAGATTTCGTGATTGGTGTGGTTGTTTCCATACTTACATGGAAACACACAGACGTTTTATTATGGTTGTGGTACACTTCTAGTTTGCTTAACTCGGTTGGAAGTTGCATGTATGCATAGCTGTGCTGAATTTTGTGCAAGATACTACAGCTCTTACCTGGGTTTCTATTTGTAAGTGCTTTCTAAACTCTGTTAAGAATCATAGCAGATCAGCAGACTTTGGGATCGCAATCAGTGCCGGTGCATGATCCACTTGTTCTGGATGCTGCTCATCATGCTGTTAAAACAATTCAGGGAAGATCTAACTCACTATTCCCTTATGAACTCAGTGAAGTTGTCAATGCAAATGCAGAGGTGGGTACATGTCAGTACTTTAGTTTGGCGTACTTCATGTGTCTGTTCTCTTGAGTCTCTCTACCATAGCATCTACAATTCGTCTTTGTGTGGCAGTGCTGGATGTTATTCCCTCTCAAGCTGTTTTGTGTGTTGTGATAGGTTGTTGAGATGGCTACTAAATTTGACATGCTGCTCAAGGTAAAGAGAGGGGGGAAAGAAGAGATGTTCAAGGTTGAGGTGCACAGAGATAGCGAAGGTAGCTTTCAGCTGAACAAGATGGAATCCGATGGTTCCTAATCGACTTCAAGAAAGAATGGCTCTGGCTGGCATACTCCTGCCTTGCCTGGTGTCCATTACATCATGTTTAATAATTGTATGGTTGCTTGCTTTGAGTGTGGGGGTGTGTGTGTAGCTGCAGACCATGTTCACTGTGACTACTAAGTTAGATGTGTTGGTCTTTCACTGCATATATTAAGACATGGGCAAGCTATGCGGTAATAAAGGAGGTTGGTTGGTTATATGCATGATTGAATATTGACTGTTGAATTGTGTTGGGAGTGTTTGGTGTTGGCATCGGCATCGGCCACCGATATGTAGTTAATAATAATGGAGAGGAGGAAGTTGGGACATGTATACCATGACTCTGGTAAGTCCTCTGTCCTCTCCTGTACTCATTGTTTGGTTACGGTTCCACCTAGATTGTCACTGTTCTTTCACTTGATATATTTTTTTAAAAAATTATTACGTCATCAAAATTCTTTCTTCCTATTTTTCTTTTCAATAAATAAATATATTTATATATATATATTAAAATTTACTAGTAAAATTAATTTATATTAATTATAAAAAATATAAAAATTTTCTTATTTGTTTACAGTATATAAATTTTTATTTTATATATTTTATTAAGATAACTAGATATATTTTAAAACTTTTTAATCTTGTATATATTACTAAATGCACCCTTAGGCTTTTCAAAACATTCTCTCTATCGCTCTTGGCGACAAATTCGGTTCGGAACCACTTGGAAGGAGTCAGGTGGGTATTCATTCAGCTTGTCTTTTGACAAGATTTTGGGAGGGCCAATCTTCCAGGAAGTAAACGTATTGAATTCATGGTGAGATAATCTTTCGTGAGAAGACAAAGCGATCGACCTCGAATTGGACATCACTGCATTTCAGCGTATGTCTTGTAGCAGGTGTTGGCAGCTTCAAGGCGATATTGAGCGGCTTCAAGGCGATATTGAGCGGAAGAACGGACACTGAATTTCGTCAATGAGATCAGAGGCACGAGCATCAACAACAAGTGGTTTAGAGACTAAGCACGACACCATAGACCACATAAATAAAAGGGACAGAAACTGGAACTACGGCTCAAGGCCTGGGCAAGTTATTATTCATGCTGCTGATGGCATCCCGAGGACGAGTAGGGATTGGCAAGGGTCTTACATAACTCGGCATTAGTAGATCAGTCCCCCTTTGAAACCTGACAGATACACAACACTCAACAAATTTGACGACATCCCAGAAAAGACAAGGCGAAAAGTAACGAAATGAATGCCCAATATAATCTTATAGTGGATGATGCTACACACTGCATCAAGACCACAACTGATTCCCAAAATGGATCAAACGTCCCTTCTCCATCAAAGAGAGCAAAGTCAAAGAGCAGCTGCCGACAACTATATGCTTGGGAGTTGCAGGATTGCCTACAGCAACAACATCAGGGTTGATTCTTCTTCCTTCTCTTACTCGTCATCGAGTTCAGCTGTCGCTTAGCAATTTTCCTTCACCTCCCTGCATCAAAATGGAATCCTTCTATCTGATTCCACCGTCAGAAACAGAAACGAAACATGTAGTCTAGCCTTCTTCCCATTTTTTTTTGGGTCTAACCCACAACCCCCTCCTTGTTTCCTTCACCTGAGAACGAGGGCCCAAGTTCAAGCCCTCCAAACTCTAATTTTGCCCGGATAAATTGTAAAATAAAACTTACACATGCAAGTCATGTCTTCTCTTCTGTCCTCAACGCATACACACACACACAAGATCGCACGCACATGCATCAAATAACCCAAATGCAAAAAGTTTCTGGCAATACCTCCTCACTAACAATAATCTATCAAGTAATAAGATCACCTTGCATTCAGATCCAACTCCCCTCCTCCAAGCCACTCACCCTGCAGTGCTGCATCGCCATTCTCAGTGTCGTCATCATTCAGGAAGTCATCTGATGGCGCCTTGTCATCCTTCTGTGCATTGCTTCCCCATCCATTCATAATGTCATCATGTTGGAAGTCCTGCTCCTGCTCAGCCATGTCAGAACCAACGGTATTACTACCTCGAGCACTAGCTCTAATTGGAGCCCTTGCCATCATTTCAGTATGTGCTTGAGATTCAGCACGAACCATGGCAGCCAATCTCATATTCGCTTCATGGGTTTCCCGACTTGCCTTCTGCCTTGAATCCATTTCAGCCCTCAATTCTAGAAGTGCTTGCTTTTCTTCTTGCAAAAGCAATTGCTCCATCATCAGTTTCTCCTCTGTACGGAACTCCCCAAGGCCCCGTTTACGAGAGATAATGTTGAATGCAAGGACTTGTTTCTCGAATGTGGCAGTGAACTCTGCAACTTTAGCAGCAATGTTATAATCCCATTGCTGTGAGCGAGAAAGAATCGGGCCTGTAGTAGCTGAATCAAGGATCTTGTCATCCTCCTCAGCTTCATAATCAGCCACGACATGGTAAGGTAACAGCCTATGGAGAATTCAAGAGAATAATAAGCAATTAAATATTCAAAATGACCTACATTCAACACAAAGAATTGTGATTTGTTGAAGCAATATTCTACTGGTTGGTCATCCAAATTAACTTCGGTTATTTACAATAGTGTTTCAGGATAACAGAGTTGGCATTCTTCTAGCATGTAATATGTGGATAAGGCAAAGAATTATTTGCAGATGAGAGTCTAGAACGATCTCAATAATAAACAACCAAAATGATATCAAATAGCAGTTTGCATATAAAAATACATTAACAGTACACCATGAACAATTTATGCCAGTAATATATATCTCTACTAACCCAACCATACCAGATCCTACTATGAGTATCTTGCCCCTTTCTATTACATGTAAAAGGACTACATGATTTTAAGCATATTAGAGGCTAGTGCGGCAGACAAACATACACTACAAATAAGAAGCCAAGAATTGTGTTGTAATAGGTACAATCCTTGTATTTAGGTCAAATTTAGAAAGTGAAACACAAAGATGCATTTTTGCAGATTATAAGATGTATACTGATAACATCAAATGTTCATCAAGAACATGAAATAGAAAAATTAAATGAAAATTCATCTTTCAAACCAAGAATCAATTACTAATAGGAAGGCAAAACTGGAGTACTGAGACCATATACAAAAGACACAAATTGAAGAACAATTCACAAGATTTTGCAAGACATACAAACATTACTGAGCTTACAAGTTAAGGCAATAGAGGGATCCCATTGATGCTTCCTGATTATTGATAATTACTTTAAAAACAAAAACGCTCCACAAGAGCAGTTAACCTACTAGATGCAGAGTATACTATGGGAGCGAAAATGCGGGGAATGGTGCAACGAAAGGCAGAAGAAGGAGATGAAATGAACAGTTGAAGTAAAATGTTTAGAATCTGATAGGTGTGCACTCCGTGTCCAAGACAAGCACAAGAATAAACAGAAAAACAAAAGAATAGGCAATGAAAGAGAGAAGCACCACCTCTCACAAGCGTCTTCGAGGGAAGAAAACGGGTGCTTGAAGTCAGGATGACAGACTCGCCAAGCGTCCTGATAAGCGAGCTGGAGAGAGGCCTTGTGCTGCTGCTGCTGATTATTATTAGTAGAGGGTGTAGCGGAGGAATTGGGACTGGAATTAGGGTTGGGATGGAGTGGATTGGGAACAACTTGCTGGGTAGCGGAATTAGGGTTGAGAGGACGGTGGTGAAGCATAGGGTGCTGTGGGCGGAGATGAGCGTCGATATTGGAAGGGAAGCGAGACATGGCTTCCTTCTGTCTTTGGATCTGTTGCAGCAGAAGTTGTTGCTGCATCAATTGTTGCTGCGCCATCGCCGCCTTGCCGTCCTCCATTGAGGCGATGCGTTTTAATCTTGCAGCCGCCTACCTACACACAAACGTAACGTACATGCATCATACCAACCAACAACAGCTTCGCGAAACGGGTAATTTGACAGTGATGATGAAATGAACAGACGAAATCCACGGATGAATAGGGAGCGATGCCGCTGCTTCAAAATTCTTAATTCAGGTTGAGCATTCATTCATTTGAAAGAGACTTGCTCATTCGGTTTCGAACCGTCGGTTCGAACCGCCGGTTACGTTTCAAACCGAAATCGGAAACAAACCGAACCGAAACCGTCGGTTCAAACGGCCGGTTTACTGTTTGTCCGGAGGTTTGGCTTTTTTTATTTTTTTTTAATCTCTCACCATGGCAGGGGCAGGCAGGCGCCCAGAAGAAGAAGGAGAAGAAAGGAGGAAACGAGGAGAAAGACCGAGGTTGGAAGAAAAAGGGAAAGAAATGGGAGGGAGAAGGAAGGAAGTGGGAGAACCTGTGTGCGGGCGCAGGCGCGGCTACGGCGTCCGAAGAAAAAAGTAGAACCTGTGTGCGAGGGCGATTGCGCGTTTGGATGTGGATGGCTAATTCTATTGATTAAATATTAGAATTAATGGTGTGTATTTTGTAATAATATCATTATATTTATAATTAAAATTTTAAATATAATAATAATAATATTAATAAATATAAATAATTATTAACAATATTGAAAATAATAGTACTATTAATATTTTTTTATTTATATTTTATATTTTATAATTCTTTATTATATAATTATATATAATTTAAATTATTTTATTATCTATTATAATATTTTTATAATTTAATTATTTACTATATTAATTATTTTATATTGTAAACATTTAATTAATTAATTATAGATATGATTTTTATATAATAAATATATTAAAATAAAATTTAATTATTTTTAAATAAAATTTTAATTTTAAAAAATATAAAAAATATAAATATAAATATTAAAAATGAGTATATATAGATCGGCTATTAATTTTTAAATCAAAATCGGCGGTTTATAAATCGTAATCGTCGTTCAAAAAATTCAATTTTGATTTGATATTTTGACAAATTGTAATAAGCGATTTACTGCGGACAAGTCTCATTCGAATGTGGTGGAATGGAATCCTGGCCGGGTAGGGTGGGGCGGGTTTTACGGTAGAAAACCTGACCCGAGCGAGCTCTCTGGCTGTAGACTTGCCCATTCGAACCGTCGGTTCGAACCGGCCGTTACGGTTCGAATCGAAATCGAACCGAAATCGTAGTTCCGACGGTTCGGTTTCGGTTTGTAGTTTTGAACCGGAGGTTCGGCCATAATTGTGTGTTTTCTTTTTTTTTTTTTTTTTTTTTTTAATCTGGCCGTCCGTCGGGAGAAGAAGAAGAAGAAGAAGAAGTGAAGAAGAAGAAGAATTGGAGAAGAAAGGAAAGAATCGGAGAAGAAAGGAAGAAAGAGAGAAGAACCTGATGGCTGCCTTGGCTAGTGCGGCTGCGGCTGCGGCTGCTGTGGTGTGGGTGTGTAAAATAATTTATTAGGTCTTAGGGCATTAGGATTTTGGACAAATTTGTATATTTCAAAGTTATAATAATATGTCTAACTTAAATTTTATAATATTAAAAAAATACTAATACTAATACTATAATATTATTTTTTATTTATAATTTGTAATTTTTAATTATATTATTAATATATTAATATTTTTATAATTTATTTGTATTTTTTAATTTATAATTTAATTTAATTGCTTATTAAATTTATTATTTAAATTATTTTTATATTGTAACAATCTAATTAATTATTATTTATACAATGAATATATAATAAATAAATTTAAATAAAATAAAAATAAAAAGTAATGATTTTTAAATAAAATTAAAATTTTAAAATATTAGAAAATAAAAAATATTTATTAAAAATAAATATATATAAACGGATGGTTCAAACAGTAACCGACGGTTTATAAATCATAATCGAAATCGTCAAATTGTAATCAAAATCATCATTCAGAAGGTTCGATTTCGGTTTGATATTTTGACAAACCATGATCGATAATTTGTAATCATAATCGGCCATTTGAACCGTTTAAGCAAGTCTAACTGGCTGCGTTTACACCATCAAAATTCGGGTTCAGGTACTTCAGAATTAAAATAACAAGTAGAGAAAGAAGACGAAGGAAGAAGGCTTTTGGAATTTAGGGCTGTAATTTCGGGTGTGTTTGTTTGGGGTTTTGGATTTTAAGTTGATATTTGAATAGTAAATAATTTAAATTTGAATAGTTGTACGACGTAATATAAATAGTATTATATGATGTTTTGAATGTAAAATTGATTTTTAGTATAATATTTAAAATAAAAAATAGGTGTTTGATTTAATTTTTTTTTTAGAAAAAAATGAAATAAATAGTGTATTTAAAATCCAATCTCCAAACAAACACATCGAAGAAGAAGAAGATTGATGCTAGTAATTCTACTTGAATTATTAGATTTTAACATTTCACCTCATAGCTGTCAAAATGAGGGTTTAAACGGGCCAACCCACGTGGTCTGTGAGTTGAAAATGGGTTAGGCTGTAGTGAAGCGGGTTAGCTCATCTCAACTAAAATGCATTTTTTTTATATATATCATTATATTAAAAAATTATAATAAAAGTAATCAAATATTAATATCTGAATAATTTTATATAAATTGCAAATATACCATTATAAATACGATCAATTTATAAATAACGAGTAAAAAAATATCAAAATCATATTGTACACTTTATTTAATAAATAACATATTATTATTTTTAATTTACTGAAAATAAATATTTTTAGTTAAGACGAATAAAATAAAATTTATATTATCGTTAGCTTAAATAAATTAATCAATATTGTTTACACTGTCTAACTCTGTTATCAATGTCACTCTTATTTCTTTCGATTTTTTATTATTTGTTGTGTTGGTCTTCTATTTTGTTCTTTTATCATTTTTTTTTATCTTAGAATCTATTCACATATTTATAAAATTAATTATGATTTTTTAAAAATATTTTTTATTATGATTTTTTTTAATACACTACTTAATAATATTTAGAATTGAAAATTTTTATATTTTTTATTTATTATTTAAATTTTACAATAAAACTATTTTTTTTAACTATTTTAAAATATTAATTAAAATATATTTATAATATTAATATTTTTAAAATATTTTTTAAAAACCGGTGAGCTAGTCCGTTTAACTCGCATTTTGACCGTGTATACTAATACGCCTTTCTGTCAAACCTGGGATGGGATTGTTTATTAAAGATTGAGAAGAAGTAGAGGAAGATTTCAGATTTGCCTGCTCACGTTTTACAACATCAGGCTCACAGTCACAGATACGCCCACGTTACCTCTACCAACCTCGAATATGTTGTGTGTGAGAGATTGAGAAGTACGTAAATTAATAAGATGAAATCTGATGTAATTTGTAAATGAATTGAAACGAATTAAATTATTGCAAGTTTCCGTGAAACTGACGATCTTTGTTACTTTTTTATTAGTATAATTTTCTCCGCTTAGGTAGAAGTACAATGCTGTAGGTATTGTGAAATTGGCAACAGAATCGCCACTTTCAGTTTTAGTGCCACATGGAAAGGTAATGAATGATAACAGATAGCACCATGTCATATGCATACGTGATACGTACAAATATCACCACCACCGGCAGGCAGGCAGGCAGAGAAGGACCTGGCCGGCACAACATTAATGATTAATCGCCACCTAAATTATAGTAGTATTAATATCGATCCCCAAAACGACAGAATGAAGAATCATCAACTTCAACTTCTTCTAGTTGGATAATGCTGACATGACATCCACTCTTGCGGAAGCTACCAGAGTAAATTCTGTCAAGCCCTGCTGCTGCTGCTGCCGCTGAATCACTCACTCACTTCACTACTCAAACCATATATGAGTGCGTACTGTTACTCTTCCTGTTTATATACATACATAGTTTAACACAAACATGACCTCCCTGTTGGTGCTTGCTTGCTTTACTGCTTTGCTTATTTTTAGACTCCAATCCTCCGGCTCAATGTTGAACCAACATGGCATCCAGTCTTCTCTTCCGGGCAGCATGTTTTAATTTCTCTAGGGCAACAAGTCCCACCTGCCGTACTCTCTCTCTTGACAAACCTATCCTGAGAACTCACAAACAACAACATAAAATTGTATCACCCAATTCATGTCTTTTATCTAAGAAAAAAGCACACTTAGTTTCCAATCCAGACCGTCTACTGATATCCTCCCATGTGAGACACTCGTTCCCTAGGCCATAGTATAGACGAATGATTTCTCGTTCCCGCTCTCTTAATGTTGATGTAATGAGTTTCTCTACTTCATCCTGCACAACATAAATGGAATCGCATACAATTTCAGCACAATCCAATCTAATTAAAGCAAACGGACAAGAAAACACAACAACTTGAAAGTGCATAATCTGAGGGGACAAAAAAAGGCATCAATCTATGTCATAAATGATATCCACCTGGTTGTCTCTCATCTAAGGGCATCTTCAACCCAGCGCCATTAGTGTGGCGCTGGGTTGGTGGATTTGGCGTCAGTTGTCTCCAACCGACACCAAATCCTGCACCATATTTTGGCGTTGCTACAGTGCAAGGCCAATTTTGTTGTTGCTTTGCCAAAATATGGCGTTGCTTTTCTTTTTTTTATTTTTTTGAATTTTTTTTATTTTTGTTTTATTTTTCTAATTTTTAAAAAAATATTTTAAATTATAAATATAAAAAGTTGTTTAAAATAATAAGAAAAATTGAATATTTGAAGAATATTAGTGAAAAATAAAGTTATGGTTAGAGTAAAAATACTGTAGCAAGTTCATATTTGAAATTAAAATTGCATAAATGGAGTGTATGGGTTGAAGATGGCCTAACTCACTCTCTCAACCAACCTTCAACAAAACAGATGTACCTAATGTTATCCTGTTGCATCTTTTATGCACCAGCTTAACAATTTGGAATTAGTTTTTAAAAAAGAGCTATAGGCAAGGCAATCTTATTGTTCACCAACAATTACCATTTCTTCTAGGATATACCCAACAAGAAGGAACCAAGAGTTGGGCAGTATGTAAAGGAAAGTGCACTCTACACTGATGAAAGCAAGAGGGGCAGAAAGATTTTTTCTACATGAGACAGCACTTTCAGTAGCATCCTCCATGATGTCAATCCAGTTGTGAGATTTTCATTAATGTTACCCCATTGAATTGTGAATATGTGACAATAACCTTCAACAGTTTGAGACTTGAGCAATCAATGAAGCGGTTGCTAACTTTCTGGATTCTACTAATTGATAGGAAGCTTTGATTCAATGTTAACCTATTAAATGATACATCACTATCAGATAAGCTACCTTAAGTGCCCATTCATCAACTCCATGCCAAGGGCTATTCTCAACATGATTATCTGCAATATACTGAAATAACCACGGTAGAGTAATTAGATTGTAATAAGAAACTGTTGGAGGAAATAATGTATAAGTTACATATAATACAATCTCCCTATTAGTTCAGACTCTTAACTAGGATGTCAGTCAACAGACAATACTAAAGTTCACCTGCCAGTAAATAAAGTAGGAATATTATGAGGATGTAATTTTATCTTACACTATGGAGTGTTTCCCCTGGAAGACCATTTAATGAGGGGAATGCTTCCCTGTCAAGTGAGAAAACCTTGCTGATCGCCTGGGAAGAGTATAACAATTAGAATGTACGGCATAAGCTTTTCACTTTAGTAATAATCTTATGACTTAAAAGTACCTCAGTCGCATTCCTGACTTTTTTCTGCGACATGCTCAGACATTTAGCGATCCTCTGAATTGCAAATAGATTATCATTATATGTACAAAGTGAATTATAATGCTTGGGCTCCAATTCAAAGGTACAAGAAAAATGGGGTAAGAGATGAGAGGTTAATCTTAATAAAAACAAATTATGATCTTACATCAACTGAAGGAGTAATTCCTTTTTCTTCCAATCTGGCTTTTGCATTTCGAATCAAACTTAATCGTTCATGTAAATGAGTAGGCAGTCTAAGAGTTCTTGAATTCTCCACTAAAGCTCTTGAAACACCCTGGAACACGGATAAGTAAATTCTCAAAAAATATGAAGGATGGCATGATACAGGTAATAAGTAGTCACAAGTACATATTGGCTTAAAAGAGAGTTTGTGGAATTGGTGAAAGTTTGAAAAAAAGAAGTCTTAAGCCACTAGAAACTATATTTAATCTCACCTGTCGAATCCACCAGTAAACATAAGTTGAGATCTTAAATCCCTTTAAAGAATCAAATTTCTCAATTCCTCGAAGCAATCCAATCAGACCACCCTAAAATAAGGGAAAGAAAATTTCACTTTCCATCCAATAGGTTGAAAGAATAAAATAAAGGTTTGTTCCAGATGCCACTGAAATTGATCAACCTGAATAAGGTCAGGCATTTCAACACCCATGTTATCATATCTTTGGGCGATGGACATGACAAGACGAACATTGCTCATTGCCAGCTTCTCTCTTGCCAGAGAACACTCAATTAGTTTTGACTGCAAAGTAGCACGAGAGATCTTAAGGGAAGCAGCAAGTTGCTCATCTGAAGGCTCGCATCCCAATCTCTCTCTCAGTCTGAAAGACAAAATGAAATTCTCAAAATGGAAAGGAGGGTTATTGTCAAGTATAGTATGGTAGATTAGAATTATTAACATGGAGAATGTGCATTATACATAATAATGATGGAGATAGAAGGAACTTAAATCACCTGGACTTCTGTTCTTCCAACAAAAGACCTGTTTTAATTTTTTGAGACAGTTGGACAACTTCTGCGTGTGTGAGCAACTCTTCACTCACAACGCCCTTTACATATCCTTTCAAACGATTCTGAAGTAGTTCCGGAGCAATAGAGGACCTCCACTCATTGCTTGCAGTAAGTTGGGAATTAGAACTTCTCCGGCCAAGAATCCTTCTCCTAGAATCCAACCTTCGAAATCGAGCAGAGGTTCCAGAACAAGCAACCTGTATTTTCTTGTGAGCTGTGTCTTTTGTACTAGCTGCTCTGGTGGACATCTCAGATGAAAGATTCCATTGTTTTTCAAGCATAGATTTTTGTAATAGAAGAATGGCATCAACCAGATATTCAGGATCGGAATTTTCCCCACTAGAGTGGCTGGAACCGTCGTTTAGCCATGGCTCCAGAGTACAAGGACCAGAGACTGTATCGTCGACGTGTTCTTTAAGAACTCTGATGGAGCGCAAGGGTCGATTTGAAACGAAACTGGACGACTTTTTAGAAGTTATGGCGGTCCTTGTGGAGGCAACTTGATGGGGAGGATCGGCGGTGCAAGCGAGCTTTTCCGCGAGATCGGAATAGTAAAAGGTAGAACCAAGGAGGAGCCTTTTACCAGTGCTAAGTCCGATAACAGCGGCAGTGGCCATGATCATCCGCTCAGACCGAATACCATCACACCCTGAATGAAATATGTGTAATCAATCAATGGATAAACGAGGTAGAGAAAATAAAACGTGTTGGCTCCCAGAGTATAAATGATCCTATCCCATTCCTGGTGGATAAGCGATACGATTAATTGGCGCAGGGTTGCAATGGTAACAAACGGACACACCATAAAACGAACGAACGGTTCGATAAAATCGATGAGGGGAGGAAATGGGATGGGAGAGTGGAGAAAAGGTTGTTAAAGAAAATAACAAGAAGACAGATGTAAAGCCGCATGATGATGATGGAGATAACCTTAATATGCAGGGTGTGGTGTTTCCATGATATAAATGAATAAATAAACTTGAAAAGTGATGGAGAAGCGAAAACAAGAGTAGCTCAGAATAGCATATAACAATTAACTAGCAAATATCTTCATATCTCCAGCCTCCAATCTCCATGGATCAAGTGACAATAGAAAAGATTTTTTTATAAAAAAAACAGAAGTTGGTTTCTCTTACCTGTATTGGTTAAGATGAAGGGGAGCTGGCAGGCAGTCGTGAGTAGAATGGGAGGGAGGAATGCACCAACTAAAAAATCGGCTGCAGAAATTGATGAGCGTATCTGTCTGTCGACTGAACGCCTGTCTATCCGTATATCTGTCAATATTATTATTGTTGGTGGTGTTGTCCGACGCTCCTGCAGTTGCTGCTGTTCATATTTTGGAACGACAGACCCCAGAAAAAATAGGGAAAGAAAAAAACAGGAAAGGAAAGAAAATTTAGTTGGGGATAATGGGAAGATGAAGAGGGGGGGGGGATAGCTATTGGCTGGTGCAGATATTTGGCCGTGGGTTGAGTGGCTCGTAGCCATCCAAGTTTCCATCACTGCCTCTTTGAATTCCTCTCTATCACTCTCACGCTCAGTCGCTCACGCACGAACACAAATTATTATTATTATTATTATTATTTTCTAATATCTCGAGGTAAGGCGGTGCTTGCAACTTGGTAAACAACTAACGCGGTTATTTCTCAGAGCCTCTGTTGCTGCTTACTCTTGAGCAAAACGTTTTTCTTAGACTCCTCACTCCTCACTGTATTCATCGTATTCACGTCTATCATTGTTTCTCACTATCCTTTTTGAATTATTGTCAAAATGGTAATTTGGTTTTATTTTTTAATAAAAAAATAACAAAATTTATGCACTCGCCTTAAAGATACCTAATACTAAAAATTCTAAAACTACTCATATTATACAACAGCAGTTGCAACTTGAAAGTAAATATTTGAATCGGCAATGGTACGTTTAAACCATGGAATGCATTTCTATAGCTGTTACAAACCAGAAATCAGTAGCCCGATGGCAAGCATCAACAGAAAAAAGGCATCACAACCGAGTGCACCCATGCATGAATTGAAAAGTCATGAAAAAAAGACCAACATAAAAAGAATCCCTGGAGAAAAAAAACAGAAAGTTTCTAATCCCCTCCAGGGATAGCATGCGCAAGGATGGATAACAACATTCGCATTCAGTCTGCACCAAACTATATTCTTAATATCAGGTCTTCCTTCCACAATCTTTTCTTTCATGGAACACAGGAGGAGGAGCATTGGAAACTGAGTAACTTCCTCTAGGTCCTGTCAATAAACAGATATCAGAAGAGAATTAATCTTGCAACTCTCAAAGTCCGCCTGAAATTTTGTAAAGAGCTACATTTTCATTGAGACTTCTTTGGGAGAAAACATAAAAGTTGCTGGCTAGAAGAAGAGAAAGTGTACTGCAATTGGACTCACATACCCCACTGTGAGTCTGGTCTTCCAGGAGACTGTGGACCCCCAGAATATTCAGAGACACGGACATGCAAATGGCTCCAGTCATCGTTGGGAAAAGGTGCTGATCTCCCAAGGTTATGTTGCTGAATGTGCCGCTGCCCCAAACGGCTGGGAGAGCTTTGTGCCAAATGTGGCATAATATATGATTGATTTATCACATGAGCATAACTATGAATGGCAGGATTGCTGCTTGCTTCACCATGAGGGAAGGACTGCACTGGTCCATTATTCCTGAATCAAAACCCCAACAATGAAATGAGTCCATAACTAAGAAGACATGTTCCAAAAGCAGCCACAAACTCAATTTTGTCTTAGCAGCTAATAAAAGAGACTACAAATATATGGATAAAGCTACATGCATCTTTGCATCAACATGAGCAACTATGATTTTACTGGCTAAACTGAAGGTTATCAATTCCTCATAACAAATAAAGTATTGAACAAAAGGGATCTCCAATGAGTCACTCAAGATGCTAGCATTTGAAGTCTAAAAGAAAGTAAACATAACCTCATACTCCACCACAGACCTTGGTCACAGCCAGGCAAAACATTTACAGAATCCAAAGTATATCACTAGAATTCATGTTATGAAACAAAATATGCCCATTCAGTATCATTTTATTCCAGTTGCCAAGACAATTTCCCCAAAGTAAAGAATTTGAAAGGCTCATTGAAAATAAATAAATAAATAAAATATAATATAATATAAAGCCACCTGTGCATGAAAATATTGCCATTTGCAATGCGACTGAATCTTCCTCCTCCGATCATTGGGTCGATAGAGGTCACAGGTTGACTCAAGTTTACCTCCCGGATAAATTCACTGGCCATGCTGCTAATCTGTGAACTGTCCTCTTGTAAAAGTAATTCCTCACTGAGAAAGAGCAAAATAATGCACCATAAAATGAAGTATAATATCATTAGAAGTCAGAAAAAATGTAATATAGGAACCCAAGTACTCAATAAGTTACATTTTCAGATAAAACTCCAGGAATATGCCAAACTTCATTTGATAGGTCTAGGATTATAAACACAATGTTGTGCACAAGTGCAGGATTATAAAAACGGAGCACAAGAAAATGGCTACAGTTACTTCTGATGATGATTGACATGAAAAGAAAAGGCAGAAGATTCCATGAATTTTCCATCAACAACTTAATCCATGGCATTCAATAAGTATGTTATATCAATAAAACAAACTGAAGTGTATCTACCCACAATCGTACTAGATAGATACAACCCCATTCTTAGACAGATTCAGCTTGTTGGCAGCATATATTCCTAATAGGACTCTCCAGTCAAAGTTGAAGTTCTTTTGATTTGATAACAGGATAGAATTTTCCACAAAAGGTTCTCATCGGCTGTCCAAAGACCTAATAAACATATGGGCAGACTTCAATAAAAAGCTGACATCTAATAACAGTATGAACACTTCCCACTTCCCAACACTATGCTATCTCACAGGAAAACATATGTGAAGACATGCACTGCCAGATTATGAATAGAGCCCATAGTATGTGTGTGAGAGAGTATCTATATATATATTAACACGAGGAATCATGAAAACCTAGGCAGTCCATGAGAAAATTTAAAAGAGGAAAGAGACCAGTAATACAATATACCAGCACTGACAAGATACCAAGATTTAGGTCGGGCATTAAAAAAATATTTTCACATGGATGCCAAGTGATGCTTCCGCATTAATGATCATCAATGAAAAATACACCTTCCAATTTACACGTTTACCTGTAATTAGGGTCCCAATCTCCAGGATCAGGCAGGGAGTTATTACATTCGGATTGGTCGCGTCCACTACTACCTTGGGTAGTTGGTATATGTGAAGAGGAATAACCAGAGGTTATGCTCTGGCTTACATTTTGTTGTCTCCCTGTTGATAATACATTTGGGTAGGTCCATTGATGTGACGAGGAACTAACCATCCCCTCAGACTGGCAACAAGTTCTATTATCAGGAACCTGTCCTTGACTGCTAGAAGAAGTTGTGTTTTCTTGGGATTGGAAATTAGTATGATAGGCCCAGTTCTTTCTTCTGTTATAATGGCTTCCAGATGCCATTTTTCCCCAAAGAGATCCGTGACAGTTACCTCTTACAGGAGAAGGAGGACCATAGTGTCCAGGTGAACCAGTTGAAATCTTACTATAGGAGCCGGGAGGTGTAAACTGTGAAGGACTAGAACCCAGTGACATAGGTGGAAAATTCCCAGGGCTATAACCAATTCCATTCCCATGTGGAAGTTGCATGAAGCGCCTAGCATCAGGACTATTCCCAAGGACTGAGATACCACTCTGTGCATAGAAATTCATGCCAGATGGTCCTGCTGGGGAATAAAATGCGTGAAAGTTTCCATTGTCACCATAGCTTCCATAACTACTTCCAAGTCCCAAGCTATCATTGAAGCTCCCATGGCTTCCCATACTACCATAACTACCCGGATGCACAAATGGAAATAATTGGTAATGCGGACTTGTTGGCATCAACGCTCTGTTCCTACCTGATACCTACATGAACAAGGTCAACAAGATAAATATTCGTATCCACATTATTCAAATTTGTACAAGCGCTGATTCTCACAATGGGGATACTAGTAATAGTAGCAACTACTCACATTAGGGGAGAGACCAGCAGCGAACCAATGTCCACCAGCAGGATGGTGGTCCACCTTAACATTGTGAGAAACTGGCTGAAAAAAGAAGGTTAACCAATGAAGAACAATACAACATCCAAGGTGTAGAAAGAAAATGCCTTGTTCTACAGGTCATCATATTGTTAGTAGAGAAGAACTTCATAATTCACTCTAGAGCTGTAATATGCTCCTTCGCGAACTTGGTTATTTAAGTTTGACAGGCTAAATGAACCTGATATAAACACAAACTTGGTTTGCAAGTATTTAATAGTGTTCACTAAGAGATTAGATTAATATATTTATATCCTAATTACATATATTTATAATAGGCTTGTTAGTTTAAAAAAATAATACTCTTATTTACTAATTATAAAATTGAACCTAGTTTAATTTAACCTCAAATACAAAGATTAAAATGAAAAAAAATGAAAAGTTAGTTAAGAGGCCAACCTGAGTCAGGGTCAAAACAAAAGATTTTGCATTGCCGGCCGAGCATTAACAGATTTTTTTACTCATTCCCTTAATAAATGAACACGAGCAAAGCTGAAGCCCTTAATGAGCTGAACTCAAACATGAAAATCTTGGCATGAGTCGGCTCATTGATAGCTATACTTCACTCTTTATTAGATATCACAATAATTTCAACCAAGCAATGCTGGGTTCTAACAGCCAAACATAAAATGATATTTTGGCTGACCATGACTTGATAACCAATTCAGCAGCTCAAAATGAATGATTATAACAACTAAAAACCTTACATATGTTTAGAGTGGTACTATCACAGACCAGGAACATAGCCAGAAAAAAAAGAAAGGGAAAAAAAAGAAGATGAAGAGTAGCATCTTAACTTTGTAAAATTGCAAGACAGTTAACAATATTCGCTCACCACATTAGGGGTTTCCGGAGCAGGTTGGTACGGGCACGTAAAAGGTTCCCCAGTCACAAAAGGGTGCTTTGAAGCCTAAAAAAGATCAACGATCAAATGCTATAAAGCATCAAGTGAAAAGTCTCAGAGGAAGTAAATGTCAGCGTATTCTATAAGGAGATGAAGGCAGCTATTAAACATTCAGTAGCACTAGACAGGAATGCTTCAGCCCAAATCAAAATGATATTTCAGATATTTTGATAGAGTATAGACCAAATCAAATAAACATTTAGGGACAAGAAAAGACATTTAATTTAAAAATGAAAAAATACCCTAAGAGTATTCTAAGAGTGTGTTTTGAATGGATTTTGAATAGTAAAAAATTTGAATTTAAATAGTTGTATAATGTGATATATATGTATTGATACGATGTTTTGAAATATAAATTGATATCTAGTATAATATAAAAAAATAAAAAACAAGAGTATTTGATGTTTTTTGGGGAGGGGGGAAATTAATGAATAGTAAATCCAGGATAAGATCCCCCAAACAAAAACACCTTAAAAGTATGTTGTTGCACCACAGCAATGTGTATATATAATTTAAAAACACACCTTACTATATTGCTAATTTGGGAATACTACCAAATACATATTTTAATCTATCTTATTTAATATTACTATATTCAAAACACAGTATTACCTACAAATTCATCAATACCTATCACCTATGTGCATAAAACATAAAAATTTTATCAACCACTCACTACATTGAATTGCAATCATACTGAACCAAAACATAAAAATGAATACATTGGAATCTCATACATTTCAAAATTCTGAGAAACATAACTTAAACAAACAGGGATTCCATATTCATATCTAAAATACATGTAATACCAATAAAGTGATCACCACAATAATATTATCAGAACAGTACAGAAATTTTCAGTAAATAAATGGTTCATCAGATGCTAACTCAAGATCAAAAGGGGTTCTTATACAAAGTCTAGTGAGCACATTCAATTTCAGAGAACAAAGTGAATAGAGGTCAAGAGAAAAGAATAATAAATGAGGTTAAGAGAATTAAAAGAATAAAATATGTACAGATTGTAAACAGGCTTATATCACAGAAGAAAAACAGAATGTGCTTGGCCTGGCTTTGCTCCTACATCTTATCAGTTTATGTAAATGTACTGAAATCCAATAGAAAAAAACACCCCTACACACAATTTTGTGCACATAAGAATCATGGAACATACATTCTTATAAAAAAAAAATATATATATATATATATATAGAGAGAGAGAGAGAGAAAGCAAGTATGTGGTTTTTTCTATTCAATTAACATGTAAGTTTTCATAAATAGTTTCTCACAAGCAATCTGCTGTGTTAAATAATATTGATTACGATAAGGTGAATAAGGCTCAATCACCTGCAAAGGGGACCACCGTTTTGCAGGATCAAACTCAACAAGCCCCCTTAAGAAATCAATCAGAGCTAATCTTATTTGACTTTCTGCAGGTGTCAATGAGAAATAACTCAATAAAAAACCAAAGCTTAACCAATGCACAGGTCTCAGGTTATTAAGTGGCTTCTTGAAGGAATATCAACAATAACCTTTAAGAATATCTTCCTCAGGCAAATTTTTCCTATAGGGGTACTTGCTGACAATTGCTTCAAGGTTCATATTATTAAAGTACTCCTTTCCAATTGATGGCCTTTTTGATTCCCTCTGAATACACAAAAATAATTAATTAATTATAAAGTATATATAGCAATAAAGAAAAAGAAAATCATACAATGATAAGAAAACCATAAGAGATTGTAGCAACACCACTAAAACATATGCAAAAAATGGTATAATTTGGTAGTGACATGCCAAAAGTTACAATGTATCCTGTTTCAAAGGAACCTCTTTCAGTGTGCATTCTGAACGCAAGGCTTCTTGTAATGTTATATGTTGAGATTGTAACACGAAGATCATAAGCAAGAGATTGTATCAGACCCTTAGATATATGCAAAAAAAATAAATCATAAACACATAACTGATATGCAGATTGTCAGAATATATCATATTTCAAAGGAAGATCTTTTTAGGGTGTGTTTGTTTCGGAAAAAGATGTGTTTTGCTTGGGGGATTCTACCCAAATTCCACTATTCATCAATTATTTTCCACCCAAAAACATTAAATCATACACCCATTTTTCATTTTTTATATTATACTAAAAATCAATTTTACATTCAAAACATCACATCACCACCTATTTATAACACATCATACAACTATTGCAATACAAACACACCCTTAGTGTGCACGTTGAAGGCAAATCATCTGGCAATGCTTATGTTGAAACCTATCTGCATATAAAGCCCAAATTAAAAGCTTCTTCCATTTTTGTTTTTTGAAATTAATAGAAAGCATTTCTAATAGAAGTATGTTAATTATTAAGTACATCTCATATGCTGCTTAAACAACTGCATATCATATAGCCATCTGTGATTTAGTACAATCTCGAGGAATCCAATACTACCAGCATCATCCTTGCACCATGTGCCACTCATCTGTTGGACAACAATCTAAACAATCACACTGCATGCGTCATTGCTGCTGTAAGCTCAACCATTGGTAACAAGTATCTACTCTTTGGTCTCTCTCCCAAAGATTTAAGCTCTATTTACTTATGTTTCACATTAAATACCAATTTTTTTTATTCAACTTCTTAATATTCTAGAAACAACTCAAAACACTAAAGCACTTCAAAAACATATCCAAACACACCCTTAGCTTTTACCTTAGTGGGTGCTCTACAGCTTGATTCGCCTCAAAAGGGAACTCCTACCAAGATCTATATTTCTAGATTATGATTACTATAGTAATTTGATCTTTTTTGTGAGATCTCTATTGAGATGACATCATCCTATCTTGCTGATACATCTATTTTCTTCAACAGTCCTCAATATTTATCTCTTACTGGTACTACTAAATCAGGATTTATCGGGAAAAATTTTTTCTATGGCCATCAGTTCAAAAGGAATCCCAGGGCATGCAACGAATCCCCTTTAAGGATTGCATTAAGCTTATTCTTCCTGGACTAATCATATCGTCAACAAGTGTCTGATCAGATTTGGAAAGCCTGCATGGATTATTATTATCCACTTGAGCAAAGTTACAAGTGCATTACTTGCAGTAATGATGCAAACTAAAATACGAAAAATAAATGGGTACCATGCATAAAAGTAGGGCTTATATATGCAAAAGAGATCATGCATATTGCATATACAAATCACTTTCTTAAAAATCAATTATAGCAAGCATAATCCTCACATGCACGCTAAACTTAACATAATCAACAAGATACACCTTAATTTTAAAGCACTCACAGCTGCATATTCTTCTTCAGTCAAAACTTGATACATGTTACAATTATTTCTTTGATAATGGTCCCTTTCTTCATGGTTGATGCTCCCAATATATTTAAAAAACTTGCTTGTATTTTTGGCCTTCCGCAGAATATGGTCGGGAGGTTGTCCACTGCATTTAAAAGATGACTATGCCAATTAAGAAGATATAAACGAGCAACAATCTACTTGCAATTAAACATTATTAACACATGGGTATGTTCTTTTATCAAATTTTAACAAATTTCTACTATTCATCAAAAAAATTCCCCCCAGAAAACATCAAATCAAACATCTATTTTTCATTTTTATATTATACTAGAATCAATTTTATATTCAAAATATCACATCATACAACTATTCCAATTCAAATTTTTATTATTCAAATTCCAACAAAAAATCCAAACCCCAAAACAAACACACCCATAATACAACTTTTAATAAGCTTGAAATATGATGCTCAGCCGCAAAATAACTTACAATTAAGCACTATTACCATATGTAGGTTTTTGATCAATTTTTTACAGTACATGCTCAATGTGCCTAGCCACCACATAATTTGTTATTTCAGATGTAACCAAAAAAAAAAAATTATCACAGTGATTGTATCATAAAAAATCATTTGGATTGTTCACAAATCAAACAGCTCACAAACTTCCGAATAACCCCACATCTTGTAAAACAAGACATTGAGAAACCAGAAAATAACCATCCTGAGCATCACTGCTCCAAGTTAAAAGGGCTAACACAATATAGTTACCATTTGAGCTTCTTTGATTCTATTATCAAGATTTAGAAAAATTAAGTCAATTCTCAGAATAGGCCAGTTCCAGCCAAAATGGGAATAGGCAGACAAGGGAACTTAATAATTAAGTCAATTCCAAGGTATGGTTATCCTAACCTGTGTGCGGCATACAGCTCAACAATCAATTTACCCTTACCGAATGTTAGTATTTAAGCATTCTCAGAGAAAGATATAAGTCAAAAGCTCAAGGTGGAACATAAAGTTAAACCCTGGGAAGCAAGGGTTGACACTTCAAGCCTTCCAATAGTGTTTAACTTCAACTGACTGGTATAAATAATTCTTGCCTGCTCTAAGGTAAAATGGAAGCACACTTCCAGAAAACTTCTAGAAAGTATCACATACACATGAAGGTTTTAAACATGCTGTGATCAATGAATGCAACACATTATTACTACGCTATCACATCCTAGTTTTTCATTTTAAGGAACCCAACACCCACAAATAGATCCTATCAGGCATCCACTCCTAATCCTATCCAACGCACTGTTAATATAGCTAATGACAAAGCTCTGCCAAACTTGAACAAACAAAATAAAAAGCTTTTATGCATATATATATATATATATCGATTCAAAATGAAGCTTGGACACAACCACTTGACCATTAAAGTCTTGAAACACCCTTCCACAATTGCTGTAATTATCTGTATTCATAAAGTCAGCAAACAAGTGAAGTTTCAACATTACACTGCAACTGCATAACACAAGATGTAATTTTCTCATCGAGCATAATCATGCTGCTAAAAATGAGTATGGAATCAAATATCTAACTTGACCAAAAATTCTATATGAGGTGAAATTTCCAAATATAAAATTGCAAAAGTGAGGTTAACAACTCTTAGAATAGAAAGTGTAGAGCATCAGACCCTAGTATTTTTATCATCCTCCTCAGAAGATCAAACTCTGAAGCTCCGGGAAACAAGGGTAGGCCTAAAAATAATTCAGCAACAATGCACCCAAATGACCACATGTCAATAGCTGTTGTATACCTTTGAGAGGTTAAGGTCAAAGCATGAGTTATATTCAAAGAATTGGTTCAATAAGCAAGAATCCATAATAACAATGAGACAAGAAAGATAAGCATAGCCATAGATTACTGTGCCACTAATGATGCAAATCCTTCTAAAGTCTTAACAATTCCTTATTTGGTGATTAGGTAACTTCTTGGATTTCTCATTGTCTACTTATTTCTCTTGACAATCATACAGTGACATACAGAAATAGACAATCTATAGGTATCTGGCACTTATTGTAGCCAAAAGTATGATGTCCCCAACACCTAGGTGATGGTTAGAAATTGTTTTCCTCAAACCCAGTGATGGAACCAAGGTCTCCTAGCAAATAGCAATCTCCATAACCTTAAAAATAATTAGAAATACTTCCTTTCGCATTTGAGGATACTGGTACCCAAGAACAACTTCAGGTGATCTATAATACCGACTCTGCAGAAAAAAGGGAGAAGAAAAAAAAAAAGAATGATTAAACTATCAACTCAATCAATACTGAACACTATTATATGTAGTATGACCAATAAGTTGATTATTTACTAACACTTGCCTGTATATAAGAATAAACAGTACGGTTTTCCATACAGGCTGATCCAAAGTCTATGATTTTGATTTCTGCTGGCTTTACACTGTCAAATGTATGAATAACACTAAAATTGAAATGAGAATGTTGCACCAGAATTAATTATCAGCACTATATCATTAAGGAGGAGCAGACCTTGTGCATAGAAGAATGTTTTCTGGCTTTAGATCACAATGAATAATACCAGCATCTTTCATAAGAGCTAACCCACGCAGTATCTAGGATTTAGAGAAATCAATCTTATAAGAGGTGCTGAAATCAATGGATAATCTTTTAAAGATTAACATGAAGATGAAGCAAGGAAATCCCTACCTGTTTTGAAAATAGCTGCACAATGCTCAATGACAATCCCCTAAAATGATTTAACTTTATAAGCTCATACCTGACACAGTTGAGGGGAACGCAACAAATTCCAGATGCACCCAAGAATATGATAGTTTCACAAAAAATGAACTTGGATAGCAGACTTACAGATTGGTATCAAGCAGCTCAAAGGCAATGCACAGGTGCCGCTGATACACAAAATAATCATGTATCCGAACAATGTGATGTTTATCCTCTGGATCATGCTTCATATTTAACTATGGGACATAACAAAAATAGCTGAAAATTTGAAGAAGCTTGGTAGTTTAATTAGAAAAGATATCAAATTCTAGTAAGGGTTTTACAGTTGTAAGAATAGAAACTTCAACAAGTGCCTGGTGGTAATAGGCAGGCAAATTCTTGATTATCTTCACAGCAACATAACTATTTGTCTCTGACACCCAGCATTTTGCAACCTGCCCAAATGTTCCATGACCAAGAATGTCCTTGACAATGTACCTGCATACAAGGAAGAAGATGACAACAAGCTAGAGATTGCCAAAATGAACAGAACAGAAGATCTAAGAATCTTCCTTCGTTATGTAAGAAGGTTGAAAGAAAGTGAGACATTCCTTTCCGTATTTTACACACGTTAGCATGAAACACATAACATATTTCTCTTTCTTGTATGTTATGCAACTGAATAGATATGTAATGATTTGTTTCTGTTTTTTAGGTTTTTAGCTCACAAATCACATTTTGCTGCACTAATACGGGCAAGGTTTTATACTAACATAACGATTGATATGCAAGAATAAACTTGAGTGTGAATCAAATGAAGTTAAGAATGCAATAGAGACAGGGAAGGAAGGTTTTGTTCTTTTATTTTTACATTATTAGCATTAATAAAAAAAAAAAAAATTGCCCACATTTCTCAATAAAAATACACTATTTTCTTCTCACAATACTTTAAAAAAATAAAAAAAACTACTTCACTCAAATAGCATCACAATTTCCAAAAGGTAACGCAAAAACTTTCCACAAATTTTAAAACACTAAAAGAACAGACTAAAGTATTAATTTAAACAGATAGATGTAACAATATTTCCATTATAAGTAGCAGCAGATATCATTGAATCTGAGAGTACTATCCTAGGGCTTCTATATCCCTAAAGAAGATATACCTCAGATTTCAATAAACAAAAGATGTAAAGTCATAGGCTAAAGTGTACCTCCGCTTTGTGTCCGAGTTAACCAGGGAATAATTAACTGTAAGAATGAGGTCTGAGTTTGCATTATCACAGCCATCATTCAGCAGTCCAACCGACGGCGAGGTCAAGTACCTCTTTGGATTCAGCTCTTCTGAATAACGGAACTGAGGATTGCATATTTGATATATCTCAACAATATCCTTAGTTAATCGAGCAACCAACTGCAGCACAAAATATGCATCAAGGATAGAACTGATATCTCAGAATTTAAAGGCATACCTACTTGAATCCAGGTTTAGTAATCTGATCCAAAACTCAACACTATAATAAGATTATAAGGGAAAAGACCAAGAAGTTGTAGTGGTCGAAAATGGAATTTGCTAAAAAGATTTCTATATCTATTATGGCATTAGCACCTATTTTTCAATCGTTCATGTCATTTTTTGAACTCTACCCACTTTGAATAGCATATTTCTTTTTATATAGCACCAGCGTTTTCTTGTCTTTATCATATTTTTTTTCTTTTTTATCACAAATCAATTAACCAGTATTTCCCCCTCTGATATTCAGTGGCCTTGCCTTCAGAAACCAGAGAGTACTGTAAGATCAAAGCTCTAATCCAAATAATCACTCCTCACTTTAATATTGTAATAAGATAAGGACGCATCAAAATAGATATCACTTTTTAGTTCCATGTTTTGAGACGGTGAGTGAGGATATTATCACCGCTTGGAGTTCAAAGATAAAGGTGAACCAAGGTTACAGTAATAATATGGACGATGTAAACCAAAGATGACAAAAATCACCTACCGGCCTTCTGACAACCACTCGCAACAGTTGAGGTTTTGCATTTGTGTCCAGACTCGACGAATAAGGACGGAAGGCAAGCGGCCTAGGATGCCAAGGTATCACCCTCGATGTGGACGAAGATGATGTTGAGCTCTCGCTCACTTCGGATTCCCCTGGCAGAGATATTTCCTCCCTTCTACTATTACAGCCTTCGTCCATATCCCTCACCCCCGTTAAGATATACCCACTATTCGCTTCTTTGTGTGATACAGACGCAAAATAAAGACTTCAAAACCCAACCCGAAGAAACTTAGAAACTGGATTAACTACCAACCAGCGGGATGGCTTAATCCTCCAGCAAATTCAAGGAATTTACCAGAAGATTGCAATCCCATCGTCATTCACCAGTCAATGGGCTCACCAAGAAGAAAGAATCTTCAGAATTAGACCCATGGAAAGGAATAGTACCAGGCGACGGAAAAAGATACCAAACCGAAGGGGAAATTAGAGAGGGCGGATTCTGAATCGGCCAATCGATCCACCTTAGACCATCGATGAGATTCAGACAGCAGATTTCTTGATGCAGAAATTGAGAATGGAATTCAACTTCGCCAGAGAGAAATATATATGTACTAATAAAATAAAAAACTGCTGTCGAAATCCAACTCTCCTGATTATATAATAAAACTACTGAGTTCCGATTTCACTCCGATATTTCAACCCGTTTTATCATTTATACCCTAGCTTCCGCGTTATTTATACAGTGCGATCTTTGGATCCCTAATTTTATTCATCCATCTTTTCCTCCTTTTAGTCATCACTGTGTGTGAGAATTGATTGGCTAAAATAGTATTTATAATACACCAGTCGTATTATGCACATATATTGGATGCTTCTACTTTTTTTTTTAATTGGATAAATATGCTTTTTTAATATCAAAAAAATTAAATTGATAATAAAAAAAATACTCCCTTCCCTCAATAGTCAAAGTGAAATTGTAATTTTATTATTTAGTGAAGGTGTGCAGAAAATTTGACATTTTTTTTTAGTAAAAATAATTATATGTGTGATGATAAATTTGTAATTTAGATAAAAATTAAAAATATTTTGGTATTGGTATATAATTATTTTTTATTAAAATATTGGACGGATGAAATGGTAAATTGGGATAGAAGAAATAATATTTTATGATTAGTGAGTTTTTTAGGTGGATAAAAATATCATAATTAAAAATATATTTTTACTTTGTTCCACTTAAAAAATAGCAATGTCAAAAAAATAATCATACATTAATATATATATTCAATTACTTAATGACAAAAGATATGTTTCTTTTGATGGATTGTGAAACCTCAAAGCCACGAAGAGAGTATATTATATTGAAGGTAATTATATTTACTTAGTTAATAATAATAAATTATAATATTATTTTATTATTTATATAATTAATTATATTGATAATTTTAAAAGAAATTTAATATATATGATTAAAATAAAATTAGAACATGTATTTAAATTCTTTTAAAATTAAAATTTCTACTAGAAAACTCTTTCTTTCTATGGATTGGTTTCTTTTTAAACAAATTTCCAACTTCGATTTCAACTGAATGGGTTTTTGGAATTTTATAGGAGATTAATAAATAATAGTAATATTTTAGTTAGTAGAAGTATATAAAAGTTTTTGATTTTATGTATAAAATAATTATATGTATAATATTATATTTGTTATTTAAATAAAACTTAAATGTATTTTGATATTTGTATATTATTATTTTTTTAAAAAATAAAAAATAAATATTTTAAAGTTGAACAAACAAAAATAAAAAAAAATAATAATACTTTTTGAATTTGGACATGAGTAATAAAAAAATAATCTATATTATATTTGTTATATAATTATCTCGTACCACATTTAAAAAAAATTCAATCTATCCAAAAGGGTTGGGATGAAGGAACATTTATATTATAATAAAATTAAATTATTTTTAGTAATGAATGAATGAATTTGTTTGGAGTTTTGAATTTTTTGTTTGGATTTTAAATTGTGGAGAATAAAAATAAATTTTCAAGCAAGCTATAAAATAATTATTTTTTTTTTAATTCAACATACATTTGTTTGGATTTTAAATTGTGGAGAATAAAAATAAATTTTCAAGCAAGCTATAAAATAATTATTATTTTTTTTAATTCAACATACAAATAATGAAATTTTCATTCAATAACATAGCTATAAATTATACATTATATGCGTTCAAATAAATTATTTCGAGTTAGTTGTGCTTATTTGAATTTTTTACTATTTATTAAAAATATTATTACAATATTATCAAATTGAATCTTTATTTTTTATTTATTATATGATATTAAAATTTAATTATATATTAAAAAAATAAATTAATATATATTTATATTATATGTAATATTTAATTTAAAATTTAATAATTTTAAACTCAAATCCAAAAATCAAATTCCAAACCCCAAACAAATACAATGATTGTCATACAAAATAATTACTAAAACAATTTATATATATATATATAAATTATAAATACTTTAACTATATTATAAATTTTCTTACAAAATAACTACTAAAACCAATTAGTCAAAAAAATTAAATATACTAATAAATATAAACAAAAATATAATGAAATATAAAATATAACATAGGATTATATAAATTCATACATATGAAAAAATAATAATTATCAGTATTAAAAATTTACTAATTCAAAATATACTTAAAATATAAATTAACTTAATTAATTTTATAACATATATTTTCATATCGTATTGCACGCGTGTTGCATAACTACAAAATAAAATATCAGTTTCTACACCACAAAAAATTGAAAAATACAGTAGTTCGGTGAGTAGGGTCATCTCCGCATGGAACAATAACAATATTGACTATTCGATTATTTATAATTATAATATATATATAGATATAATGGGGGGTTTTGATTTATCATACTAAATTAAAAAAAATAAATTCACTCAATTAAATAAAATAAAATAAATCGCAAGATGGTTTACCAAATATAATTAAACTAAAGCATATACATGAATTTTTCTATTCGGGATATAAAATTTGTTTATCGATTAAAAATCAAGTTCATTGATTAGTTGGATAAATTGGTTATAGTTGATCTACACGTGTTCACAATTAACATTTCCTTACTTTGTCGATAGCTAAGGTACGATCGTTAGCAATATAAAAAATCTGGGTTGGCCTGACCGCTATAATTTGAAACTGGGTAATGTCTGGGTTTGAGTTTTCAAGCCCAATCCAAAATCAGTCTGGACCTATCGGACTTGAATTTTAAAACGGTCTGAGCCAGCCCAAAAAATATTACTCCCACCCTCGCGAAAAATACACTAATTTTTTTGCAGTGGTGAAGGGAGTAATACCAGTCTGAAATTGCCACATTTTTATTTGCCAAATATGATGTCAATTTTCTTAAATAATGGAAGCAAGATACTTTAAATTTTGAATCTACCGATATGTTGAACAAATAATCAATAAGCAAAGACAATGGTGATTCACCGAACAAAAGACGAAGAATGAGCAAATCCCCAAAAAATCTAGCTAATAGAAATGCAAAAAAAAAAAAAAAAAACGGGTGAAATGCTTGGTATGACCGAACAAGGAACATTTATAAATAAAATTAAGGATTTGAAAATTTGAAACCGAACCGATTGTTGCTTCTGCAGCTTCGGATTTTTTTTTCTAAATCGAGGTAAAGATTAGCCGAGAAGACGACAATGGAAAACATATTTTTAAAGATTCAACAACGGATAATTTACATACAATTAAGGAATGCATTGCACTGATGGAAGCATCGGCAAATCCGACCATTTAGGGTTTTTTTTTCCGACCGTTTAGGGTTTAGGGGTTAGGGTTTAGGGTTTTTTTTTTTTTTTTTTGGCTGGGCTCAAAGAGCTGCCTACGTACCCCAACGGGATCAAGCCATACGTAGTTCTGCAAATTTCAGTACAAATGCTGGGAAAGTAAATAAAAATTGTAAACAAATAAAAGCTAACGGAAGCGAAAGCACGGGAGGCCCGCCGCGTCAGCATGGATAAGGCCCCGAGTCCTCGTAGGGATGTCTGCCGGTTCCAGAATCCGCGTGTGAGGAAGGGCAACAGAGGCGTTCGCTAAATTGTCTGCCACTTTATTGCCCTCGCGGTAGATATGAGAGATCCTCCACTCGATGCTGCGAAGCTGTAGGCGCAGGTGGTGGAGACAAGGCTGGAGAGTCCAGTGTCCCGTCGAGGAGGAGATGAGAGAGATACTGCTGGCCGAGTCCGTCTCGATCCAGAGAGGGAGGAGGCCGCGGGCAACCGCCAGGTCTACTCCAGATCGAATCGCTTGCAGTTCAGCCAAAGTGTTTGTCGTATCCGAGAGGGGAACTTGGAATGTCACAAGTGGGGCGCCGGTGGCATCCCGAATGACGCCCGCGGCTCCAGCGGCGCCTGGATTCCCGATCGAACTCCGCTTCACACTCCTCTGCGTCTTTTTCTGCTGCTGCCAAAACCTGAAAAACATTCCCAAATACCTGTTTGTTCCACCACTTCAGAGCCTGTTTGAGTCGTCCAAGTTTCAGTCGCAGGTTGAGGAGACCGGTGGTGCCCGTCGGGACAACCCAACTCTGGCGGACGTGGTCCTGAAAAGTGTGGTGTCTGGTCCACATGTTCTGAAACCGGAATGCAGAGGCAAGGCGGTGTCTTTCATGCGAGAATCGGACCAAGAGCGGGGCGTGGTCCGAATGCATCCGCGGGAGGTGTCTGACACGAGTCGTCTCAGCGAAATCCTCCCAGGCAGTGTTGTAGAGAATGCGGTCCAGGCGCTCCCAAACTCGTCGATTTGTCCATGTATGGGGGGAGCCTTCAAAACCGGCATCAATAAGATTCGCATCAAGGATAGCCGCTGAGAAATCCTGAATAGAGCGCAACTTAGGGCGACCTGGGCCCTTCCGTTCAGAAATGTCGGCGATGGCATTAAAGTCGCCACCGATAAGCCAAGGAGACCCCAATGACGAGGCCGCTGTGTCCTGTAGGAAAGACCAGAGGGCACGGCGCTGGGTGACAGAACATCGCGCATAGATCCCAGATAGGAAAAAGGGCCGGCGGTGCTGCGGAGACGAAACCTGCACATGAAGACACTGATCGATCTCCGAAATAGGCTCCAGTTTATAGGAGTCATCAGCAAGAATCCAGATAGAATTGACCGCGTTGGTAAGCATCTGGGAGAAGCCAAAACGCCGGCAAAAGAAAGCAACATCCGCAAAAACCATAGGCTCCAGAAGAATAAGAATGCGGATACGGTGCTGCTTGCAGAGCCAATGTACCTCTCGTTGAGCTCGGGGGTTGCCAACTCCGCGCACATTCCAAACCAAGAGGGAGGTGTCTGTCATCGGGAACTGGCAGAAGGGCGACGAGAGGAACTTACTTGCTGACGAGAGATGCTGCGGGTAATCGGTCTAGAGAAGGTCGGCGGCAGAGCCTGTGGCCGGTCATCTGACACTGTCTCCAAAGATCCGCTGAGAGACGGAGGTTCAGCAGCCTGATTCAAAACGCACACCCCCCTGCTCGGATGCGACTCCGTCGACAGAGCGACAACAGGGAGCGGTTCCGATGAAGTCCGCAGGAGGGGTGGGTTCGGACCAGATTCAGGGAGGAGCTCTGTCCCTGTAGTTGCATCAGCAGGTAGATCACCAGAGTGAAAATCAGTGGTACCTCTCGGGGAAAGA